AGGTTGAAATCTTGATAATTGAAAATCTTAGTTATATTTTTTTCATAGTAATTTAAAACTTTGTATTTATAATAATTTATATAAACTTGATAACCCAAACCTTAAATGTCTAATTCTTGAAACTTAAATTGATTATATAAATTTGCTGATTCAATAGAACTTAAATGAATAACATTTGAAATGTAACACTTAATAATAATACAACTTTCGTGAAAGAAGAAGCCGACAATGTTAATACTAAATATCGTCATTACCTTCCACCTGCCACCAACATTCAGCATTTTCTGTCTTCCTTCAGCACTTGATGAATTCATAATCCCCGAACGACAACCTCATCTTTGAAAATAATGGTGTGCTTTCCTCTTGATGTTGATAATAGTGTAGATCTTGATGGGCTCGTCCCATTCCGTCTCATCATTTTTATTTGTTCGTAAGATATATATCTTACATCTGGATACTTCTCTGTATTCAACGACTGACTCAAGCTCCACTTCCCTTTTCTGTCGTTTTTTAAGTTCATCGAGTTCATGATCTATGATTCTTGTAGTCTTATCGTCACCATCATCATAATACCTTTTACGTAAGATAGACAACATTTATTGTTGCCGATTTTTAAATGTACTGTCAGTAGGTTTTAATGACATTCATGTCTCATCGTCATAGGTGCCAAATTTTCGAGGGACACTGATGATGGTACTGTGCTCGAAATACGTTATGTATGCCGGTTGAGGTGCATATGGGATTTTTGGGGCTGGTCCTCTCACTACTTCTGATTTTCGGTACGCTCGTACTACCGGCTTAATTGACGTCTCTTCAGAAAACCAGTATAAATGTCGTTCTTGCGATCCAAAAATTTCGAATCTGAATGATACACTCATTTTTATTCACTTTATTCTTTTCTGTTTAACTTCACAATACTTTTTCTTACTCTTGCAAGTTGCAACTGAATTTTTTATTTATTTTTTTTTATATACCTACCAAACTTTTGCGTTTATACTTTAATTTTGATGATTCTACAATTTCTTCTTATATCTGTATATTGACATGACGACCGAACTCTTTTAATTTTCTTTATCGTCATTGTTCGGTTTTGCAATCGTCGCGTAAATTTCTTCTTCTTGATGTTGGTGGTCAGGGACGGGAACTTGACTTAAATTTTCTATATAATATATAATATACACACTCATTTATTTTATGTATTAAATCATTCATTTGATGTTTTGGTCTTCGTCTCGCTGATTTAAATGCTTTTCTACTGCTTCAAACCCTGCTATTGCGTGACGAACAACTCCCATAGAGCTTCGGACTTCTTCATCCGAAGCTTCGTCTGTTCCCACTAGCCAATTCCAAAGTCGTACTAAGGTGCCTTTTGACCCTCGTTTGGATCTTTTAAGCACCAAGTTATTATTGTCTGTCCAGTTGGTGTATCGTTGTTCTACGTGTTGTTGAATTTGCTGTAATTTATTACCTGCAAATTCGCTTGTTCTCCGTATTTCCTCAAGCTGTTGTGCGCAGATATTGTTGAGCTCCGCTATCGTAAAACAGACCTTTTCAAAACTCGCTGGATATTGCTTCAACTTCCTGATATCTTCCGCAATATCTAGATCAATTTTCACTAGATGAACGCCAGTTTGAATTAATACTTGTTTCTTTTGGAAGGCTAATGTTGATGAACCTTTGACCGACTTAATGTCAACAGCGCTAGCACTTGGAAACGCAAGCAATATTAGCATCATAAATGCTAATGCTGTTTTTCCAGCTAATCTTGACGATCTTCTTGTCTTCTTCTTTTTTGAAGAATCTTCCTCCGGGGCTTTTGCTTTGTCTTGAATATTGGATAACGAACCATCTTCGACTTCCAATGGAAGTCTGGCTAAATCTGGTGCAATCGGTGAATCTTCAAATGAATTTTTTCCAGCAGTTCCGTTTGACGCCCTTGAAGGATCATTTTTTATTTTTTTTTTCATTTCTTCTAACTGTACAAATTTTGTTAACTCGAAACTTGATAATGTTCGATTAGACAATTCGCATTGACGTTCACTGGATAAATAAAGTTATTCAAAAGAATGCAACTGTAAAGAGTAAATAAAACAGTTTTGTTGAATGCTTGATAAATACTTAAACTTTTTATTACATTTTCTTTGATTTAGAAACTTTAATTGTTGACTTTCTTACTTTTCTTCCATTTAAACCCATTTAAATTGTTTACGTATCAATTTGATAGGTTGTGGACGTCAAGACCTACGTTAAGATCAATTTTACCTTGTCCATTCACATATATTTTTTTTGTGAGCATTAGAATAGTATTTACTACGTCAGCAAATTCTTCCACTTTATAACTTTTATATTTCTTCAGATCTGGATCATCTGCACTACTGCAGATCCAAATCCAATAACAGTTTATTAGCTATTGCATGACAAAATGTTAACGTTGCACGTTTGTTTATGTATATATTTATATAGTTTATGTGGTTCTTTATGAATTGTTATTTTCCTAATAAATTTTTAAAACTTTTTAACTTTTTTATGGACCGATGCTCCAAGGATTAAATTATATTATAGCAATTAGGTATCTAAAATATTATAAAATTTACAATTTGTAACATAAACAGAATATTCAAATTTAACAATAGTTAAGTAGTTTTACTGAATAAGAAAATTATTTTGAATTAGAAATAAGAAAAACAATTTAGATTTAATTCCTATATCTTTAAATTACAGTGAACTCAAAATATTTATTCCAACCTAAATTGTGTTCGAATCTTTCAATTAGGGTAANCAATATTTATTTACTTAACTTTTTAAAAAAGAGTAATAAATACACCAGAATTAAAAATTTACAAAGATAGAAGTCATATTTTTATAAAGAATTATTGAAATTAATCTGTAAGTTAAATTTTTACAAGAACCAGAATTTTGAAATCACAACAGGAAGTTAAAGTGAAATTGTGACTTTTTTTTGGCTCATACTTCTTCGTGTTTGAATTTAAAAACAATCACAATGAGCTCATTGAAGAAAGCAAGTCGCACAAAACCTTTATCGCTAAGTCAGGATGACTACATCTACCCACGGGGATCGCGAACCAGAAAAAACTTAATGTCAGAGAAGATTGAAGAAACTCAAGCATTTCTCAAATACCTCGATGATAATATTGTTGGGAAAGGAGTTTTATTCTTCGGCCCGTATGGACGACGAAAAGGTGAGTGAAACAAATTAATCGTGCTGCTCGTGTCTGCTATAAAATTTAATTTCTTTGATTGCCAAAAGCGTTTCTTCTCCTTATCAGTAATATTTCTTCATTCTTAATAATTTCTATTTTGTAATGGCAAATTAAATCGTATTTTAAGCTTTTGTTATTCGACAAAAGTGGTTGAAATTATTAGAAAAGAAAATATTTCGAAAAATGAAATAAAATTTTACTTTTCCTGTCTTGTTTTGAAATTTATATGATGTCATATGCTTGTCGCAATTTCTAATAATCTCTCTCACATTTAATATAAAAAGAGAAAAGTTGATGAAAATCCAAAAAAATGTAAACAAATCGTCAGCATGAAGAAGTAAAAACAAGTCTTGATAACCGGCGAATAAATAATCCATGTGGTGGTGCTTGTATGTAAATTATCTGTGAATACCATATCAACTTAAAGAAAAAACGAAGATGATTTCAATTTTGACGATGTTTGCATAAAAAGAGAAATATTTGTAGTCGAAAACTGGTTTTCACAATGGTAAATATTTCCCAGAAACTCATATCCAGTTTACGCTCTGCAATTAATAATAAATATTCGTTCTATACAAACCCTTTCAATTCTCAATTTGATTTCTCAAATTCTGAGTTGATTCGATGCCAATATTTCTTTCAATTTTTTTCTTATAAAAACAAAAACAAATCAAGTGATCTCATTCATCTATCATGACCTTACTCAATCTAAAATCTTCGATGTCATGATTTAAAAGAATTGAATTTTCATTGTGAAGAATTGAATGTGGTTGGTGTGGAAGGCAATTTGTGACACAAGAATCTTATATCTTTTATAAGAATAATAAATATTTTAAAGGTCATACTACACCAACGAGTTAAATTTTATGATGCATACATGTGTGGTCGAATGCTGTGAATATCTTTAAATTGATTACGCTTTTATTGTAGCATGGAAAATCCCCAGAAAAATAATTTATCAACATAACTAATTTCCTCATGACGATATCTGGTGTGTCAATTCATGAACACAAGATCAGTCTGAAGTAAACGAAATTAAAAATGAATACATTTAGTCTATTGTGCAACTATAAATTCAGACAACATGCTGTATGTCTTCTTGGAAAACTTCCAAAAACAAATTTATGTTCACACTTGTCGTTAAATTTGTGAATTAAATCCTTGAGATAATCTTTAGATGTTGATTAGAGTTAATTTTCATTTCTATCTCGTACGAAACGAAGGTCAATGCGAAACTTGCGCAAATGCATTTACGATTTTTACTGCTTTTCTCTTTTAAGGCTTTCAATATATTTTGATCAGATTAAAGCTTTGGATTCTACTGTTCAATAGTAAAATAAATCGAGATTAAATCTTCAGGAAAGTTGAATTTTAAAATTTCAACTTTATGAACTATTCCCAATTTTATTAAGTTCAAGAATCAACAATGAACTGCTTCGATTTGATAAGAAGAGTAATGAAAACAAAAATATTTCAAAAGCGGTTTCCGAAAGTTTTCTATGTTCATTATTGACAATTTTCGAGACCATAGAAAGTAATTTATCGCTCACTGTTCACAGTTGTTAACAACAATTTCATTTTTTCTGTCATTTTCTGGTGCTGATGCTTCATTATCTCATTTAAAAACACTTCGAGTTGTCGGGAAACTCATAACTCATCAGTACCTAAGCGAATATTTTTAAACGCCAAGCTAAATGTTTTTTCAATAATTTTTCAGTGATATCAATTAATATTTATGTGTGGCTGCGTAAATTGAGCGGAACGAGTTGATTTGTGTGAAAAATCACATTTGAAGAAGACATTCAACAACAATCATTTAGAAAATTTCAACCGACCCAATTTTTTCTTGTGTTGAAAATGAAAAATTTGCAGGAAAAATCTCTCAAATCATTGAAATTGTTTGAAAATACATTGGAAGCACAGAATTCTGTGAAACATTTGTTATAATTTTAGCAAAATAAAATGACATACACGGCATGGCGACTCAACGTCTGATGAAATAAAAAAACGATTCAAGTTAATTACACATTTAATTTCTTCATACTCAAATGCTGTGCAAAGTTTCTTTTCGATCAATTTATGTTATTCATCATCATTGCAATTCAATTAATTCTCAGAGTTTGTTTTGCATAACTTTTTATATTTGAGTTGTGCTCGATAAATATTGTGCTTTATTTTTACGTTTGGGTTAGTTAAGATTAATGTGCAACATAACTTTTTCTGAATTGCCATTGAATAAAGAAGCATTAAATGTTAATAATGGTCAGTTCAATGCCATCGCAAAAGTTTGCAAAATCATCATTACAACTTGTCAGAGAATATTGTGCAATTCATTGTGAGTCACGTTAAACATTTTCAAAAAAAAGAAAATTCCTCTAAATGATTTTAAGTCTATCAAATTTTCTTTCGTCTGTAAGCCGTTGAAAAGTGTAAACAATAACACAATTCACTGCCAAGAGTCCAAATGTTAAAGTAAATTAAATTATTTAAGAAAATTTACAGCACTTCCAAAATGCAACATAAGTAACCACTTAAATCGGTGACGAGAATTTTTTTTTTGAAAACTGATGAAAGGGAATTGCGTAGGTATGAATTAATTTTTATCTGAGTTATTTGTTGCTAACTAAATCAACTAGAAACATATAATAGTCGAGCTATTTAATTACAGCTTACAAGGTTGTCAAAGCTTTAATGAACCGCACATTACATTGTATCGAGTTGAATTTTTATCGCATACATTCCATGAAATCTTTCCAACATTTTGATATTTGTGAAATCTAACGATCTGATATCTGATTGAAAGTGAAATAAATTTAAATATTCAGTAAAGTTTAGATTAGTAAATCCGAATATAAATCCGAACCGAGGGTTAAAATATTTTTCTCTTTCTCTTGTTTGCAAGCTCTCTAAGCATGAAGTTCTCCTCAAAATGTTACCGCACTTTGCAGTGTTGTTCAGTCTCGCGAAGAGTTTCGACCAGTTGAAGTCATTGGCAAAAATTTCGAATAAATAATCAAAAAAATTATTTAAAGCACATATTTGAACAAAATTAAAAGCCAATGATATCTTTCGTCTCGGAGCATTTGAAGCAGAGCAGAAACTATCAGTTTAATATAAATCAAAAATAAATAAAAGTGAAATAGAAAACAAAAGTTTTTGTTCAGATATCTTGATTTAATTTTATCAAATCAATTTTTTTGCAATTAAAATCATAGAATATTGAAAGTGAAAATACAAATACAAAATAATTTGCCATTCATTGTGTGCTTTGTGATTTGAATTTATGATGAGTGCGTTAAAGAAAGCAAGTCGTACTAAATCTTTATCACTAAGTCAAGATGATTTTATTTTCCCTCGTGCACCACGATCAAAAAAACCTTTGGTACCGCCAAAATCAGAAGATACACAAAAAATCTTCAAATATATCGATGAGAATGTCATCGGCAAAGGAGTTTTATTTCTCGGGCCTTTTGGTAGACGCAAAGGTGAGTCGATAAATGGAAATGAATTCTATTTCGAGTAGAGAAATAAAAGATAACAATTTTTACGTTGTTCACAATCTCTGTTTCGGTAAAATTTTCTTCAATCTTATCCCTTTACCTCTTATCAGTCTGTGCAGAAAATAGCGTTTCAAATAATTTTCTACATTCTTTGACAATAAGACTTCCTATGATAAAAGTTTTCTTTTTGTACGCTTCGTTGCTCGTCTAAATTCTTTCTTTTCTCCAGATATTTACTTAAACATTACGTAACAATTTTCTGTAATTCGTTTAAAGTTCGTTTGAAGATATCATAATAAACGAGACGCAATCTTTCTTTCGATCTTAACTTACAGTTTACTAGATGATGAAAAGCTACATTGTGATGATTTTATTAACCATAAGTGTCACTATGGAAGTGCCTACGTTGTTCTACTTATTGTTTTTCTACACATGATAAATTCTTAGGAAATGAAAGCGAAAAATTTTCACAAACAACTTTGATGATTCTCATGATGACTTGCTTCTAGGTATTTAAGTTTAAAAAACTTTCATTGACTTTTAATGATATAAAAAGTTTTCCTCTGTTGTTTTGCGTGATCTTAATAAATTCCACTAAATACATTTCCTTTCTCAATGAGTGAGTCATTATCTAAACCTTCACTAAATAAACATTCGATAGTTATTGAAGGGCAACCCATCAGTTGTTTAATGAAATGTGAAGTCTTTCACTTTATTTTAATGTGTAACGCCCTGTCAATTTGCATAAGTACTTGCTCGATTTAATTGATCATTGATTCTTTATTAAGCTTCACGCCGGAGACTCTGAATAGAATTCAAATTGATAATAATTCATCAACAATAAGAAATCTGTGAATGGAATTTTCCAAGGTCTTTCAACATCGACAAAAGTTTCTTGAAATTTAAATAAATTAAGAGAAATGAGGAGTGAAAGAAGTGGAAAATTTAGATAGTTGAATAATTTCTATGAAATATTTATGAGAATGTTGGCGACAGAAGTCTAATTTCTCAAGTTTATTGTCTCTCAAGATCCGAATATTCTATTCATGAAACATTCATTCATAAAAAGAAATTCAAGTTAAGTGAAAAACTTTTACGTGTTGCTATTTGCACATGGAAATTTCATCACAAAGGATAATAAAAAAAGCGGAAAAAGATTCTAAAATTTTCATTGGATAATTTCCTGCATGTGAACGATATTTAAGGAAATTTATTGATCGAGTAAACAGCAGTAGCCTTAGCGTGCTAAGGTAACAGCAAATTTATTGCAATGTTGACCGAAATGTTTCACTTCGATTTGAAAGAAAAAATAATCAAATGATTGTTGTCTGTCTTGTTTCGTAGTGAAAAATGTATGCAATTGTAATCTTTGTATGTAACTCACATTAAGCCAGTTGCATTCAAGGCCGAGAGATTTGAAATAGTTTTTCGTTATTTATGGGTGTTCATTATTTCATGTAAAGATTGAAATTAGTGTCAATTTTTTGTTAAACATAATCGATTGATAATATTTTCAAAAATAGGACAAATATCAAAATCACTTCGACTTTTTTTCTCTCGTAAATGTTCAACAAATATGGTTGTCTGTTAATCTTCAATACCATAGCCTTCAAATTCGAACCAAACTCTGCCTGATCATTTGATCATTGCTTTATAACAAAAAACCAAATCTTTTCTCAAGTTCAAAGCTAATTCTCATCGAAATCTTTGTACAATAATTCAAGTATCACTCGTAACTTATTAAGAAATTATAAATATTTATATGTTAGAAAAATAATTTAAGCAGTGCGCGTGTAAATTGATATAAGAAACAATAAAACGCCTCCACAAAGATTTCATTGTGTGAAAAAAATAATTGAAATTCTCTTAATGTGCATTGCTTTGGCTTTGTGAAAACAAAAAAGTCCCGGCAACAACACGAGCTGTACTGCTTTAATTTAACGACTTTCAATTTCATTTCCATTCACGACGCTACAGATGGAAGTAATTTTCCAAATCAAAATTAAACATGCAGATCTCTTTCGATGTCACGACAAATTGAAATTCTTATGAATATCTAAGCTATTAAATCTAATTTCATATTTTCCACATTTGAGAATACGTAATGAGATGTTAGGTGCTGCTTTAACTGCAGTTGGTCACAATTTTTGTTTAAAGTATGCTTGCATAATCACTTCAGATAAATTACTTTTAATGTCATGAAAGGAAGTTTCGTTATTTCTGATGGACTTTGATACTAAGACAGCATGTATCTTAGAATTAGAATTAATGACGCATCTTGCAAACAAACGACAGTTCCGTTCATCGTGAATAGCTTTTTATTGAGAGACGAAAAAAAATTTGTATGTATATCAAATTTACATCAAAGGTTGTTACTGTCGACTCGAATAAAGTTGCTGTTGACCTACTTACAAGCTTTTGAATTTTTTTTTCTTTCGTTGAATTCAGACATCGCCAGACATTTCGGCGTACATTTTTTCTATGCTTTTGAGTGATTGAAAAAAAATCTGCGTAAAATCGTACGATTATTTGCTTAACCAATGGTGGTTGTTAGGACTTTTTAAAAACGAGTGATGCATGTGAATCTGTTTAAGAATTTGCGCCACAAGATACGTCTTGAATTGCTGAAAATTTCTGAGAAAAAAAATGAAAAAGATCAACTCATAAATGTAATTAATGACTTTTCGTGAAAATTGAAAATGTCATGAATTGTTTTGAACGAAATTTTCTTTCAAGAGATTGACAGAATGAAGCCAAGATGAATTGCGGAGAGTTGAAAATTATTAGCAATTAAAAAACTTTACAACACTTTTATCAAAAGACAAAGAATTTCAAAACACGGTAGGCAGTGGCATAAAATATTTCGTAGTGTGAACAAAAAGTCCGAGAAAAGCCGAATTTAAACAATTTTATGTATAAAATATTTCTTTCGGAAAAACTGAGATAAAAATATCATCGACACATCTTCAGTGACGGTATCGTTGATGACAAGTTTCATGCGTAAGATTTGTGCCAAAAAGTATAAAATTATGAGTAGATGATTTACTGTGACGAAAGTGAAAAGCCTCGCTTCATAAAAAATTCCATTTAAAGAATGTTCGTAATGTTTTGTTTCTTATGTCACTGACCCTCGCAAGTCATCTTCCGTTGCAAGCTCAAAACAAAGAAAAGTAAGAAAATTAAATTAGGAATTAAAAGTTTACCTAAAACATTTTTTTTTTGAAGAAAACAAGTTGAAAATATTTATAATCAATTTAATTTAATTAAGAGCTTTGCATGCAATGTTGATAAATTTAATCGACACTGAATGAAGCTCAATGCTAGAACTGATGAGATTCTTTAATTCTTTCTTCATCTAACTTTATTTATATCACCACTGAATTCAATTTTTAAAGATTTCATTAAAGGCTTTGAAGAAAGACGATGAAAAGATGAAATTTTGGCAACATAGCAAAGCAAAAAAAAATGATTAAAATTCTACTGATAAATGAAAATGTTTTCTACGATTGTAAATATTTGAACTCTTAATGAGCGGCAAAACACGTTTCTCTCGATGACCCGAATTATCATGTGTAAGAAATGGAATTGCGGGTTGATGCTGGGAAATGTTTTTTTTCCTGAAAATAATCGTTCCGGAAAATTTACGATTGTAATAAAAAGAAAACTGATATTAAATTCGGGGTTTTTTAAACATCATCAAAAACATGAAGAAACTTTTTGACGTAGGTGCGTATTTTGTGAAGTTAGAACGATTTAAAATCAGTTTTTCAATTTCTTCTCTTAAGCGAAGTATCAAAGAGAAAAAGTTTAATTGATATTGTGGAAGTGTTTTGGAATGTTTCCAAAAATATTTATAAAACTCAAAAAAAAAATAACGTAGATAGTCAGTGAATGAATCATGGAAATGAAATTTGAGATAGGAAAGAATCGGATGAAGGTTTAAGATGACACTGAGATTTTCATTCATGCAATACCGAATGCATTCCATTTGTTTTTCAAGGGCATTCAGTAGAACTTGCGCATGCGATGTTTTGTCTCTTTGTCCAACGCTAAGTGCAAAATCCCTCTAATTTACACCTTACTGGTTATGAGCAGTCATTACTGATTTTATCTAGATAGTTGAATGACCAATCAAACACAATTTTCGACGTTTGAAATTTGTAAATTTTCGGTTCTTTTTATTGCAAACAAACGAATTAAAATATGTATAAAAAATATTAAAATTCAAGAAATGTAAAGCTCATACGGAAAACCTCACACAATAAAGCGATAATTCTCTTGATCGCTAGCGCGTGTAATTTTCTACTTACAAATTCTGTAAAATTTCACCCACTCAATGATTATGAATTGTGATTGCATCAACTTGATGATGTTTTCGAAATGCAATTGAAATTGTCTATAATTTCTAACTTTTTTCTTTCATTATCTGTGAAATATTTTGTCATATTTACAATCACTGCCAGACTTTATGACGATTTCCCTTCAAGCTAATTAACTTTTTCATAAGAACTTTTGAGATTGATTAATTATCGTGTTGATTTGCATGCATTCAATGGCAACCACTCGTGTAAACATTCATGCTCTGTAGCGTTGTTTAGTTACTCTCTTACCACTTTGATATATTCATGTCTGAAGCTATTAAATTTCTGTGCCAAGTTCTCAACATAGCAGCAACTTGATGGCTTTTAAGTAGCTTTACATGTGCGAAACAACTTAAGAGGAAAAGTAACATTGACTCATATTTAACCACATTAACCTAATTTTCCCTTTCAAAAGAAAAAAATGCGTAAGCATTTAAAATTGCAGTGTCAAGATCTTAAATCTAAACTTTAACTTGCTGTTCTCTTTAAGTTGGATGAATTGAGAAAAAACTGAAAGAATCAATAAAAACGGCGACTAAATGTCTGCTGTAAATAATGTAATCGTCAATTCTTTTGCCTTTTATCTATCGACTTAAGTATGTGCTTACAAATTATCATTTTGCATAACATTCGTTATTCGCAAGTAACGAGTTTTTTTGTTTTAGAAGCAATAAAAAATATCTGTCAATCATAATCACTTGTCTCTGGCATTTAAGTAAGTTCAATGATCCCACTCGAAACGCTTGTGTTGTTCTTGTTGTTTTTAAGAGATGATAAATAATTTTCCGTTTCAATCATACGTCAAAATTTCGTGGCATTTCGTTTTGCTGCGAAGTTTTAATTTTATTTTTTGCGTAAGCAATTAAACAGGAAACATGTGCGTGAATTTATTTCGAGTTATTCGTGCTGATATAAACGATATTCGATGCTAATGAAAGTAAATAAATTCTGAAGAATTTATAATATTTTACTAAACTTGATGACATATCAAGACGCATTCCATAAGAAATATAATCTCATGCTGAATCGTCAAAGTAATCGGATTTTCTGTTCAAAGCGATTTGATTAATATAAAACGAACTAAAAAAGTTGCTGTCATAAGAAAGTTTACGAGGCGTAAACAAAGGTTCAAGTAACAGGAAGTTCTGAGTTTTCACTGAAAAATTTCCAATGATGAATGACGAGATGCAAATTTATCTCGATGGGATTTGAGACTCTGTGGAACTTTGCCAAAATATCATCACAACGAGAAACGATAGCAGATCAAATATAGTGCCACAATTAAACATTAAAACAATGCATTGGGACAAAATTTCATTAGAGTTGATGAGACTTTTGTTGCCAGAAACAACGCAGATTAACTAACATAATTTGCAAATAAATGAAAATGTTGAATTCATTCATGTTTTAAACCAAAATTAACTTGTAGATTCTAAAAATAATCTTCAAATCTGCTGAATTGAACTGATATCAAGTAAAATCTGATGAAATGAAGCTTCTATACAATTGTAGAAAATTATTTTTATTTAGTACCATATGCCAGTACTGTGAAGCAAAACAGTTTCTAATTTTAAAAAACTTAAAACAAAAATATCTGAACAAAAGCTGAGAAATGAAATCGCAAATCAGAAGCAAATGACGAGAAAGATAACTCAGACAGTTTTGCTATAGAGAACATTTCATTAAAAAATATTCGCAGCAATTTAAAAGAATTGAGTTTGATTGCTAAAATCGAATATCAATCGAATATTTTTGTCAAGACTTTATCAAGCCCACAATTTTATTCGAAAGTATATCTAGAAAGACTCTCGGATCAGAAGTAACAAAGTCTGTAAGGGCATTCTGCCTTTCAAATTACTAAACACATTTTTCCGATAGCAATATTACAAAAAATATTTTTATTTGTATAAAAACAACAAACTGAAATTAAAGGGTCAGGAAATCAACTTGATTACTTCATAACGAGTCTCCCTATTTATTGATAGCGATAATGAAATTGAGCATTAATTGATTGAGTCTCACACTTTATGGTTTTCCGTATCACTTTTACCCTCCAATTATCCACACGCGACCATCTTCGAGTGCTAAAATCACAACAAACTTCAGAAAATCAATTTGAGTTGTGCATTACTCAAACAAATCATCGGCACCATCGTCTGTAAATATTTACAAATCATATTCACACGTGTTGATAGAAACAAGCAATTTTTGATTTCATTTCTTGTTTGATTTCTAAGGTTGATGAATATTGAAAGAGAAATAAGTTTGTAGCTATTAAAGGTCTAGTAATGTAAAAGTTTTATTTCATTTAATTATAATGAGTTATACTTAGGAAATCAAATATCTCACTAACTAATGCAGCCAGCCCATCGTTGAATATAATTTCTCATGTCGTTATCATTCGACTTAGTTCATGACAAATACAGAAACTAATAACAAATAGAAGGTCATCACTTCACAATACGAACACGGATTACATTTCCATAACCTTATTCAAACAAATAAATTAAATAGTTGGTTACTAATCAGTCACTTGTTTTCCTTATTTTACAGTTGTTTATGCTGATTACTCGTCATCTGGTAGATCACTTCAGTTTCTAGAAGACTACATTAATAAGGAAGTTCTTCCAGCTTTTGGTGATTGTGATTGTACATCAGCTGTAACCGGATTGCAGTCACTGCTTTATAAGTAAATGTTTAATAAATTTCATAATTAAACATGTTCATTAATTAACTTGTCTATTAATACAGCAATGAAAGCCGAGATTTAATAAAATCGGCAGTAAATGCAACATCAGATCAAGATGAAATTATCTTCTGTAATAATCCATCAGATCGTCTCGCACATTTATTCACAAAAACGAAAGATTCGATTGTTGCCTATGAAACGTCATCCAACTCGTCACACAACTCTGACAACTTAGGCAAGTCCAATGTCGTTTTGTTTGTAAGTAATTTCGAGCCTGAAAACAACATCAGATCATGGATTGACGGTGGTGCAATAATTGAAAGAATTGATAAGAACCGTGAAGGGTTCTTAGATCTCGTCGCTCTTGAAAAGAAGCTGAGTAAATATTCAGAGTCAAATTACAAGCTAATTGGTTTGTTTTCGGGTGTGTCAAGGTTGACAGGAATTTTGTCAGACGATGTTGCAACAACAATTCTTCTTCATCAATACAATGCAATCTCTCTTTGGGATTGTTCAGACATTGCTTCTAGTGCCCAAATGCATGTCAATTCAGCACTTCCAGGCGCTTCAAAAGATGGACTTTTCTTCAATTGCAATAAGATGATTGGTGGACTTCAATCATCATCTGTGCTGATAATCAAGAAGTCTTTGATTGCAAACTTCAAATCAATTCTCAACGAAATGGTCGACACAGTTAGTATCGTAAGGTGTGGACTTGTAATGCAATTAAAAGAAGCTCTTGGTACTCACATCATGACACGTCAGGAAAAGATTTGCAAGTATGATTGATTAAATTATCTTCTCAAATGTAGCATACATGATATACATTTTATATAGACAAATGCTGGCACACATCAGAACGATTCCTGAAATTGTTTTACTCGCACCGACGTCAACAACTGCTAAAAGAATTCCAACAATGTGCTTCCTTGTGAAACATCCACGTGGAGCATTTCTTCATCATCGCTTTGTCGTAGCAGTTTTAAATGACATTTTTGGCATTCAATCATCAGCTAATAGCCTTCTAGAAGAAATTACGCTTGGCATCAGCAGTGATTTAATTAAAGAATATGAAAAAATGTTAAATCATGAGAAATTGCATACAGAGAATCTTCGTCCCGGTTATATTCGCATAACATTCCCATTCTTCATGAACGATGCTGAAGTTGGTTACATTCTTGAAGCTTTGAAAATGGTCGCAACTGAAGCTTGGAAACTTTTACCGCAGTATGAAGTCGACGAGAAGACGGGCGAATGGCGTCATCACTCAAATTCATTAGCGAAAGAACGTAAATGGCTTCAATCGATTCGCTACAACGATGGACGAATGTTGTTCAATGATCGTCGAATATCAGCTCCTGGTGGTTTTCCTACAAATTTCGCTGATTGTCTACAAACAGCGAGAAATATTTTTAACAGAGCACGTAAAATGGCACAAAAGTCAACAGTTGGTGAAAATCTTTATTTGAAATTGGATGATGAAACTGAGAAACTGCGTTGGTATATGTTGCCAGGTGAAGCTCATGAATTATTGCTTGGACACTCACAAAATGTTAAGCAAGCAGTTCCAATTGATCCCAATAAGATGTTCGAATCACCGTCTCTCGTTGATCTTTTGACTTGTCGAACAAACAGCTTATCAGCTTTAGATATTCGAAGGTATCAAAAAAGTCAAAGTCTTCCTGCCACTCCACAGACGACTAAGCTTTCAATTTCACCACCAAAATGTTCCAGTCCTATGTCAATAAAACATCAACTTGACACTGCATCTCCACCTTCACCAATCGTTCGGTTCACACTTGGCGGTGAAGTGACTTGTGCCACAAATTTCGGACAGTCACCACAAGTTTCAAGTTTAATTGCAAGCGAATCAATAAGAAGTCGAAATAGGTGAGTTCAATGCTGATCGTTTAAGGAAAGAGATATCGACTGTCTCTTATTTTGTTAGACAATCGACATCCCTTTTAAAAAACCAGTTTTAAAATAGATTCAATTTTGGTGTTACTTACATAGGTAGACAAACATCACTTTATTTTGGATTCTCATAGGAAAGATTTAATTCATTTGTTTATTATAAAATCACAACAAAATTTTAGATGTCATAGCTGGGGGCCTAACCCATCACCAGTATGGCCCAGAATATTGGGCAACAAACAGTCGACCAGATCATGTTCTGTTAGTTCACAAACAGATTTGCACTTGAATGCTGAATGCACGCCCGAATTCAGAGTCGGGAGGTCAGAGAATGTGATTTTTTTAAATGTACTCTTGCTGTAGTGGTGACATTGATGTTTTATATTCATATTTGCTATTTGATACTTTTTCATATCATCGTTTTTAATCTCTGTCCATGTGCACATTTATTTTCCGTTTATTTTCTGTGTTAATCGATGTCAAAGCATTTTTGAAGCCATTCAAACTTTTCGTTTTTGTTACTTGATAAAAGTTTTTATTTTCTTTCCAGCAGTTCGAGTGACAATGAAGATATTAATAATTATGTGAAAGGAGTAACGAAAGAAATAACGGATGAGATAAAATCAGAGATTCGTGAAGTAATCAGTCAAGTTGAAGATGTTCTTGAGAATTCAGAGTCAGTTGATCTGCAATCAGTCATGGCGAACATAACCAGGTTGACATTTTGCATAAATAAATTAAAGAACTTCCTTTGAAACATTTTTCTATATAATTTTAACAGTGCTGAAGATTTGAAAACACATGATTCGGTTTCAGCTGGTGATATTGTGGAATTTCTTAAAGAATTTTCAAAAGATTTGACAAGCGAAGTGAAATCAGAGATCCGTGAAGCTTCAAATGCCGTCGATGAATTTATTTCTCCTGACTGTACAAATTCTCGTCAACAAGAGAATGACAAGAGAAACACGAAACTGTATAATTGTTAAACATTGCTTCACGATCACATCAATTCATGCTCATCAGCTCTTGCTTCTTTTCCGCAGATTAGCCAAACAACGATTCAGCGATATATCGCATGAAACTTCACCCAAACCTCATGACGATAAACATCGATCGGAATCCCTTCCGAGTCCGGAACATTCTGTGCGGCCATTCCATTATACGGGTGCCATATCTAAAATAAAATCTATCGAGCCGCGTGATGCTTCGTCTCAGGATTCGGGAATTAATTTAAGTTTTCAAGATGATGAAAGGAAAAAATTAAGAAATTCTCTTGAGAGGTAAACGAAGCAAAATTTAAATTCATTTTCATATTTAACACTTCCTTTTGTATCTTGAAATAGAAATAAATTTACATTTGATGAGAACGACGATCAAATTCCAATATTACTACAGCAATCTTATGACAATCACAACGACTCATCGTCAGCAACATCAAGTCCAAAAATTCTCAAACGACAAAGTCATCTCATAAAACGTTCATCAAGCGAGCTCGATTCAGATGAACAACCAACAAGTGTTTGGCATAATCTTCCAAAAGATGTGTGGAAAACTGCAGCTGAGGTCAATAATCATAATCATTAATCTTAATAAAAGATTTTAAAACATTTTACTTATGCATGACATCCTTAAAATTGAAAATATTTACTTTCAAGAAAGAACTATTTACACATTTACTTCTAGATGAGAAAAAAGAAAATATAAAAGAAAAAAAATAAGAAGGATAAGAAATTCACTAAGCATGGTGTGTGAAAGATAATCAAAACGAACATGTTAATGAATAATTAGAAACAAATCTAATCGTTTTTGGGTGAAAGCATTTTGAATCGACTTCCACGCAAATCATCCTTCAAATAGTTTTGGTTCCTTAGAATAGAAGTGTTAAGTACTTACATCTATCATGTGTCTACTTAGAACATTAAATAAGATGAGAATTGTTGATTTTATATTCTAATCAAAAATTTCTCTCTGAGATTCATTAATAGAATGAAGTAGAAAATAAGGAAAACTAATTTGTTAGAAAGGAATTCGTTGGGACACTTCATATTTACACAAGTATCGATAGTGGGCGACGAAAATATATTTTTTGAATATTTTAAGATTGATTTTTTAGATCTAGCTACTTACAAATTGAATTTTGACGTTCATCAGAGAAATTTTCGGATTTAACACATACACACAAAACTTATTCGATGCACGTCAAACATAAAAAAAAATATTTCCTTAACATCGTAACATACTTAAAAATTAATGGAAACAATTAATTATTGTTAGATAAGTTAATGTTTTTATTTCAATTAAAACAAAATATGGAAAGGAAAAATTAAGAAAAGTTTCATTATAATGTATCTACATAAACACGAAAATATTTAACGGAAAATCTGGTGAAAGAAATGATTTCAGAGTTGGTTTGGCAGAAGATTGTAATATGAATCAGGTACACGAAATGAGCTTTTTGTTTGCAACATTAAACTTTAGTTTAGCTTAACTCGCTTTTAATGATGATTTGGTGAAATCCTTTGAGATTTTCAAGGTTTCTTTTCTTATTTAATTAGGAATCTTATTAAGGGTTTGTCCGAGTCTTTTAGAAATGGCCAAACTCTCTTTACTTTTATTTTGCAAGCTATGCTTTTCATAATTTAATTTTAGATTTTAAGCTAATAAATGTTCATTCATTTTCTTTCAGACGATCGATGAGTTTGATATGCTCCGTGATGGAGATAAAGTTCTTATTTGCATTTCTGGCAGCAGTTCATCGATCTGTTTGTTACATCTTCTTCGACAATTCACTCGAGTTCGTGGTCTTCATGTTGAATTTGGAGCAGTTACAATAGGTGAAAGTGTCGGACTTGATCCAAGAGCGCTTATGTTATATTTGAGGGATCTTGGAATTGATTTCATTTTTGAAGCATCAGATCCTGCAGTGTCACTAAAGACAAGATTATCAACGATTGCCCGAAGAAAAGGTTTCAACGTTGTCGCTTTAGGAAATACTTTAGATAAGTTAGCTGACGATGTGTTGAAGTTAATGTTGTATAAAGGAAAACTTTACTCAAATTCACCTTGCACTAGAAATTGGTAAATTCATTGCATAAGCAACCATTGAAACAATAAAATTATTTTAATTATCAACTTTCAGTGAAGGAGATCTCAAAGTCATCAAACCACTCATTTTTATTCGAGAAAGAATCCTAGAAGACTTTTCAATTCAAAAGAATCTTCCATCGCGACCTTCAAGGATCTTCTCACGAATGCCTGATGGAATTCATAGCATCCTTAAAGTTCAAGAAGTTATGAACCCAAATGTTTACGATAATATTAAAAATGCTGTTTATCCCCTGCTATTAAAAAACTTTAACTATAATTTTAACAAATAAAATTCTTCCCTTACTTCTTTTGTACTTTTAAAACGTGTTGAGATACGAATTTAGTGAAATTTTGAAAATAAATAAAAAAGAATTTAATTAATGAAAAATCTTAAAATTTATTTATTCGGTTAACAATTAAATTGTTTTGGTGGACAAGGATTACAGGGCTTTCCAAGTGGTAGACATGGAACTGGTGGACAACCAGGCTGATTAATAAAAGCAGATCCCGTAGGGGCACACATGTATTCTCGGGCTTCTGGAATTTGAATCGTTTGAGGCTTGGGTTGACAGACAATTGTTTGACAGATTTCTTTTGGTTCTACGATTACACGTGGTTGACAGACAACTTTTGGATCAGCTACGACCTTCTTGCAGTAAATTATTTTAGGTTCCGGGACAATGCGCTTCTTATAGACAATGCAAGGTTCGCAGATTACTTTTGGCTCATAAATAAGCTTTGGTTCGCATATTTCCTTAGTTTGTGGAACGACATGTTTGTCAATCACAGTTCGCTTTGTGTAAATTACTTTTTTCTGACAAACAACCTTTGGTGGCTGCTGAACTTTTACGAATCGAGGCCCACACTGCTGTGGAGGGCAAATCGATGGACATTGTGGCATTGAACAAAGATCTTGGGAAGTATAGCAACTTGGTCCACACTGAAAATAAATTTTTGAAGTTTTCTGAATGGTTACATAATGTCAACTCACGTCAGATTTATCACAAGGAATGCATGGGTTGCAGGGAATGCAAGGATCACACGGTCCACATGGAGGGCAACCTGGGGGACATCCTGGAGGGCATGGTCCACATGGAGGGCAGGGCCCACATGGAGGAAAGGGTCCACATGGCCCACACGGTGGTGGAGGGCACGGGCCACAACGTGGTGGAGGACAACAAGGATCTTTCACTATACAAGCCATTTTTGAAATAATTTTGAATTGAATTTGAGAAACTTTTCACTAAAAATTTATGCGACTGACCAAGATGAACAGAAAATTTAGAATGGTTAAAAATCTGAAGAAGATTCAAATCCAAGGATTTCTGTGATTGATTTTAAATTTGAACTTTGAGAACTAAAGAATGAAACTTTAAACCCCCTGAAAGTATAACAGTTTGATTTAAAATAAAAAATAAATAAATAAAATAAAAATGCTCAACAAATTTTAATTTTTCTTCAACATTTATTTAATATTTAATTTCATCTTACAGACGAATACGTCGTCTTTTGAGTTTAGGGTAATAATTCGGAGTATCATTGTTAAATGTTTTCTTAAATATATCGATAAAGCTTGATTGAATTGACTTTGGCGTTTTAAACTCGTAAATTGATGACTCTGGGATTTCCTTATTAAATACAAATACGCTTCTTTCTTGATCTGCTCCTTCTTCTTCCTTCTTAGAAAATTCCGCTTCTGGTGTCATCAAGACTGTGTCTTTAAGTGTTGAATTTTCAATTTTCTCCGCAAGCAAAGAAATGTCTTTCGGAACATTCCTAACAAAATGTTCCTTAATTAATGTTCTTCCATATTCAGATTTCAGCAATGGTGTTGACGTTGACACATTTCCATAATTTTCTAATAGCGGACTTCTCGAGATTCCTGATTCTGTTGCATTATTTTTATTATTCACTGTTGAATTCATTTTACTTTTAAGATCTTCAATCGTCAAAGGCTTTATTTAAACTGGAAAAAACCACAAAGAAAATTCTCTATAAATATGGAAAATATCAACTACATGCTAATGATTATCATAAATTACAAATACATTTATAAGATAAGAAATTACATGCATAATTACTAATTAAGCAGGTAAATATCAGCCTTTAATCTGTAACATCTGAAACTAACATTACATAATCTTTGTATGTGTACGTGTCAAATTTATATAAAATTTTGTCCTTAAATTGAAATTTAATGACTTTATTGAGTCCCTGAAATCAGTTAAATTACCGTTAAAAATTTTACGACTTCATCAATTTCTTCCTTTTTATTGTTTTAAAAACTAAGTTGATAAATTTTCTTATTACATGTGAGAAAATAAATGTAGGAATCGAAAGTACTTTTGATAACTTTGATTAAAAAAAGAAACATAAATCGTGAATAGGAAATATCTAATTAAACGATTTCGTATTTTTCTGGATACATCATCGTTTCGATGGAATACTTGAGTGGCGTGCTTTCATCGTCAACAAGCGTTATCTGCGATGGTTTTAAATCAGCGTAAAGTGTCTTCGAAGTAAATGACACATCAACAGGGAAGAAGTCGCCAGGAATGGATGAAGGAACAGAAAACTCCATGGCGCCTTCTTTATTGGTGGCATCAACAACTGGAAGATTCCAATGCAGTTGATGCTTTCTTGAGTCATGTTCGTAGTCGCCATCACATTCAGTGATTGATGGTGTGACTCCCATTGGCAAGGGAATTGTTATGGTTACATCTTGTAATTCAAGCTTTGTATTTTCTAACATGTATTCAATGTTTACATCGCATCCACCTTCACCATTTTCCGATGGCCAACAATTAACTGTTGAGAGAATGTTGAATTAAATTTTCGAATTATTCTAAAAAATAATCAACTCACTTGTTAAAGGAATTGCACTTTCATCTTGAGTCGTGTAACGCCATTTCAGTACACCAACATCAGTATTTAATGGGAATGGCTTGGTCGGATTCTTCAAACCAATTTGACTCTTATTTCGGAATAATTCTTTGTCGATGTTTGGATGAGTCTGAAGTTGAATTCCACGCTGATCATTGTTATCCAAAAATATTTTGATTCGGCCAAATTTATCGTCAGCAACGCGAAGTGTCAGTAAGCCTGATAGTTCAAATGTTTGCACGCCACCATCTCGACCAATTCTTGTTGTCAACTTGTCTTCGACTCTCAAATGAATGCTGAAAAATGGAAGAATTTAAAAAGGATTTTTATTAGAATGAAATGTTAGACTTACTCATCAGTTATGACGTCGGTTTTAGGACGTGATGGTGCAGACGACGATGTTGTCGTCGGAGTTAAGTTTGTAACTTTTTCTCCTTCACTCTTCAGTTGATCAACAAACGTATCAACATCACGAGATTTTCCACCTAATTTTAGTGCGTTTTTAGGAGCACTCGCTTTTGGAACAGTTGGAGTTGGTTTCGTAATTTCTCCAATGCCAATTAGTGGAGATGACGATGACATGTTTGAAGCTGACACTCCAAAACTATCACCACTACTTCCGAAGTTTCTTCCCATTGGTATTCCTTTCTTTTGAGATTCCATCCGTTGACGTTGAAGTTCTTTTGCTTTTTCTCTCATTTTTTGTTTCGCTTCTTTCTCTTGCGTTTCTCGAACGGCTTGGAAAACTTTTTCTTCATGAGAATCCATCTCAACAAAAGTTTTGATTTGAGCCAAATTTACACTTTCACGATAACCAAGAGCAACAATCTCATCGAAAGCAAAGATAAGATTAAAAGCATTGTCAACGATGTCTTTTTCGTCTAATGTTCGACAATATTCAGGAATCTAAACAATTAAAAACAAAAAGGATTAAAAACAAATTTGTGAAAAATAAAGAAATGATTTCCTTACAACTTTTGAAAATAACCGAAGTGTTTCAAGATCTTCTAAGATGTTACTTGCTTTTGTTGTTATCAATAACATGTAAAGTTTTTCCATTGGTTGGTAAACATATCGAACTGAATCAGTTTCAACGAATGTGTGTTGCTTTCCGGATGTCATAAGTTTTGGAAAAGCAGCAAGAAGTCCCTCGATTCTTGCTTTCGTCATCTCCACAAATTGTCGTGAGACAATAGCTATAAAAACATTTGATTATACATTGACAAACTTTAAATTTATTACAATTAAATTTACTTTTCCCCGATTTAGTGCAAACGGCAGCAGAAATTAAAACCTGAAATATTTTTCACCCGTTATTGAAGAGATTTAAAGAGTAAACACCTCATTTCCTTACCATTTTGACAAAACTTAATATTAACTTTTAAAATTTAACTTTAATTATTGATATAAAAGTCGATAAGATGTTATTTCGCAACTCAAATTATCAAAACTTCGATTTTGATGACGATGGACAATTTGTAAAGTTGGGGTAGAATGAAAACTTTTTCTGAATGAACTCTGAACAGCCGGAATGAGTGCGTACAAAAATTTTAAGGCATAGAAAAGTTGTAAATGTCCACAAACTCAACTTAGCTTGCTTTAAATTTTATAATTGAATTTCTCATGTAAACAAGTAAATAACATCTGAGAAGGTTACAATTTTAAACAAGAAATAGGGTGGTTGGCTAATTATCGACCACCTCGAAATCGCGTCCAATTATCGACCACTACTTTCGAACTTAATTTTCTCAGCTATTTTTTATTATTTACGGCTTGAAACTTTGTAGAGAGCTACTTTGGACTATGCTCTACCTCTCTACAGAGTTCTAAGCCATGAATAATAAAAAATAGCTAAGAAAATTAAGTTCGAAAGTAGTGGTCGATAATTGGACGCGATTTCGAGGTGGTCGATAATTAGCCAACTACCCTAATTTGTTTCTTAATTCGCAAATATTTGTTTTCTTAATAATTCAGATTATATTTTGAGGAGCCTCGGCGACAGAAATAAATATATGGGCTTGGTCGGCGTCACGTGAGCAACGGTCACAAATTCAAAGCGGAATATCATATGTTTGGCTTAAGCTTTTACTGAAACCACTTACACTTTTAAATAGGGCTTACCAAGTAGATAAAACATGCGCAAGTTGAAGAATATTACAACACAAAAACTGCGCGAATCAACATTAAANGCATAGTCCAAAGTAGCTTTCTACAAAGTTTTAAGCCATAAATAATAAAAAATAGCTGAGAAAATTAAGTTCGAAAGTAGTGGTCGATAATTGGACGCGATTTCGAGGTGATCGATAATTAGCCAACTACCCTATTATTTAAAAATATTTTCAATTAGATATTGAAAAAGCTACATAATACACAATTTTATATTCATTGCAATATAATCGTTTCATTGAGTGTCTGAGAGGTTTCGTCATAAGTTTGTTTTTAGTTCTTATTAAAAATTTTCTTTTTCGAAATCACTTTTATGTGATGTCTTTATTTATAAAAAATAGTGTAGTAAAATGAGTTTAATTCTGTTTTTCGTTGCTTTATTTTACTGCTTTTACACACCGTTTACGAAAGTTGAAGAAAGTTTCAATATTCAAGCATTTCATGACATTTTGTATCATCGATTGAATATTTCGCAAGTAAGTACTGCAATTTTTTATTGTTCTATGATATTCTTAAATGAAAACTTCATTTTCTCTAGTATGATCATCACGAATTTCCGGGAGTTGTTCCTCGTACATTTCTGGGTCCGTTGGTGATTTCTCTAACCGTGTCACCGCTTGTTGCTCTCCTCAACTTTTTAAATGTCAACAAATTTTGGTCGCAATATTTAGGTAAGTCTAAAAATACATCGAAAATATTTTCTTAAAAAGGATTTTTCTTTTTAAAGTTCGACTGACACTCGCTGCATTTGTTGCCATAACATGGAATCGCTTTCGATCAACACTACAGCAGAAACTAGGCATCGAAGTATCGATTTGGTTCACAGCCATCACAGTTACACAGTTCCACTTTATTTTCTACATGACCCGTCCATTGCCTAACATAATGGCTTTGCCATTAGTTCTTCTCGCTTTAAATTCGTGGCTTAGACGTGAAATGAGAAAATTTCTGATTTTTGCTGGAGCTGCCATCATTATTTTCAGAGCTGAACTGGTGATTCTTCTAGGACTTTTACTTATTTATGATCTCTTTCATCAACGCGTCACAATAAAAGAGCTATTAACAAATGGAATTCCAATTGGTCTTGGACTTGTTATCTTGACTGTGGCAGTTGACTCTTTCTTCTGGCAACGACTTTTATGGCCAGAAGCTGAAGTTTTATGGTTCAACACAATCTTGAATAAAAGCTCGTCATGGGGAACGTCACCATTTTTCTGGTACTTTTACTCAGCTCTCCCTCGAGCTTTAGGACTGTCACTGATCTTTGTGCCTTATGGATTGTACGCCGAAGCAAGAATTCGTGCAATTACAATTCCAGCTTTAGTATTTGTCTTCATCTACTCAATCTTACCACATAAAGAACTTCGTTTCATTGTTTATGTCTTCCCAATGTTAAACATTGCCAGTGCTTGTGCATGTCATCGATTGTGGATAAACAGACACAAGACAATATTTCATTCACTCTTATCGATTGCTGCTGGCGGACATTTGATAGGAAACTTTGTTTTGACAGTTTTCTTGTTAACTGTTTCCGGCACAAATTACCCAGGTGGTGTTGCAATGTCAAGATTACATAGATTAGCATCACCGGAAGCGAACGTTTCTATTCATATTGATAATCTAACTGCTCAAAGTGGTGTCACACGTTTTACTGAAATTAACTCAAATTGGACTTACAGCAAAAATGAACATTTGAAAGCTGGAGATGATGAACTTCATAAGTTTGACTATCTTCTGACCGAAGTTAAGAATAAATACTCACCGGAAATGCGAATCCTTCAACAAACACATGAGAAAATTGAACTTATTGAATGTTTCAGTAATATTGGCATTCATTACACTTCACTTTTGCCAATAAAAATTCGAACAAAACCTTGCATTATGATTTTGAGAAGAAAACCAAATGCGGCTTTATTGAAGAGATTTTTTGAAGTGGAAGATCCCGTCGAAGGTGTGATCGCAGACGAAGATAATGACTCAACAGATGAAAATGAATCTGAGATGGAAGAAGACGTGGAAGAAATCGCATTAAAACCGAAGATAAGAAAACGATTAAGAGTAACAACGACAACATTGACCCCTAAAATAAAAATTAAAGAGATTATTGCAGCTGAGAAGCTGGACACTGAAAGTGACGATGATGAAAATTTGAGTGAAGAAATAACCGAAAAAGATTTGTTGAGTGAAGAAGTGAAAGAAGAAAATTTGAGTGAAGAAATGAATGAAGAAGATTTAAGTGAAGAAGAGAATGAAGAGATTGAAACAGAAAATCTTGATCAAGTCCCAAGAGAACATGGAAGTGGAAGCATCAAAAGCAACATCAAACGAATCATCTCACAAGAAAAGACAAAACAGCTGATTGATGAATTAAAGCAACTTGATTTGAGTGTGTTTTGTGACTTGAGTAAAATGGATACCAAAGAATGTTTGAAAAAAATTCTTGATGAAACAAATGAATGAAATTTTGACATCTTTTAGTGATCAAATCACTTTGTTTGATGTTCTTGTGAATTTATTTAGTTAGATAATAAAAGAAAATCATTTGTCTCAATATTTCATAACCTTTTATTAACAACATAATTAAAATGATTCAAGAAGAATATTTCTAACTTTTAAATGAACTATAAATGAAGGACCAAAACCCATATTTTGCAAGCAAAAGAATGCCGACCACAGCAGTGATTTTAATGCGCTTCGATGTAACACGTTCCTGTTCACATTTTGAGCATTTTGTTGAAATTCTCCCATTGACGAATTGATGTGTTGGATGATGGTGAGAGGCGAGATGCGATAATTGTCAGAATGCCATTGTATGGTAGGACTTTATCTGCTGTACATTATTAAATGATGTGTCTGGGTTTAAAAGATTTTTTTCTGTGTTTATCGATTGTGCTGCTTTTCCTGGAGTTTCCTTAACATTTTCATTCGGTTCTTTCTTGATTGTTGGTAGGATTGAAAATCTGACATCTCCATTTTTAGCCCGCTTTTGAAGAATTCTACCTTCCACTGGAGCAACTCCATCTTCGATTGCTTTCGCTATTGTTTCTCCTTTTTGGAGTTCACTGGGATCGCCCGAAATGACGACTCTGACTTCGTGAAACTTTCCAATCCATTTGCAACACATTGCAATTTTCGAATGTAAATCATGTTCTGAAATTTTGGTTGCAATTGTGAGAAGTTTTTCAGATTTAATATGTATTTCATTTCTTTGTTGCTTCTTATCATTTCGTCTTTTTAATTCTTCAGAAAGATATTCTGCAGCAGTCATCAATCTTTAGAAGAAACAAAATAAAATGTCAAACAAAAAGCATAATATTTACAATTCTCACTTGTAAATTGGTCTGCTTGTTTTAGTGTCGTAATCTACAATTGATACAAGCTTGAGTTGTCTCCTGTCTGCAATTTTCTTTGCCTGATCTAATGTTACAATTTCAATATTATTTTCGCCTGAAATTAATGTAACTCTCGGAGATGTTTTGTGTTTTGGATTTTTCGAAAGTGGCACCTTTGCTGGAGGTTCAGTAGAGAAGAACGCCACTCTATTTATTGTGTTAAGCGGATTTGCTCGAATGACACATTTTTGAAAGGATGGTTTAATTAAATAACTTGCAAATTTATTCATTGTTTTTGTTTTTGCCCAGTTTCGTATGAAAAATTCACGGTCGAGTCCGGCAAAAAAAACCATACATATGAAGTACGTGACTACAAAACTATTTGACATCACTGATGTTTGTATTTCTCATTAGTCCCAAAAGTATACAATTTAGGTATTTGTATGAAAAAATATTTTACATTAAAACTCAAAAACATTAAATAAAACTTGATTTGTAAAACGTAAATAAACATTTTTTACAATCTTGACACAAAATACATATATTATGACAAATGCAAACCGATCGAAATGGGAATACGAGAGTGAAAGCGATTTAATTCAGGATTTTAAGAAAACATTTGCAAATCCGAGTAATCTTGACCCAGCAGCCGAACATCTTTTCGAATCTATGTTTCAAGAAGCTGTTGAAGGAGTGGCATTTCAAATGCATTTTGAGAGCAAACATCCAGTAAGATAAGAATATGATTTAATACAAACTTGACTTTAAATTTCTTTTTTTTTCTTCAATTTCAGGAAGTCTTTTCGACAACAAATCAAAGTTTTGATGATACAAAGAAGCACAGCTCATCATCACACAACGACTACGGTGCAAGCAGTAACAAATTCCTAAATTGCAAATGCTTGAATTGCGAAAAAACTGTTTCTGCAAATAAATTTGCATCACATTTAGAAAATTGCATGGGACTGGGAAGAAATTCTTCAAGAATAGCAAGTCGAAAGAAGACAACAAACAATTCATATTATGATCCAGATGATCCTTATGACAACGATGCTGAATCTAACGATGCTAACTGGACAGCTAAGGAGAAGACTAAGAAGAAGACAATCAAAAGCCAATCGAGTCAGAAGAAAAGCAAAACTTACATGTGAAACCGGTATTCTCTTCGGAGCGACCATTAGTTATCATTTTACTCATTTGTGATAACGATTCACAATCGTCTTATCCAATCTTAAAGTGAACAAATTATTCACGAAGTTCTCAATCAGTTTAAGATAAAACTAGAAAATTCTTTGTTTACGCTTTAGGGTTTGCAAGAACGAAACGATGAAAACTTTTTGAGATAAAAAGAAAATATTCCAATCTACGACCAGAAATAGGCATTTGTTCAAAATAATTTTAAATATATTTAAATATTTAATCATTAAGCTCATGTATAAATGAGTGCTTAATGAAAGTGTGAGATACGTTTTAGATCCTGAAAGAATAAATATTTAATATTAAGATATTATGTGAAAAAAGAAATAAACAAAGAAATTGACTAAAAATAGAATTAAAATCATACTCTGGGAGTTGTTCGACTTTTGATGTCTTAATTCATTTCAGCGTCTGTCAAATTATTTTCAGGCCACACAATTTCTTCAATCCAATCGATGTAAAATGAGACTCTCGTATAAATTGCTGGAATTTCCGCGCCACATTTTGGCCAAGCGTAGGAAGTTAAACCGACAATGTAGTAAACACATTTAATATTCCTCATAGATATTTGTATCGGACCTCCACTAAAAGTTAAGTAAAAGCATTGTGTTTGAAAGACATAACGAGACTTACCTATCACCTTGACATGTATCCTTATTTCTTACCCCTCCAGCACAAATCTTACTGTCATCAATCTCATCTGCATAAATATTGTCCCCAACTTCATTATAACAATCGTCATTCGAAACAGTCTGCAATTGCACTTTAAGAAGATAATCTGAAGTTTCACTGTGTGTTGAAGTTTTTCCCCAACCCGTCTTAATGAAAAATGCAAAGAAAAAACAAATTTTAATTTCTTACATGTTGATAAAAACTAATTAACTCACAGCAGTAACTTTTTTGGGAGTTCTATGATTAGAAAAGAGACATGCGGGTCGAACAAACTGTTTGTCTACTTTGACATTTTCTTGTAATTTAATCAAAGCGATATCATTTTCCATATTGAGTGAGCTGAAATTTTCATGTTTTATGAAACTTTGAATTTTGTATTCAGCAGCATTTGTTTCATTGCTCGATGCTGCAAGATTTCGAGCTCCTACTCTTACAACAGCTGGCCAGTTACCACTGATTAGAAAAGAAAATTTTGTAGTTATTTTAAAGTTTGTAGATTTTGTTACTAATCACTTGTCGTCAAATTCACAATGAGCTGCTGTTAAAACAAAGTTTTCACTTATCAGCGAACCTCCACAACGAAATGCAAGATTTCCATCATCAACTACCCAACCAATTGCTGCCATATGTGGAAACTCTTTCAATTTGGCTTTTTGACCACCAACAATAAGTCCCGAAGCGTCATTTGAGCATTTGAATGATTTTTTTCTTATAGCAGTTTGCTTTGCAATACCAAGACCTCCGTGTGTGCGAAATTTAGCAATAATATTTTTGTAGTCTTCACATTCTATTTAAACCACAATATATCATTTAAAAAACATTTGATTAACATGAAGATCAAGTTACTTCTTTCACTTATTCTCTTTGCAGCTTCAACAGCAAAACTCATTAGAATTATAGCAGCAAAGTAAAATGAAATCTTCATTTCGAATATGAATCAACTGAAAGCCACGAATGAACTAAAAAAACAAAATTTCAAGTGAGCAGAGTTTTTTATTTTTCATGCAAATCTTTGACCCTTCTGACAAGATTAATGTAGGAATTAAAGTTGTTTAAAAATAAACATTTCAATGATCTGAAACTAAAAATAGAAAATCTTATCTTATCTTCCGCTTAAAATGTTTTGAACTTCTTCGGGAGTGAATTTTAATAACTGTTCGGGATTTTCGTAATCATCGGAATGGATTTTATCGTAAAGTTGTTTGTAAATTGCTGCAATAACATTAAAAGCTCTCTTCTGCACGGTTGAGGCATGTTTAGTGCTTTGGAGAAGATTAACTTGTGGAAGAATCAACATTTCAGGGCATTCAATGAACGAATCAAGTTTATTCTGTTGAAAAATTAATTTGAGACAAAAAAAATAAATTAATTTCTTCTTTCTTACCATACAAAGTTTCAAGTGATGAACATCAAGTTTCTTATCTTGACTTTGTAAAATTGAATAAATTGGACCAAGATTCAAATGCGCAACGATGCTTGAAGCCTGTTCGCTTGTTAAAGTCTCAATTTGCGCATCGCACGATGCATTCAATCTTTCCATTCTTTCGTCGATGAACTCATAAACAGCTAAAGTTCCAATAACTTCATAAAGAACATTCAGAAAATAAACTGCCATGTCGATAGCTGGCAAATGCGAAGCCTGTTCTGTGATTGTCTCAAGCAAAGGATCAACAACACAACTAACAATTTTTTGTATGTCTTGTTGTCTTCCTTCAACCATATTTGCAACAGACAAAAGTTCTTTAAGCATTGTCAACAATTTACGAACCGAAGGTGGTGGTGCAAGATCAGTTTGTTGTTGATCATTTGGTTGATTTAAAATGTCGCGAACTTGTTTTGTCAAAGAATTAAGATGAAATGTTTCGGATGTTTTTTGAACGTAAGTTAAACATTCTTCTAGTTGTCCACCATTCACCATCGATGTTATAATGTTATGGTAGAAACGAATTAAATTTGCAATCGAATAAAAAACGATTGTGTCGTTGACAGTGTTGAGAACTGAGTCAACTCTTACTCTAAGCGTGTGACAAACACCATCGGAAATACTCGTCAAAGCAGTAGTTATGATATCAGTGACATCATTTTTGTCACAGGCTCGACACAAAATCATTAAACTTTCTCTCTCATTATGAATTGCTTGATGAAGCCAAGCAAATATGTCACCGACATATCTCTTTGGATCGGTTACATGCATTTCTATTGGCTTTGTGCCATTTCCACCTATAGTGAGAGCTTCGATAAATAAGTTTGCCAACATTGAACGTCGATTTGTGGCATATTCATCTAGAACATATTTAAACAGCACAGGACGATTTTGGAGTCTTTGCATTGCTTCAATGACTAAAGTTGTGAGTTCTGTTGTTGTATCAATGTTACGACAATGTGATTGAGTCCATCTGTATAACCTTTCAAGACCAGCTTCTTGATGAACTGTCATTTCCTCCATGATATCAACAGCAAGTGTCTCATATCCATTTTGCATAAGCAAACGACATTCGTTGTGAATTGTTTGCACATGATCGAGGACACGGAAAAATTCATTGCTGATTTGTTCATCTCTTGTTTTACCATAAAGAATCTGATGATCAGCAGTTGAAAGTTGGAAATGTGATAGGAACTTTACAGCAACTTCATGATGAATTGCTAGTTTTTGACGTTGAGATTGAAGGCCGTTGGTTTGGTTAATTATTTCATGAGTCTGTGATTGTGTTTTCTCGAGTGTGTCTTTCATTTTTTTCACAGAATCGGTCATACATTCCACTTCTCTGCACACACAATCAAGTTCTTTTTGCAGAAGAGTATAGTGTCAATTTTTATTTATATTTTTTTAAAACTTTGTCAACACTTACCTTCCTTGACAGCTCTAAAAGATGATAAAAATTCCTTGTTGATCTCGAGTGATCTCTTCTCGATACGTGATCTTAAGTTTCTTCGCGAGTCTAAGGTGTTTTCGCCAAAAAAAGTCGAGAGATCTTTCAATGAATCAATGAACTCCTATGTCAAGTATTGTAAATTAATTTGATGACGTTCACGGCAAAATTTAAATAATATAAAATTCTCACCTTATCGTTGTCATAACGTGATTCCAGGATTTTGTTGAGTTTTTCTTTAACATGATCGACATTTTCAGTTTCAGCAGATGTCATTCTTACATGTACTTACGTTGAAAACAAAAATTTTCTATTTTTCTATTTCTTCTGATGTTTTGTAAATATTCGAAAATTCGAAAACCTTAAATCATGTTAGCGAAATTCGAAAATAATTTTTCAAATTTTATAAAAACGTTAAAACTTGGAATAAGAATAAGAAATTTTTATTTTGACATATTTTTATCCTGATATGAGAATATAAAAGCTATATAAATATACATAAAATTTAAATTTATGACATTTCCTTCCATACAAAGCGAAAATCATCTATAAAATCTTTTTTTCGTTCACCGTAGTCATGGACGTTAATTGTTTCTCTTCGGAAAGAGTCTTATAAATTATTGATTGACTTGAGAAAGGTTCTGAGAAATTTAAAATTAAAAACATCAAATTAATTAGTTCAACATTCGGTTGTTGCAATTTGTACATATTTGCCATTTTTACCGGTAACATCAATTTCTTCCTGCACTTCTTTTACTTTAAAACTTGAAGGTCTTGAAGTCTCTTTGCTACCATCTGTGTTCTCATATTCCACTGTTTTAACAGTAATTCGAACCAATTGAAAATCGATCACAAAAATCACTCGAAATATCATCCAAATAAGTGATAGCAGCCAACACGTAAACGAAACGTAGTTGAACGTAGTAAGCATTTGATGATAAGTTCCTGGAGATAATTTCACATCAGACGGTGCTGACACAGCAAATCGATTAAGAGAAACTGAACAATGAATATCAGGAGTTTTTTCTCCCAAATTGTCGCAGAATTCATACATTCCACCTTCAACAATGACTAAATTTATAATACAAAGAACTGACATGACTAGAAAGAAGACGATAGACGGTGTAACGATTCTCCATGGTTGCGGAAGGAATGAATGTGGATCTGATTTCCCTCCTCTCCCACAAATGATAAACATAACTGTCATAATAATCCCAAAACAAGATTGAGCTATTGGCATGTAGATAGCAAACTCACAAGTTGCCTTTTCTTCCCATACTGTAAGTTGTTCATCGACTTTACCTGTGATTTGGAATAATTAAGTAATAAATCATTTTTTTCGATATAAAAAATTACAACAAACCTTCAACAAGCTTTGTTATTTGAGAAACTGGATAATGCTGATCATCTTTATCTAAATACATTGCATATGAATCATTAAAGAATTCATTTAGTTTGGCAGTAGATTTCGTAATTGAAACTGAAGTTTCACTTTCAGTTTGATTTTCAGCAACAGAATCAGAAAAAATTGAAGATTGATCTTCTTCAGGTAATGGATACATCAATCCAAGACGTGCTCCAAGTACACAGCGATCGTCATATGCAGAAGTAATTTTTTGAAGACAAATTGACACTCCAAATGAAGAAGTGATGGCGAGAACAAGAAGTAGAATTGAGACGGCTATGAAATAAAAAGCTTTTAAATTAATCTTGATTTGTCAACATTGCAATGTATTTGAGTCGTTATAAATTTAATTATCTTAATTCCAATCACGTATTCATGGAGAACACTCAGGTAATACAACTTACCTTTCCAATGAATATCGACATTTTTTGCATCGCGCTCTACAAGCTTGTGGTAAGTCATTAATACTGCCATACTTCAAGTTTGCAACTTTGTACGATTATTCAGAATATTTTTTGTTGTTTTTTCTGATTCACTTCAATAATTCAAGTGGATCAAGATGATGTTGATTGACAGATGAAATGTTTTTTTTTCTTTCGCTAAAATGTATGAAATCCTGTTTTCACATCTCAGGAGCAAGCAAGCATGCTGAAAATTTAATTTGTTATTTGACAGGTCTTTGAAATTTTAAAATGTCGGTTTGAGAATGAAAAGAAGAAAATTCGTTCAGTTCATATTTGTTTATTTAAATTATCGTAAATTTTCTCTTCTTTTTCTGTGAGTGAATAATGGCAGTAATAATTAGCAGTGATAATCCTAAAAACTTTTCATTCAACAAAATTCTGTTGACAAACTGTTTTGTATCTTTCATTCTCATGTGGCTAATTTTTCATTTAAAAGTCCACCACGAGTTTCGAGTTATCTCTGATATTATACGTAGTAAAACTTTAACAATGTGCTTTATGAGTCGAATCGAAAATTTATTAAATTTTGAGATCATCACGAGTGGGTTTGGCGCTTCATTGTGATGTCATTAGAGAATGTTTACATTTTTTTAACGACCTTGAAGATGCGTTGGGTTGGAGTAGAAGAGAAATATTTTGGAACCAGTTTGCTGATAAAAGCCCGGAGTTGTGATAAGTCAATCGTTGCTTTTATTTACAATGAGAATTTTTCTTAAATATTTGTTTGAACTTTGCTGATGGTCACGCATATGGCGTACCGTGTACGAGATATAAACAAACATTGATCTGTTGATGATACACAACCATCATGAAGTTTAAAAATAAATTTTAATTATCTCACATTTTCCATGAGTTTCAGTTTTCGCTTTTTGAATCTTCTTTTTGTATGCAAATTCAAATTCTCGTCTTGACAATGATAATAAATAAAATCAAACATGAACTGAGTTCTGTTTCAATGGTTTGAGTCAGGGTTAATAATGCTTCATTCATTCGTAAATTGTTTTATGAAGTTGAGAAATGTTGGAATGAGACAAACAGAAATGATGTAGAAACAAATTTATATTCACGTTTCATGATGTCATCCATACATTGGATCATATTTTGCCGCGCAAATCTTTACGAAGCATTCTCAATGCCTTTGATCAGCGATTAAAATATTTTTCGCTTTTAAAGTGAGAAGTTTAACGCTATTTTATTACTTTCATAATGGGTTACACCTTGCAACATCGCTACCGAATAGCCAATAAACGTCGAAATTAATTTCCATAATTTATTCATTTTTGACAGTGAATAAAACGAAAGTTTCTTATCAGAATAAGTGAAGTTATTGAGTCACTGACGACGACTAAAATACTAGACTGTGTGAAGCCTTAGACCACATTATTTAGAAAGTGAATAAATTTGTTTCATTCGCGAGGTTTTCCAGTCACTGAACATTGTTTATATTGATTAACTTTACTATTTCGGTATATGCATAATGCATCTATAATTAATGTAATAAATTATTAAATGTCTACGTCGTTATGAACATGAAATCAAATTGCTTTGATGTAATGAAGAATCTAATCAAATAATCAATAAAAATTATTGAAGTTTTACGACTTTTATTAGTTATTTTTATGAAGCATGTCTTTAATTGAACTGAGTGGAATAATTTCTTTCCATAAAATTTTTATGCACCTTTTGATTAAAGTTTTTCGATTTTTTTCAGCACTTATCGCTTCAGATTTCTCATAAATATTGATTTGGTTCACCGGAACAATCCATTGAATTAACACCAATCAATTACGCGTTTAAATAAACAAATATTCTGTTCTTTAAGAAAGAAGACAAATAAATGAATTTATTCATGGGCAATCCAAAACTTGACTGCCTCTAACAGTGACTTGATTACAACTGAGAGCTTAAATAGAGAGAAAAAAGAAAATTCATAGAGAGTAGTTACGATGATCGCGAGACTTTGCTTTGACTCGTTGAGAATCATTTTCCATGTGTTCGTGCTTGTCACAGAATATCTACTGATGAAAGAAGTGCGTTATGAGTCGATGACTGAATTGCTTGTTGACTCTTGTTCGTCTCTTCTTTAAGGTTTTGCATAAATTTTTATACTCATTCTTAAAATATTTTTATTCATTTCTATTTTTAGGCTTTCTTCGATTTTTCCTGCTGTTTTCTGTTTTTTGTTTGATGTATGGCAATGATATCGATATCTCGCCTTAATTTTCTTTTTAATGTTTTTCCACTCGTTATAGGAACCTCGTTAGAAACAACAAAGGCAAAAGAAAAATTTTCTATTGTGTCTGAAAAAGAAAAATATTTTAATTAAGCGTTGAAACATTTGCTTGTGAAAATTCACGGCTCAATTAGATTAATTAAACGATTCAACTGTTTGATGTGAATCTGAAATGTTTCCAATTACAGTTTATTAATGAACTCGAATTTCCAATGGAAACATTTTCAGAAAGATAATTTTGTGAAAATTAATTTCAGTTTAAGCTTATGACGATCACTTCATGTTTTGCATAGATAATATTTCGAGTAATAAATATTTACATTTAAACTTTCAATTTATTAGATTAGCTTTTGAAGAAATAAGAATTGCAATAGATTAATGAAAACCAAGCGGAGAATTTCATTTAACAATTTGTTTTCCTCGATTTAATAAAATTTTATTCACTTCTCAAATTCTCAATATCTATGCGAAATGACCTGAAAAGAAATGATGAAAATATTTATTAAGAAATAAAACAGCACACCCTCAAGTGGATTATGTTTACAAAGCATAATAAAAAGCGATAAAAGCTAAGGCATTCAAATAAAAGCGGAAACGAAGGGAAATCAGTTCTTTTTTCGATCGAAGTTGAGTATCGAATTCAACTCATTTCCTTATAAATTCATGTCAGAAATTAAGTAGGTATATTTACCAAATCAATAATGTCAAATGTGTTAAGTGAGAGAAGTTCAAGAAGGTTTTTCAGTTTGAATTATCGATTAATTTCATATCAAAATCCCTGAAGTATCTCACCAATGGGACATATTCAAAGGAGAAATTTAGGATTTCGATACCAAAAAAAGCTGAACTCAACTGGCCTTATTACCACTCTGTCACTTCATGGGAATGATTTATCGTCAAATGAACAATAGAGGGTTGGTTTCACTGCTTAAAAGCTTCAATATAATCAAAATCAACAAGCAAAAACTTCAATTTCATAGTCAAACAAATTACAACCTGATAAGCGACTAAAAACTCCAATTTTTGTTTCTCGTTTTGCGTTAACTTTTCTTATCATTTTTTTATTTAATTTTTTTTTGCTTGTTTCCTTTTATGAACGTAAGTAAATAAATTAAACAGTTCAAAGAATAATAATGAAATTCTTATCTTAATACTGGTGATTAATAAATAATAAAGAATGGAAACAAATTGTAAAATGCAATTGCTAATTACTAATCGTTAAATAAATTGTTTCTTAAGTAAATCATTTTTCATATCTTTTGATTTAATGGACGTTTCTCCTGATTTATGTTCTTTGTTAACTGTTAAGATTTCATAATAATAAAAGAGATAATAGTTATAATAATATATAATAATAATAAAAATATTATAAAGTTTGTTAAATTAATAATCTGTGACTTAAGTTCAAACATCGATATTTAATTCATTTGAACTAACACAAACTTAATCTTATTAATTGCAAAGTGCAAAATCTAATTTTTCTTTTTTGCTTCCTTCAATTGACAGTGTTCTTTCATTTTTCAATAAAGTACGTTTAATAAAAAGTTTTTTTTTCTTAATTTGAATGTAAATTTTTCAACTTTTTGATAATTTTCAAATAAAAAGTAAGCGAAGAAAATTAAAGGCAATCAAAAGATTCAAGCGAAAAAAGGAATCAAAAGCTTTTCACAAGCTAAAACGTAACTTTTTCAAAAGCGTGCAAGTGAAAATCGAAATAAATTATCAGATGAAGGACTTTCCAATTATGCAATTCGAGGATTTTCCAATAATTGTTTCATTCAAGGCTTTGAATGCACGCAGGGGAAGTAATACTTAACGTAATCTCCTTTATACGTCACTTAAACGTGATGACGTTTATAACGTACGAAAGGCAGATTTTTTGTAAAGAAAATTAAAATTGTTGATCAACAATCATGAAAATATGAAAAGTCCAACATCAAAAAGCTCTTTTTAAAAGCTCAAACAAATAAAGACTGAGGTATCAATGAAAGTACTTGATATGGAACCAGAAATCTCAGAAATAATCACTTTAAGAATTCCTTCATTTGAACCGTCGACCCGGCATGGTGGGCGAGTGTTGATCAGGTATCGTACTGCTTGATGATGATTTCTTGGGTAAATTGTGACAGAAAGGCAATTTTCTCAACACACTCGGTGAGTCAGAGAGATCAGATTGCTGACGTTGTGTAATGTGATGGTGAAACCAGTCTTTTTATCATAAGGGAAATGCAATGATATGCAATTCGTTTGTCCATCCATTTAAAGTATTTTTAGGGACAGACAGAAGTGTAAAAAGGAAAAAAAGAACAAAAGAGAGAAAAAAGAAAAGTTTGTTTGTTTTTTACAGGACGAAGTTGAATTATTTTCGTGAGCTTGCATTACTGGAGTTTGTATTCTTCACAGAACTTCTGTGATGTTGTTGTGGATGTTGATCAATCAAAGCTGCTGCTGTGATGCTTGTTGTTGTGATTGATGATGGAACTGTTGCAATACTTTGTATACTTGATATAGGACAGTAGATTTTTGAAATGAATTCTTCAAAAGTTTTGCTCTCTTTATGTCTTGATGCCACAGTTTCAAGTGATCGATTACGCTCTTCATAACTAATGGAAGTTTAAGGCATTAGAAAATCATAAATATAAAGCAAACATTTAAACTTACTATTGCTGATAAAATGGCATTGCAAAACGCTTTGCTCGACTTGCATTTATTGCTGATGCTCTCACCAAATTTGCTAAATTTGTTCCGCTTACAACAATCTCATCTGATATCGGACCAAACCAAGGCACATCTGCTTTTCTATTAACTCTGACACGAAATAATCCACTTTTAAGTGGATAAATAACAATCAATACATCACAAAACTCTGTTGGAAGAATATCACGACGATAATCTCGACTGTGTTCACTCCACACAATATGAACTTCGTCATTCCCCAAGTGTCGCGTTTTATTTAAGATAGCTTCGTGTGTATCAGATGGAATGCGTGTTGAAACATGAAAAATTACTTCAAGGAATGGTGTTGCATAATATGGTGCTGTTTGTCCACAACCTTGTCGTGGTAATCCACCAAGAAAACCATGATGTGTCTCCAATTCCACTTCCCACCCTAAAGCCGACACAAACATTTCATAAGTACTGCTTCCCGATGAATTTCTGTGAAAATTGAAAAAACATTTTAAATTTCTCTTATACATTTTCACAACATTATTAAACTCACCTCAAAATGCTATTTTTATCTTCTTGTCCATTTGCAACATATATCACAGCCATTTTATGCGTCTCGCGACACTTTTGTGCGTCTAAGTTGCGTAATTCACGAAGCAATTTATCGGTGCGATTCAAAAGGTTCGTTCGCTTTCTTCGTTCCCATCCAGCTAAACCAATTTGACTGAACAATAAACGTCCAAAGTGGAAGATTGGCGGATCACTTTTTGAAATGCTTGTTTCGTTTCGATTCTCACTTTTGTTACTGTTATTTGATCGTATTGTAATATCATCGCCAAACGATGCAAACTCAATACTTGAGTTATTATAATCCGATGTGCTGCTTAAATCAAACGATTGTGTCGATTTTCTTGTAGTGAAATCTGATTCCATTGCTCTTTGATTTAAAAGTATTGCGATTGTTTGTGCTTCAAGATTTGAACCAAGTGGTGATGGCCCAGCATTATTCAATGAATTAACATTTCCATCTAAACATTCCGGACTGCTATAGCCAATATATTGAAGTAAATCATCAAGTTGATCAAGATCCGGAGACATATCCTTAGCAAGTGGAAGTTGGTGTGGTTGACGATGTCTCAAAGTGTGTCGAGGTGGTTGCGTCATATTAATTCCAATTGTTGATATCATTGGATCTAAAGAGACGCCACTAAATTGAGTTTTCCCTCCATAGCTTTGGAATCTTTGGAATGATTTAGCTTTCGCTGCACAATCAAATTCAATTTCTTCACCAAACAATTCAGTTTCAGCTTGAATTTTCGGCTCACAATAAATGATTGACGCATCCCAACATGATTTTCCATTCAAATCTCTTAAAAGCAATCGAACTTGTCGATTTGCTGTTATTAAACCTCCAGCTAATCCACATGGAAGTTTTAATGTTGGAAGTTCAATAAATGTTGCAACCAACTCTGAACTAAGCATTAACAATTGAAGATTCGCTGCTGGAATTACTTGAGAGGCATACATATCGACACTTGCTTCTTTCATGCTGCTGTCTCTTTGTCCACAACCAGTCAATTGTAAGTCATCATGTTCATCAACCATTGAACTTAAACGTGCAGCACCAATTCCAAGTGGAAAATGAGAAATGTTCGTTACAAGATGCATTGCAACTGTTTTTGCACACAATTGGATTGAACTTTGACATTGTTGAATTGTTTCCTGTGTTTGATAACTCGCTTCAGTTGTCATTTGTTCTCTCACATCATCAATCGAAATTGTCATCTCAAAATCATCATCAATAGTATAAATTCTGATCCTATCATTGTAATTTCCTGTTGAAATTCGATGAAGAACTTTAAACACTAACAACATGATTGACATTTCATTATCTTCAAGTGTTGGTTGAATTAATATTCTCACAGGTAGAGCCATGCAAAGTTCGCCAAGGCACAAAAGCAATGAAGTTAAAACATTTTTATCGCTGTCTTTAGGATTTGGAATGTTTTGAATCTCAAGAGAATAACACAAAGCTTCAACAATCATTCCTGGAAGTTTATCAATCTTTGCAAGTTCCGATCCCTTCTCAGTACAAAGGCGAAGCGTTTCACATGCAATTCGTGCAATCACTCGATGTTTAAATTGAAGTGCTTGTAATAACACTTGGAATGCTTCAGTGATCCTTGGATTTGGTTGATTTGATTGCTTTTTCCCTGTCTTCATTCCTGAATCATCACCTGGTCTTGGATTTGTTAAATTTTGAAGAATCCATTGACCAAGTGATGAAATTGCAATTGATCGTGCTTTTGCTGTTGGTTCTCGTCGTGCACATCTTAAGACAATGTTTAAAACATGTTCTTGTAGATCAGGACATTCCATTAAATCAATGTTAGGTTCAGCTGGTTGCAAGACTGGTCCAGGTAAAGACGTCTTTGGAAAGCATAAAAGTGATCCCAGCAAACCAGCAGCTTCAGCTCGAGGTCCTTTAACATCCATTGATGTCAACATTACAGTGCAAGCATGAATCAAATCAAGAAATAACATTGAATGTCCAGGCATAAGTAAGCTTAGGAATCTCGGTCCACCAAGATATTTGAGCGCTGTTGCTGCCATTTGTCGATTCTCTCCTGTCAAAGCTTGATGAAGTGCGTGGTAAAATAAAGGAAGTTGATCGCCACTTAAACAAGAATTTCTTGCAATCATACAAAGCAATTGCATCGCATAAACTTTCCCAAGACTGAATTGTGCATCTAATGTTAATGCACCGAAACACCATGGCAAGACAATGCCAATTGGTGGTACAAGTGCTGGTGGTGATGGTGTGCTTTGATTATCATTGGATATCCCTTGATTCATACGAATTTTTATCAAACTTTCAGTGATATTCACTAAATACCGAAAAACTTCAGCATGAAGTTTTGGATTTAAAATTTTATTAACATCACCAAGTGCGCCAAGCATTCGTCGCCACATAACGGCAGCAACGTCAGGAAGCCAACCTTTTGCTGTTCCACCAGCAAGTATCGACTTTCGATCTAAATTCTCATCATGAGTTTCAATTGAACTCGAATCCCCGCCAGCTAAAACATCCATTTGAAGTGGCGAATCTTTAATAGAATTTCCATCAATGCCACTTGAAGCTGTTGGTGATGGTGATCGCGATTCACGATAACTTTCATTATCATCATTCTTCTGACGAATTGAATCAAGTGACAAAGCACGTCTCGCATTATTCATTGGCTCACAATTTGTTGATATTTTTGATATATTTAATGTCTCCATACTAATACTTAATTGCGTTGAAATTGTCGATGTCATTCTCGTTAAAGTATGTTCAACATTTGCTGGAAGTTCTTGCACTTGATGATGAGCTTTAAATCGTCGTTTCCCTCTCGATTTACGATATGGTGTCGATAGACTTCCTTCGCTATAACTTCGATTGAGAAGTGGCGTTCCCGGTATGTTTCGGCTTTGATTGTGATGATGATGATGGTGGTGATGATGATGATTCGCTCTTGATTGATCATTCGACTTGTTCAGTGCATTTGTCGTTGGCGTTGTTTGTTGATTATCAATATTGTTGTTATTTTGTGTGTTATTGTTGATATTATTGTTGTTATTATTCTGCCAAACATTTACTGACGATGGAACGCCCACACGACGTCGTTTACCTTTTTGTTCTGCTAGTCTATCGAGCGGTAAATCTTGAAGATTTAAATTGTAAACTTGTCGTGCAAGCACGCGTGTCAATGTTTGCATAGTCTTATCCCACTCAACAATTAATTCTTCACGATGTGTTAAAGATGATAAAACTTTTAAAAACTTCTCCCACATTTGTGGATGAACAACAACATTTGTATGTGCACGAATCCATGTTACAATTAATGTTTGAAATATTGGCTGTGCCAAACGTCCACCGAGATTGTTTCGTTTCGCATTTGGTGGTGCTTGTGCAAGAATAACTGACGTTATTTGAAGTAGCACCATCAATAATTGCTCCCACGTTCGACTCTCCATTCGTGTTTTCATCACCATCGTTCGATAAATATTTAAAACTCTTTTGCATATCTCAGTCTGTTCGTCAAGTGGTGTTGTCATTTCATCTTTAACTTTCGAAGGTAAATGAATGTTTAAATGCGATGTTGTCACCATAAAGACATGAAGTGCATTTGTCACAAAAATTTGCAGCATATTTTGCATTCCCGCTCGTATCGAAAGATTTTCTTTTGTAATTGCACCGATATATGAATCAGCACGAAGTCTTTGTGGTCGAACAGGTGCTGATGTTGTTGTTGTCGAATCCAATGACGATCCAGTACTTGAACAATTATCATCTGGTTCAAGAAGAAATGGTGGCGGCATTGATGTACTCATCCAATCACGATACATTCCAATTGCGATCTTCATCGCATCAATCTGACTTTTCGATGTAAAATTAAGAAGAAATGCTTGTCGATACACTTCATGAAGAAAATTAACAGTATCACGTGATGAATAAAGAACTTCACGTACAATTTGTCCTTGCGTGTAACCACCGATATGTTTATTTGACACTAAACTTGCTTGCTCTGATGGAACATCGTCAAACGTTATTTGTTGTTCAGTTTTATTCATTGAATGTCGTTCGCTTGTGTATTTAGCGACCCAATTTATTAACACAACGACACATGAGCTCATAACTTCTTCACGCTTTGTTATCGTTCTCATCACCGGTAAATCCAACTTGGGATCAAATATAGATGTTGAATTGTCAAAGTTTGGACAGAAGGCTGGCAAATAAACTTCACGGAAACGTTGAAGTAGGAAATGAAAGCCACGTAAGTGACGTTGGATGTTGTTGTCACTCCATTTAAGACAACCTGTTGACTGCACCATACATTCAAGAAGAATTTCAAGGCCATCGCGTGGTTCGGGAGCGATTGTTCGTTCATTAGAAGCTGGAAGGATAAGTGGTGTGATGTCCAGCGCTTTCTGTGCTTGATCGTGAAACACTGATTGTCCCATATCACCGCCAATACGAAAATTTGGATGATTTGATAAGTCATGAAAATCTCGTGTGGAAAATTCACGTGTTGGTGATGATTGCGGACCTTGCTTTCCTTTCTGTGGAATTGTTAAGCCCGGAACTAAATCATGAAACATCGCATTAGCTTCTTCTGGTGCTCCATGCTCTGAATCACCTAAAGCTTGATACCAAATGAGAAAATATCGAACGCCTTCACGTCTCAACTTGTTACTGTTTCCATGATGTAGAAGTTTCATAAGTATTCGACTTGTTGAATGACATTGCCATCGTTTTGCAATCAACTCAGGTAGCAAATAAATGACTTTACCCAAAAGCCATATGGATCCATCTAACTCTTCTCGATGGGCTTTGTGTACTTAAGGGAAAAGGGGAGAACAAAAAATCAATTTTTAGATATATAAATGTTTAATGTCATGAAAGTCGTAACAGAAAAAATGAAGAGGAATGAATGGGAGAACAGAAAAATAAAAACCATCACAGTTACGTTAATGCACTCAAAAAAAATAAGGAAAAACACCTAGGCAAACTTTCACAAATGTTCCAACTTACCAAGATGGAATGATAACTCTTTAATGAGTTATAAATTCCAAAAGAAGCAGAAAAGATTAAATTTTAGAATGAATTAAATAAGTAATTTGTTAATTATTAAATAAAGGAAAATCAATATTTTATTATTGTTTTGCTTACCTCTTTGCTTCAAGTTAGCTTCGGCTTGTGTAAATGTTTCATGTAGTATGTAGAAGATGTGACTGTAATTAGCTTCAAAAAATGTTTTCGCCTCATCGCTATCCACATGCTCTGCGAAAATTATTTGTAATAGAGAGAAAACATGAATGAGGAACCAGAAAAAATTAATATGATGAATAAAGAAATATTCCACTTCGGGTGTAAACAGAAAAGAAAAAAAATTGATGTAAATCGCGTAACTGTTTATTTTGCTTTGATCTCATGATTGTGTGAGTATTCCAGATTGGATTTAAACGGAAGTGATGTTTTTTGGGGTGTTAATTAAAATATAGTGAACATTGCTTCTCTATTTTAGCTTTACTGTTGTAGAATTCTTTTCTATTACAAGAGAAATTAAAAAAATAGAAGAAGCTTTCGCTACATGACTTTTGAATGTCCCCAAATATATGCAATATTTAATTTAACTCGAAATCTTTCTTAAAAACCAAAGTTGTTTTATCATTTTCTGTATGGAAATGATAACATATTGCTGATAACTTACCTAGTATAGTTTTTAAATGCTTTAATCTTGCAAAAACTTCTTTTTTGGAATCTTGAACTTTCAGAGACGATTTTTTGATTATATCGGCTGTTTGCTGCTTTTTGGTAAACATTTTTATTATTTAACTAAATTTAAACACTACACCTTTGCATTAAACTATGTTTCACATGTTTAAATATTACAAAAAAGCAAATTATTCTAAAAAATCTGAACGAGCGATGTTGTTGAATTATTTTCTAATACTCTTCTTCTTATTCTTTTTGTGTGAGTTCGATTTTTTTTTTCGAAATTAGATTTTCGAACATAAACAAATCAAAACATTCGAGAAAGGCAGCGAAAATTAGTTTATTGTTTCTTTAACAACGATTATAGGGAGTTTAGAGTTGAAACTTTACAAACGTACTGAGAATATATTTGTAGCGTGCAAGAGATTGTTTGAGAAGCCATAAAAATTCTTTAAATAGTAAGAACTACTTTTTTACGTTGAGTAGGTGCACTTGGCTTTGGAAGGGAAAAACATTTTTTTCTTTCACGAACATCACATACTACTTAGGCATACTAGTCATAGTTGCACTTAATATAATTTACATGGTAATATGCTCAAAAAGTTATCACTAACATTAGCCTTCATCGGATCATTGTATTTTGTTCGGTAATTGTTGTGTGCGTTTTAAAATTTCTTATGAAATTTAATTTCAAGTCTTCTTTTTCTATCTTCTTATTTTGCAGCTGGTTTTATCTTGGTCGAAAATACGTCTACTCTAAGAAAAGTCTCAGACATAAGCGTATACTTTATATTGGCCCTACATCGTCCCTTGGAGTAGAATTAATCAAAGAAATTTGTTCTCGAGAAGCTGAATTGAGTGTTGCGACTTCAGAACCAGAAATCGCTTCAGAAATCTATAAGAACTCATTTTTCGAATCAAACGTCCAAGTTGAATTGATTGATTTCTCAAGGCTGCAAAGTGTTGGAGAATTTTGTAATCGATTGATAAGAAAAAGTGAACCCATAGATATTTTAATCAACGGCATAGAATTAATCGATCATCCACCTGAACTCACAGAAGACAGAATAGAGATTGGCTTTCAAACAAATTACTTGACACACTTTTTGGTGACTGTGAAACTTTTGCCACTTTTGAAAAGAGCTCGTGACGCGAGAATCATTAACATTACTTGTGCTTCTCATCGAACAGTTGAACGTACGCCTAAAAAGGAATTTCATCAACTCTACAAAGATACAGCGGAAAATCGAAAACTTGCATTCGCTTATAGCAAATTCTGTCTCACGTCATTTGGTTGGAAGTTATCAGAAATTCTTCGCTCACCAAACGTATCAGTTCATTGTGTTGATCCAGGAAACTTCTCGAAAAATCCTTTGAAGCATTTGATTGCGAAAACACCTAACGAAGCAATTCAAGGAGTCTTGTATGCTATTTTAAGTGACCGAAAGCCGGGATTCTATATTGAAGGAATTGAGGACACACATAAATATAATCCATTAGTTTGTAATCACCTCTTGGCTGATATATTATGGACAATCAGCAGGAAATTGTGCGAAAGAAGTATGATGTCAACAAGCATTTAATTGATAAAATTTGGAGTGATAACACAAAAGGATTGCGCAAAGAAGTAATCAACTTTCGCTTCTGTTCAGTTGTTAAGCCGAGTGAATTTTCAAAATGCTTGATCGACATATTTGAGATCAACAATTTAAATGTTGCAAAACATCAAACAAATTATTTATTGAATGAAAATATTGGAAAAGAATTTTGGGTGGAAATTGGCCATGGAGTGACACCAATTGATTGCTATTTGGAGGAATTCCTCAAAAAAATGTTCATGAATGAGACAAGCAAATGTTTTATTGACACGAAATCATCTGGAACGATTCAGTTTACTATGCGGTTGAAACGAATCGAGTTTGGTGGATATTTTTATGAGAAGTCAGCAATGGAAATGCTTATGCAAGCGAAAGTTTATAAAGATAATGGTGTTAAAATGTTTAAATTATATCCTCCTTTTGCTCATAATTATTTTAATTTAGCTGCAAAATGTTTACTAGCCTTTAATCCCTTGGATGATCAAGATGGAACTATTGATGGCGATGTCAAGAGAAGTGAATTTCAAGAACTTCTGCAGACTATTTATCTCAATATTGGAGCTTGCTTACTTAAACAGCAACGATATGATGATGTCCTACATGTATTGAATTATGTTACAACACAAGATAATCCTTCAGAAAAAGCAGTTTATCGTCTGGCTCTTGCCTATTTCAATTTGAAACAGTTCGAAAATGCTAAAGTCATTATAGAGAAGATCGATTACAAAAATAACAAAGATTTAGTTCAATTAATGACAAAAATCTGTGAATTTTGGAAAGTTGATCATGATAAGTATTCGAATATGGTAAAAAAGATGTTTTCGTAATAAAATAAAATTTTGTTTAAAAATTAACGGTTCTTATTTTTCTGATATTTAAATCTTCGATATTAATATTTGGCGCCAAAACAATTCGAAATTGTGAATTTCTTAGCGAGTGTTGATTTGTTTACTTTTATTTTTTGTTTTATATTAGCTGTTTTAACTATTTTTTTCAAATAAAATGGATTCAAATTCAAACACTCCCGTAATAGGAAGACAGAGTTTACGTCTTAGAAAATCTGTAGTTTATGCTGAATCTCCTGAAGATTCGTCGCTAATTAAAAACTCAGAAATTATATCACAATCGAATAGAGGTGAAAACAAAACACCCAAGAAAGGAGTTTCAAGAAAAACAATAAATGAGACTCCTAATAACATGGAAAATGTCACCACCAGGAGACCAAGAAGTACCAGAAAATCAGTTTACACTGAAGAAGATAACGAATCATACACTCCAAAAAAGCCAAATCGAAACAGAACACCAAGTTCTAAAGCACTTGAATCTATTGCCTCAGAAAGTTCACCAACTATGAAAAAGATAGAAGCACCTCGAAGATCGATGAGAAAAAAATTGTCTTTAGCTGTTATTGATGATGAAAATCCTGATAATCGCCGCAAGAAATTAAAAGAAAATGAATGTATCGTTATCGGTGATGAAAGTTTTGATGATCACCAAGAAAAAGTGAAGGAAAAGGAGTATGATGTTATTGATGATGATTCCATTGAATCATTTAAATCGAGTAATGAAATCAAGAATCCGATGAAGACAAACAATCTTTTTGAAGACGAAGATATTGAAGGTCAGAAAATTTACTCGTTCAAAACCCCAAAGAAAAGAGATTCAATGATGATGCTTGCACAATGCACTCCAAAAACCCCACGTCATAATGATCCAAATAAAACGACTCCTAAAACTCCCAAAAATAATCGACTTTCAGAGATTCAGAAGACACCAACTTCTCGTCCATCAGCATCAAAATTGACAAAAACACCAAGACATGTTCGTGATGAAATTAAGAAAAGTAAATTTTTCATATTTAAATATTTTAGCTCAATTTTATTTAATTTTTTTTATATAGAATTGAACAAAGCGAGATTATTAGAACTTGAGTCTGGTGACGATTTTTCTGCAAGTGAAAGTGATTACGAACCTGAAGGGTCATCATCATCAGGAAATGATTCACATGATGACGAACATCTTACAGACACTGAGGCCAAGGCAGAAAAGTCTCAAACAGCAGTTTCAAAAATTCTCAAGACACCATCAGCGATTACTTCAATGAGAAGAAGTGCTAGAAATAAAGGAGACATTCATTATGTTTTGAAATCTGATGATTACTTTTCTTCAGCAACTTCAAAAACCAAAACATCTGATCATACATTGGATCGATTAAAAAATTCTCGTATTCCTCATGATCAACTGGTGAAATTATTGAGTAACATGACTCTTAGCCAGGAACATGAGCAATCAGTTAAAGATCTTCATAATGAACATAAGAGCTATTTCAGTAAATGGTTGACTCTTTTCGACGAAGGTTTCACCGTCATATTGCATGGTCTGGGATCAAAAAGAAACTTATTGCAATCTTTTCATAAAGAGAAATTGGCTAACGAACATGTTGTTGTAATCAATGGTTTCTTTCCAAGTCTAACTATAAAAGATATTCTTGATGCAATATGGGTTGATATTCTGGAGAATTCTGGTGGAAGTGGTGGAAGTTCACATGATATTGTTTATCAAATTGAAGAACAGATGGAGAGTATACCAGCGCTAAACATTTTTGTTATCGTCCATAATATTGATGGAAGTATGTTGAGAAATGATAAAGCACAAAGTGTGTTAAGTCGATTAGCCAGCATAAGAAATATTCACATGATTGTTTCGATTGATCATATTAATGCTCCATTGCGTAAGTTCTTTTTTTTAATTTTTTTTTCTTATTATTTTCATTTTTTTCTCCATTATTCAGTATGGAACAATACAAAATTAGGCAATTATAACTTTGTCTGGTTTGATGTTACGTCTTTTCTACCTTACACTGAAGAGACTGCATTTGAAAATTCTCTGATGGTTCAAAATTCTGGAACTTTGGAATTGTCATCAATGAAAAGTGTTTTCCAATCTCTTACGACAAATGCACGAGGAATTTATATTATACTTGTCAAATATCAGTTGAAGAACAGTGGAAATCTCAATTATCAAGGAATGTCATTCAAAGAACTTTATAAGACTTGCCGTGAAGCTTTTCTAGTTAGCTCCGATGTTGCACTTCGAGCTCAATTAACTGAGTTCTTGGATCATAAACTTGCAAGAACAAAACGAACAATAGAAGGAACGGAAAATATTATTATTCCCATTAGAAATATCTTGCTTGAACAATTTTTAACTGACCAGAATTGATTTTTCATTCATGTATCTTACCAGAAAATAAATTTTTCATTCAATAAAAATATAACGTTTAATTTTATTTTGAAAAATTATTTTCGTAAATAACTTACGTAAATACGTAACATTTGTTACGTTTATTTTCGCGTATGACATTAAGTGAGTGAAATTTATAAAAATTATTAATTTTCTCGTAAAAAAGGGATTTGATAAAAACACCGGTGATAAGAAGTAAATGTGTTGGGATTGACAATAACTGAAGTGTGAAATTAAACTTTGAAAGTGATTAAAAATAGACAAATTTTGCAGTTTCAAGGTAAGAAATTTTCTGAAAGTTTTTATACCAAATTTCATTGTTGCCACTGCAAATTTTAAGTGATTGTCTAATTACAATGTCCTTTTACTATTTGGTGACTTATAAAAAATTCACATATAAACTTCCCGTTGATAATATATGTGTAAATCATCAAATCTAGTCTCAGACAGGTGAATGACCGATTTTTTTTTGATCGCTGCTAAGTCTGTATAAGTTTCGTCACATATTAAAATCTGATTTTGAGATGAAGTTTGCATTAAATAAAATAATTTAAGTTACAGTTGTGGTAGGAAAAATCCAAGATGTTCGAATGTAATATTTCATTACATAATCAATCATGAGTAGTTTACATTTGATTTTAATTATAAACGACATTGTTGCAAGTTTTCATTCATTACGTGCTCCAAATTTTTCTCTCGCAAATTCAAAAGGATCTCAGTGAAGATTTAAAATGTTCAAAATACATTTACACCGAGTGTTTCACATAAAGCTACTTCCATTCATGACATCGCACACACGATATTTACTGTCAAAAAATGTAAATGTTGATTTTTCTTGGGCCTTTTTAAATTCTTTGTCGTTCGATGGCTTCGGTGAATCATGAATTTTTTATTTAGCATTTCTTGAAGCAAGCGAATTTTGAAGAGCGAGGAACATTTACATAATATTTGCGATATATACCGCTTCTTTTCTTGAGTTTATTATTATTTTAGCAGTCTTATCACCCTCCATTTGTAGTCACTGTACACTGTGAAGAAAAGGAGAAAAATTGAAATTGGTTGTAATTTGGAAAACTTTCTAAAAAATATATCCTTGATCTCATTTTGAACTGTTACATAGTCTTGAAATCAATATTTCACACGCTTCTCACCGCGGCGTATGCTATCAAAATGGAGAAAATAAACAAAACGTGGTTTCGATGTATATTTTCACACTGTGATATGTAGTTGCACAATTGTTTTTTCTCTCACATTGTTTGTTTGAATTTTTATCGACGTATGGTTTGGTTCGTAGGCAATATTAAGGACGCTATTTGTTCGCTTGTTTATTTATCGTTCGCATATTGTACTAAATTCAATGCTTCCAAATAATACGAAATTACGCTGTTGACAGTCAACGAGGTGGTCGAACCTAAAGAATCCTTCTAATTTATATTTAAAGTATGTCATATCAAAATATTTAGTCTCTCATTTCCATGTGGCACAAATAACTACAAGTCAATTGCTTTTAAATTGATGCTTGTGTTTATTTCATTAATTTCGTCGTTATTCTTCGCTTATAAAGTCTCTTAAAAGAGAAGATTTGCTATAAGACATTCAGATTTTTATCTTCATCACGACGGTGACGAGAGCGATTTTTAAAAAGAGTCGAGAACACGGAAAACAGCATCCATGCATTTCAAGACCATTAATCATTAGGCAATTAAACAGCAGCAGAAACCTCATGAAATACGATTCGAATCTTTCTTTAAAAGAGTTAATTAAAGCTTGAAATTTACGATTTCAATTACATTTTCCAACATTTCCATCTTTAAAACTTTTTCTTTCGATTCTTACTTTATTTTTTATATTTTATGTGTGAAAAATCGACAGTGACTCGATCCAACGTTTACCGTCACCAGTTGCTCCAATTAAATGTGCTCGCAGTTGTAATTTAATTTAATTGAAATGCTAAAAGTTTATGACAATTCCAGGCAAAGCTTGTACGATTAAATTTAATTCTTCGAAGGTAAGAAATTTACATAATATTCAGTTTGCAGGCGCACAAAGCCTGTCCCCAATTGTTTTTGCGTGGCAAATCGTGATCATTCACATTAGCTCATAATCCATAATTCTTAAAGTGCTGTAGGAGAAATAAAATATAAAAGAGTTTCTCGTTTTATTTGATAGTTTTCCTTGTGTCTATTTTTCTCTAAACGTTGTTTTCATTACATAAGTTAAAAGTCTATTAGAAGCATTTTTTCGGTTTGTCTCTAACTATCTACTTGTTAGAGCTAAGCTATAACAACAAAATAAAGTTTCTTGAGAAAATAAAATCCGAACTGAAAAATATTTTTTTGAACCAAATCTTTCCCTCTTTGTCAATGCTTAATTTTATTTCTTTTTTTTTCGGGTCAAAGTGTAGCAAGCTCGAGCATTTGTTTTAGTGTGGGTGCCTTCAGGGAATTGGATCAAGCTTTGAAGTGCTTCGGGAACTTACAAACGCGTATGTTTCGGTATTCGATGTGTGCACACATTTTAATCTAAATTTAGAGAAAGAAATATAAAATCAATCACATTTGTTGAGCATATTCATGTACACATACATACGCACTCGCAACACGCATATCGCATTATCCTTGGAGTTGATGGAGTATAAAGGAAGGAAACCCTTTTAACGAAGGTTACATGACCTTATTTTTAACGATCTATTTTATTGTGGAACGAGGTGCGCTTGTTAACAAAATATAAATGCTTCAAAAGCAGATGATAGACTAAATCTCGTTTACATTCTCATTGGATTAATATAAAGCACGCTATTTATCATATTCATTGAGTATATTTTGCGTTTCTTAAGCAATTCATTATCGAACATACATTGATATTTTCATAATAGGAAATTCTCGCTTTTTATTAAAAAAGAATGAAAATGATTTCCTTCAACAATTTTCTTTAATTCACTCGCGGAAATTATTTTTTCCCCCATTAGCTTATTTGGACATTAACTGTTATGTTTTTGACTTGTTGAAGGTGTGTCGCTTTGTTGCGGAACCAAAGTATACAAATAAGTTAAGCTGAGTAGAGAAAAAGAATTAAAACAACCGGGTGACCTCTTTTCTTTTTTTTTTTTTCAAATGTAAAAACCAATAAAACATGCATAAAAGACCTTTGTAAAGTGACTCCGCGATTTTTTTCTCTATTGTTCATTAAAAGCTAACTCTATTCGATTTGATCAGGAGAACTATTCATATAAAAAGCTGTTGATTGTGATGTGATAATGAATGTAAACCGCTAGGTAATTTGCGGGAGTTTTTATTGTAAAACAATGTTCTATTTCGCCCTGAAATTTGCGGTGATCCCTTGAAAAATAACGGAAAACGAACATGCATATGAACATGCAAGGCCTCTGACGAATGCTAAATGATTGAGTTATATGATGAGCGAGATTTCCTTGTCATGTATTTTAATTCTATATATTAATAATTTTTATTTTATTCTCAAGCGCACAGCTCACTTCACAAAAAATATCTTCAGAGTATCTTCAGAGAGAAAAATAAAAAAAAAACTTCTCGTAATGAGTGCAATTTTGTCACTGAGGTCATTTACATTTCGTACAAGATTTTTCATTTTTATCTTCGAGTAAGATATTTATGTCGAGTCAGTTCAAATAATGTGACATAAATATCTTGATGATCATTTTGTTTGCCTCTTTTCCTTTCTCACTTAATTCTCGAATCTTTTCTGATGAATTTGATTCTTCTCACACATCCCAAAACGTCTTGTAGATCATTAGAATGTGTGAATCATGTAACTTCAGAAAGCAATCAAATAATTAGTTCAACATGCTTCAGAAGGAGGCTTATACAAATTGAGAAGAAAAATAAATATAAATTGCGATACATTTGAAAGCAACAGAAGATTGCACTCTAATCTGATCACATTTCACTTGTATCTATCATGGATAAATTATGATCTTAAATCCATCTTCGCTTGCATTCAGACGATTGAAAAGAAAAACAGAAAGAAAAAGCAACCGATAGAATCGAGTCCCATTTTTGTATTAAAACGAGAAATAACAACAATCTAATGAAAGAAAAAAAGGAAGGAAAGAATTCGGTTTCATTAAATAGGTCGCTTTTGAAAAGAAAAGATTTCATGCTGCAAGAGGCCTTTCAAGCTCAATTGGGAGCCGAACGAACGACTTCTCTTAAATACTAAGAAAAAGAAACAAAATTAAAATAAATTTCATCTACAATGTGTACTCGAACATCTTTTTTATTTTCTTTAGTGCTCTCTGAGTGCGATTTATCGAAAACATTTTACGGGGTCATGTTAGCGTTGCGTCATAAAATGAGATTTGGGTTTGCTTGGTTTTCTCTCGGTCGCTACTCTCTTTGTAGAATTTCAAAAATAGAATCATATAATGTTGATTTATGACGCAATTAGAGAATGAAGACCTCATCTTATACGTTGATATTTCCTTGAGAATATGTTCTAGTTGTAGCATTAAGTTTCACGATAGGCTGCCCTAATTATTTTTCTTTTTTCCCCCTTCTTTTCGTTTATTTTTTTTATTACCCAAAAATGAGGCAAGAAAAGTTTCGTGCGTGGAATGTTCATGACAAGAGAGGCTCGCACAGTGGAAAAAAATTGTGATTCACTACGGGATGATGCTTTATGATTAATGTACCGCATGAGGTCGTTCCCTTTTCTCTTATCATTCACAACATTTTCAATTACAATTCTTTATATCTATTTATGCGCTTGATCTACTTATGTATACTATGTATCCACTTGTAGAAGCCGCCTTACGAATGACTCGTAGATTCATAAATGATGATGACGACATCAAGTTGTATATCTGTGCTTGCTTAATGTTTAAAATGAGAGCACAGAATTTGAGCTGTGAGGGAGTAAGTAAGAATGCGATAAAAGAAAAGCATTTCAGACAACAAATTTCAATTGGTCGTTAACCCATTAATATTAATTAAAGTTAATCTGTAATTAGAACAAATTGTACCTTCAATGAAACTTCCAGTATGCCTCGAACAGAACAACAAGCAATAAAAGGCCAAGTATAAATGAATAAATCGAATATTACATTGATGTGAAATACATTTTACTTGAGAAATTGAAAATTGCATCTTGAACTTAAATCAGGGCCGAAGTTATTTGAGAAATATCTCAATTTATTGATGAATTTTTGTTGAAATTGTTCTACTTTATTGCTGTTGTTCAAAGATTACATCAATTTCACTTACATCCCTGAGTAATTAAATCGTTATAATTGCTACAACACGAAACTTGCATTCATATCGTTAACTTGAAAGAGTCAAGAATCTAACACATAAAATTGTGGCTTCTGGTGTGAAGCAAACACATTGTCGAGCAATTTATGGAATGGTTCTTCATAAAAAAAGTTCTATTTATTTACATTACGAAGTCAGGAGTGCTTGTCATTGCGCAAGTATTGATGTGGTTAGTGATATTTCACTTCAAAACGTGCTTATTACTACTTTTTCGTTGCTTATTTATTTATTACTTTTTTCGATAGATTATATTTCCCCGTGAAACTAATCATCACATTGATGACAGTTATTCTAGTATTTTAATCATCGACATTATGAAGCTCGTTTTTGTTGAAGGAAATTTCTAAATGGGTTAATCGAAAGTGATAAATGACTGCTTCAATAACTTAATTTAGGTTAAACTCATGAAATATTTCTCTCTTTTTTTTAAATTATTTGCTGCATAATTTTTAAATTTCCTCAATAAATTTCGCATAAAGATTAAAACTGTATCGAATCGTAGCGTAAAAGGTGCTCCAGATTTCATTACGAACTATTGTAGGACATTTTAAAATGCATTTGTTGTTCTATATTTCAACCAACTCTGTGACGAATCAGCGATTGAGTTTTTTTAAAACTCTATTCATATTTACGTGTTTTTAAAGCCCTTCGAGTTTAAAACACAACAATAGTCGATAGTAAATATTTTATGTCAAAGTTTTGACATATTTAACTGTTGCAATATTTGGCCTACATTAACAAAATCATTAATCTTATAAACGATGATAAAACTTTGCTGATAAATTATGCAATAAATTTACTAATTATTCATAAACTTTGTTTCCTTGATTTTATTTTCGCAAGAGTTGAGGATACGAAAGTAGAAATAAATGCGTGGTTAATGAATCACCAAATGCAAATTTTTCTTGCAACAATCATCATCGTCATTGTGAGGAAAGACCGAAATTTATCTCAATTTTCACACGATTTTATTAATTTTATTCCGTAAGACAAACAAATATTCGATCTCTTTAAATGAGTCACATATCAGTTTGACTCATGATATGAAGCAATAAAAATGAACAAATTAAGTGACAAGAGCAAATGTGTCTCGATTCTCTTGGTCAATGACCCGTGTAAAAACAAAAGACGGGAAAGAAGAATCTTCAGGATTTTTATTTGATTCAATTTTCAAAGAGCATCTTTTAACTTCGCTCACGCCGAGGTTGTCCCAGTTTTGGGGTGTGGAAAATTCATTTTTTCTTGTTCTGAGTAAGTCGGGATGTTAAACGGGCAGAAACATATTTTTCGGGTCAATGATTTTTTAGATCGAAGTTACTTCAACGTTCCACCCTCGTAACGTTCATGAAGAGTCAACAAGGTTAAAGCTCGGACCACAATTATGGAGAGCATTGAGAAAATTGAAACAGATTTTTATGTGCAGTTTGTCATGTTAGATTTACTAGAGTACAATTTTCAACGAGGTGTGTAAAATATCAAATAATTCCAAAACGATTATCAGCGACATTGAAAATCCAACATAAATTTTACTTCAGGATATTTAATTTGCTCTTAACTGGATAATTTTTCTCATAACGGAACATTCAATGATTTGGTTGAAACTTAAATGAGGTCAAAAGTCTGGCTAGCAACATTCATTCCATTTTACTCTTACGTATCAACGAAAAAAGAAAAAAAGTAACTAAAGTGAAAAACTGAACGTTCATTGAAGGGTTTATAAAATGTTTCAAGCTGTCTATCTTTGTCATTGAAGATTGATGAATAAATAATTCTTTCATGAAAGCATTCCTGTTTCCCTATGCGAATAATCAAATCTATTGAATAATTGATTTTAAACTCGGAAATAAACAAGGTACATTATTTTCAACGGGAATAATCAATAAATTTCATGCATCAAAGCGATACCCATAATTGTGATTAGTAAATACTAAGTATCAAATGGATTTCCAATTAAGGAAAAGAGATATCAAAGTGAAAAATTGATTTTAATCTAAAGTGATTTGATGAATTGAACAAATTTAATAACTATCAAGAGAGTATGAATCAGACAAGTCCTGAATAACTTTATGTCAGTCTTTATTGAAGACTCATAAATGTTGCATAACATGAATTGTCATTGCAGCGTTCGAAAATATCTGTGTTGAATAAAGTCATAAAGTAACATGAAACTTGACACACTCAACGATGTGCACTATGCTTTTATAGCATAAGACACTTGTAGCATTATTAAACTCATTCACCACGCCAGATGATGGAAAATAATTTTTTTCCGAATATTTTTAAGATCATAAAGCATTGAAAAAAGTGAATGCATTGCAATAAATGTTGAAGTACTTTTTTTTGGCATTTAAGAAAGAGAATATCTTTAATAAAGAAAAAAGCGCGCACGTTGATTTAACGATTCACGACTTCAAAATTATGCAATCATTGTTTGTTGTCGAGGCCTCATAGTACAGGCCACAAAATCAATATTTAGTCATTCAAGCGCGTCAACATGAACTGTATTTGATTTATGATTAATGTATTATGTATTCCTTCATATTTTGTTTACTCTTGCCTCGTATGAAACAAGAGCAAATCACTTATTTTCCCTTCATGTGTTAAAAAATAATGAAAAGAATCAATGAAGAATCAGATCAAGGACTTTTCGCATGTTATCAATTTTGTTTGCTTTCCCGTGTCACCACTCAGTAGCAAATTTAATGATACAAAAAGCTAACATTGATATCATGAAATTCGCACAAACTAATTTTATTGTAAAACACTTTTAGTTTTTATTTTTCGCATCATACCTACGCACAGTCACATTCTCTCAAACACACACAAACATTTCTCTCAAACTCTCGTCTCATATTGACCCAAATTTTGCCCCGAAAACAAAAAAAAAAAACATAACACAAGAAGCAACTTAAATGGCTGTTTTTATGTTGAAATCATAGATAAAAGCAGATGAACATTGGGCCTTGTAATGGTTTGAGCTTGCTTTGTGTGTTTTCATCTTCTGAAGGAGAAAAGTTGTTTAGATCCATGGCGTGCATGAACAAAACATTGAACGATGGGAAGTGAAGACGATAAGACTGCTTTTTCTTTTTTCATAAATATTTCGGCCGATATTGTGAATGGAAGGAAATGATGTCAATTGAAACAATAATAAAAGAAAATGAAAAGCATGTTCATACTTCATCAGTCATTTTCTGTGCTATTGAGATATGGGAGGGAATGTTATTCATCATTTAGGCCAAACACTGCATGTCGTCACTCAATAAAATTCATTTCTTCTTTTTTGTGTGTTAAGATACGTGATTCATTAGCATGGATACGTTTTGTTGTGTTTAATCAAATGTTGATACTCATCTTTTGATAGAAATAAGATCACGGGAGTCGAGAGATTACTTATCATTGAATCATCCTCTGGCAATCATATCCATTTACATTCATAGCGAATTACTTTGTATGCAATGTGACCTCTTTAATCTTCTGTAACTGGATGAAATTTAATACATTTTGTCCTTCTATTGTAATGTCGCAGTGATATTTAATGCGCAGACGAACTGCGGATGACTAATGTATTGAGTTACTAAAGATAGCTTACAAAGAATCCTTTTTAACTCGCGGTTGCCCCAGATACGACACAAGCTTTCCTACATTGTCCGCTCTAAAGATTTCTCTGCCTTTCACATACTGAAAAAGTGAAAAACGTTAAGAAGTTAAACCGTAAACCTGACGTCTCACAAAAGAACAATAAAAACTTTAATTATTCTTATGCTTTATGTTGAAACATTTTCCTTTCAATTTTTTTTGTGCAAAAACTTATTTTTTGCTTGGATGAGTTTCAGTTATCCAGAATATGAAACAACATTTAAGTCGGTCATCTCAGAAACGTAAAATTCTGAAGTTATCTACAAATAAGAATTTTGTCGTCAAATAAAAATGCAAAGCTTGAAAGTTAGTTAACGACTTTGAGTTTAACGATGCGCAAACCCCAGCAAATTAAATATGTTGAGAAATAAAAAGCGACACTTTATCGCTTCTTAAACTGAAGGGAGATTTTTATGTATTTGTTTAAAAAATAAATGAAAGCAAAGCCACAAACACTTTAAGGAGAAAACAATTTTCTCTTCCTTTGCTTTCTTCAGTTGTTAAAAATAAAGTGAGAACAATGTGATTCATAACTTTCAGTCTTCTCTGTCTTGAGATAAATTTGCGATTTTTATGTATTTGGAGCAAGATTTAAAATCTTCGAAGTTGCTAAACGATGTTTATCGCTTTTTGTGCGTATGCGTCTTGCCTTTGTTCATATGCAAAGGTCTTTCATGTTTCAAAATAAGTTTCACCCAAACAGAAAGGTTAATGACGCTCGAAAACTTTAAGTTCACGACGCGCTCATTTGTGTATAGTGTAAGCTTTCCGAGGTTGAAGTCGTTTTGTAAAAGAGAAAAGAGATTTTTGTTGTTTTCGGGGTTGTCCGTGATTCAGTTACATAGCTACGAATAAAATGTGGTCAATGACGTTCATTTAATTCTTGATGTGGTTTTTTCTTCTCCTCGGTCGTCTACCATTGTCAGAGAACTTTCAAAGTCATTGAACGAAAGAATATCAAATAATTTTCTCAAACATTAAGAGAACTTTCATACTTTATTGAAATCTTCAGCAAATAAAAAAGAAAATTTCTTCAAAAGAACTTTCAATTTAAAAATTCATCAACGTTGAAAATTCTTTTCCTGTTTGTTCGCAACTAAGATGAGCTTGCAATGCATGCTTTAAAAAGAAATAGATTGCTTTAACTGAAAGAAAGATTCATGAAGTTGGAAAGTTCTTCGTTTGCACAATCATCGAGTGGAAGGTATTGTGCTGAATTGCATTTCCTTAATGCACTCGTTTTTTTTTTTGAAGTTGCTTTTGCACATAATTTAGTTGATTTTCAATAAAAGGAACTTTAATTATTCATTAAAATTTTATCCTTCTGCTCATTTTAAATACTTGCAATTAATTTTTCACTCGTCGCATATTTAATCATCAAATGTGTTGATTATTTTATGGTGCAATTTTTTACCATAAATTAAAACTTCGCAAATTTATCATACGAAAGTTGTCCATAAAATTTGAACGATTAACAATTACAAAATCAGCTGTGTACATAAAAGAATTGATGCACGGACGATGGATGTTAAGCGACTGAAGGAAGAACCATAACGAAGGGCGATAAGTAGTGCATGAAGTCGGACGATAGACCGCAAAAGGAAAGAAAACAAGAGTTAAAAGCAAATTATTTCACTCATTCATTCGTTTTTCTGTGCTTTTACTTGCTGCCCGGGATGAAACAATAAAATTTAATGGTTTTGGGTTTTTTTTATATGCTAATTTCGGAATAAATTTTGCATTCGGGTGAATCTTCATTTCTTTGAGTAAGACGAAGTAAGACGAACAATCGTATCTTTCTAGGCATCCCTGGGAGAATTCAAAATGGAATTTGTTGAAGCGTTTCAAAACGATTTAAATTAAATGAAAACGCATAAAACAAAGGCAAAATAAGAGAAGTTAGGAGAGTCATGACCTGGTGGGTTTAATATCTTGCGCATTATTTTTTTTCTTCTTTCAACTCTATAAGAATTGACTTGAGTTATGAGACTTTCACTTGATCAAACCCAGGGTCTCATAAATCATTCGGCAGACGCTTCATCTCGTTTGAGATGAACTGACATTGATCGTTATGAGGTTTATGGAGTTTCATTCTTCATAATCACAAATTTTTTTGAAAGGGTCGTAAAAGTTTTTATGAACTTTGAAAGCTTTGGGTTCCCTTTTTTACTCACGTTTTAGACGGAAGTAAATCGTTTCAGTGAAATTTTCATAACATGACATTACAGAAAACCGCCGCAACTTTGTTGTCATCAACCGTTGTCGATTTCTTTTCGAATTCATTTTTGAAACCATGGAAAAGCGCGAAAAATTTCATGCATTTCAAATTTACTTTCACTTCATTTAGATGAAGTTGAATCGAATTACGACCTGCTGCGAATGAATAAATTGCGGATCTTTAAAACTGTGCTCTAAATGTCTTGAATGTTTTCTTTCGTTTATGGTGTCAATAAAGCAAGTCACCAAAATATACTTGACGCCAATATCAGCAACGTTACTTTATGTGTTACTATTTATGTTTAATATTAGGTCATGGTTAATATTTTTCGACGAATAACTTTAATCGAAAAAGAAACAGGCAATTCTGGAGTGAAAAAAACATTTACATTTGTTTCCCCTTTGCTCAAGGATTATTTCATTAAAAAAATTGTCGCGTGAACATCCGAAGGTAGTAAGTTGATGAACATAAAATTAATTTCTTTGATACGATAGCACTTTCATCATCGCGACCTACCAACGTTTATCCTTGATGATTCCACCTTCCCATCTACAAACTCAACTCTGATTATTTTATGTTTCTCTCAACGTTAATTCAAACTTTCTGTGTCCTTGTCGATCCGCGCGCTGCGCAGCCTTTTTCCCATTCATGCATATTTTATTCATGAAATGAAATTAAATGCCTTTTTTCTCCATCGGACGCCTTGAATGTAGTTTGAACACGCAGTGAAATAACGAAATCAGTAGAGACTTGTTGGAACAATCAAACAAATCATAAAAAAAAGTTGTAGACAAATTACTGTGCTACTAGAATAAATACCAGTCTCGTTGTTTCATTGTGCAAATAACCTGTCTGCTTACTGATGACATTTGTTGAAATGGGAACGGTTTGAGTTCTTTGTGCGAGGCTGATACTTGCTTTCATGCTAAATATTTATATCGATTTATATTCAGTTAAAAGTTCACATGATTACCAAGCTCTCCAATTAAACTTGTCGCTTCAAGGAGAAAAGGTTGCATAAAAGTATTTTCTTTAAAGATAATCGAAAAAGTTTTAAGTGCATGTCTCAAGCTTCATGCTGTCTGATGCGAGATGATGACATGAGAAATCACAAGTAAAAAGAAAAATCTTTTGACCTCTTCATCGCTCTTTCGTTGTTTTTACTTTTTTTTTCGGGTGAGAAATTCAGGTCAACTGAACATTTTATGTCTGAGTCTCTCGCTTTTTGTCTCTTTTCTCTTTCTATACACTGCACATACCATATTCAAGTAGTGATCTTGATAAAACAACAACTGGTAACAATACGTGCGAAAAAAATAATTCGTCAGACTTTCAGATTGCACCATGTCGAAAATGAAAAGACGAGAAGAAGAGAGAAAGCATAGAGTTCAATATGAAGTTGCAAGATGATGTTGATTGAACGCGAACTAATTCTTCGATCCGGGTGTTTTGCAGGTCATTAGCTAGAAGCTTTTCGTTCCAATCAGCTAAAGGCGCGCGTGAAAAGAGTGGAGAAATAAAAATGGGCTCATTAAATAATGTTCTTATCAAGATGGCAGTCATGACATGAAATCACCATTGAATTCAACGTTTGACATTCGTGTTGTGCTTTACATAAATTTTCATTATTCCGCATAGCAGGCTGGCAAATGTTGTACAAGAAAATCTTGTCTTCGTTCATTATAAAAATATTTTTGTTGAGATTGAATTTGTACATAAATAATTTAATTATATTTATTTTGAATGTAGAGCAAATTGAATGAAAGAAAGAAATGAATGCAAGATTTTTCTTTCTTCGTTCGTTCATTCTTGTTTGCTTCTTTTCTTCCTCGTTTGTTGTCAAAGATTATCTTTAAGAACTTTCACTGACATTCTTTATTGAAATGTACCTGAATCTGTAGAGCTTTTGATTTATTTATATCCACATACATAAATAGTTTCCATCGTAATCTTCTCGATAAATAGAAGTTTTCATCGCCCACGCTTTATTTTTATGTTTCGTCAAGCTTGAAATTTTATTACTCCAATTAGTGGAACAAGCGATACAGCGATTTGTTATAATTAGCTTGGAAGAAATCTCTGATTTTTTTTAGGTTGAAGCGCATGTCTGTTACAATGATCATCGTCATTACCTTGACTTTATTTTTATTTAATAAAAATTAAATTGACTCCAGCTAATTTATTACACATTGGGTCAATGTTTAGTCGATCTGTTCGGGAAAAAATAAATTTCCGTGTGGGAAGATATAAAATATAAAAATAAATTGAAATTTAATCTTAAAGCTTACTCACCTTAGAAACATTTTCGCCATTTAAATCAAATGATTTATAAATTATAGTAATTGAAAATTTATTTCATTTCATTTGGAAATTAAATAAAAACTTTTTCTTTTGAAAGCTTTGGTCTGTGTTTGTAACACATTAAAAGTGTTTGCATGGAAAATGTAGGTCGGTGGCTGTGTTTTGGATTGCATTTCATTCTCATTTCGGCTCACAAAACGTGCAGAAATTTAGAGCGGATTTGTGATAAGGAAATAATTTTGAAACCTTGCTGAAGGAAACTTTTGAAAGCATAAACAATAATTTTATTACAATTCTCTGATGTGACAAACGATAAAGTTCCTGGTGAAACAACCTTATCAAAAAATGTTATGAATTTAATGTTTTGCTCATATTTATCTTAGCTTTTAGTAAATATTTTTAGTCAAAGTAGCAGTTTATGATTGTAAGATTCTTTCATTAAAAACATTGAAACGTTTACACATTCATACCATGATAGGAACTTGTTTCTTCGGCTTAGTTTATCAACTGAACTTGTTTAGTTATGCCTTTCAATACCTAAAAAGCTTGTCAAATTGATGAATGAAACATAAACATTAAGCTTACTGTAGAAGCATTTCAAGGTCATTATCAATAATGCATTTTCAATAAATTTTATTAGTTTACTTTTCCTTATCAATCGATAATTTTATTATGAAATTGAAGTATGTTGTGACTAGTTTCATAATCTACTTCGAGTGCAATGACTTTAAGAATTTAAATTTCATATAATTATTGATCTCGAGATTACTGCAATCGATACGATAAGTGATGTCAGGGCTGGCAACATAAAAATGTAAATATCAATCACGTGAACTTGAAATTGAAGCTTATGAATGGCTAGAGCTTAACTGAATGACATTATAAAATCAATTTTTTTTTGTGTTTTGCTTTGCCATTGTTCATCAATGCTTGACAGCAACTTTAAACTTACAACGATTTATTTTCCAATAAAAACCTGAGCTGTTTATTTTCCCGTTACGAATTCGAAGTCGTTCGTTTGCGTCTATGATCGCCAAGGATTAAACCCCGAAATAAAAAAAATCATTTCCTCATTGTTATGCTGCTTGTGCCATAAATTGACGGAACGTTTTTCTTTTCATTGACATCAACAAGTTTGTCTCTGAGCGCTTTGACGCCAAGATCACAGCCAATTAAGTAACGTGACACGGTTTCTGAAAGTTAGAGTGAGACGTGAAGATTGTGATATGTCAGTTATGGGAAAGAAAGGAAAAACTTGAATAAAATTTGGGCCGAATGCCCTCATACGGTGATTGTACGCCTACATGTCATGCGAGTGTCACTTTGCAAAACATTGATCAAAAAAAAGCTAATGTGACAACTTAAACCTAATTTTCATCCACCAAAAAAAAAGAGCTTTCAATTATCTTTTTAAGGTCATTTTCGCGGCAACTTTTACTAGATGGAAACTCTCTCCAATCAATCGACGTGCGGTGCTTGTTGAATAGTAAAAGTGACTCAAAAGCCTCGATTTACACAATTTATTTATTTACTTTTTATTTCCATTTAACATCATGCCATGAATCGTCCAACCACACAGCTAAACATGAAAATGAAAACACGAAAAAAAGAAGCTTAACTAAATGTGCAACAAGCTAACGCGACTATGAAAAGAGTTGTGACTTGACTTGGACTTGGAAGTGAGTTGCGTGACCTAGTAAACCGCGCAATTCCCTGCTCCAATGTAATTTTTCAATGATGGTTACTCTTTTGTTGACTTTAATCCATTAATTGCCACTGTAACAAGTCTTGTGAATTTTATTATCGATAATCTGCTATAATAAATGAAATCATTGATTTTGAGTTACAAAAATTTATGGAACCATAAAACGGACGAACGATTTATGAAGGTGATTCGAAAGGATTATCGATATCACCAAAGATGGACAAAAGCAATATAATAACTGCTCCAGTATCATGTCAAGAACACTGATTTTATGCGGCGCATGGTTATGTGCTAGTTTGCTTGTGAAACACCTTCATGACTTTTTAAATTAATGTAAAAGAAAATAAAACACAAGCAATGTAGGATCGATAACGAGCTGAAGGGTGGAAATAACTTAATTTATTTTATTTGTCTTATCTCTTTGATTCGAGCAGCTCCTACTCGTCAAGGTGCCAGAGTTCACCTCAGTTTATTGTAAACAGTGTTAATTCAATTATCCTTTAAAATGCTCATGGCTATCAAGCAGTAGCGGCCAAACAGGCAGCAATCAAACGGCCGATGTAACAGCATCGTAGGAAGGTTTTTCCTTGCCTTAAGCCTTGTTGAATTTTTTATATTTTTAATTTTTCAAGTACATCTTCAATCTTCACGCACAAATGATGAAAATAATTCGGGAAAGGGAACTTCAATGTCCAAATGAACTTATTCTTTACTTATTGTGTTCAGGGCATAAACTGATTTCATAATTGAGGATGTCGACACAGACGGATGAGCTTCACAAAAAAAATAAAATAAATGTACGAGACAATTGATTGCGATAAAAATCGTGACAATAATTAACATAGAGCATAGTAAAGTCGCTGCCATCAAATCATGCTGTGACAATAACTAGATCCATCAGACTTTTGGCATTTCTATGCCAGCTCTTGTGATTTACTGACAGATCTGATAATCAATTGTGTTTGACGAAAGAAGAAAGGAAGGCAAGCAATAAGTCGTATGTTTGACCTCATTTCTAATTAGCATAAATGAATTGAAAATTACCAAAAAAGCATGGAAATTGGGTTACAGTTTTTACTTTTCATTGCTTTCTTTCACCTTTTATTAACTTTCGATGTGCAACAATGTCACTGTTTGGAATTGTTGGCACACAATTAATTATTCATGGAGAATGAAAATATACAATTAAACAGAGAACAGAGAGAGAAAGATGATTGTGTGTGCCACTGTTGAAAGGTGAAGAAGGCTCGATTTGAATATTTTTCTTACTTTTCCATGTTTCATCGAAACTCACACTCTGTCATCGTTTTGTTCAACGTTTACTTAACAACATTAAATTTGAGTTTGACTCAAATCGCTCACATTTTTCTTTTCTTGGTTTGTGTATAGTTTTTTAGTTTATGAATTTACTATTCCATTTACTATACGAGAGACACACAAACACCAACAGCTGAAAGCGAAACGTAAAGCAACAGCAGAGAGTAAGAGAGTGAATTGTAATGTTTAAGGTTTGACCTACTAAAAGACATCCAATTTGGATCATGGACAATTCGGATATGCAATAATGAAAAATGTATGAATGTGATTTTAGTTTGAGATCTTTTTTTTTACAGTCATTGGCGATCACTGAGTTTTGATTTTTAATTCTCATTGAAAATCACTTCATTGAAGGGAGAAGAAAACAAAAACTTTCATCAATGATTTGTATTTATGTACAATAAATTCTGATGATCACATTTTTTAAGGTCACACCTAGACAGTTTAATGACCTAGTTTATCAAATGAATCTGCTGAATCAATTAATCGTTAGCATCAGTTCAGAATATTATTTTCTCCGCCTAGAAAGCCCTGACACGGTAACGACAAAAAAAGCGAGGAGAAGAAATAATAAGTAATAAAATGTTTGCGCGGGAAAACAAGGTACGCTACGGAACAAAATACTTAAAGCATTCAAACAGCGAAAGAACAACTTGCAAGTACATCGTTTTTGATGGAAAAAAGCGCGTAAGAGATCTTCACATTGTTAGTTGCTTGTTTAAATACATTGTTATTTATTACCTTCTTGAGATGAACTGTCCAAGTCTATTTAACCGATGACAAGCATGGGAATCGTCAAAGCTTGAAAAAACAGCGGAAAGAAAAATGACACTTTAAAGTTTAAACAATTAATTGAGGCTTTTTCTTCGTTAAGTCGAAAGTCGAGACCAAATGACTCATGTTACAGTTTCTCCAATGTTCAGTCTGTGTTTTCTGTTACATTGTGTAACGAAGTTTCTCGCAAAATCCTCTTTGTTTGAGTTTTTGAAAAGAGCAAAACATTTGGCAGGAAAATTGGAAAGTTCTTTACGGTCCGTTTTTGCCGATAAAAATTTATTAGGCCATATTACACGACAATATGAGAAGAACAACAACTCAGCGCAGTGTGTAGGTGAAAGGCATAATGGAAACATGAACATAAATTTAATTAAATTGCCGTAGATCATCGGCACACTAAGCGAAAGTTTTTTTCTTCTTTTTTTACATCTTGTGGAAGCTTCCCAACATGAAAGTCGTGACATGCTCGACTTGAAGGAGAAAATGAGATTTTTAGAACATAAACGAAGTGAGATTTGTGTCTATGAAAGTATCAGATTGCAAATAAAGTTTTTCTTATTTCTATTTCGTCTTCCTTTGAATTAGTCATTTGTGAAGATCGCAATCTTGATAAAGTATTCTATTTAATTATCATCTTAGAAGTGAATGGAAGATGAATCAAATCAACCACAATCCACATGAAAATTGGCTACTTCAGATAAATAAATTTTCTTTTATTGCGAGTTTCAAATATGTAAACAACAAGATTGTAAACTATCATTTGAAAGATTTATTTTACATACAAATGCCCAAGTGCACCATGAAATGAAATTTATAAATGGAAGTTTTCAAATGCAAGTAATATAAACCTCACTGTGAGCTAATAAAACCAGTACTAATTGTTTGTGTAAAATTGTCGGTCGAATTGTTTGCAAACTAGTAATAAAGTAATATTTAGCAACGCCACATGTAGCCGAGTAGTATCGACAACAAAAACAAAAGAAAGAAAAGAAAGAAAAAAAGGCGGAGAAGGAAAGGGAAAAAAGTATTAAAAATCTTGATCTCGTGTAATGAAAAAATTATTGAGTGTGATTTAATGACAGGGAAAAATGGCGAATGTTGCATTTTATTTAATTTTTATTGGGTTCTTAGGTGCATACACAAAGCTTTATAATTGATTTCAATTATTAGAATCACATTTTTACTTATTCTCCTATTACCACAGCAATTATTGACTATTGTCAGTCGTCTTTAATGATCACGATGATATAAAATGAATCTAAACAGAAATTAATTTATTATACGCTTGAAATCATTTCACGTATAATTTTACATTTACTTAATCGAAAGCATTGCTCACAAACATATTTTCATAAGCTTTTAAATTCCACTGAATAATACTTTGTAGACTCAATCCCGCTATCAACTTTGCATTACTTTAGCTCTGCATCCATTTTCCAATCCAGACACTGCCAACAACAATCTACAGAAAGCATTATTTCCATTCACAATATTGATATTATGCTTCAACTCACGTTTAGCATGTCGTGCACATCTGAATCCCAGTAAATTTTCCCTTGTTTTCTAGAAAAACCATTGAAAATGTTGGAGAGGGAAAAGGGAAAATTCTGCGACAACCTACGAAAGCGAAATAAGATTACAAAATTTACATTTTCTAAAGTTTTTTTTTTGTCATGACAAGAGATATTCAATGGAATGAGTTACTGATTAAGCTGAAATGATGGTTTAATACTTTGTGATGTGTTTGAGATGGAAGTTTAATTGAAGATTTTGATGATGTTATTTAGAAATAATTCAAGTGAATAAAATTTATCACTTAAGAGCTTTCGATATGCCTGAAACAATTTGAGTCAAAGTTTAATCTTCTTTCTTTTAAAATTGTTGATCTCTTCATTTAAAGAAAAGTTTTATGGCCGAGTTTATTTATGAACGTTGATGATTGTTTGTGGCAGAAATTATAAAGTTATTCTTGTAACTTCATCTCACAATTGTTCTAGAGAATCGAATATCCATTAAAAACTTCTTCAAACTAAAATTTAATAAACATAAAACGAAGTTAATCTATGAGAATAAAGAAATAAACTTTGAATGTTTGCACAACTGCCGAGTGCAGTTAGATTAGGGGTACAACTGTAGATACATAAGTTAAAAGATTTGTAGGAATTTTACAAACAAATTTTGTTCCTATGCTGATTCTATAATGTCAGCATAACTTTTACGTTTACTTTCCTTCACCCTTCTCTACATATCCAAGTGAAATTTTTCAGAATCTTTCACCGTGTTGAGTAATTTTCCTGTTTTATTCTGCTTGCAATCAAGTTAAAGAAAAAAAGGGGAGAAAAAAATAACTTGCTGCCAACCAACAACTGCAAACGACACGACAATCCTATTTTGAGAGTAGGAAGAATGTTATTGCTTTGCTAACACGATAACTCGAGAATTCTTTTCCGCTTTCGTATTAGTAGCAATCGAAAAGAAAAAAAAACAGAAATAAGGAAAATAATTTTCCCAACATCACTACAAAATCTCACACAACCAAAAAGTTCAGGGTTAGTGTTTTCTTCTTCCTCCTCGTTCCTCGTCTTTTCCGAAATGAAACGAAAAAAAATCATGCCATAGTATCGTTCAAGGGCTTTGTGCTCTGGTCATAAATAGAAGGGAAAAGCAATGATGATGATGAGGTCGAGGGCGAAGCAATGTAATGAAAAATTCATATTCGAAGATAGAAGAAAGCTTTTCCCTTCGTTCAAGTTACACATCTAAAGCCTCTGTTAAGTAAAAAAGGACAAGGTGAAAATTATCAATAACTCGTATTCACATTAGATATTCATCTCGTAAAGATTTGTTGCTTTGTCTTATGCAGTTAAAATGACCCTCATTGTACAACAACTTTCCATGCTTCATTACGTGAGATCTAAACTCACCAATTGCCTCATCGACCGTCACGTTAATTAAAAATTGTTTACCTTTCCCAATAATAAATAAATATAAAGTATATTATGAGATACTTCATGGTAGATTTTTTAATTAATCCGTACATGGTGATGTTTGTTTACTCCGTATTTTTTAACAAAGGAAAGATATTTATGTTGTATTCATGATGAAGTAAAGTTTGTCTTAATGAGCCAAACGACATTTGAATACAATGCTCAACATATTATGGTTTTTGATGTTCCATTAATGAACATCCGAGCATTTTTCTCTATCGTCAGATGTTGAGCAACAATTTAATTTTGTCACATATCGAGCATGCGATTTCTCTCAACAAAATATTTGTTAATGACAAGAGATAAGAAATATTCACGTACAAAGTTTCTTTGAAACGTTTCAGCGATCGAGGGCCCAACGAGGTTAAAGCTTTTTTTCTGATTTTGAAATCTTAAATAACTTCATTTAACTGTTGTGTTGTCGTTTATGAATATCGACATTGTTATTTAAATAGAGGTGGTGCGCGAGTCTACAACATGCATACTTGAAATAGACTTTTTCAATTATTTTAACGAAAGCTCAGCAATGAGGAAGTGACACAAAAACCAATGTTTCCTTCGAGCTGATTTCCATTGCTCAATGTTTCTATTTATAATATCATAACAAGTTTGTGTGTGCTAATTGTAGGTTCGATTCTCATTTTAGTTTTTTTATGCATGAGCAGATCTGATGCTTAATTTATGTTCAAATAAGCAATAATTGAATCATCGAAATGAAAATTAAACAATTTGTTCTATCGAAAGTTTTAAATATTTTCATTTAGATCGCTTGAGGTGATTAAATATTTGATTGTTGGTGTAGAAGTAAGCCGATAAAAATCTGTTTCATAGATTCTTTTGAAAACTTTCTTAATTTTTTTGCTTTGTTTTTAAAGAAAAGGTTTGAAAGCTTCTTTTTCGAAACTGAAACTTAACAAGTTCAATATTTTTAATATTCCTCAATTAAAAATTAAAAGCCAATAAAGTGAGAGTATATAAATAGAAGAAAAGCAGGAAGTCATTGGAAGACTTTCTAGTTCAAAAGGAAATTAATAAAAATATTATGCAAGGCTCTCTTGTCGATGTAGAAATCAAATTTCATTGAATAAATTTACTTCCTAGTTGTTTCATACTGTGCGACTTTCAAAGCTTGAATTACTTTCAATATCAGTTACGCCATGAAAACGATAAATATGTAACAAGGGAGGATAAGTTTGAGGGTTACAGATTGTGGATAACCTTAGTGGTAAAGACTTGTGAAACATAATTTGACTGATTCTGAGTTAATGAAATATAATAGTTGATGGGGAAAACATTAAACTTTATGCTTTCATCATTTTCTCTTGTACTTACATTGTATCCCATCTATTCACTTTGTTACGACTTATCTTTGTTGTTATCAATAAATGGAAATCCATTAATCTCATCTACCGTGAAACTTTTGATTGAATTGAATTCATTGTTTAAGGAGAAAATGCATTTCGTTTCTCAAACGAAAATCTTGAATGAATAGAAATTCGTAAATCAGTAAATGTAAAAAAAGTTGAAATTGCACTTTCACGATTTTCAATGCATTTGATTCATAAGTCATGGTTGCATGAAAGTTTAACTGAAAATGGTTTTATTTAGTATGACTCAAGGATTTTACAAATGATATATATTTTTATTGTGAACATGTTAATAAATTTCCGTTTCAAAGAAAATCTTTAATTGAAAAACTAGAAATGTCATGAGAAAGTTGAAAACAATATTTGTCACGTTGAGACATTCCAGGAGTTCTTAAAATAATAAGAAACTTCATAAGTCTAAGTTCATTACAGTTCCAAGGCTTTTAAGTTTGTTGCATGGCAACTTATGACGCGTGATGAGAATGTTTGTTGGCATTAAATGAAATTCCCAATGATTGTCGAAACAAATCTAAACTGACACCATAATGTTCCTTCTATTATCGTTGAAAGTCTTCACAAAAATCGATTTTCTACTTAATGCTAAGAGAAGAGGGAAACTTTGTCTTCTCCCTTTTTTGTCAAGATGTTCAAAGCGCACAAAAAGTTTGTTTTGCTCTGTTCGTTCCGAAAAACCGAGGAAAACGAAGAAATGTAGGGAGAAAAGCTATAAAATGTCGTTTTGCTTACAAAAGAAAAGAAAAATGTCAAGGATATTGCTTGAATCGGAGATTGTTTCCCTTGCCTACAATTTCTTTTCTCACACACACCCACAACCTTACAGTACAAATCTCACCTTCCAGTGGATTCCATCATGCTTTCCTTTGGTAAGGAAGAATCTTAAAAATTATGTTCGCCTCCCTTACGCACATCAAATAAGCATAAAACTCACTGCTTTCACTCGTTTTCTTCCATTTCACTTTCCTCCCCTTCCACCCACGTGTGTTCATTCAAGTTCTGTAAGAAAATAATATGTTGATGCTTCACAAATATTACGCAGCTTTTACTGCCAATTCAAAATGATGATAATAAAATTTTAGAATTTATTCAGATGAAAATTTCAATTGCTGATTTCACAAGAAAGTAAAGAAAGAAAAAAAGCAAAATGTTGCGATAAATTTATCAGAATCTTTCAGTTTTTGAATAGAAAGCGATAAATAAATGTTTCCTTTTCTCTCTTTTCTTATTTTTCAAGCAGTGGAGGTTCTTTTTGTAAATATTTTTTTAGCTTTTTGATTGGGGTGAAATGAAGGGAAATTTTATTTTTATCTAAATCTTTTATGTTTCTTATTCTTAGAAATCCGTAAGTTGTTGCGTCATGTGCTTCGAAATTGAAAGATAATTAAGGGTATTTTTATATTTGATTTAGCTCATGGGAGTTGATAAACCTATCTGAAAAATAAATATTTTAATATCTAACGAAGGGCTGTTGATTGTTTTCATTAACAACTTTTTCTTTTATTCTTCAGCTTTACGTATGTTTGTTATAAATATCTACATAGTTCAATGAAAATTTACACGATAATTGATATATTTATTTGACAATGCCAAACTTTGCAAGGAAGTGAAGAGTTTGTGCCTTGAAAAGTTTTATTATTTTTTGCATAGTTAATATGGCCAAAATCAAGGCTTGATAATGACCGACTTTTTAGAAAACTCAAAACTATGTAACATTTAAGACAAGAAGAAACTGAATTGAAATTGAGCGTAAGGTCGGTAAAGATTTCTTATTAAATTGTATGTCAAACGATGGCAATGTGAATCGTTGAAAGCTTTTAGAAAATATTGACGTGAGGCATTTTTACTTTTTTCTCTCTTTTTCTCGATATTATATTTTTCACACCTAAAGACCTTTCATTGTTACTTTGCCTCGTAACATGAGGTTCAATTGCGTGCGAATGACATCGTTTTGTGAGGTTTACAACATGAAATATTTATTGGATTTTATCGCACATAAAATTTCCATATTTATAATATTTATTTCCGTCATTGAACTGTAACTAAATTAGAGATGTGATGTGTAGCATTGGATGGGCTCGCAAGGCTCTTAATATCACATTCATAGGAATAATTTTAGATTTCCATTGATTTATGAGGACGAAACGTGGGAAATTCAAAATGTTTTTCTTTCTCCTTCATTACGATTTTCAATTCACAATTGCAAGCGAACTTTGCACATATTGAAGCTTGATGTGTGATATTTAAATGAAATTTATATTTTATTTCATGAGCCACTTAGCGCTTGTAAATGTTGCACAATTGTGCATTTATGTCAATTTTGAAGAGAATAATAAAATAAACAAAAATGAAACTTGCGTGGGTGACAAGATCTCATTTGTTGATTTCTCTTGTGCATTGTTATTGATGTTTTGGCATTAAATTGCAAATAACAGAAAAGAAACTTTGTTATTTATTAATTAAGAAAGAGATATTTATGTTTATTTATGTTTATTATCTTTTCAGACCAACACTTTTCAACTTCTTCACCTGTGTTAGATACTTTGTTGTAAAACAAACAGAGTCAATTTTCCGTCTGCGATTATTTCAAAAGAAGGTGTTGTGCAAAAAGCGTGCAGACGGCGAGAAATTGAAGAGAAAAAAGAAAAGGGAAAGCTCTTAACTCGCGCCCTTCTTTTTCTTAATGCGTTTTAACGTTGACAACACAGTTTGCTTATTGTTTCACATCGACACAAATAAATACAACAATTGAGTAACGTAGGGATCGTTTTGTATCATCATCGTGGCGTATTGTAAATGATAAGGTGAGTTCATTTTACCATAAATTTTAATAGTGACCGACTTTATTTGACCCTGTAGTGAGTCCTTTCACTCAGCGTTTTATCTCGTAACAGCATCCATGATGCAAATCATACAATCATGATGATGTTTCGTTTCTGTAAATTTGCGAGCATTTATGTTGCAATCTACATTTTACATATTTAATTTATGACCGATTCTTCTTTCGCTTTCGACTTTTTCTTCTTTTTGCTTTTATTTTTGAAACAACAATGTGCACTGTGTCGGCGAAATGCGATGCGATGCGCAAATAAAAAGTGCAATTCTTCCACTCAGACAATGAACCGCAAAAATTATTCTGAGCGTTCGTTCATTCTCTCTGATTTTCTCTTTTGACCGGCGATAATATTTTATTCTTTCAATCTTTTGCAAATTATAGTCTAAATATTGAAATTTGTTGTCTGTTGCGTATATTTAATGTACGTACAATATGAGAATCGTCTCGGTTTCTCTCCCTTTCATGTGTGCTGCTTCGTCGCTTACATCCTGTATGGTTGTTTTAAAAAAGAAAGAAAAATAAATGGAATTAAACATAAAAGTCATTGAAAAGTATCGTTCTTGTCTGCTGTATTTAATGTACATATTGTGAGGCATAAATGCCTACGAATTCATGATGCGATCTTTTATTCTTCTGTACTTGAAGTGAAGTAGGTCAGTGCCTTGAATTTTTAGACCCTTTTCATGCTTTCCATCAGCTCTCTTGCAATGGCAATATAAAAATTAATGTGAAGTAGTTTATATAAGATGGAAATATGTTGATGGAGACTAATATGTAAGTACGACAAGAAGAGACTTTCATAAAAACGTAGTGTATGACATTTCAGCACTTCTGCCGTTGATATTTTTCTTTCTGTTGATGTTGTTGTTGTATTGCTTCAACTGCAATATAAAACAACAAATTGCGTTGCGGAAACATTCTAAAGGCTAAAATAGAATGCAAATCTAAAGATGATGATCTAACAGTTGTCATTGAATTGTATTCATCATTCACGTCATTGAAATCTGATAAGCTGTGAGTGAATCTTCTCGGGGGAGTAGTCGACAGAACTATAATTATTGAAACATAACTGACCATTATATTGTTTTATAGTCTCAATGTCATCATAAAAAATAATTGACTCATTTGAAGAGCAATTACATTGAATTCATTTCAAGTTTTTTTTTTCATTTAGCTTTTCCGCATTTGTTCGGAAAAGTTTCGTGAGAAAAGTCGTCAGTATCAAACGAGTTCTTGTGATGAAGCGAGCGCAACGAAACAGAATTTATTTGCTTACTAATATTTGACGTCATTTTTCATAGCATCGCGTTCTCGAGGTAACCAGAAATAAAAAAAAAATGAATATTATCAACTAATGTGAATGTTGGCATCACGTATACGTACACATTTTCGAAACGAATCAACGAAATACGGAAGGACATTCTCATTATTATCAATTTGTAAGAATCAGTTGAAAATCTCATCAAGACCATTCGAGTCGTGTAAACACGCCCCAAACGCGAGAGGTCTTTATTTTAATTAAAACAAATAAAGCTTCAGCTCACGCAGTTACATTGACATCACATGTTTTTGTCATCTTTAAATCTCATCAATGAGTCTTCAGTTTTATGCAAATCTTTTTTCTTACTCAAAACAATCAACGGATCTTGTTCAATAGCAAAACTAAAGAAAAAATTTAAATTACTAGCGTCGATGTTTGACTACGAAAAACAACCAGAAGTTGAAGCATCGTCAATGTCTTTATTCTACGGTTCGAATCCGTATAGACCATGAGCTTACGATTGCCTATTGCCTTCTGCTTATTACTGCAAGGATTTTTGTTTCGTCTTGTTAGCGTTTTGTGAACAACGATGACTTCTCTAGTCAACAACGCGCTATTAAAACAGTTCATCTTGAAACAAAGTCAAGAGATATGAATAAAATATATCAATGAATTGAAGATATTTTTATGGATGTCAATTTTCGACAGTTGACAGCAAAAAAAAAAGTTGCGGAAATTGAAATGTTCTTTTTACACCTTACCTTAAATATGTTTTATGCAAATTTCATCGACAAAGATTCGAAAGGAAATAAGAAATAGTAAAATTAAAAGAAAAAGAAACAATGGGAGAAAATGAACAAGTTTTCACATAAAAGCAAAACCCGATTGTTAAATAGCAGAATGTCAATTAAAAGTTTTAAATGTGTTTTACCAATTCCGAACATCCCTCCTAGGTAGTCGTGTAGAAGGTAGACATGCTTTCTGTTTTATCATTTTCACCATCGTTAACGACATGATGTAAATGAAAGTCAAAAGCCACAAAGTGAAATTACAATTTTCAACAATGAATGATGCTTCTGCTGTCCATTCGCATTTGTTGTGAAACTTTTTTTATTTTGTTTATTTTATTTCACTTTTTAAGCGCTGGATCCGTTCTCGCCCCAAAAATAATAAACGAAAAGAAGATTTTTCGACTGACGGAACAAAGAAAACAATTTCTCTTGTTTTTTTTTTTCATTTGGTCGTGTTAAAGTTGCTAGCATAAGCAGAGAAAAGCAGGAAGTGTAGCATATTTACATCGCTATGATGGCATGTGTCATTTTAAAGTCATTAATTTGAAAATAAGTAAAGAAAAAAGAAAAGAAAAAATTTGCATATCGTTTTCATTTGAATTCAAATATATCGCGTACTCATTGCAACAATAAAACCTAATTTATCATAAAGAATTCAAATCGAATGAAAATGTAAAGAATTGCACTTCAAGTTATTTTATGCATGTCCTAGAAAAAGGCAAAGCTTTTTATCTTTCATGTCTGTCAACTTTTATCGACATTCAATAGAAGGCAGAAGGAATAAATGTTCAAAAATCCATTAATTTTCCTTTATCTTATTTACTGCTAGACTGTTTCAAAACATTTATTTATTTTATTGGAACAAACACTCTAGTGCTCAATGTAGAACTCAATAATTAAAAGGCTATCTAAGTAAAAAGAAGTGAATTGGAATAATAAAAAAACTTCACTGGATGCAGTTTATTCAAATAATAAATAAAAAAAATGAAAGCCACGTTTTCTAAAAGAAAACTTAATCGTTTAATTTTGATGTTCGCTAGGGTCTGCTTGTTAGTTTGAAAAGAATTGGAAATTTCATGACTAAAAGTGAAACTGAATGAGATGTTTTTAATTCATGATAAATTGGAATGTAAAATTTTCTTGGCAAGGCATGACACATAAGTGAAAATGTCTCTAACAGTACTTAATCAATCATATGTGACAAGAGATAAATGAAGTAAATATGAAATTCCAGCATTAAATGAACTTTACTAGACATAAATTTTTTCGCAGTTGCATAACAATTCGACAATTTTCCGTGTTTATATAATGGTTTATGCATGTTTGTTTTTTACAATATATATTTCTCCTCGATTAATTATCTTACATTGAGCAAATTGAAAAACAAAATAAAATTTTTAAAGTATGTTTGCATCATAAATCAAACTCTGAAATCAAAGTCAATAACTGTGAGATTTAATCGAATAATTTTAATTGGTTTGTTCCTATTTAAGTCATCATTTTACGGTCATTTGGTATTATTTATTTTTAAAAATTTTAAGTTGCGGTAATCGACACTTGACGTCATGACTCGAAGAAAAAAATATTTAAAAATCCTTCGTATGATACTCTTGTGAATTGAACATTCATTTAAAGCTTAAATCTGTCTAACCCTGACCAACCGCAACAGTCATGAGCCAGATGATTACTCGCTAAAGTTAAGTACTCAACTACACAAATTTTTCAGCTTGTGCCGAAAATGAAAATGAGGTGGTAGTGTCGAGCGATGAAAAGAGGTGTTTATATAAACATCAAGCAATAAACAGCTATGAAATGTGGTTACAGCCAATTCTCTCAACACTCAATTTCACTACTATGATATTTCACATTTTTATTTCAACTCTTTTTTTAATAAGTTTCGTATGTAACGCTCCAATTTACATTTCGGACAAATGAATTCACGAATTCATCATTTTCAGCACAAAGCAATGATCACAACGATTTCGAGAAAGTGAAATTTGATATTATCCATGAAAATTGATCATGTGTTGAATTTTTATACGAAATTCATCAATCAAAGATAATTCTTAAATGTTAAAGTGGTACGGGAAATGCTAGCATGTCGTTTGTGAATGAAATATGTCAAGCCACAGGAGGCAAAAGTTCAGTTCATATTTCCTACATTTTTTTTTTGTTCGGTTTCTGCAAACCATCAAGAATGTCCTTCAGTTCAGATCAGGCTGTTACCAAAGCTGAATTCCATGAAAAACCTTTCTATTAAATATTAAACATCAAAAAAAGGGCAAAGTGTGTCTTCTTGTTAAATCATCAAGCTTTATATTGTGAAGTAGCTTTCATCGTCTTATATTTTTCTTCTTATTGCTTTATTTCTTTTTCTTCATAACAACATCGACAGGCGCTTTTGATGCCTTTGGCATCAATTTAATTTTCGTTTTCTCCTTTGCTAACAAAATTAATCAAAATTGACATCTCTTCCGTGACTTACGGTTGATAAGTGCTTGACTAAGACCGACGATCTGAGAATAATGGAAGTTTCAACGGAAGAAAAAGCAAGTTGATTGAAATCGAATCATGTGAAATCTGGTGAAAAATGCGGTTAATACTCAATTGTTTATAAAGCGTGTGTAACAATTTCCATTATGTTGTAAGACGAGCGCGTTAAATAAAAAAAAATGCTTTGAGTTCAATTTGAAACAACAAAAAAAACTTTCATTTTCATTTTTTATGTTGCTCAATTACATTTTATGGATTGAAATTTCTAATGAACGAAAATTGCTTCTTTTAAAATGAATATATTTATTATCGAGATGAAAGATCGGATCATTGTGCGGAAGTTCCGAGTGTAGTTGTTGAGATTTATATCTTTATGTAATACTTTCATGCAGGTTTGCGCATTCATATTACACACAAGACATTTACTTAATTGACATGACTTTTGTTAAATTACCAACAAGATTTGTCTCTTTCTCTTTTTAAAACGTTATGACGAATTTATAAATTAACAGAATTTATGTCACAACCATGAATTATCTTCCATTTATTAATGTGAAATACTCTGACAAATAATACGAAAAGTTTTCTATCTGATAACATTAGCTAGCAATGACGCAAAAGGCACGTGTTTGTATAAGGAAAAATATTTATTTTTCATGAAAACAGCTGCTAAGATTTGCGACACAATTACAATCTCATCTCATCTTAACTTAATTTGTTGATGATTATTTTATTACATTTTCATCGCTTTTACTGCTCTCACCTTTGCTTAACGCCTCAATATTTTATAATCTAGAACACGAAGCGGACAAAGCTTTCGTTTTGTATCCCAATAAAGAAAAAAAACGCCTCACATCTGAAGATGTCTTATCACGTTTCTGTCCATCTCACTTTCACATAATTGCAAAAAAAACCGCCGTATTTATTTTATGCTAGACGCCATTTGAACATACTACGAAGGAGTAGTTGTTAATTGATTAAGTGTAATAGCACATGGCAGTATGTGAAATCATTTTGTTTTGTTATGTTTTCTTTTCTTTCAAATAAAAGTAAGAAAGAAGGCAAAAGACTCCAAACGCGGCAACAATTTAAAATCAATAAAATTATTCAAAATCTAAAATTGAAAGTTCTTGAGCGAGAAACTTACACGAGGCAATTTAATTGCCATTTTTCGCGGTCTTAATTTTTTCCTTCATTTAGTAGATTGAGTCAAGGGCTCGTCGAGGAGCGTGCTCAAAGCCAATGTAAACCCAGATCAAGCATCGAATGTTTTCCATTATTGTTTTCAAGTTACAACCAACACAAACATAGAAGAAACATTCATAAATTGTTGCTCTTTTCGCTCTCTCTCACTAACACTACTTCGTGATATTTGTGATGGCGAGCAACAGCCGAGAAAATAATTTTCTCAGAGCGGAATCAGTTTCAGTTGAACTATCGAAGCGGTTGCGTCTATCGCGTTTTTCGTGTGTCGATAATTCTCCATAAAAGTATTTTAGTAAAAGCTTTTTCTTTTTTTTCCTGTGTTTCGCACTGATTTGGCGGAAAATTAATTTTCATCACCCGGAAAAATTCAAATAATTTAAGGAGAACGTTTAACGGTTAAAGAAACGTTTAAACGGTGGAAACGTACAGCAGGCAGTTCAAAAAACAAGAATCTTAAGAGTCCTTGACACCAACGAGATTTTCTGCTTTGTACGTCCTTGATTTCGACGAACGCTACTAAGGCGCTTCTGCTCCAAATCAAGAAGTTGTTTTACTGGAAGGCCTGTCACACATTGTCATTTAAAATATTCTGAAGTAGACATAGGAAACTAAGTAGAAGATACATTTTTCCAAACTCATACAACAAGAAGAACAAGCAAGGGAGAACTGAGAAAATCTTTTTCATCTCGCAAATTCGATTCATGTGTTTGATTCTCAAAATCGTGTCGTAGAAAAGTGAAGGCAATTTAAAAGTAGAAAAAAGCTCGCAAAACAATACAAATAAAAAATTGAATAAAACATTCTTGAATTCTAATCCGGAAAAACCTTGGAATGAGAATAATACAAGCATCAGCATAGAGTAACTTCAATCGTATGTGTTAATTAGGCGAATAAATTTTTACGATTCTTTTTTCATCTTCGTTTTTAACGAGATTTTTATCAGTAATTTTTTGGTGTGTGGAAAGCAAGAGCCTCACCGACATTAATTTTCGGCCACAAAAATATTTTTCGCGAAAGGTCGGACAGATACAATTGTGGATGTTATCAAGAACAGTCGTGAAGCTTCAACACGAAACAAATAAATATTAAAATAAAGATAAAATATAAAGTGAATGAAAAAAACCATAAAGCTAAAAAATAATTAAGCTTGAAAAATTGTGAAGAGAAAAAAAAAATTTTTTTCCAACAAATTGAGAAAAAAGAGGCTCGGGAGTGAGAGAAGGAAGTAATTTTGTGAAAGTTGTTTCAAGCACATCAGAGAAGAAAAGAAGAAAATAAAGTAGAAAATTATAATAATTTTAAAGTGAAATCTAAGCGATCACAATAAAGGAGAGAATAAAAAAAGGTTTTACATGTTGAATTGTGACAAAAAACAAAAGACGAAAGAATTTAGGAAGAGTTTATTAACAGAATCGTGAAAGGAAAATAAATTGGCCGTGAATAAAGAAGTATTCACGCCACTTCCGTGAAAAGCTCAACGCTTCGGCGATAAAAAATTGTTTTTCGTAAACATTTCTTTCCAATATTCTACCCCGTAAATTAGCCAAAGTGGATACTCTGGCACTATCCGGCTTATCACATGTTAGGATGGCTCTGGCAAGGTAATGATAACGAACAATAAAACACATTTATCAGCTATTGTTGATCACCCAACCATGATTAAATTATTCGAGTCAAGCCCTCATTTCACCAGAAAGAGTTTTCACACAAATATGGAAATTAATGAACTTTTTTTTCATATTCTTTCCCAACTCTTACTTTCACTTATCATCATTACGTGCCATGTTGTGTTGTGAATTTATTTGAGTGTGTGTGAGTTCTTCGGCTTTGTCGGCACATGGGAATGTAATGATTTTTCTTTTCTTTGTTTTTTTGTGAAAGTTTTCTTCTTCCTCTCATTTTCACTGTCGATTTAATGGCAAAATGTTTATTAAAAACTTTATTTGAAAGTTAATGTGATGATGATTAAGTTCTGAGATGTTTTACATAAAAATTTGGAGTGAGAAATTGTTTTTTGTTTTTTTTCATTTCAATTGTGTTTGCTTTTGAGTGTAAACCACATTTGATGTACCCAATAAATTTAGTTCGTCACTTGAAATGTGTTTGTTTGCTCTCACTAAAAAAATGAGGTAATTAAATCACTTCCTGCTTAAAAAATAAATTCATTCAATTATAAACTTTATTTTTGGGTAAATAAAGTGAATTTCTTTAAACATGACATAATATTTGAATAATAAGCATTTTTTTTATTTATTATCAATATTATTGACATCATTTCTGTTAATTTGGCAGCGGTTTTTGCAATCGGATATTTGCACTCGATTTTGCTTCTCAATCAATTTCATTCTTTTTCTTTCGTTTTCTTCGCTTCGATGTCAAGAGCATTTAAAGGAGATTGAACTTGAAAATCAATTAGCTCATCAGAATTTTTAATGCTGATAATGCGATTATTATTAGTTGATTATTGCACAAAGCAAAGTCTTTTCATTTTCATCGTAAAACATATTTTTATGTCTATAGAAGTGAACTTTTTTTATAAATATATTAAAGTTCTTACATGCACTCTTCAAGCCACTGCACGTACTACACACAATTGTCTTATCGTTCGAGGTAATCCAGACGCTTGTTCATTGACTGAAGCTGCTCGAGTGAAACATAAATCTATCTTCACATTAATTAACATCAAGCGTGGTGATTCGCGAATGAAAAACTTTAAGAGCGATGTTGCCATCATCAGCCATGTAAAGCAAAGAAAAAGAAGAATAAAAATATGTGAACTCGAATGAAGAAAGAAAATTGAGAAAGAAGCCAAGGCAAAGTTAAAAAAGATTCCTCGAATCCGATTGTGAATTCTTATTCTGTCTGCTCAAAGACCTTGACAAAGGGTCATTTAGAATCATTCACCGCTCGTACAATTAAGAAGCGTAAGAAACACGCTATGAAGGATGATGGGCATAGAGACAGCAACAACATGAGAGAATATTTAAGCAAATATATTTATGTGATGGAAGAAATAAGAAACAAGCTAGCAAATCCAGCAAAATACGAAACAAAATTGAAAACGAAGGAAAAAGATATTAGATATTCTAACAACATTCCTTTTAATTCGTTTTCTTCTTCATGTTCTTATCGCGAATATTTATTTCTTTCTTTCTTTTTCCTTCCCTTGGCTGCTTTTGAAATTTTATCGTTTGCCACTTCTTCTCCTTCACCTTTTCGAATGAAGACGATGAAGGGAATAATTGGAAAGGCTTGGTCAAACGAAGAACATTAATCCAAAGACTTTTCGATTTGATCGCCTCGTAAATTTATCATATTTTGATTGCACAATTTCTCCTCTTTAATTTTTATTCTCTTATGGAATCGGAAGATAACTTGTGGCGTTGAATGCTAAGCTTGTTGTGACAATAAGCCCTGAAAGTAACATGTTGCATTTAATCGAGATATTTATGTTGAAAATCTTTTTCATTCTTCTCAAGGAGAATCTCGATAAATATAAGAAGAAGGATGATGATGATGATGATGAAGACGAAGACTAGCGAAAAGAAAAGAGACAGAGAAAGAGAATGTGAAGAGGATCTTGAACCAATCAAGGTCATTCCGTATGCGAATGCGAATACCAAGCGACAAAGCTTTTAAGCCTGACGCTTTTCACTTGACTCTAATGATGGCCCTCATTTATATATCCATCAACCGGCTTTTACATGTGATAATCTGAGTAAATTGTTCCAAAAATCTCAATTTGAAAGATACTTACAAGTGAGATGAAAAGAAGAAAACATTCGCAGTTTGGTTGAGGAAAGCGATCAACTTTTTCTTTAAAAATTATTGGTGCGTGAATCTTTATCGGCATAGCTTGTGAAGCCATCGCAAATTACTCAACACATACCATGAAAACGCACGAAATTAATTTAAGATGAAGAAATATTATTCGAGTTGTGCGTATGATAAAAAAAACTGAGCTAAAGTTATAAATTTTTTTGCGATTGTTTTCACCGCTATGCTCAGTGTTTTCATGGCTGTTTTCATTTTAAGCACAAAATTATCTTCTTCCCGAAACTTAAAAGAAAAATGTTCGAAATTTCAAGGAATTATTTTGAGAACGAAGGAGATAAGAAGAAGTTGTCAATAATTTTTGCGATTATTACAACAGTTGATAAATTTTTAAAGTGCTTTTTAGTTGGTAAATTGACAGTTTTATGTTAAAATGTGAGAAGTTTAAGTTGTTATCAAACATAAGTTGTCAATTACAAGAGCTTGCTAAAATGCAGGAATCAATTTGTTGTGGACGTGCAAACATCGCTTCGCATTAACATAAATTAGCCACTTGATCATGAAGGCGAAATCGACTCGTTTTATGAGGCGTGTTAAAATTGTTCGAAATTCACTTTCAAATCATGATGAGAATGAGTTAAAATCCTCTTAATCATTAAATTTTCTTCTTTTTCTCCATGACTAAATATGATTTGTTGGCTTTTATTATGATGTGAAATTTATAATTAGACTCCCTGACAACATTGAAACACGACAATCAACCAGACAGTTTTCCCCTTTGTTCACTATTGTTGAGGGTCTCACATTCTCTTGAAGCGCGATAAATTGAATTTATTGAAAATAACGAAATACTTTTACTAGTTGTCGCAATTGCACTTTCACTCTCCATCAATTGATTACGATTTCGCGGATTATTTGATATGGAAAGTAAAACTTTCAGCAATAAAATCGCTTTTTTTCTTTAAGAGAATAAAACAACAAAAAAGAAGTTTTTTTCGAACGTCTTTTGAGGCGCTTTTTAATCTAGCAAAGTATGTCAATGAAACAGAAAAAATTAAAATTGTTCACAGGCCTCCGAAATATATAAAAGCAAAACGCCAGTGAGAGAAGGAAAAAAAATAATAAAAAATGTGTAGTTGCGGGACGTTTTGAATGTGTGTGGTTGATGTTGAGTTCCCAATAAAATGACTGATGGCAGTGCAGTGTGCGTGATGTTGTTTTCTTCTCTTTACTAAAATATTTCTTGATTCGCAAGTTGGTGAATCTCGTCATGCTTTTTCTCTTGATAATATTTCGGAGATATTTTTTACTTACTAGGTTAGTAGATAGTGAAGATTCAAGAGGGGAAGGAAATAAATGACAAAAGACTTTTGATGGGGAGAAAACTGTTTCTATGTCAAATCCGGCGATATGTGAAAATGTAATTAATCTCTCTTATAAGTATCTCGTCCCTAAATATTTATCACAAACGTTTTTTTTATGTTTAATGTTCAATGAAATGAACAACAATTTCCAAAATCGAATATGACGATTTCTTAATTATATTATTCTCTGTTTCACATCGAAAGCAAATGAACTCAATTGTCACTTTATCAATAATATTGGAAACGATAGCACAATTCTTCTCCAAGGAAAAAGAAAGAAAAAAACCGGGGAATGAGCTCACGAAAATGTGACGAAACTGCGATAACAATCGATTTGATTAGCTCATAAAATCGAGTACGGTGACCAGAGATGGGGAATGTGATTGCTGATAAGAAAACGTAAAATAATTTGGCACAAAATTGATGTCAGTTACAATTGAAGGTATTGTGTTCTTCAACCTACTTACATCAGCTAAGTCACCATGTGCTATTAATCCCCAATTTTCCCTTTTGCTATTCCACTCTCTCCCCCATTTTCCGGGGTTGACATCAAAACGAAAAAAAAGAAAAGTTTTGGTAGGAGAAGTTTCTAGCATGCGCGTTACGACAAATGAAAATCTCTTCGAAGTGAATGAGGTTGAAAACGTTTTGTGAAGCATCTTACGATGGAAATCTGCTTGTCTTAAAGAAGATGGTGATTATTAATGAATCTGTTGCCTAGAGCGAAAAAAAACTTTTTAGATTTTTTTATTTTTTCCATGAAAAAGAAATTATTTGTGTTTTAAGTTGCGAAAGAAGGAAACTGTTGAGTGAAATTTCATTGATTCTGTAATTGAAAATTATGCTTCAAAAGAAGGCTTTGGATGAGTTACATTTAGATATTTGAGTTCTCCCTTTCATTTCTTCCCTTCACCATATATTAAACATTCCCCTCCAACTCTAAAACTGTACGATTCACAATTGTAAAGGTAATGGAATTGACTATAGGGGGACAGTATAAAGGAAACAGGGTTTCCATGTGTACATAAGCGATAAGGGTTCAAAATTCGAATAAAAACGTTTTCAAACACTTCCAATATCTGAGTTAAACTGAATTTTTCTGTGGGGGAGAAGAAACAAAAAACAAATGGAATTTGCTACAAAATAAGATCATTGACGTCGCTTACTTCTCTTTCCAACTGTTATTAATGTTTGTTTCTTCGGTGATTATTTTTTATGATTATGATTTCTAATGAAAGAAATTTTTCTAATATTTTTGGATCTTTATTGTGTTATAATATTGTTGAATATAAAAATAATGATTATCGATTACAAATTGATATAAAACTTTTAATATTTATCTTTTGTTTATTTCAATTAATCTTTATTCAATATCTTTTTTATGGATGAGATAATTTAATTGAGAATACTTTGTTGATATTTCCTCCAGGAAAAGCTTCGAGAAGGAAAATATAAAATAATGAAAAATTCTCTCTATCGTTATCTCATAAAGTTCAAAATCAGCGTTAGCAACATGTTAAATAATCCATTTTCCCTCTTGTTGTATGAGAATCCTTCGCGATGTTGAAGGAAGTTAATTTATTCCAGCTTTTCCACCATTCTTTGTCTGTTTTTAATCTCACTTCCCAAGTATAAAGCGGCGGTGGCTGTTGGGTTCTTTATAGATGTTTTTAATATTCATGTAGCATTTATCGACCCTTCTGTTTCCGAAATGGTGTTCCTTCATTCTTTTTCTACATTGTGGAGCGAGAAATGGGAAAATTTAAAACAATTTTTTTGTATCCAATCCATCGAAATGAAGGTTTTCTTTCAAAACGTAATTCTCTTAGTTGAGCACATGTTTACTACCATTACATTACTTTTGTAGACATGCCGGGAGCGGTTAACAAACAGAATTTTATATTCTCATTAATTTAGATATTTCAAAGATAAAAAATATTCGTTTTCTGTTAAAGCTTTACTTGTCGCAGATTTAAATAATTTAAATGAAAAACATTAAATTTGAAATTGAAGATTTTTTTTGTCATTGCGAATTTAAAAACCCATCGAAGTGAAAGTAAAATTAATTCAACAGACCCACAGAATGTTTTTTTTATCAGAAAGCTTTCAAAATGTTGGATACTTTCCACTGCCCTTTTCGGTTTGAAGCGGAACATACCAAAAGCAAGCGACGAAGGGACGATGTGAAAGCTTATTATAGAAAGCAGTTTAGTTGAATGCTTATATGATGTTTAAACATTCTCTTTTTTTGCTATACTATTACTAGTGCAGTTTAGCAGACAAAATAAGAGACAACGGAAAGCAAACAGAAGAATTGAACATATTTGAAGAAGATGGGAATATACTGTGAAAAAGGAATAAACATTTAATGCTTACTCGTAGCCTTCGAGGGTGGTCCAAGTCGAACAAATATTCGAGATCTTCTCTACCGTGAAAATGCAATCACTTCTTTGGAACGCACAGAAAGTTTGTTTAGGAAAGGCAAACGAATAGATTGGACCACATATTATGATTTTTTTTATTCTTTTTCTCGTTCAATTTGTTTAGTGCAAGGATTTAAATCATTCATCTTGTTTTTCTATACTGTTGATGATTGAAACAAAAATTCAATAAATTTGCATTGAAACCTTTTTTTGTTGAAACGCTGTGACGGCCATTAAATGATATTTGAAGTGAATCAAAATATAAATTTAAATCTAGCGCAACTTTTTTTCCTTTTAAATTGAATTTAAATATAAAATGAATTAATGAATTGGCGGTAATTGAACCAGGAAGGTAGAATAGACTGTAAAGGTGATGACTAGGTAAAAATTATTAACGATATTTACGAAGCGGATGTCGCTGCCACTGCTTCATTTGCCATTTAATGTTTTATTAATAACTTTTAAATCCACTCTTCACCTCTAGTTTGTTCGATTGTTGATGTTTTTTTTCTCGTTTTTGAGTCGACGACAAACGGATGGAATATTGAGGCACGCTACCATTTTCAAATCCCGTTCTCTCAGCTGATTTATTTTCCTTTACCACAAAAACGCAGTTGTGTGATGCTGAAATAATAAAATAAGTCTCGGAATAAATTAACTTGTTAATTCATCAAGCGCTAATCTGCTTGGCTGTGTGGTTCCACTTCGTATGCTTTAATTTGTTTGAAATCAATTTGTGCTTCAGATTACCGTGTTGACCTTGCAACCAACACAACTGCACGGCGAGAGCTCTCTGCAAGCCATTTAAGTAAACTGTCCGAGTCATCTAAAGTCTCACTTGATGATTAATCATCATAATTGATAGCGATCATCACCATGTGAGAATGGGCTTGTGACCTAAATGCCCCAACAATAACCCGAAAAAAAAACGCCAGCAACTCGATTCATCAGCGCATTGTGTGTGTTCTCAATTTTTTTTATTTTGAGTGCTTATTGTTTAGTTTTTTTTTTGGAACGGAGAAGTTTGAACTTCCTCCTCGCCTAAATTTTTGACCAAAGATATTTGACGAGTGAAAAGTGAAACCTAATATCGAAATACTTTTTTATTTCTTTCTTTTCTCTGCTCTGAAAGCTCATTAATTATGAGTAAGAGTTGAGTTTTCTCAATCATACCACTAAGAGCTGCGAGCTGAGTTGTTTCGTTCAACTCAATTGTTGCAATTTTTCTGTTTTCGTCTGTGTCAATGTGGGTCAAAATGAAGTTGCTTTAAATTCGGATCAAAGATATTTTTTTACTGCTTTTTTATTGATTTCGAAGGACATTTTCAATAAAAGTCGATACTTTTTCTGAGCTTCATTTCTTTATTGTTAATTTTCGATGTTCACAAGCAATTAAAAAGAAGAGAAAAAATCGAAAATTTCTTAAGCAATCAACGTTGAGTTTTAATTTTTCATTAATTATCTACTTGACTCTGTTTTGTCGAAGTTGAAAACATCGTTTAAATTTCAGTTCCAATTAAAAAACGATAAATTTCCTTTCTTCAAAGTGTGGCAAATATTTCACTCATTAACATATTTTTAAGAATTAAAAGAAAATATTTTTACTGTAATTAATACTCTGAATTATTTCCTTCTTTCCATTTCAGGTAAGCGAATCGTTCGATATCTTATGCGTGCAAAAAACAAGCAAATGAAACACTTTCGAATGAAATTAATGCTACTGTTCAATCATCAAACACCTTAAAAGGCTTGAGTGAGTTTTTGTGGGCTTGAAGTGGTAAGCAATACTTGACCATTTATCAAAAGCGATGTGAGAAAAAACAAATTGAATCTTTAACTTTAATAAATGTTTTTATATTCGCAACAACAACGATCATCGTCTAATTTTGAAAAAAACAGAATGAAGAAAAAAACTCGAGACAAGGTCAGACAAATTTGTAAAAAAAATTGTGCAAAATACAATCAAACTAAAATTTGTTTTTTGCTTTCTAACACGATCAAAGGAATAAAAAATTGTGTTCGTGTGATGGAAATTTTTCCATTCATATTTTATACAGAAAGTTCCATGACCAATGAAAATGGTTTTTCTTTAGAAATTTCACATTATTTGCACAAGTTTAGATGTTGTTGGATGCCGATGTTCTCACAATGAATGGCATATTGACGACTGTGCTTCTCACTCCATCGACACTTCACGTGTTCTCCACCGCATGCGAAAAAAAAAATTTAATTAAGAAGAAAACAAATTTTCCGACCGACTCGTAAGTCGCAACGAGAATGTCAAGGATAAAACTTACGTCACGAGGCTGCTTCTTGTTTCACATTTCACAAGCAATCAAAGAAAAATAAGTTCTAAAAAGTTTGAAATTCCACCTCAATCGTCGAGGTGCTCACGAAGTTCATGAAAAAGCAATTTTACGCGAATCAATTTGATGGAAATTATTTAAAGTTCAAGGATAAAATGACGAGTGAAATTAAACCTTTCAACTTCGAAGGTTGAATTTGAGGTCGAAAAAGGACAGAATATTTGAATTTGAAAGATCAGACACTCGCTCAACTCCACAATTTTTAAGATTCTCAGACGACTTTTATCATCGACATCAAAATATAATGCAGCACGAGTGAAATATTTCCCATTTATTTTTGTTATTGCACTATAAAGACGTCTCGCCAGAACCGACGACGATAATGATAGTTTTACTGCATATTTTTTGTGGGATTCCTTTGGTGTGTCATTCACATTGACTTTGTCGGTTTGTTCGCGTTGACCGGCAATGATTCATCGCATCAGATCATTCATATGATGATTCGTGAACATCTTAAGAGAGCAAGGAAAATAACGCCTTTGTCGACTAAATATCTTTTAAATTAAATATTCATTCACATTCGTACATCATCTTATTGTGACTTTTTCTTGTTATTGAAATTTCTTTGGAATTTCGTCGAACGCGAGTGCAAACAACAAATGTCGGAGAAACAGAAAATATTTTTTAAACGATGCCATTTGAAGGTGAACTCGCTCAGAATTTTATTTTCGGGAGTCGCGCAAAAAGAACATTTTTTTGTTTGATTAATATTCAAGGTCATTGTACTGATATCGCTTCGTCTGACGTTGGATTTATGTCTACACTTTCAATGTGAACTCAATGAAGAAAAAAACGGCTTAAAGTCTGTTTTATTATTCCATGTTAATATTTCTGTTGTTGACTGCTAAACATCGTCGTCCTTGATGGTTAATTTAGTTGTCAGAATTAGAACTGGCCTCATCATCATCAATATCGTCGGACGATTGTATTTGAGGGCCTTGACCTTGACAGCCAGTTGTACTGTTTCCACTTCTTACTTCTCACATGAATATATTCTTGTATCGACTCTTCATACCATTTTAAACAGACAATGTCGAGTGTGTGTGCGTCAGTTCATGATTCTTTCTTTTTTACATATTCTTCACTATTATCATAAATATTTATTCCGGATTGCAAACGACAAAGACTCGCTTTCGTGTTGTTGAATGTCATAAAAAATTCTCTTTTTTTCATTAGAAATAAATTTGTTTTCAAAGCTTAAACGCAAATGTCCACATTGATCGATTGTCGTCGGTAATGTTTACATGGTTAAACATGGAAATAAACTCAAGGTCAGATTAAATCTAATTATCAGCTCAGTGTCATTTATTTTCAGCTTTTTTTTTGTTCTTCTTCTTACAGATAGAATTCAGTAAAGTTAAGCACATGCTTTATCGTTTCGCGTGCAAAAAATTCTTTTTTTTTCTTCATTGTAAATTCGAGTCATTCCATCTCTCTCAGTCACACTCGACCGTCTGAATGTCAACTGATGATCGAATTGCATTCGTTCCTACCATGTCATTAACATTGAATGTAATTTAAGTTGTCGAGAATATTTTTTTCTGACTTCTGAAAAGATGGGACAGGAAATCAATATTTTTTTACTTTATTATGATTCGCTGTTAAAGCTTGACGTCAGTTAAGAAGTTCTCGTGTTCAAGGCTCTTCCACGATTCAATATGTTTTATGGGATGCTCTTAATGTGGGATGAGCGTCAATAATTTGGCCTCTTATCTCATGACTCAATGTTTTTATGTGTTCCGCGTGTTTCTTTTTATTGTTCTCTGTTTACACTTTGAATATCATATCGCTGGTAGGTATTAAAACTTTTTAATTAAACCGTCAATGTGACTTTTCTAACACGAAGTATGAACCAAGAAGAAGTAAAAAAATGTGTTGAATCTCCACGTGCCTCTCATCGATTCTTCTCGTCAATATTTTGTTTACATGAACTTGTCTTGTCGAGGAGCTTTCTGTCTTAAACTCTTATTGTTGATAAAAGTTTTATTTCCATCATGTGCTGAATGTTTCTAGAAATGAACGAGGCAAATGTGAAGTCCAGAATTTTAAAAGAAAAAAGCAAAAATTATGTTCAGATGATGAGGCACGTAAAGATGTGGGATGTTTCTCGGAAGAATTCTTGCTAGTGGTTGTACATAAATGTGTATTAAATTGAATTAAATATGATTTTATGAAGATTGTGAACCGCACGAATGGTTGAAACTTGTCAAGGTTTTTTTCTTTCATTTTATCTCAAGTTTATGTTCTTTTTTTGACAGTAAAGTTTCTGATCTTGACTCTGTAATTAAACTTTAATTAATTGATAAAGAAGAAACGTCTTGTTTAATCAAAATAGTGAAAAACTTTAAAGGTTAAAAAAGCAGGAAGTATAATTGCGCAGAATCGTAGCAAGAGAAATATATCAGGAAATCTTTTTTCTTTTCGCTCTTGTTGCGCTTGTTTCGCAATAACAATTAAATTTTTGCTTCGAAATCACGACTCGTTGAATGTTTCAGTTGTGATTATCTTCTTTCTTTAACACAACAACAACAACATAAAAGAAAGAAGGAAAGAAATTGTCATTTCGTGCGCTTGCGATTTCAGTTTCAACCAGAAGTTGAATTGGAGAGATGCTTAAACATTAAAATGAATTGAAAAGTCGTCCAACTGTGGAATAAATTGTTAGTGAATGAGAAAGTCTAATTTAAAGTTTTACTTAATCTCTCATTTGTAAATCGTGTGAAATGTAAATAACAAGAAAGAAACTTCATTTCATCAAGTGTCACTTTCGTTTGATATGACAATGATGGTGATTTGGAAATTACTTTTAAATTTACTGCCGTTTCTCGGCCATTTAACCTTATGAACGTGTTGATGTTTGTCTGGTGAATGGTGATTGCTTCCTTTATAGCTTTACTCATTTAACAGAGCACCACGCTACACATAAGTAAGAAAAGAAATCACGAAATCGCTCCAGATTCTCGTCGATTCTTTACTCTCAATTTATAGTTCACGAAATGAAACGAAGATTTAAATTGTGCGGCTTGCGCTTCAATTGTCGTTGTTGCAGTTCAAATTCAAATGAAAAGCGCATGTATAAAGAGATCAAGATGTGCTACATTTCGCTCCCTTCAGTCTCATTTCGATTCGACCAAATTATAATTAAAACTTTTTTTCTTCTTTTCTTCTTCGTCTTTCAAGGAGAAATGAAATGTTGAAAGTTTATTTCTCTTCTGCTTTTTGCATTTTTGAATGAAAAGAAATGAATTTATTAAAACAAACTTTCACGAATGGGTTCACGAGACTCTTTTTTGCGAAGTGAAATTTTCTTTCAAGATTTCACCAATCAAGCTTTTGACTATTAAATCACTTTTCTCACTGCTTAATGCTTAATGCTTACAAACCTAAATGATTTGACTAAAATTTATTAGCTATGGATTGTATAGTCAATGAAAGGTTTCATCTAAGAGGTCATCAGTGATGATTTCTTTCCATATAATTTTCCATCTTGAACTTAATTTCAAATCGTTGATTAATAGCGATGGTAAGCAAAGCACACCTTGATGATGGTGGAACAAAGTGCTGCAACGATTTGAAACGAATTATGTAACAATCAATTTTAGATCAACAACCATGATGGCGTCGATTTTTTATTGATGATGATGATACCTTTATGGTCTCAATGTCCAATTTTCAATGTAAATTTATTCGGCAAGACGCCCAAAAATTTGAATAATGGGCCAAAAATATTGCGGTGGTAAAGTGAGACGAAGAAAGACAAAAGCCTTGAGGTTTGTTTTTTGCTGATTATTAATATTGCGTTGCCCTTTCCTTTATCTCAATCGGTTGTTCTTCTCGTTTTTATTTCTGATGATCCGGTGTCGACACACATTCACTATTTAAGCGAAATTAAGAAATTATGGAATTGGATTACACCAACTGGCGCACGCTGCTCTGCTGAAATCCATGGCCTAAAGCGACAACATTTTTTTTAAGGCAAAGAAACAACAAACTGGAAGTGAACCATTCGGAAATTGATTCGAAACGATTTGCACTTTCACTTGAAACTGTTGAATTTAATGTGTCAAAGTGAAACTCAATTCGAGAGTTTCCTCGACTCGAGGCCTTTCTCTTCACTTGAGGAAAAAGTTATCAAAGCGTAGGAGAAAATTCATGTTGCACGACGTTAAACAATTGAATAACATTTTTCTTAATCTCAAAATAAAATTTAATAAATGAAACTTCCTGATGTTTACACATTTGGTTGCACAGTAAATACTTGCGAAAAAGAAAGAGAAGAAGAAAAAAAATTATCGACGATGAACTGATTCGATAACTTTACTCGGATGAGAGATGTGCTATTCCACTGCCATGGTTTTGAAGCTCGCTTTTGAAATCTGTTTCATGTTAAATCATCACAATCGTGATTCGCTTTCATTTCATTACAGTCGTCGGTGCTCTCGTTTAAACTGGCTCGTTATCATTAAATATATATTTTCGCTTCTTATGCTTTCAAACTTTTCATACGAAATGAAAATGCTTCTTGTGAACATGCTGATCGCTTTTAGTTTGTGCGTTTATCTCAACTTATATTTATCAATTATCAAGCTAAGTCAAAGCACAACAAAAAGCGATGTTCATGCACAATGGTAATAAATAATTAAATGGAAATAGTCATTAAAAATTAAGATTTTCCCTGTCGATAATTTCATTTTATTATCTTCCTTTCATGCATTCAATGCATTCACGACTAATCGCGTCTTTATCCAAACCAAAACATTTCATTAACGCTACAAATAAAAGATTATAAATGGTTGATATCAATAGAAAGTTAATGTTTTCATTATCTCAATCATTTCCAAACATTTCTTGGTGATATAATTGGTGAAAACTTTTTTTTTCCTTCTTTCTTTCTCTATGGTTTGGTTGCGCTCACTGTACAATTATGCAATGCGCAAGAGCTGTGAATTAAAGCAATAATATCACCTTCTTTCCTTTCTCTTCTATCCTGGTCTTCAATAAATTATCTTGTGATGAAATTTCATTAAAAACATTTGTGTGTTGCTTGATACTTACTTAGTCACCGCTCTCCTTTGAATAGATGACGTAAAATCCCCATCAACTTGAAAGTAATGCAAAGTTAATCACTTTCTATGTGATGTGCTTTGAGTAAAAGTCACGAATTTAATGGGAAACATAAATGGCTTGTTTAGCGAACTGAAACTTGGACAGCTTTCAAACTTTATTGTCTTTTAAAGTTCATAATGTTTCACTTTGTCATCTTCGCACTACATCGAATTGAAAGTCTCGCGTGCGTTAATTTTAACTTAATCACAATTTAACTACAACGAAACGAAGTAAAAAGAAGAAAACTCAACGAGCATAAGGTTGTTGTGTAAAAACAGAAACTTTCTACTGATTTGTTGTTGCTGGCTTGGATCCACAGCGATTTGTAGTCTCAACATTATTTTCGGTTAATGTGTACATAATAAACCATTAATTTAGCTATAAAGCCAGCTCATTGTGTCGCAATGGATTTCGGTTGCAATAATTCATTTAATAATTTAATTTATGGAATCTGATGTTCGCTGCTGCTGCTCCACTCTTTGTCATCCCTCTCCACGTAATGAATAATCACAAAAATCTGTTCATTTCGGTTCTCTGTGGTTGTTTCTTGAATTCAGCTTTTGGGGGTTAAAGTGGATGAATTTAAGTGAACAAAATTTATATTTTATGCTTATTATTTTGTACTGCTTTTTGGGGGTTGGAAATGAATGAAATTTTACTCTTGAGAGTGCCTTCGCAGAGGGCAGAGAGCAGAGGTAATCACTCCTTCTTATCTTTTTTTATCCTTCTGAAGTTTTAAATTACGTAGGAAGAAACTTCAAGGAAAATTCTTTAATCCTTGAAACGATTAAATAAGCAAGGATTACGAAGAGAAAGTTGTCGTTTTTATTTCCTTCTTTCATTCTTTTAAGCGCAAATTCTCTCGCACAAAACAAACGATGAGAAATCTTTGGAAGGATCTAAAAATATGCCGAACTCAATGAGATTTTCTTGGCTTTATGGATGAATGTTTATTTGTTTTCTTATCAGGTAGTTGGCAGGGATACTTCATTTCGAGGTCACAAATAAAGGATCTCTTCGCTTTCTCATACTAAATAACTAAATCGAGGTCGTTCTGAATATTCTTCCGCACAACAAAGAGAAATAAGCAAGTAAAATACAAAAGCGAGACATAGGAAGATATGAACTAGATTTGAATTTCTCATTTCATTTAACTTTCAATGATGTTTGTTGGAGAAAATTTAGAATAAGATACTTAGATATCTAGGTTCCTATGAAATATTCTAATCTTACAACAAAAACACTCTTAAAGCTAAGACTTTTCCTAGGCAATGCAATATAATCCAATTTCCTTCTACAATGCTTCGTCGATATAAAAAAATATCATCAACGACGATGACGACAATGGATAAAGAAAATATTAAATTACATTTCATTTATAATTCAACGATGAAATGTCTCGATTCTCTGTTGTACATTTCCATCACGATAAAAACGATTTTTTTTGTGTGTTATGATGAATTCTCATAATTTTCATGAACAATTCTACCTAGCATTGGAATGCGATAAAAATTGATGCCTTACTTTTTTGAAAGAGAAGCCTAGACGATAGAATAAACATTTTTCAAGATTTAAGATTATCAATCAAATTAGGGACACAAATTGAAGACTAAAAGAATTATTTTTTTATAACACTGAAACAGAAAATTTTGGAAATTTTTATTGTGTTGTGGTTTTGGTTAAATGGAAGAATTTTTAAGAGAATCTTCGAATGTTGTAGTAGAAATAATAAATCCAAATTAAGCTTAGCAACCGTCCAGATGTCTCGTCTTTTTCGTACTTCTACATACATAAATAAGATCGTAGGTGTTTCATAAATAATCGATCGCAGCCCCTAAAGATCTTCTTATGTGTTTGTAAGGATACAAGTTGATTGTGCATTCTCGTCTGATGGAAGGGATCATTCAAACATGAAGTAAACAATGAAATGTAGCTGTATATGCTTCACTAAATTGAAACCTTGTCCTTAACTCGTGTATAAACACATCAACTCATTCCCTTGTGTAGGTTCTACTGAGAATAATTTCATTTCATTTATATTATTTTCTTTGGGTGAATAGAAGACACAACAAAACGTTTTTGTAGGTAAAAACATCTTTTTCTATATATTTATTTTTTTGGCAAAAGCAAAGCAAACCTCATACATTTCATTTCATCAGTCGATTTACAGTTCTCGTTACGTTCGGGCTGGTTTTGTTGTGTTTTTCTTTGTCGCATCACACGTTTTTATTTCAAAAGTGAAAGAGAGCCTCGAGAGATAACATTTTAATTAAAAAGATTATTTCAATCGTCGCTTTAGAACAGGTTAAAACAAAAAAAGAAATTATTGTCATGGAAAAATTGCGGCAAAACTGCTGTTGACGTCGTCCTTATCTTAATTAATTGTTATTAGTTTTGTGAGAAAAATGAAAGCGCTATTAGAAGTTTAAAAAAAGATCTTTACAAAACATTACCTAAGTTATGAGTTTTCTTCTGTTGAGTGCTGCATTAGGCAGGTAATGAAAAAAATCTGAATATTTTGCTTGTAACGATATCATTCATTAATCTGCTGGAACAATAAGCTGACTGAGTCGACAACAGCTGAAAGCGAAAAAGAAGAAAAACATTCCTTCGTTATCGGTTTGTTTCTTCCTTACCATTCGACAGCTCTTAATGCCTTTTAAAGTGCTTAAAAAGCAGTTTGTCATTAAATTTGATTAATGGTCTCTTTTTTTTTTGCTTCTTGATTTTACGGGATCGTATTGAAGTTTTACTTGTAATTGCTTAAGTGAAAGAATGAGAAAAGAACACTTTTTGTGATGTTATTTTGACGTTCTGCCCTTAAATAAAAGAGCGTGCGGTCAATTTAAATATAAAGCTGACTTATAATTATCAACGACAATGATTCTGTCAAATCACTTTTCTGAATCAGATTAATCTACTTTTCGGGGATTTCTTTTTTTCTTCTTTTTGAAAAAAAAAAATTAATAAAATAATTTACTGCGTTACGCGGTCATTTTGTGATCACAAAGTTCTTACAAATTAAAAGCTGCTCTCATTGGATTACGATGAAAATTTATTTCTGATAACTTATAAGATTCAATGTCACTTGAATGTTCTTTGAGATTCTTCTTTGTTCTCACATTTAATAGAATCATCTGCCGGACTTGCTTTAGTATTTTCTTGTCTTTTGTTAATTCAATTTATTTATCTAGAGATGTGTTGAAAGAGGAAAGAAGAAATTATAAAAGTTTCATTTGCTTCGTATTGTTGTTAAGAATTTCAATTAATTTTTCATTTACTTCTTATAGATTGCCGGTAGTGAACGACTGTCCGGGTCAAACTGCTAGAGTTACATCCAACCTGCACTCGTCTAGCAGCACAATGGCAGTAAGTCGAGTGCCATCACCACCTCTACCAGAGGTCAACACACCAGTCGCAGAAAATTGGTGTTACACTCAGGTGAGTTCTTTTCCTTATCAACGAATGTTTATTAATAAGAAGTTGAACGATTATCTGAACCATGACCTCACGTCACATTATGCAGTTGAACAAGCTCTTCGCGAATTAGCACGCAAGAAACTTTTTTTGTTATTGCTTCTCTCTTCAATTTGTTTCACTCGTTTTCGGTCGTGAAGGATGAATGGAATTAAAAGGTTTGCCTTGAGGGTTTGCTTACTTGCCACTGCTGCAAAGTAACCCGTTCGTTGAACAAATTCGCGTGCGATCTTGGAATGTTTTCTTTTCTCTTTATTTTGAAATTGGCACAAAGTCTTTCATTGTCGAAATTGAATGTGACATTAAAGGTAAACAATTTCAATAATTTCTTAACTTGATGGTGAGAGTGTCGGCAAAGTGGTTTATGAAAAAGAAAAAAAAATCAGAGCATGTCACATTTGAAACTTTAAACGCGTGTTAGTGTATTGAATGTTTAAAATGAACTTTGAGTAACAATTTTGCGCATGTTACGAATCATTTCTTCGTTTTTACGATTCTCTCTCTGACTTTGTTGTTATCGTTAAATGCTCGTGCAACGATAGGAGAAAAAATGAAAAACTAACTACACATTGCAACGTTGAACAGTGCATGTGCATGTACATTGTGACATTGAAAAAATAACGAGAGTTAGCTTCACTCGACACAAGTTGATCGCCCTTTTATTTCTTTTCTGCATCAAGATGGTCATACTCGTTCTCAAATAAGCGACGAAAATATAAAAAAGTTTATTTGCAACGTTTAATTTCCTTCTGGTCGATGAACTTCTTTCGTTGTTGCCATTTTTAACTTTTTCCAATGAATTCTCGAATAACCTTTTTTTCATTCAGAAAATAGAAGGTAAAAAATTGCCAACACGTGGAACAAGAGCGATAATTAATCACTTAACCCGCTCTTCTTAGAAACTTCTCATGTTTTTTGTTCTTTTCTTATTTTGTTTCAATTTATTGGTTTCTGTGGTTTTTGAGATCAGGTCGATGGACCACCCATTAGGATTCAAACTCATCATACCGTGAAAAATTCGACAAAAACTTTACTTTGTACGCTCATCACTGCTACAGATGCTAAAGAAGAAAAATATCTGATGTCGACATCGATTGTCATTCTTGTGCTTACTTTTTTTTAAATAAACTCACGCAACTTCAAATTAACTCCCTACAACGTGTTGTATTTATTGTACAGCAGCCACTCTTGTGGAATAAAATATTTCTACAACAACGTAAAAAAATTATCGAACGTTGAACTTTGAAATATCATGATGTGATGTTGAAATATATGATGCTTTCATTATTTAGTTTACATGGTGAAATAAGTTTAAAATATTCTTAGCTGACGATTATGATGTGTTAGGGGGAAAATGACAATTGAAAGAAGGGAAAAAGCATTGAACCTTATCGAACATTTGAACGAGGGACGACGAGCGATGATGTTTATCGTAGCAAATCCAACCATTCAATGTTTCCATGGACGTTATGTTCGTGTTTAGTTTGAAATAAAAATAAAATGCATTTTAACTTCCACGTTTCGATGATTTATTCTCGACGTATGTCACTTGGTGTTTGTGTTTGTTATGTGTGTGTATCTAAATATCTATCAACTTACGGTTGAAGAGTTCTTATGGAAAGAATCAAATTATAATTATGTAAGAAGAAACATTGTTGCATCTGGTGCTTGTTGAATAAACCGCAGAGCAGATGATGAGTCGTGATATTGTTGGTTGTACGCTTACAACACTTTGAGTTACGGACTCCCATTGAGACAAGTTAGTTGTGTTGAGGCTAAATCTTTAATTACTCTGAGTACGTGATAATTGATATTTGTTTGATGTAGTTTCATGATCTCATCTTTTCGTAACATTCTCTTTAACTGTTCAAATCATTTTCTATAACTACGTTTCCGTTCGATGAAAGCCAAGAAAACAAAAACTCGACTCAGCTCCCGATTTAACAAAACATAAAAAAAAGTTTTTTTGTGTTGTTGAAGAAACATTCTCATCTTACTTGCTTCGTTATTGAATTTTATGAGTTCTTTGTGTGAAACAATAAACTAATGGAGATTCCAATTTCAACAATCATGGCTCGTCTTATTAACGTTTTTCAAGAATGTGAATGACCTGCTTGATTCTTTTATTTTTATTATGCCGCGCGCTTTTACTTCTTTAGATGATGAAGCTTCTTAATAATATCTAGAAGATTTGTTAGATTCAATTACCAAAAATCTTATTTTAATTTATTGTTGTTACGTTTTGCTTCGAAAGTCTCGAGAATATCTTATGAGATTCTTTTCGTTTTATAATATTAATTCACTGTTTTTCTTTTTTCTGTTATTTAATAAGTTCAAGAACCTTTGGTGGCTTTTGAGTAGAAACAAGAATGGAAATTTATGAACTTACCATCTCTTCTCGAAATCATGTTGATGATTAAATTTCCGTTCATTGACTTTTTCTCTTATCGAATTTAAAGAATTGTTTGGTTGTTTATTCTTTTTTTATTTTGCTTAAACTTCATTGAAGAATAATAAAAAGTCACGAGTACAACAACTCATTGTGACATCGATAAAAAGTACGACAACATTTGCCTTTTTCATTTTCTGTTCTCACCTTCACATTTTGCCTTCTTCGTCATCGCGGTTTTGTTTCATTTCTCATTTATTTATACAAAATTAAAAAAGTCTCATTAGCATTCAGTATTTTAAGCTTTTTCTCGTTAGCATTTGTATCGAATGAAATTAAAGGGAAAAAGAAACTTAGAGAAGTCGAGCACCTGAGCCAAGGACATTAACCATCAGTGGAATAACCAGAAAGCAAACTGCCAGCATTTTTCAAAACTTAACTTTCGCGGCAGATGATTTGTTCATGATATGTTTTTGAGGTTCCATTTTACGCTGGTTGTCAATTGATTTGCACCTTTCAATGGATGATTGTCATAGAAATTTTGGTTTTTTTACAAGTAAAAGTGATGAGTGTCGCATTGCTTAAAAGTCGAATGTTCTTATTTAAATTCAAAAGACTTTTTTTAAAAAATGTCAAAATTTTTATTATGGAAACGAAAAATTTATTTGTTTTTGTTCCGAGAAGAATTTGTTGATTTATTCATTTTATCTGTGACAAGCCTAAATTTGAGTTCAGATTACTACATCAGTGGATGTCGAGCACCTGAGCCAAGGACATTAACCATCAATGGAGTAATAAGAAAGCAAATTTGCCAGCATTTTTTTGCATTCAACTTTCACGACGGTGTTAATTCATGATTCCTTTTCATCTTTTGAAGTTTAAGACATTAATTTATCTGTTCAATAATTGAACGCTTTTATCACCTGTTCGACTTTCTGAATTTCCATTTGCTCAGTTAGCAAGCGGGTAGTTGATTGATTTGCACCTTTCATTGGAATCGATATCAACAGCACAGTTTTGACCCGAACTAGTTGGAAGGTTTTGAGGTCACTGGCTGGTAAGAAGTTCTCAGAAACAGGAAGAGTAATCGAGAACATTTCTCATTGTTGAACAACAACACAAAATCAAATAAAATTTCTAAAGAAATTCTCGGCTTTTTATAAAATAAAAACCTGAAAATGAAAACTTCTTCGACGTTTCAGAACTTTCTCATTTTCTGGATCAGTTCAAGCAGCAAAGACCTCGATACGAAGTGTGGGAAAACGAAGAAAAAGATCATCGACCGCGAGTAGAACGCGGCGGTTCTTTCCTACTTAATTGTCGTGTCATTTTTAGTTTGAAAGATGAATAAGATGATCAACATTTTCATGCACCGCATCGGATCGTATCGCATCGCGTAGGATCGGATTTTACTACATTTTTACTTACACAATCTCAAGTGAAGATTTGAAATCTCTCACGGGATTCACCGACGCTTCGTTTTCATTCTGAAGATTCAAACAAACATCTCACAAATTGATATTTAGAGCAATAACATAGTGATGGTGGTGTTGATGATGATGATGTAACAGCATAACAAACGAGTAAGCAACACGAGCGATGGAAAGCGACCGACGATGTAATGTTTCGACCGACAGCGGGCTGATTTCAAAAGATCTCCAAGTGAGCAGAAAAAGAGAAATTTTCACTTTTTTTCGTTCGTTATTTCGAATGGTGACGACAAGAAAATCATTCAACTTGATGGAAGAAACGAAATTATGCAACATTTTCACATAATAAAACTAAAAAAAATCTCTCTCACCAATCGCCCAACTTCAACTGTTGCAACGATTGAGGAAAAAGTTTCACTTGATCAATATTTTGTCACAATTGAATGATCTTTTACTTTTTTTCTTTCCTATGCGCTAAAATGTCAGTTGTAAAGTGAGAGTACTCAGCTTCTACCAGAAATAAGTTAAAGCGGCTCACTTCCTACTTTCCTATTTTACTGAACGGTTTTTCCATTCATTTTCCTCTCTCTCCGCTGTTTATTCATTTTCTTTAACGCAGATTATGCAAACATCTCCCAAAGACAAACTTTTAAATGCAGAAAATGAAAGATTAATTATGTTCAATCTCAGATTGTTGTTTACATATTTTCACTGCAACATAAACCCTTTCGCGAAAGATTTTTCCATTATGCCATGTGAAAAACATTTTTTTTTTATTAAATCGAAAGAGAAAGTGAAATTTAACTTTTTTGTTCATGTCAGGCGACGTTTGCGATGTTTGCATCATCGTTGTGAGAGGGAAAGAAAGAAAGAAGAGAGAAAGAGTCATGGAAATGAAATCAAATCTAAAAAAAATAAAATAAAAAGGCAAAACAATGTTTATAAAGCTTTTTGTTTGAGCTGCACGCTTGTGGTTGAAACCCTTTCATTCCATGTTACTTTATGTAATAATGCTTTACATTTTTATTTTAACATTTTTTGACTTAAGCTTTACTTTTACTTTCATTTTTATTAAACATTTGGTGAAATTTTGTAACATTTCTCTATGAGACGAAACTGTCTTTTTTCTTTCGCTAAATATTTTGATTTGTTGTCATTTGTCGATTTGTTTCGCAACGAGTTTCACTTTGATTTATAGAACAGCAATTTGTCGTCGTGTGGTTGAGTAGATGTCTGAAGATTTTTTTTTATTTGATTGCACAAAGATGACCTGTTTACTTCACGTTTGTAACTCATCCGTTTCAACTTTCACATCCACCGACGCTCGTTGGTTATCTTGTTGAGCAATGATGATTAATTTTGTTAATAAATTTCAAGTAGCACATCATCGTTTCCCATTTTTTCTCTGAGTTTCTCTCAGTCTCGATAATATGCGTTCGTGCAATATGATTGTTGGCGATCGAGATTATAATCTTTCTGTCATGTCGTAAGAAAAGAAAAAATTTGTTTAAAAGTTTGTTCGATATGCGAGAAAAAATCAAAATGAGGAAATTTGTGTGCAGTTTGTTAGGCGCTTGAGAATAATTGTGAACGACATCGAGAGAAATCTTTCACAATTTCATTTCCCAACGCTCAGCTCAATGTTTTTTCCTCCTCTCTCTTATATTGCATTCGTATTGTTGCCATTGCTTCTTTCACATTTCTTTCGTAAAGAGAAAATAAATAACAACAAAAAGGAAAGCTTATGCTCGCGATCGCGAGTTGAAAATAATCTCCAAAGCGTGGCACACCACGCCAGTTGTTGTCTGTGCTTGCCGAGCGAGTGCACGCGATTTTTTTGTTTCGATTAACTTTTACCTTTGCGTGAAGAAAATTAGTTCGTTGTTATTAAATATTTTTAGTTACTGAATTTTCGGGTGTTTTTCTTTTAATTAATTCATGTCACAATGTGTGGTACACATGATGACGCCCTCAAAACGAGGACACACGAGCTGATTCTGTTTAATGTCACATACGAGAACATAAAGATTAGTTATAGTTTTATGGTAAAAATCATTTTATTTTTGATCTCATGACATAACATGGTTTCGACATTCATTCATTAACTTTCATATTATGAATATTAAAATGTATTCTAAACATTTCTTCTTCTTTATCATTAGGTCAAAGTCGTCAAATTCAGTTACATGTGGACGATAAACAATTTCAGTTTCTGTCGAGAGGAAATGGGCGAAGTATTAAAATCATCCACATTCTCAGCGGGAGCAAATGACAAACTTAAATGGTAAGTTGATCTAAAAGCAGCTGGTGTCTTATTTATCTCAACGATTGTATCATCACCAGGTGTTTGCGAGTGAATCCGAAGGGTCTCGATGAAGAAAGCAAGGACTATCTCTCCCTCTACCTGCTTCTTGTGTCGTGCAACAAATCGGAAGTACGAGCCAAATTCAAATTCTCAATTCTGAATGCCAAGCGCGAAGAAACCAAAGCGATGGAATCACAGCGAGCATATCGCTTTGTTCAGGGAAAGGATTGGGGCTTCAAAAAGTTCATTCGTCGTGATTTTCTCCTCGACGAAGCCAATGGTCTCTTACCTGAAGACAAATTAACCATTTTCTGTGAGGTGAGCAAGCGATTTTGTAACAATTTTTTTTCTTTCAACTTTCGCTTTCATTATTTTCCATTTTTTTCGTTGATTGTTAAACGGGGAAGGTTAAAAAGTTACGTCATCAATTAATATCTATTTTCTCATCTTTCAATGAGTAGACAGAAATGATAAATGTGTCGAAGAAATTCCACATGAATGAAAAATATTTACACTACATTTGGATGGATGACGCAACTATTCAACATATCCCCTTTTGCGATTTCATAATAATTGAAACATAAAAAAATGACTTTTACTAAATATTTTTCTTTTTTTGTTTTCTCTTTTTTTTCTTCTTCGTCGTCGTCGTCATTTTTTGTCTTTTTGTGATGATATGAATTGTGTAGGTCAGTGTGGTAGCCGATAGTGTGAATATATCAGGACAAAGCAACATAATACAATTTAAAGTGCCAGAATGTAAACTGTCGGAGGACTTGGGCAATCTATTTGACAATGAGAAATTTAGTGATGTGACGCTTTCAGTTGGTGGAAGAGAATTTCAAGCACACAAAGCGATTTTAGCTGGTGAGCATTGAAAAGATTTTATTTGATGTATTTCTTAATTTTAATTTATTTTCTAATTTACAGCCAGAAGTCCAGTATTTGCAGCTATGTTTGAACATGAAATGGAAGAAAGAAAACAGAATCGTGTTGCTATAACTGATGTTGATCATGAAGTTTTAAAAGAAATGTTAAGATTCATTTACACCGGCAAAGCACCAAACTTGGAGAAGATGGCTGATGATTTGCTTGCAGCTGCAGATAAGGTTTGTTTCCGTATTGAATTATTTAAAATATTCTTATTCTCATCTCTTCTTTCATTATTTTACTTTATCAGTATGCCCTGGAAAAACTTAAAGTGATGTGTGAAGAAGCTCTTTGCGTCAATTTATCAGTCGAAACAGCAGCTGAAACTCTAATACTCGCCGATCTCCACAGCGCTGATCAACTGAAAGCGCAAACAATTGATTTCATCAACACGTAAGTTTCAAATTACAAGACAAGTCATTGTCATCATTAAACAAAATTAAAGTGGAGAAACAAAAAAAAATTAATTTTTTGAATTTTTTCTTTCACAAATTCTCAGCAGTCACGCAACAGACGTGATGGAGACTGTCGGCTGGAAAAATATGGTGACGACACATCCGCACCTCATAAATGAAGCATTTCGCGCCCTCGCAACACAACAAATACCACCTATCGGTCCCCCGCGTAAGCGAGTTAAAATGAGCTGAAATAGAGCGTTGACATCATTTGCCACCGTGATGTCATCGTCATCAACAGCCCATTCATCCCATTATTCAACAATAACTTCCCAATTATCATCATCAACGCCACCGCCAACACTGACATCATTGCTGCACCAAAAACTGACGACAAACTCTCCAAATCATCATCTCCATCAACAACATCATCATCATCATCATCATCATCAACATCAACAACACCCGAAGCCAATTGTTTCGGGATCAGCTGATAAACAAGTTTTATTAAATGATATTGCATCTGGTCTAGCGTCAGCTGTAAGTCAAGCGGTGTCAGATGCAGTGTCATCAATGCACCAGCAAATGAACAATCAAGAAATGATACAGCGTCGAACTGATCCACCATCACAACGTCATCACTTCTCACATTTGCGTCAGCAACTTGAGAGTAAAGAGCCGTCTTATCACGGCACAAACAGTACGATTTTGAGAAAGCGTTTATCAAATATAAATATTGAAGCTGCTGTGGCATCAGCTGTGAATCGCTATCTCACAACAACTATCAAGAATAATCAGAAGATGACAAGAAATCAGTTGGATCAAGATGAGAATGTCATTTTAATAGATGGCAAGTGTTTAATTCAAAATTAATCAGATTAAGCGCAGTGTTTGTAATGAGTTAGCAGTATCGCTTCGTGTAACAATGATAGACAGTTTAATCTCTTCTTTATGTTTAAAAATATTGTTTTTAAGTTCTCTTAAGTCAGCAAAAAGTCATTAATTGGGAAGTAGATTCTTCAACAAAATTAAAAAGAACATTTTCTTTATGTCAAGTGATAAGTGATAACACGTGAAATTGATTGTAGTGGAAAAAAGAAGAGAAAGAAATTATCAAAATTGAAGAAGAATTTGCATTAAAAAATTGAAAGGAAATTTAAGCTAGATGTAAACGTGTTAAGAATTTAAATGATAGCATTAAAGATAGTTTAGATGAAGAGAGAAACAAAACAAAAACAAGTTTGAAGTGAACGAAGATTAACTTATTTTTGTGTTATTTCTTATGTTGACATTACTTGCATTCAACATTTCTTGAAAATATAAGTTAAATATTTGAAATATTATTACCTAAACTGGTAAAACTCGGGGTTAAAACTTGATTTTACAAGAATATTTTGTATACGTAAGTTGCGTTATACGTAACCTTACGTATGCTAACATAACTTAACATCATTGTAACGCAGTTTGTCAACGTACATAATTAAATAACGCAACTTAAGTAAACGCGAACACAGAAAATTTCTTTTTCTTTCCACTCCCACATCCTCTTATTGTTTTTGGAAAAGCTTTCGTAAAAAAATATTCATTGAAAATTTTGAAATTTTAGTTGATGAGATTTTTTTTTGTATATTAATGATTGAATGTGAGAAATTTGATTTCACTGATATTGAAGAATGGCAATCGGGTTTCACAACCAATTGCTATTAGCATATTTTAACATTTTGAGATCAAAACTTTTCATTCGAAAGAAAATTCCAAGGAAATTTCAAATCGACCAAAACAAAAGAAATGAAAAGTAGAAAAGAAAACTTTTTTGAAATGTGATTTAACTATAAAGAAATTCGATAATAAAAGAAAAGCCAGAAGCTATCATCACATAAAGTATGAGAAGATTTGGAACTTGCGTCACTTTAGTTAGTGCAAATTTTATTTCTTATTATTTTCCCATTTTTTCTCCGATTACCCTAAAATCCATCCCAACAACAATGTAGTTTAAAAGAAAAAGTTTTAGCAAGAAATTTTCATTAGTTCACAATTCGATGTTGATAATTTTTAAGTTTATTTTTGTAACCTTTTTTGCAATGAAACCCACCAAAACATGTGTTGAGGAGCGACACCAAATAAGCGAAGATCATTTTATGTAAAAAAAAACATCAAATTTATAAAATCGTCAAAGACTCGCTCTTCGACTTATGCAACTTTTATCTTATTATTTTGATTTTCTCTTTTCGTCTCAACTCAGCGCTTTCAAGTGAAATCAAAGCTTCACCTGGGGTTTAACAAATAGCGAGGAGAAGAAAACTTTCGTGTGAGAGATTATCGTCTAAAACTCCCACGTATTTCACAAAGAAAAAAAAAAACATTTTTCATTTCTATTGTAAATAACTTTTCTTTCCGCGAACTGATTTTATTCAACCGTTCTATCCTATCCCTTCCCCAGCTTCTTAATAAATAATTCGTTCGTAATCAATTAATTAATTTTTTTGATCTCTTGTTATATAATGATTTTAATTTAGAATTTTGTTTCTTCTTAACTTCTTTTCTCTCGTGTTAAATGACAATTGTGAAGCGGATTGTCGCCAAAACATTAATTAAAATTAAAAAAAAAATAAGGATGAGAATGAATCATAATTGATTAATGCTAATGAAAATGAAAAAAAATAAAAAAAAAACCTAAAATGAATGTCTAGTACTATGTAATAATTTAATAATTATTTTACGATCGACAAATTAGTGAGTGAAGGCAACAACAGAAAGTTCTTTGTTTTCTTCTCGTTAAGTCCTTAGTTTGGTAATGAAGATTAAGTGGACAAATGAACTTATTGATAAGTTTTTTTCTCGTATGCAGTAGTGTTATAAAAAAAAGTTATTCGTAACAGATAACTTCAGAAAAAAATATTGAAAACTAAATTTAGTTTTTTGTCAATGATTCTCGATGAAAGAAAGAAAAGTTTCCATTCAACCACGATTAGATTCTTTGTTTTAATTTTCCTCTCGTTCAACAAATTTTTAAAGCAAAGAGAAGTTTGAAACGCGATTAAAGAACATGTGAAAAGCCATAAGTTTTGCTGTGATAATGCATTAAAATTAAAAACGACAAACACAAAGAGTGATGAGAAAGGAAACTGACAAGAAGAAAATTTCTTCTCCTCTAGAAATTTTCTTTTTCATCATTTTGCATTTTTTTAATAATTTTCTTCATCATTAAGTTGGAGTTTTTACTGCCCAGAAAAATCGTGATTCAAAGACTTTCATACCACGTTCGAGCCTCTTTTTTTCTTTCATCGCTTAAATTGAATTCAATTCAATTTTTTTCTGGTTGCACAAAGGAAACTTTTCACGACAGCATCGCAGACCAAAACCCAAAAAAGAAAAAAATCCATAAAAAATAAAACAGAATAAAAAAGTAATTTTAAAAGTTAATGAACCTTTGCAAAGGTGAATAACTAGTAAGAATTTTTTACAAAACCCGAAACACAACAGGAAGTGAACATGAGTCGCCGCAAAGAGCTTTTTAAGTTTTTCATATGTGAAGGAAAATTTGTCCCAAAGTTTTCTTTTTTGTGTCACTTAACAAATTTTTCAACACAGTTGATAATGTTTCCCGCTGTAAATATGAAAAAGAATGAAAGAAAAAGTTAAAAGAAAATCCCAAGCGACAATTTTTCATTGTTTGTAGTCGATCGATTAAAAGATGGAAGAAAACCCAACAATAATAATTGTAGTAGTGATTCGGATGCAATCATATTGCGAATGAATCCTTAAATTTAATTAAATGCATTAGATTTTAATTGTACCACACATAAAACACAGACAAAAATCTACAAGCAGAAATTGAGTCCAGATTTTATTGGATTTGAGTATGGACAAAAAAAAGGAAAAGAAAAACTTTAATGATTGAGAGTAATGAAGGAAAATCATGAAAGGATTTTTCCTTCTGTTTTTGTGAGATGACAGAACATAAGTTGTAATAAAAATCTGGAGGATTTTTTTGAATTAAAACATTAGAAACTTTGTGCTTTTTTTACCTATTTCAGATTATTTCTTTTACAGCTCATTTGAATTGTGAAAAGCTTCTAAACAATAACAACAAATTAAAAATTTTCTCTATTGGTTGTAATATGTGAAAATGTTGCATAATTTCATTTCTTCCATCAAGTTGAATGATTTTCTTGTCGTCACCATTCGAAATAACGAACGAAAAAAAGTGAAAATTTCTCTTTTTCTGCTCACTTGGAGATCTTTTGAAATCAGCCCGCTGTCGGTCGAAACATTACATCGTCGGTCGCTTTCCATCGCTCGTGTTGCTTACTCGTTTGTTATGCTGTTACATCATCATCATCAACACCACCATCACTATGTTATTGCTCTAAATATCAATTTGTGAGATGTTTGTTTGAATCTTCAGAATGAAAACGAAGCGTCGGTGAATCCCGTGAGAGATTTCAAATCTTCACTTGAGATTGTGTAAGTAAAAATGTAGTAAAATCCGATCCAACGCGATGCGATACGATCCGATGCGGTGCATGAAAATGTTGATCATCTTATTCATCTTTCAAACTAAAAATGACACGACAATTAAGTAGGAAAGAACCGCCGCGTTCTACTCGCGGTCGATGATCTTTTTCTTCGTTTTCCCACACTTCGTATCGAGGTCTTTGCTGCTTGAACTGATCCAGAAAATGAGAAAGTTCTGAAACGTCGAAGAAGTTTTCATTTTCAGGTTTTTATTTTATAAAAAGCCGAGAATTTCTTTAGAAATTTTATTTGATTTTGTGTTGTTGTTCAACAATGAGAAATGTTCTCGATTACTCTTCCTGTTTCTGAGAACTTCTTACCAGCCAGTGACCTCAAAACCTTCCAACTAGTTCGGGTCAAAACTGTGCTGTTGATATCGATTCCAATGAAAGGTGCAAATCAATCAACTACCCGCTTGCTAACTGAGCAAATGGAAATTCAGAAAGTCGAACAGGTGATAAAAGCGTTCAATTATTGAACAGATAAATTAATGTCTTAAACTTCAAAAGATGAAAAGGAATCATGAATTAACACCGTCGTGAAAGTTGAATGCAAAAAAATGCTGGCAAATTTGCTTTCTTATTACTCCATTGATGGTTAATGTCCTTGGCTCAGGTGTTCGCCATCCACTGATGTAGTAATCTGAACTCAAATTTAGGCTTGTCACAGATAAAATGAATAAATCAACAAATTCTTCTCGGAACAAAAACAAATAAATTTTTCGTTTCCATAATAAAAATTTTGACATTTTTTAAAAAAGTCTTTTGAATTTAAATAAGAACATTCGACTTTTAAGCAATTTTTTCTTTTAATATTTCTATTATATAAATAGAAAAACTAATCAACTGCCAAATGTTGCTGCGATTCATTTTTTTCTTCTTTTCCAGAAAGGGAAATAATTTTCCGATCGCAGTCGACTCAGAAAAGAAAATTTCATCAACAACTCAGCCTTTAATTGAAAGTTAAAGTGAGAAGTTAAAAAAAATCAAAATGAATAAAAAAATGATAGTTTGTGTTGGTAGAGTGATGGTGATGGTTTATTGTGGATATAAGTTATATAATTAGATATATGAAAAGTGAAGTGAAAAATGAAGTGAAAAGTGAAGTTAGTGATGAAATTGAAAATTGTGAAAAAAGTGAAGAAAAGTGGAGAGAAAATAGTGATAAAGGTGGTGATAGTGAGTGGGATGAGTTTTGTGAATTTTTTGATGAATTTGAAAGTGAAAATTGTGAAGAAATATAAAAAAATGAAATAATAAAAAAAAACGCCAAAAATGCTTTAAAATTTGGACTAATTGATTAAATTCTGAATTCCTTCAACTTTTCCTTCAGAACTCAAGAATTTTCAATAAAGTAGTCAGAAAAAATTATAAAAATTTTCATCTTTGCCAGATTATTCTTTATGACGACAAATGTATGTCGAGGTAGCAAACAAGATCAAGCAAAAGGAACAAAGCAAAAGCGCAATGCAACACTCATCACCTCAACGAACAAAATCGAAATATCTTTGACCCACTATTCAAATTTTAAGTCGTTTTACTGAATAAATTTGCATGGAAAATGAAAGAAGAAGAAGCAGATAGAAGTTGTGTCCATCAAGGTATCGTCAACATCATCGCCAACGACAACAAAAAATCATCTGTTACACGCTTAAAATTACATAATTTTAAAATTAGCATAACAATTAAGTTCTGTTCCATTTCAGATTCACATTCAGTATATCTTCAAGATCGTCATCATAATGTGAAACAAAAGTTGATGAAACATTTATTTACTTATGTACATTGAAGATGTGGAATGCATTGCAATTTGCAAATAAAGAAACCTTGACAAAAGCACATTCTATTGTTTTCTGATAATAAAAGCTGCGCGAGAGAGAAAGAGAGAGAAAGAAAAAAGCTATTAAAGTTTTAAGTGACTTCCCAACGTCAATAAGTATTTGCGATGAAATTTTACAACTTTAATTACGATACGAACTACGATAAAATAAACCAGTTAAATATGACAAAAAGTTTTTAATTATTTGCTATAGAATTCCAGAGATTTGTAAATAATTAGCTTGATGCTTCCTGGATTATTTTCAAAGATTTTAATTCATTGCTAAGTGACATGACGTGAATGCAGAGGATATGGTTGTGCAACGTGATTTCTTTAAATGAGTTCGATTACTTGTTCATCACTTTTCTTTCGATTCGGACGTTGACATCTGATCTGATACATTTATAAAATCAAATGATGTCTTCATCTCGTCATGGATATCTGAATAAATACTTGAGAACTTTCGTAATATGAATTACTTTGTATTACGAGATTTTCTGATACTAGCAACCTCATCGAGTGAATATTTTTAAACACTTGCGAAAGATTATCGAATTTCGTTCTAAAAAATAAGAACTGAAAGCTTTTATTCATCACTATAGAAACTTCGTCTTAGATCATTGAAATTTTATTGGAAATTAAGAAAAATATTTCATTGAGATCATCGAGCGAGCTTAATATGTAATGAGATTTCCACCTACACTAACTTCCACCGTTTTGTAAGCTTTTCAACTGGAAAATTGAAATTTAAATTTTCTTATTATGGTGCTAATGTCCCCAAACTCCATAAAGATATTTTATGTTAGAAGTTAAACTAAATCGCTTATGAATTTACGATGTCAACTTGTTAACGACTCTCCAAAGACCTTCTCTGAGTCTTTAAATAAAAAAAAGTTTCTTTCTACAAAGTGAATGAAAGCTAAAAACGTTTATCTGACTAAAGAGATTCTCGTCGTAGTTTGAATTGATGCAAGAAATCTTTTTGTTTATTATTCCTGAATATTTGAAACTAGAACAACTTGACGGACGAATTCTGTGACACAATACAAAAATAGAAAACATAAATCTCTTGCCTTGAAAATTTGTATTGTGATGATGAATAAGGAAGAAGCAGTTGGTTGAAACTTCTTGAAGAAACAAATAACAACCCTTCGTCGTTATCAGATAACTTCTGATGAAAGTTATGTTGATGGCAACTTCTAGAAGTTCAACTGCTTCACACTTGAAGTGCCATCGTGCTTTTATAGAAAGCTCAGGAAGTGCGACAAACTTTTTGTTCCGGTGGATGTCTGAAGAGTCAGGAAACTTAATTTAAGAGTTTAACAACAAACAGACATTAAAAAAATCTGTCAGATTAACTTAATTTACCGATTATTTAACTTGCGTCTTTTGAGGTCATCGATAGGTTTTTCATTTCTTCCGACAGATTAACGCAACATTAAATATTTCCAATTTTTTAATTCTCAAATGAATTGAAATAAACAATTTAGGTAAGTTGGGCCGCTTCTGGAAATTTTATAGCTAAACAAGAACGATGAGAACTGTGAACAGTGGAAGAATAAATATTTACATTCAAGTGGAAGTCGATCGTGTGTAAGATCTTAAGAAAATTCAATGTTACATAATTTCGTCTGAAAACAAACTTTTCTTCGTTTTAAGTTGGTCACGAACGATAAATCAAGCACTTCAGTCACTAATTTCCATAAATTTCATGTCACAAGCGCTTCCAATTAATTTTTTTGCTGTTAATAATTGAATGAATACGATTTTGTTATCGTGAAAAGCACGTCGCTCATCATCAGATAACAGCACAAAACCAGTCAGTGTCGCTTTTGAATTTTCGTTGCAAAATTTAATTCCCTGACGATGTCAAAAGTGTTGCTGCTAATTGAAGGTCAAAAGCTTAATCAAAAAAGACCTTAAATTTAACCACCAAAATTCTCGCAAAAATCTTTTTTTTATTGATTTAAATTATCTGTCCTTGATGAATGATTTTGTTCCTCACAACTTCCTGGTTGTTGATTCGCTTGACAATCGGACTTCATCATCATTCTCATGTTGTCATGGAATTTGTACGCAAAAATGCGCGTCAAGGACATTTCGCGGTTACACCTACAAGTTCTCTGTTTGATTTTTCGAGTTTTTTTTCTTCTTTTTTTGCTTTTTGTTTCGGTGGCGTCCTTGAAGTTCTTGTTTCGTATTATTTTACGATTATTTGTTGCTTTATCAGTGTCGGTTGCTTTATGAGCTTCATAAGGGGGAAGTATACGAAAAAGCAATTTACTCAGTTTTTATAGATTAAATAAAAGCTGAAGATTAGAACCATCAGTTCTTGCTCTGAAAATGCGTTGTGTTTAATGCGGTATTAAGCAAAGTCTCTGTAATGTATCATGGTAAATTCACGGAGTATTATTTATTTTAGGGTTTTTTTTATTACGCTTACGCTTCCACCCGACACAAACTCATAAAATATTGATTGAGTAAACATACGATGATGATAAAAGAGATGTGTGAAAATTTAAGCTCGACAGTCAAGGTCAAGGCCCCCGGACGATGATATTTATTCTTGCTAGCATGATAAGAGTAACTGAACGTCAAGGTCGAGTGTTGATTGGTTAATAAATTGACAGAATAATCGAAATGGGAACCTTCTACCTTACCATCATCTATCATTTGGCATGATAACGTAAATAATGCTGATATATTGATCAGCATTTTTATTGTTTTTGAAAAGTCGACAAAAGGTAAATATTCTGTTGTCGCGATATCGGGACAATAACCTTGAAAAGCAATCAGAAAACGTTCTTTTTTCCACTCGCCACCTCGAAAATAATTTTTGACTGATTTCACCTTCAAATGCCATCGCCTTTTTGCGTTTGGTGCTCGTATTGGATCGATGATATTTTTGTACGGTCAAAATTCCAGCAAATGAAAATCATCAGACACATGATGACGGTTAAAAGTTCACTGAAATGGACGTTGTGGGTAGTGAAGAAAATAATAGAATATGAAGAAGAATCATCATCTGAGTGATGAGTTGGAAATGTTTTAGTTAGGGTATTCATCGAGTCATGAAAGTTTATGGGAAGCCGTAAACGCCTTTTAGTTCTCTAATAGAATCGCACGAGAAAGTAATAAAAAGAAATAAAAAGTTTGTCCTTGAACTTTTCAAAGTACATTTAACGTTTCATTTTAACATCATCTGACGGATATTTGTTTCTTCGTTCTCTTGATAAAGTTAAAGTGTAATGACACTTTAGCAAAATGAAATGTGCAACGAAAAATTATCACGCATCATTATCATCATCATCATTACAGCCATCATCATCTTCGACGATGTCGTCGTTTAAATTGGAGATGGCGAGACGTCTTTATAGTGCAACAACAAGAAAGAAACTTTTTTTGTTGTTCGTTCATTCTTTTCTCCATCAGTTTCCGATTTCAAAAAGATATAAAATTGTGAACGTCTTATGAAAACTTGTTGGAGAAGAAAATTGATTTTTTTTTTGTTTTCGGCGAATTTTGTTCTGCGTCGCTGAGTGAAGATCCTTTCGACCTCCACTTCACCCTCAAACGTAAGATATTTAGATATATATTTCTCCTCGTGTTTTATCCTTGAACTCTCCATGATTTTATTTCGAAGTGATTTATCAAATTGTTATTTTCTTAAGTCTTCTCGACTTGATGATAGAGTTTTGGTATTACCGGGAACACTTACCAACGAAGTGAGAGAAGAATGAAAAACATGAATAAAAAAGGAAAAAAAGAAAGCGAAGCAGCTCCATCATCACCTTATGAATCATGACGTAAATTTTATCCTTGACATTCTCGCTACAAATCGGAAAAATCGCTTCTTCTTTTATTTCTTTATTGATACACACGTGGAGAACAATAATTTTTCTGGTTAACTGTAGCAACTGTTAGATATTGATTTCCTTTTCCTCTGAAGCTTGTTGAAATTTATCAAAATTATGAGTTTCGCAGAATGAAATATCCTGTTGATTTCGTATCAATTTTCGTAATTTTTGCTGAAGGAAAATTTCCCTTGTGAACCGTAAAACCGTCAAGTTTATGATATTCAACAAGAAGATGAGAACAGAAAAAGTAAACGTCAGATTAAGAAGAAAAAAACATTTTTTCCGATGAAAAATTTTGTTCGTCAGCGTATGGCGCAAAAATACTTTTCATCAAAATAAAAAAGAAGAATTTTCGTGAATGACCTTGCGAATATCTTTTCGTCTAAATATTGTACAACAAAACTACGACCAATTTTCAAGCATTTATCTAAGTGGCTTTCGTTGTCACACATGATATTTTTCACACACATTGAAGATAAGTCTAACAAGCTTTAGAATCGTCAATGTATCATCTATATGCGTGTTATCTGATATTTATCTAATCATTCTGGTTTATTCTAACTCACGCCGTGACTCTCCCCCTCAATCATTTGCAATTCATTCCTATGAGCTTTTTAGGTTTACATGGGGAAAACCTTGATAATATTCAAGGATTTTCCTAGTTGAGATTTATCGTTCAGATTATCATTCATGATGGAAAACGAAGTGATTTACTCGTTTCAATGTTTCACCCGAAAAAAGAGGAAAAATCCTTTCATAAAAGTCTCTGTGGTAAAATATTTTATTTAACTTTCTTTGACCCAAAATTCTATTTTATGAAAGAAGTTTTCTCATAATTGAATCTTCACAAGAACCTTCTTCAAACTATCAACATAATTAATTATTTAAAAGATATTAAATATTTATTTAAGCTACTTTTAACTGTGAAGAACTATTGAGAACACTTCGTAAATTGTTTTGAGGTCACTAGGAAGTGGAACTTTATGAAAAGAAGATCGAATTAGAACAGCGCAAAGGTAAACAAGCACGTTAGGTAATCGAAATATTGAAAATGTAGGTAAATTCTAATGAATAGGAATGATTGAGTACTTTTGCGGTTTAGATAAAAAATCTTTTCAAGTCATTTATGAAATAAATTTGTTTGAACAAATTGAGTGCTTCGTGTGTTAACGACAAGGTCAATGAGACAATAATTCATTATTTAATACGTTAATATTATTCACAACTTTAAAATATTTAAATGCTTAATTAAAATGTTTGGTTTTCCTTTTTTTAAAAATAAACTAACTCAAAACAATGACAGGTCGTTATTAAAGTGAAGTACTGTTAATAATGCTGTTAGTGTTGTGAAATAATTGACTTGATTTACTGTTTGAAACCCTTTGAAGCAAATTGTTGAATGAAAATTCTGATTTATAAGCTTTGAAACACACGCAGCAGGTCTCAAATATAGTGAAGGAAAAAGAAGCTTTTGAAAGCTTTCATTGAAGGCTCATTCAATGAAAGAATAAAATCTTGATATTCCTACCACAGATTCTCAAACTTTTAAATGTTCCCTTGAAAGCTTTATAAAAATATTTTACTTCATGAAGTCATGGAACTAAACATAGAAATTCGTCATAAGTAAATATTCTTTCAGAAGAACTAATAGAATAAAGAATTAATAAATATTTATTCAATTGTTGCTACCTACTAAACTTAATTCTTCATTCTTTTTTCAAGGTTTTTTATTGCAGATTATTTCTTCCTTTTGTTGAATCAACGATCGTGTTAATAAATTCTGTTTTGAGAATAAATTTATTTGTTAACAGTAACGACGTCAATGATGTTAATAATAAACAAACATCGTTGTCATGAAGAATCAACTCACTAAAATCTGGGTGTATGCATTTTCATGACAACTTTTGTATCTACAAAAATCATTCTTCATTTGTAATTTATAAATTAAAACTTTCTTTTTAAATTTTTTTTTTCTTCATTTTTATTATGTTTTTACTTGGAAAATTTCTATACAAATGGAAAACGAAAGAATTAAAATAAAAAACATTCTTTAAGCATAAAACACGTAGAAACATAATATTATTTATGTGTAGTTTTGAAGAGACCCTAATTTAAAATTAAAAAAAATCGTCAGCTAAGCACTTTAATTTATTAATTTGAATTTTTTTCTTCTTCTCTCCTTCCAAAATCCTTTTCTCAATGTTTCTTCGTTTTTTATTTATTTCAAATTAACAATTAATGGAATTGTTTGTTTAAAAATCGCATACTTTCAACTAGCTTTATTCCTTAGATGATTTCTTCCGAGATTAATGCTTTTTAAAGATGCAAAATATGATCGATTTCCCTTCTTTCTTCTTTCTCCTTTTCTTTCATTTGTGAATATTAATGTAGTTGATTGTGCAAGAAACAAAAAATACAAAAAAAAAGAAAAATATTTCGATTTTAGAAAATAAACTAGAAATTTGATTAGTTAACTTAAAACCAAATTTTTATCTTTCGCAATAATATAAATCACTTTATCTCTTCTTTTTTGCGGATAACATGCCGAGCATATACAATAAAGTGGAAAGAAAGAAGTGACGTAAAATAAACGGCGGAATTCCAGCATTAAATGTATTTGTTTGTATGTCCAGAGCTTTATCATGAAAAGCTTTCAATAATGACGTTTGAGGGCAGGAAAAAAGTAAAAAGAAACGGAAACTAGCCGACTTGTGGTAGAGGACAAAGAGATATTTGACGGAAGGATGGTGCATCATAATAATTATAATGAAGGATGGAGAGGTTGCTCGACAAAATAAAAATAAGTCGATATTTAACAGCAGCCACTCTTGTTCCCTTCGACTGGACGTCCCGTGTCAATCTTAACTTTGCTCGCAGTATCTGTGGCACTCGATGGTGGACCAACACGATTTTTAATTTCCGCTGCCATTGTCATGAAGGCCTGCTCGACATTGGTCGCATTCTTGGCGGATGTCTCAAGGAATGGAATTCCGAGTTGATTAGCGTATTCCTAAAATCATTTTTAGAGATGAATGATAGATTAAAAATTATAAATAAGCAGCTTACCGTAGCCGTAGTTGTGTCGACGACTTTCTTTGTCGTCAAATCACATTTGTTGCCTACGAGAAGTTTATTTACATTTTCACAAGCGTAACGTTCAATTTCTTCAAGCCATTGTTTCACATTATTGAATGATTCTTGATCCGTACAGTCATAGACAACAATAATGCCATGAGCGCCTCTGTAGTAGCTGGAAGTTATTGTTCTGAAGCGTTCTTGACCAGCAGTCTTAAAATGAGATAAAGAAATTCATAATTCAGCTTGCTTTTCTTCTAAAAACTCTTGAAAATAATTAACTTACATCCCAGATCTGAAGTTTGATCGTTTTACCGTCAAGTTCAATCGTTCTGATTTTGAAATCAACACCAATTGTGCTGATATAGCTTTCTGTGTAGGTATCATCAGCGAATCTTAATAAGAGACATGATTTTCCAACTCCTGAATCTCCGATCAAAAGTAATTTGAACAAATAATCGCTGAAAATAAGCAATACAAAACAATCATTAGAATTCTTTTTCCCTTCTACATAGTATTGTTTACGCCCCAGCATTACACGTCATACATTCACTATTTAGTTGTTTAGTTTATCAATCATTCGCCCGTAGTTTAATTATTAAATCTATCGAAATCATTTTATCATTGACCGAAATAATCCGATGATAAAAAAAAATTAAATTTATTCTAATGAACTGGGTCATCAAAAATACAGAGCGCGACACTATTTATAAAATGGAATAATAAAAGAAATGCGCGAAATTTTCAATTCCCAAGCTGATCAAAAATCTTCACAGCATTTATTTAGTAAAAATGATAAAGAAATAATAATAAAAAGTTCTATTTTTTATGTCTAACTATGCATCATCATTAACGGATGATGATGAGTCTTTGTTTGTGTGTGTATCTGTGCTTCCAACAACAAAGAATATCACTGATTTTTCCAACTTTTCGCTTGACTGTAATGACTCATTCTTCACTTCCTTATTTCACTTTTCTACGAAACAAATATCTTAACAAATAGCCAGCGTTTCTAATGGCTGAGCGAAAAGATTAAAGTCCCTTTGTGATTCGAAATAAATTAATTTTTATCGTATATTTTTTTCTTTTCCACTTTGTCCGAATGATTCGTCATCAGTCAATTTTATTTTAAAAGACGAAGAAAATTTTCATTGACGATTAATGCTTGAAATACTTACTATTCTGGACTCATCGCCGACATGATTGAATCGTTAGAATTATTATTAAGCGAATTAAACTAATTTAGATGCTTTAAATCGTAAATTATTTACGAATTATTTCTTTTCAGCTCTAGAGGAAAGTTGGAATCGAATTCTTTTTCGGACTCTTTCTTTTGCTTTTCGAAAATTGATTTTCGAAAAAAAATTCATTAATCGCACTGATTACTACCCCTTGAGAAACAAAATTGCAATAAGACATTTTTAATATTTTAGTTTTAGTGCCTGAAGTGCTTAATACTGAAATATAAAATGTTGGACTCAAAGCATACATCTCTTGTGCTAATAACATTGATTGTCGTTCTGAGTAAGTAAATAATACAAAGATTTAATTTGACAAATCTATATTCACCTTTGACAACGCCCATTAATTACTCATTTTTCTTATTTATCACCTGTTTCAAAGGAGCCGGATATGCTCAACGCATTCAGGAAGCACGATCTGTCGAAGTCCCAAAAATTCTCAGAGGCAGTTGGTTCAGTTGGGAAGGATATTCAAAACTTACAGTATTAGATGTAAAAAGTATGAGCGATCATGGGAAGATCATTGATCTTCAACGAAATGGCAGTGACTTTGTAATGATTTTCAAAGACAGATCATGCTATTATTGTGTAAAAGCTTTCACAAGGTAAGTGAAATTATTTATCATCCTTTCACATTCTTATAAAATTCTCGTAGAACAAATAATGTGTTCGAGAAACTCGAAGGTCCGTGCGTGAACATCAACAGTTATGAAGAACCAACATTTGAGAACGTCTGCAAAGGAATTCGAAGTGATCAACAACTTATTACATACTTCAATGACAATTATGTTCCACTTTTATGTCGTTCATCACTTGAAGGTGTTTGGCAATTCGCTTATCAGAATCGTTTCCGTTTCACTGGTGAATGTGACAATCCCGATGCAAAAGTTCAATCATGTCAAACAGCTGGTACTCAATTCTTAATCACAAATCAAAAGTTTAATATAACTTACAAGAAATGTCCCGGAATGGATGGAACATTTGATGGTGTCGTTGAATACAGTTGCTTAGGTGATTGGTTCGTTGGAAAGAATCATTACTTTGCTGTAGCTAACACGAAAGAGTCTCGTAAAGATGAAAAATTCCGTTGCTTCTTAAAAAATCGTGACGATGATCTTTATCTTGGTGTCAGTATTACTGCCGAATGTAACACATTACAAACAGTCGAAAAGTCACCTGAAAGAATGAGAATCACTCCAGTAAAAGCAGAAGTTGTTGAGCCTGGTTGTCGTTTACCACAAAACTTCAGCGGTGAATGGATCAACACAGCCAACATCGATGCTGATGTTTTTATTAACGAAACTCATATTATTGAAACTTATTATCCAGACAAAGCCCGTTATCGTCGAACAGTTTACGTTTGTCGTGAACAACGTGACACAAGAATTATGATGGCTCGTTTGACAGTTGATGGATGTCAGAAAGATTACGTTTGCTTTGATTTCGTCCCAAAACATCACAACATCATTCGTTATCGTCGTGGACTTGCTGTTATTAAAGATGATTTCAGTACTGTCTGTTCTTGGGTACAATTTCCAAATAAGGAACAATGGAGATATGATTTGTATCTTGCAAGACATCCAGTGCCAGTCAGATGCCCCGTAGCCGGTAAATATAATTTCACTCAAAAAGGTGAACATCCATTCAAGACAAGAATACTTGGTGGTGTCACTTTAAGTCCACGTCCTGATATTCGATGTAAACAAAACATTTCCGATTTGAGTGTTTGTGATACTGATCAGAAAGAGATGTGGATTGATGAGAATTATTGTCTGTCAGTGGATCATTTGGGACGACCTGTTGATATCTATTCAGATCCAGATTATAAGATGAAATGTATTGGCTTTTGGAAGGAGAATCTCAGATCTTATCTCATTACTTACGACGATCTTGATCCTTTAAGCAGATATCGTTGTTGGGTTTATCAACGTGCTGATCTCAATCGAGTGTTGATGTCGCAAGCTGTTGGTGCTTTTTGTTCAATTAATCAAGAAGTTACATCTACAAACTACACGGAAGGTGCTGTTGTGGCTCTTGATATGGTAGAATATGAGAGAGAACGAGATCAATGTCCGCTTCATTTCGACGATGGTGAGAATCCTTGGGCACCGAATCAAGAAAACACATTCAAGATATTTGATTGGATTATTTACAAATCATCAGCTGTTTCAATCAGTTTAATTACAACACTTTTCATAAGTGCCTTAATGACAACAATTTTAGTGCAAATCGTTAAACTTCATTAGACATTTCTGTGTATTTTTTTTAATATTTAAAATGACAAGCACATTCCAATCGATCTGAAAAACCATTCTCAATATGTAGATAATTAAGAATTTAAAAAAAATTTCACTCCGTCCATGTAAGATTTTTTTTATCTTTAATTAAAATTTTTAAAAGTTTATTTCTCATGTTTTATTTTTCAAAATTTTGAAATTGATAAAAAAAATATATAAAGTGAAGGTTTTGGTCAATAATTCGTTCGTTCTTCATCTTTGATGATCAACTTCAACTTCAACGAATGGAAAAATTTCACAAAAAAAAAATTGAAGAAAATTTTAATTCTAGGAAGGAAAATGAATCTGGATTTAAAAAATATTTCTTAGTTTAAAATCAGTAAATTTTGCTGGCTTTTGTTGTTTCCAAGCATTCACAAAATATTCCATCCACCTGTCTGTCTATTTATTCTTATTATTTTTATCATTTTTGGCGGCTTTTGTATTGTTTGCTGTCTTCTGTTTCTTAGATTTTGGTTCATCGCTATCATCAGCATGAATCTCATTATCTGATACATCATCAGCCAAATCTTCTTCTTCGAGATCTTCCATATCGGCAGCATCAAATTCTCCCATTAAATGATGTCCATGGATATGAACGGGACCATTGCCTTGAGTGAGTTTAAACGTTATTGGACCTTCTGGAAATTCTAAGAATGATTGAGACATGCGATTTTCGCCGACTTTCAATACTGCGATTGGAATTTTCACTGACGAATCTCTGGTTGGCGTTTCAACCTGTAAGACATTTAATTATTAAAAATGTTCCAGTTTAGAGGTTAAAGTAAACATTTCAACTTACTTCCACGACATTGTATTCATTTTCTTTTGCTTCAACGCCCAATAATATTTGTTTCAAGATGAGTTTATTGGCTCGTTCTGGATAATCTTCTTCATCTTTTGATGTTGGATCCCACACAGCCGTTTTTTTTCGCCAGTAAGAGTAACACCTGTGAAATAAGACAAATAAGAAGTTACGAAATTCTCTAGCATTCTAACAATGAACCGCATGGAAACATTTTGGCCGATGTTTGACTCGATTAGAATTTAAGAACTTAACATTCTGGTTCTTTCTTTTCATGCTTTATTTTTCCACTTACCATAAAAAAATTCATCAGCCATTGCAACTATAAAATTATTTTTTAATATTTTCAGTTAAACTTTGCAAACAATTTTTGTTGAGTTATCAAGGCGTATGAAAGTGTAAGATAAATTATGATTCGACGTGCGCTTTTGTCGTTTCTTGTTTCCATAATTCTTTGACAACTTAGGTTTGGGAAGCAAATAAAGAAGCAATATTTCAATGAGTTTGCAATTATTATTTTCGACAAAAACAGCTAACAAATAAATAAAAAATTATCTAATAAATTCAATAAATTTCCAATCTTAAACTATTTCACAATGCCTGGAGAATTATCAACAACGAAAGTCATTATTCATCCATTGGTTTTACTCTCAGTTGTAGACCATTACACTCGGATGAGTAAAATTGGAAATCAAAAGCGAGTTGTCGGAGTTTTACTTGGATGTTGGAGAGCTAAAGGAGTTTTAGATGTCTCAAACAGTTTTGCTGGTAATTAATTAATTTACACAATTAAAGTTTTGAATAACTACATTTGTAATTATTTCCATAGTTCCATTTGATGAAGATGAAAAAGATAAATCCGTGTGGTTTCTCGATCATGATTATTTAGAGTCAATGTACGGGATGTTTAAGAAAGTAAATGCCCGCGAGAGAGTTGTTGGTTGGTATCACACCGGACCAAAGTTACACCAAAACGACATTGCGATTAACGAATTACTTCGTCGTTATTGTCCCAATTCAATTTTGGTTATCATTGATGCAAAGCCGAAAGATTTGGGTTTGCCAACAGAAGCTTATATTGCTGTTGAAGAAGTTCATGAAGATGGAACACCCACATCAAAAACATTTGAACACGTACCAAGTGAAATCGGTGCTGAGGAAGCTGAAGAAGTTGGAGTTGAACATTTGTTGCGTGATATTAAGGATACAACTGTCGGAAGTTTATCGCAAAAAGTCACCAATCAACTGTTGGGGTTAAAAGGCTTAAACTCACAACTTCGTGATATCAAGAATTATTTGCAGAAGGTCGGAAATGGAGAGTTGCCGATAAATCATCAGATAACTTACCAGTTGCAAGATATTTTCAATCTTCTTCCTGATATAAGTCATGACAACTTTACTGATACTCTGTACATCAAAACAAATGATCAAATGCTGGTTGTTTATCTCGCTTCACTTGTTCGCTCAATCATTGCTTTGCATAATTTAATTAATAACAAACTTACAGAAGTCTGTCAGGATTAAATATTAACGTTCTTTATATACATTTTAATCGCTTCGTTTTTCAAAATAAAAAGCTTTTTGAAATAAAAAAAAGTAAATTAAAAACATTTTCCTTTATTTTTGCTTTTATTATAAGTTTATTCTCAGAAACAGTTAATTAATTAACCAATTAGTTAACTGGAAACAGCAGCGAAGACTTTAATCCTACTTTATTTGGTCCTTTTATCAATGAAAAACATGCAAACCCAAAACTAATGTTCGTCTTTATCAATCTATACATATTTCATGCGTTTCTCTTTTTTCTGTGTCAGTTGGAAATTGGATCCTATTTCAATTAAAAAGTTTTATTCGCTGTATTTCACACCAATTCCTTCAATATTTTATATCGCAGAATCTAAATATATCTACTTCACCTGAAATGTATTAAGTTGTGATTGCAAATTAAAAAAAAAAAAGTCAATTGATATGGATTTTTATTAATTTAAGATTTCATTTCATTCAAAAACTGTGTTACAGTTGGTGCATTGGGAAAATAAGGAATATCAATTAAATATTTAATTTATGACATCTCTGAATCATTTTAATGAGGCCATGATTTAAATCTGTTAATATAATAAAAATAAAATTACATTCAGGTAATTATTAAGATTTGAAATTAAATTACCAAAATAGCACTCATGGAATGATCTATGCCTGGGATTCGAACTGCAGATCCTTGAGAAATTAAATACTCTTCGATAGTTATACGATTTGTTAAATTGTCAACAATGGATAATTGATAGATGTTATTGTGATGTCCTTTAATTGTTGCTTTCATTTTTCTATGTTTCGTCTTTAACCTAAATTGCAAACCTTTATTATTTGGTGTCACTCCAAAAAGTGAACCTCTGCAAGATTTTCTTGTGACTGTGGCGAAACCTCTCTCAAGATAACGAAGGAATTTCAAGTTGACGATTTTACGAACTCCTAAATCGACAAAGTCAAGAATTGCTTCCCCTTCTTCAACATCTAGAACTTCAGCTCGCCACCATTTGCCCTCATCAGCAACAGCAACCGACATACCTTTGTTAACAGCCAAAACCATTAGTTCCTTGGAATCTCCCAAATTATTATAATGAATGCTGAAATAAAATAAAATGTTTATCTTTGTTGATAAGGCAAATCAAATACTTAGATGAGATTAAATTGAGAAATTACTTCATTTCATTCATCATCACTATTGCTGACATTTGATCGTGATTGTGAGTAAACATAAACAATGACGGTGTAAACTCGACAACCTCAATTTCGAAGAAATTATGACCTGGTATTTGCATCATTTTCGGGCAAGGAATAGAAAACAAGCCAGTAATGTAATTTCTATATGTTTCAGTTTTTAAGGCATGCATATTCAAAAATGTGTTCTTAAACTGTTGCGCTGATAAGTCAGTAGAGTTCTGGCAACGAGACGACGCGTTTGAAGCTTCTCTGTCGTTAAGAAGATTGTTTGTCTCTGAAACATTTTGACTCTTATTCTGCAAACTTTGACTTGGAAACTTAGACGTTGTTGTCGTGCTCAAAGACAAATGACGAAAATTATGAATTGTCTCAGCTTCAATGTCATTTGATTCAACAGTTTTACTCTTTTTGATATCCTCCTGTTTGAATACGATTGTAGGTTTACTCAAATGTGGCGGCAGTGGAAGTGATTCGTAGAACTTTTTGGATTTCTTTCCAAGGTAGGAAGTTCCTATGGAAACTTCACGATATTTTGTTTTTTGATCATATGAAACTATTTACCATTTTTTGTACATATTAGTTATAGTGCAAATTTTTGAATTGTAGAAAAACTGACCTTTAATATTATTATATGAATTTTTATATTTGAACGGTGAATAACTCGGTGATACTTTTGGAGTTTTACAAGCTTTCTTCTTTAATATTGTCAAGTTATCCATATGTTGCGTCTCTTTGCTTGATACATAAGATATAAAGCACTCGTTTCTCTTCATCCTTACCTGGCATATATCTGGAATTTTCTGCATAAATTCATAAAACGACATCTGTAGTACAAAAATATTAAATTCTTAATTATGGAAAAATGGTTCTTAGAAAGTTGCATAACCTTGTATCTTCGCAGGACATCATCGAAATTCTCTCCAAGAAGATCGTAATATTCCTTTCGAAACTCTGTTTCTGAAGTAGTTCGGCCTTTTGATAAAACTATAGAGCGTATTCTTGGTTTAATTTCTTCCATTTTTGCGACGATTTTCTATGGCTTGTGTTCCGGTCGTGAACCACACGTCTGCACGCCTCGATGTCTCCGTCTAAACTAACTCGCCACTCGCACTAATACCAGCGAGTAACCGAGTGCCGCGCCCCTCTCAATCCTACCGGTACAGGCTTGCACAGGATGATAATAACTGCTTGGTCCAAAAATACGTTAATCAAGGGGTCAAATTTGCAATCTAAGCGAAATTTGAAAATGTTTACATTTTAAACCGTTAACGAAACGCGAATGCCGAATATCTTAATGACAATTTCAGAAATATGCGAAAAGTATAAGATTGTTCTGTGTTTTCGTACTCAAAGTAATCAATTCTTTTACGCTATTCCCAAATATTTAAAATATAACATAAATGTTATTTTATATAAATTTTATTTAAGAATTATCTAAACGTATTTTCTTATATTATTATTTCTTCTCAAATATCAGATTATTAGGTATATAATTGCAAACAACTTTTGACGATAAATACAAACTGACTTAGACTACGTGTAAGAAGGTTGGTCGCAATGCCAGAACCTTTCAAATATAACAAAGGTAATACACTCTAACGGTTAAAAATTTAAAGTTAACCATTAGAGAAGAAGCAAAAGTTTGTGAAGCAGAGAAGCGAAAAAAGTCGAAAAAAATTAAGTTCGCTAAAATTAAAATAATTTCTTAAAAACACTACAATAAACATTCTAAATCATATTTTAACATTTTCGAAGTATTTTTAAAAAGGTAGCTAATATTTAGAGCATAAAAGAATTCATTTTTCATTGTTTTTCGTGCACTTTTCTTTGATAAAACAATTTTCACTTAAGATTTTTTTTTTCTCAGAAAATTATAATTACTTCAGGCATCGTATAAAATGACCCATTGGGAGCCCCAAGCTGAGGGTCTTAATCAGATCATAACCCTTTTAAAGCAAAGCCAGTCTACAGATAACCAAATTCAAAGAAATGTTCAATTGGTGAGTAAAGCATCTTTCGAATCTCAAATTCTTACATTCACTGGATCTCATGGTCATCTCTCATTCCATTCATTTATTCTTTTATTTCAGAAACTCGAAGAACTGAATCATTATCCCGATTTTAATAACTATCTGATCTATGTGCTAACGAAGTTAACAACTCAAGATGAACCAACACGTTCACTTAGTGGACTTATTTTAAAGAACAATATAAGAATACATGCATCAACTCTCCAACCAGAAATTGTTGAATATATTAAGAGAGAATGTTTGATGGCATTGGGAGACCCTTCACCTCTAATACGAGCAACTGTGGGTATACTTATAACAACAATAGCGAACAAAGGAGGAATTCTCAATTGGCCTGAACTCTTACCAACATTATGTGAGATGCTCGATTCCCAAGAGTATAGCATTTGTGAAGGAGCATTTGGGGCTTTACAAAAGATCTGTGAGGATTCAGCAGAATTGTTAGACAGTAACGAGCTTCATCGACCATTAAATATTATGATTCCAAAGTTTCTACAGTTTTTCCGCCACACAAGCCCCAAGATTCGTTCTCATGCCATCGCTTGCATTAACCAATTCATTATTCATCGCACACAAGCTTTGATGGTTCACATCGATACATTCATTGAGAATCTTTTCCATCTGTCAAGTGACGAAGATCATGAAGTAAGAAAAAATGTTTGCAGAGGTTTGGTAATGCTCTTAGATGTACGAATGGATCGTTTAATGCCACATATGAATTCTATTATCGAATATATGTTGGTGCGAACACAAGATTCTGATGATACAGCATTAGAAGCTTGCGAGTTTTGGCTTTCACTCGCTGAACATCCAGTTTGTAAGGAAGTTCTTGGACCGCATCTTCATAAGTTAGCTCCAGTTTTGATCAAAGGAATGAAGTATTCAGAGATTGATATCATCATTTTAAAAGGCGATGTTGAGGAAGACGAATTCATTCCGGATCGTGATGAAGACATCAAGCCAAGATTTCATAAATCTCGAACACATACATTGAAGACTGATGCAGCACAAGGTTCTGGTGACGGTGGTGACATTGGTGACTCAGACGATGATGATGATGATGGTTTGGTTGATGATTCAAATTTAAGTGATTGGAATCTTAGAAAATGCTCAGCAGCTGCTCTTGATATTCTTGCAAGTGTTTTCAAAGATGAAATCCTTCCGATTTTATTGCCAATACTGAAAGAAACACTTTTTCACGATCAATGGGTTGTTAAAGAAAGCGGCATTCTTGCATTAGGAGCTATAGCTGAAGGATGCATGTCTGGAATGATTCCCCATCTTCCAGAGTTAATTCCATTTCTGATTGGATGCTTAAGCGACAAAAAAGCTCTCGTGCGATCAATTACATGCTGGACTTTGTCACGTTATGCACATTGGGTTGTGTCGCAACCTCACGATCAATATCTGAAGCCATTAATGGAAGAATTATTAAAGAGAATTTTAGATGCTAATAAGAGAGTTCAAGAAGCAGCTTGTTCTGCTTTTGCAACGTTAGAGGAAGAAGCTTGCACTGAACTTGTTCCATATTTGGGTTTCATTCTAAAAACTTTAGTGTTTGCATTCAGTAAATATCAACATAAGAATTTGCTTATTCTTTACGATGCAATTGGGACATTAGCTGACTCAGTTGGACATCATTTGAACAAACCAGAATATATTAGTCTTCTCATGCCACCATTAATTCAAAAGTGGAACATGTTGAAAGATGAAGACAAAGATTTGTTTCCATTGTTAGAATGTCTTTCAAGTGTCGCAACAGCATTACAAAGTGGATTTCTTCCTTACTGTGAGCCGGTTTATCGTCGTTGTATATCTTTGATACAACAAACATTAAATCAAGATCTTGTTGCGACGACAAGTCCGGGACAATATGAGTCGCCCGATAAGGATTTCATGATTGTTGCATTAGATTTACTCAGTGGGCTTGCTGAAGGGCTTGACATGCACATTGAGTCACTTGTTATTAGCAGTAACATCATGCAATTACTCTTTCAATGCATGCAAGATTCAATGCCGGAGGTAAGTTGTGTGTGTGTGTGTGTGTAAGTGGAAAGTATTAAAAAAATTATTTCTTGTAGGTTCGTCAATCATCTTTCGCACTTCTTGGTGATTTAACAAAAGCTTGTTTCCAACATGTTCATCCATACATTTCTGACTTTCTGCCGATCCTTGGAAGTAATTTGAACCCAGAATACATTTCAGTGTGCAATAACGCAACCTGGGCTATTGGAGAGATCAGCATTAAGCTTGGTGCTGATACCAAACCTTATATTCCTCTGGTTTTGGGGCCGCTTATTGATATCATTAAAAACCAAAACACTCCGAAAACGTTGCTTGAAAACACCGGTGAGTTGTTTCAATCTAATTCTCAATTTAACTCTTTCGTTCTTTTCTTACTGTTTCTTTAGTAGCAGAGAATTAAATTAATTTCCTCATCTTATTTATTCAAAATTTAATTTCCTATTTTATTCAACTGCAAACTTTTATTTTTCATACTTTTTTTACCTTAATTTAGCAATTACAATTGGTCGACTTGGTTTTGTGTGTCCGATGGAAGTGGCACCGTCGCTTCAACAATTTGTCCGACAGTGGTGTGTAAATGTTTTATTACTTATGATTAGTTAATTACAATTCATTTCCCAATTATAAAACATTAAGTTTTGATGATACAAAAACTTGAATGTTGTTTATCTAATTGTGCGTTGATTTCATAACAAAAATTTATGTTGATTATCGCACATTATTTCATGAAACGATGTTGATACTTATTAGAATTTGTTTAATTGATGGAAAGTTTCTTTTTTGGGAATGAAAAATATTTTTTTGATGAGCAGAGTGAAGTATCACGATGAGTTGAAGTTTTAACAATCGTGATTATCTACTCTAAACATTTCAAATGTTTCTTAATAATGAAATTTGTCTTAGGTGTTCGTCATTGCGCAATATTCGTGACAATGAAGAAAAGGACTCTGCTTTCCGTGGAATGTGTCAAATGATAACATTCAATCCAGCTGGTGTAGTTCCAGATTTTATCTTCTTTTGTGATGCTGCAGCTTCATGGAGTAATCCGAAGAGCGATTTACATGAAATGTTGAAAAACGTAAATCTATTTAAAAACTTTTATTTTATTGTTCTTTGTTTATTAAGTGAAAATATCTTTCAGATTCTTCATGGGTTTAAAACACAAGTTGGTGACGATAATTGGAGACAGTTTTACGATCAATTTCCACCACAGTTGGCAGAACGTCTCAGCACAATGTACGATATTTAAGTCATCACATATTGCAACAAAACAGTCATGTGATGATGGTAAGTTGAACAAATTAATTATCTTCAATAAAAGGAAAAAAGAAAACATATTTTTTAAGTTAGACGGTGAACATTTTTCTCTTCTCAATCACTTTTTTTAACAATTAACTGATTAAAGCAAATGAAAACAAGAAAGATAATAGAAATGGTGATACACATTTTTCTTTGATTTGTTGTTGTCGAACTTCAACATAATCCCCGATACATTAATAATCATGTACTTATCTTATCTCGCTGTTCAAAATCGAGGAAAATGTGTCATAGGAAATTTTATTTAGTTAGATGATGATGATGATGAAAAGCAGAAGATTAAAAAATGAATTTTTTGGATTAGTCAAGTAAAAAATTAAATTGTAATAAATATTTTACATGGAAAGCATTTCAATTTCAAATAAATTATTTTCGAAGAGAATTTTAATCACAAAACATAAAAGAAAAGAAAAACTTCATTAATAAAATTAAAGATTTTAATTATGATTAAGTTCAGGGGAGAATTAATAATGTGAACAATTGTTTGCTAGACTTAAATCAGGACTTTTGTCTGGAAGTTTCCTAAGGAAATAAAACACAATCGAAAGCAAATCACAAAACATTCCCTTGCCTCTCTTTTTGCTCCAACTCCTATCACAAAAATCGTTCATAATAAATATTAAGCAAACAATTTTTCACGTTACTGATATTTCCAGCTGACAAAATCTAAATACATAGCAATGAAAAAGCAAAAGAAAAGTAAAATTTCAGTCATGTTATTTGCTGACTGTCAATTGAAAGTTTTTTTCTGTTAACTCTATCAATTTAATTAAACAAAAATAATATTGAAGACAAAAGTTGTGATGTGGAATATTGAAAATCAAGTTAACCAACAGCTACTCATGGTTGTCAAGACTCCACACATTCAACAACAGCAGATCAGCTGATCGTCTTCATGAACCTATAAATATATAGAAATATTCACTTAGCATAGATATTAGCAGCAAATTTTTTGTTTTTCGCTAAACATACATTTAAGCAATAAGAATGTAAATGATAAATAGCGTTAAGTTCTAAAAGAACTTCATTTTATCTTATAATGTAACATACGCATTTTAGGAAACTGTTTCATTATAACAAGAAAAACTTTCCCCAAACTTTTCCCATCAATTTTCCCATGAAATCATAGAAAAGAAAGAAAGAAACAAATCCTAGTAAATATTTAATTGTATATTCTTAATTTTTTTCTTATCATTATTATTTAATTAATAAAAATACGTTCGATTACTCGTGTCGTTGTCGTGTAATGGCATCCCGTGCGATGTCTCGCGTCGCGTTTATCGGGAAAAGAAAAAAAAAATTGAAATGATGAAATAAAAAAAAATTAACAATCTCCGTCGTTCGTAAGTAAAAATTCGGTAAAGGTTTAAGTTTGAACAGATATTAATTAAATTTAAAATGATCAAATATCATATTTTTGTAAGTTATGAAATGAAAAGATGAATAAGTAAGCTAAAGAGACATTTTTTTAATGACTTTGCTGAGAATATTTGCCAAGACTTCTGTAACTGTTTCACTTTTTAGTCGGATAACATATTTGCTTATAAAATCGTTGACATCTTTAGATGAGGATTCAGAGGTTTTGTTTTTCTAATGACAGGTTTTTAAAAATAAACATAAAAGGCTTAAATCTTATCATGTGAAGCTTTTTTTCGTGGAAAGAAAAGACTGAAAATTTTTTGCTAAATAAAAAATCTAATAAATAAAATAATAAAAGGAATCATTTTATGCAATAAGCAATGGTTTGTTGTGAAATGGAAAAATGAAGATGTGAGATGGTGGAGATTAGTGAAAAGAGATTAAAATATTTATCAACGATCAAAAAAATGAATTTTTATTTCTTCATTTTCCAACAAATCATTCAATTGCCTCAAGTAATTAACATTTAATATCTGTTCAAGCAATCCTAAAAAAAACTTAAAATTAAATTAAAGAAAATCGTCGTTCTCTCGTGATACATAAATAATAATAAAAAAATGAAAAATTCCGCGTTCGGGTGATAAAATAATAAAAAATAAATAACTTTAATTAATTTAAATCGCGCGCGTGCTCAAAGTAAAACGAAAAAAAAAGAAAATGAATCGTGATATCAGTGATATTTGCAAATCGTGTCTCATCAAATCTGATTGGAAGCACGATGTCATCCAACAAGAATTGTGACATGACATCATGATTCCAACAGACGGGAACTTAAATTTAGTCAATTCTTAAGTATTCGATCCGCGGTCGTGAAAAATGAATCGTCGCGTTATTTCGTAAAAAAATGAAAAAAGTTTTCTGATCGATGAAAGTGACACATAAAAACATTGAATTTTGACTGCTAACCAAAGCATGTAAAGTATTTAAAAGATTAATTTACCAAGATTTGTAGAGCATTTAAGAAAGGAAACGAAATCTCTCGAGAGATTTTTTGCCAATGTCAATGTTCAAATGTGTTTCGCTTTCCTCGATTAAAAACTTCTTTTAAATATAAAATTTTGTTAGTTTTTCGCATCGGAAAATTTTATTGAAATGAGTTTTTTCTTCTCTCGTTTTAACTTGTCTAAACAAAATAATCTTCAATATAATCATTGTGATTAGCTTCTGATTTCCTTGGAGCTTATTGAAGAAAGAAAGAGAAACAGATGATGAAGAATATTTGATTTAGCTTTAACTTATTAAATTGAAACTCGTACCTTGAAAAAGTCCAAGCGTGGGACTTTCGCGTCGTTTTATACTTTTAAAAATACATTTATGATCGTTCATGGTAATGTTTCATAGTTTCTTTTTCTCTCATGAGTTTTCCTTATAAATATTTATATATTTTTCTTTTTATTTAATTTTCTTGTCATGAAAAATGACGATTGTAGTTTGAAAGTATTTATGTATATTTTTTAACAACAACTACTCAACAAACATGTTTTTGAAAGTCATGATGATCATATTTTTCTACGTTTCCTACCATCATGAGTCATTATCCTTTGAATATCCTAGAAAGATGAATAATCAATTATCTGAATAAGAAATTCCTAAAATTCCTTCTCTAGAATATTTCATCAGATCACAAGATCAACAAAATATGTTTCAGATTATTCATAATCATTAAAGAAAATTTGTGCAAAGAAAAGAAGTATGAAATTGAGGAATGAGCTAATAATTTTAAAAATAATGTACTGCTTCATGTTGGCTTTCATGAATAGCAAAAAAGAATTATAAACAACAAGTGTGTAGAAGCGAAAGAAATAAAATTAAAAAAGATACATAATAAACATAAAATAGTTTGAAAATTTATTTGTTTTGCAACTTTTATTACTCTTGACGACAAATGTTTGGACAAGTATTTATTGTTGGGTTATAAATGAATGTTAAGTTGGTTGAGAAGGTCGCAGAATCCAAAGATATCATATGACATGGAACAAGGTGAAATAAAAACTTAAAATGGGAATTAACATAACAATTAACAATCGAAAAGCTCTATCAATGATCGAGGTTTACGATCGCTACGTTAAGAAGTTCTAACTACCAGATACATAACACCTTTCTCAAGTTTCAATTAATTTAACGCCTTGTCATCTCCCACATTTGTTATTTTTCTCACTTTAACATTCCTGGATCTTGTGACTTTTATTTTCAGATTCCAATAAACCGCAGCAACTTCTTTTCATCTCTCACCAAAAAGCTGTAATAAAAATAATAATTAAAACAACTTTCGAAATTCTTTATAAATTATGCAATAGAATTATTTATTATCTTTTATTTTGAAAATAAAACTCTTCACAACTCGATGAATTATAATTTATAATAATGATAATAATAATAATAATAATAATAATTATAATAGTCATTTTGAAATATCTTCCTTCTTAAAAATTTTCTTTACTTAAACTTGATTTTTCAAAAGCACCATTAAACTTGTGTCAATCAATCAATCAATAAATTCAGTATGCGGATGTCTCCCAATTACTGCCAATTCAATTAACTTTATATGTATGCGTTCACAATTTTCTTTTTCGCTGATGTAGTCTTACTCGAAAGCCTAGCCTTCCCCACAACAAATTCTAGTAAAATAGAAGTTAAACATTATTTTTCTTCGATCGTGTAAATTATCAATGAAAAAACATGAATGAGAGATAAAAGCTTTACACGGACGTTATCATCACCCGATATTAATATCGACAGTCCATGGATACAACAAACATAAATAACATTCATCAACGAACTAAGTATGTATGAGAACATAAATTCGAACTTTCATCCATCGACGCGAAACTTTAACATTCGAAATGGATTAATTTGTCATCTTTTGATTTAATTTCCTTCTCAACAAATACTTCTTAGATATTTAACAAAAATTTTTGTCGTAAAAATAAATCACACGTTTTTTTTTCTTCAATTCAGTTTTAACTTTTAAGTATTTTTTGTTCCTTTTTTGTGTTTTTTTCTTCTTTATGTCAAGGTAGAAAGTTTGATAAACTGTTAGGTATTAACTGACTGTAAACTAATCTTTAAGAGAGATTGAGACAAAAAATTACCTAAACAATGATGATGGTGATAACGATAAATTACGTAAATAAGAAATAAGAAAAATGTTTAAAGACAGCAGGAAAAGATAAAAAGAAAACTTAGAGTGACGAAATGATTATGGCCGAGGAATTATGCGCTTTTTAACTAAAACAAAAATAAAAATATAAAACTAATAATTAAATGTTCCATGATATTGAGCACAATGCTTAAGATAAAAGAGAGGGGAGAATGGAAATAATAGATAATTAATTAATGACTTTAATGAATTCTTCGCGATTAAAATCGATTTGAATATTTCATCGTTTCCCAAAAAAAAATATTTTTTTCTTTCTTCATTTTTCTTTTGAGAAACATTCAAATCGGCTTTTAATTTCATCTCGATAAGCTTTGACTGTCAGGACTGCTTGAACTTTCATTACTTCTTTCGTGTAAGCGTTGGAGGGGCGGAAGCTTTGTAAAATACGGATGACGTAAGGCTTGATCTAGAAATAGAAAAGCAGGAAATTTAAATCACCGTTAAATGAACTTTAATTGAAATTTGTTGTTTGTCTACTACATACCTAACGTGATTCTTGTAGACGGATCATAATCAAGCATTCGACGAATCAAATCAAAAAGTTGCAAATGATCAGGAATCTCAGACATAACGTAACGATGAAGTGGTTTACAATGATCACGAACATAACGACCAGCTGATGATTTCTCATCCCAGTCAAGTTTTCCATGATAGAAATACTTGGTTTTAGTTTTCCTGAAACATGTTTATAATTGAATTTTAAAGAAAAAAGAATAACGAGTTGATTGATGATCATTTACCTTGCCATTCGATATGGAAGCGTACCGAGAATTCTTTCCATCATAGCCAAATGTTCTCGGTTATCGTGTGTTTGGAAGAGCGTGATGCCTAAATATAATTCAAACATGATGCAACCAATTGACCAAACATCACAAGGTTGTGCCCATCCAAGTTCTAAAATAACTTCCGGTGCACGATAATGTCTTGTTGAAACGATTGTGCTGTGATGTTCATGATCAAACGTGGCACTACCAAAATCAATTAAACGAATATCGGTGTTTTTAACACGACGAACATCACGATTCTGTTTAAATAAAAATGATTTATGTAATATTTACGATCAAATCCATCAATTCAAATGTTACCTTTCTTGGGTAGAATGATGAATGATAATCGGAGTTGACAAATAAAATATTTTCAGGCTTAAGATCAGTGTGTGTTAATTTATTTTCATGTAGAAACTTCACAGAATAACATAATTGATAAGAAATGTGTCGAACTTGATCCATTGGATAAGGCTCATAATTGTTTTCTCTCTGTTAAGTTGAATAGATAATTAAGAGATTTAATAAAATGTGCGAATTAAATTTCACTCACCAAGAAGTCAAAAACACTAAGGCCAAGCATCTCGAAGGCAATGCACGTATGTCCGTGATAATCGAACCAATCTAAAATCTTGACGCACAAACTGCAGGAAAGAAAAGAGAAAAAGCGAGAAACATGTTAATGAGTAAGTGCGTGGGTGGAGGTTGAATGATATTTTTAAAGAAACTATATTTACTGGTCTGCAGCATTCTTATCAGCAAGCTTCTCCAACGCATTAATCTCAAGTTTTGCAGCTTCACGATACTTTTCGACATTTTTAATGACCTTCAATGCAATCGTTTGATCTCTGAAATCATTAGAGAAATTAATTTCAACTTTTCAAGTGTTTATAAGTAAAATCATCTTACGTATCGTTATCTCTGACTTTAACAACTCGTCCAAAAGTCCCTTCACCAAGTGTGGCAAGAATTTTATATCGCGACTGAATGATGTCTCCACAATGGTAAATTAAATGACCATCGGCATCATCTTTCACTTCAGGAGCTCTCTGACGATGGAATATATCAAAGTAAAATATTTTAATATTCATTCTCAAATATTTAGTTAATGATTAATAAAAGCTTAAAGCACATTTTCTAATTTTTTCATTTCTTTTTATGAGAAACAAACTCTGCCTTCTGCGGTTAGAAATGTTTTGTTTTAATTAAGCTTACCAAGTTTAGCATTCGAGGAAAATCACTTCAAACTGTTAGATGGAAAACTGTTAAACATCACACAGGAAAAAATTATTTTAATAAATAAATAAGAAATCGATGTTAATCAGTTAAAGCGATTTCATTTATGTGCTTTTGACACATTGCAACGTTCTGCTGAAAACTTTTTTTTCGAATTTGTTCGCTAACATAAAGTTAGCTCAAGATGCAAGCAACAGAAGAAGATTTTTATGTTTAATTCTTACAAATGTTGAAAGAGCTTTCGACATTCGTGATCTTGTTGAAAATGGTGTCGAATTAATGTTTGTCTTGATCGGAACAATGTCATCGCCAGTGCAATAACTTGGCAACCAACTATTGTAAGGATCATAAGGTGACAAAACATTCGCCATTGTCTTTGATTTTCCAAGCGGGTTGATGGATCTTTTTGGAATCACGATTGGTGAGTGTCGAAGAGTTGAATCCCATGGATCAATTCTTGAGCTTGTATGGTTGCTGATGCTTGCTCCTGTGACATGGTTTGACTCCCATGGATCTATTCTTGAGCTTTTGTAACTGCTGGCACCTCCCGCAGTGACGTGATTTGACTCCCATGGATCGATTCTCGCACTTGTGTGGTTGCTGGTGCTTCCACTTGCGCTGCTTCCACTGCTGATATGATTTGAATTAATATCCGTGTCGTTACTATACAATGTCGTTTTCCCGTAAAAATCATCCATCTGCGCATATTTCTTTATCAGATTTTGAATTTCCTTTCGTTTATTCTCACGTTCTTTCTTTTGCATTTCCAACTGTTCTTCAAACGCCTCATGATTCTCACGTCTTTGCAGTTCAATTGCAGCTGCACGATCAGCTTTCAATTGATCGCCAGTACTTTTTCTATTCATATATTGACGACGTTGTTGTCGATAATTATCAATGTCACCATCATCATCATCATTAAGCAACTCATATAAATTAATCGCGGTGCGACGTTTATCACCACTTTCAGTTCGTTTATAAGCTTTGATTTGACGTGATGTTGATGATCCCGCATATGGCTGTTGTGTCGACAATGCTGACGTCGATGATGATGTCGTTGGTCGTTTACTATTGTTAGCAGTTGAAAATTCCGACAAAAGACTGTCCGGATCGTATTTGGACTTGTAAATGTTCTCTTTTCCATATCTGCCATAACCGTCATAATAACCGCTGTCGTTGCTTTTCATTTTTGTGTACGTATCGTGATAATTCGACGAACTCAAACTGCTGTTTAAGCCGATAAGATCTGACCGCTTTATTTTTAAATCGGTGTCTGAAGCCATTTTATTCTTATTCCGATCCAAACGGAACGGGGTTCGCTCCTTTGGCGTTTGTGTTTTATCGACCGACTTTAGAATATTCGCAGTTGTTTGACTTTTCATTAAAGATACCGGATGATAATCTTCAGGCTCTAAAGTTTTATCGTGATCGTCTTTTTCCTGTTGTAATTTTTGCTTTCTTTTTGCAACACGACTAAGAATGTCGGAATATTTTGATTCAAGACGTGAGATTGTTGATTGAGGTGCAGAATCATCCTTAATGATTGGCGTCTTCTCTCGATCTTTTGGACTTTCATTTGCTTGCTACAATTGAATTAATATTTATTCACAACTTAATCGATGTGCGACTTTTCATAATATAAAAACAATAACACAAAGAGTTTTTAATCAAATATTTACTTTTGGTGGTGAATCAAAACGTCTTGTGAATGTTCTCATGAGTGGCTTGTAGTCGCTAGACTTCAACCGATTTAATGCCGATGAAAAACGGCTTGATGAGGTGTCTGAACTGTAGTCAGAAGTTCTTGAGTTCATTGTGTTGTCGTTCTCACTTAAATTATCAATTTCTTTCGTCGAAAGTTTTCTCTCATTGTCTCTGCGATGTGCGTTATTTTGTTTCGTGTTTGTTTATGTGAGACATAATTTAATGAATCATTAAAGAAATCAGGAAGAGATGAGAACATGAATCAGAAAATAAAAATGTGAGTCAGGTGATGATGAACTAAAAGGCTTAATAATTTGGATCACAAATATTTTCATTTCGCAATGGTAGAAGCTAAGAAATTTCAAAACACCTTCGTGTAGATATTTTACGTATTTGTTCGCATTATAACCTAACGTGATTTGCGATAAATTTTCTTCTGAAAATTTCCCTCTCACACCTACGCTTTTCATTTTCACGTTAATATGTATGTAGGTAAAAAGAAATAACACAGGCAGGAAGAGGAGTGAATTTTGTATGAGTTTCTTGGTCTTCAATTAAGTGAAAAATATTTTGAAAACATTTAAAAGTTTCACTTTTTCTTTCTTCTTCGTTGTTGCAAAGAAAATGAAATGAAATTCTGATGAAAAACAATCGAGATTTCATCAAGTTAAGATATTTAAATCAATTGATAAGTGTTTAAGTAGAAATCGAAATAATTTAAGATTCTGTTTGGATTATTTTGGAAGTAATTAGGCGCTTTGCACTCAATCATCACTTATTAACGTGTCTGTTATATTTTCTTTCTCTCCTTTCCTTTGCACAGCGAAGTAGAACATGAAACACAAGAAAAAAAGTTTTATTTTTAATACATCACGCTAGCCAATTATACGATGTTTTCAAAATGAAATATCTTTTTATTTCTTCTGTAATCTTAAAAATCTTTCTCTTAAACTCATCTAATGTATCGTGTGGATTTCTTTTCACTTTTTTCCATAATGATCGAAGGAGAAAAAGTCATAAAAACTAATAGGCAAACTTTTTCTAATTTTTTTTGTATGTTGATCCAAATTAAAATGCCTTTTAATGCCTTCGAGATGGCAAAGAAATTTTATAATAACAACACTGATCTGTGATTACCGATTAGGTGCTAATGAAAGTGCCTTATCGTTCGTTGATTTTTCACTTGGTGGACGTCGAAATCGTTGCAGTAAACTGTTACAACTGTCTGAAAGAAGCTGAGTAACGCTTGTCGTAGAGCTTCGTGTGTAACGTTGCTGTGGTCGTCGATTGGACTGTGTGGATGTTGTTGCCATTTTCACGGAAAAAAGAATTGAGGTGAATATTAATTTGTGTATCTACACGAGAAAACACCTCGTCAATTTCTTTTCATTCACAATTCCAACGTGAGGAAAATATTTTCACAGCACCGCGAATTTTCCTTCACACACTTTGTCGATCGCGTCTTACAAAAATGTTTCTTTGCTTCGTTGAAATGCTGAATATTTTCACGAGAATGTTTTCCACTCTCTGTCTCACTCTTTTTGAGTTTTCATTCATTCTCTGAGAGTGAAACGATTCATTAAAGGTCAATTTCTCTCTCCTTCTTTTTGAAAATTTTCAAAGAAAATGATAATTTTTCACTTCTTAGTTATTCTTATGAGCGTGCGAATTTTGGCAAAGAAGAGAATTTGTTGAACTGTTACGTTGGTCGATGCTTTCCTACGTCGAATGAAATGTCGTCAACGCGAATTCATGAATTAATCTGCTACAAATCAAATGAAAATTTCAATCTTCTTTTATTCTTTTTTTCTTCTCGCGTCACTTCAAGTTGTATTATATTTTAATGAAATTAATCACGACGAGATCATAATTTTTTTTTCTTTTTCTAATTAAAAAAATTGCACATCTATGATTCTCAGAGTTGGCCGTGACCTGCATTCATTCTCTTCTTTACATAACCAGAGCTAGAGCACATAAAATATTTTTATGCATCAATTAACTGTAGCGGTTGACCGATATTGCAATACCCCTAACGATGCGTTTACTTTTAACAAAGAATTTTTTAATCGACAATTGAGTCTCTCGCGCGATACTTTTTTCCGCTATTAGCTATCAAGAAATATGTTAACAGACTGAATGAATTAACTCTTGTTTTAAGATGGAAAGACTCTTTGAACGAATAAAATAAAATATAAAAAGAAATGATTTTTCAACTTCAAAACTGCGATGCTAAATTTAGAAACAAAAAAAGATTTTTCACGCACTCTCGTCGTAGGTCTTGATTTAACGATATGTTTTAACCAAAATATAAAGACACTTAATCACAATAAAAGACACAAATAAGAGAGAAAATAGAGAATAACGTTGCGAGGTTCAAAAGAATCCGTGTGACTACCGCAATGTGATGGTGTCATGCAGGAGGCAAATATTTTCACTGTGAAAATCTCATTCTCGCATTCTCATAAACTCCGTCTTGGTGTCGGTGAGAAAATTTTCTATAAGATGTAAAGAAAATTATAAACTTCTACTAAATAAATGTGTTCACTACTGAAGGAGACTAAAAATAAATACAGAAAATTATTCCCTTTGTAACACGAGTCGGAGATTCTCTCAGTCTTGCCCGATTATTGATCACCAGCATAGTCAGTCACATGAATGATCATAATTCGTGATATATTGAATAGATATGCAAATATGACGTCGTACGATCAATCACAAGAATAAATGTAAGAATTTTGCATGAACATCGGAAGCTTGATTGATGATCGTCAATAATTTGTTTGCCCCCGAACTTCATTAATCAAACGATGCCGTCGATCACATTTCTTCGTTAAGAATGTTTTTTTCTTCTTTGTTTTATTGACTTTTTTGAGTGGTTCTTAAAAAAAAAATAAAACAAGCCTTGTGCCCAATTTTGTGCTGTTGCCTCATAATTAGAAATCTGTCAATTTCTCGTGACACACATTTCTGCTAAGCGATAAATATTTCTCTTTGTCTATGCGAAAAATCTATCTACCTTTAATAATTGGAAATGAGAGAAGAAAACAAACAAGATAAGATATTTTGGAGGAGCAGCACAGCACGATTTCATAATTTCTTTTCAACCCAGTCTCATATTTCTTGCTCGACATAAAAGGAAGTTGAGGGCGAGTAAAACATTTCATTTTTCATTATTTTACTTTCTACCGTCTACGCCAAAGAGAAGTTTCTTCTTTTTTGCTTTGGAATAATTTTTCCCAATCAATCAATTGTGTCAAGAGTTAAATGATTTCATCGAACAATTGAATATGAATCAGAAGCAGATGAAATAAGGCGATGTAGGTTATCAAATCATCGCATTTTTACCGCCTCTAAGTCAACAGAAATGTCCAAAGATATTTACAAATATTTCTTATTATTCGCCCAAACTTAACAACAGTTTCAAAATCAATAAACGCTTTCAATTGATTTTGTTTCGATTACAAAACCAACGCAAATTGGCTTCTGGATGATGGAAATCTCTCTTACGATTGAAATTTCATTATTCAATGATTGAATAAAATTAAAGCATTGGTGTTGCTTCTTTGTAAAAAAAATAAATAATAGAATTGACTCGATAACAGAAGTTTCTTAGCATTCCAGCAGATTATTTTTATTTATAATCATCGCTTGAGCGCTATAGTTGGCATTACAATTCTCTTCAAGAACTTTCAGGTTTTTAACGTAACCGTTTCATAAATTACGTCACTTGTTGTAATCAAAGTTCATAAAAGGATCGAAAGATAGACAGAAATAAAAACAAAGAGTAAACGTCAATAAATAAAGAAAACAAACCTTGACGATTAACAATTTAATGAAAGCAATTTCATGACAATTGACTACATTTCTCATACACAACTCGACCTCTCTTATTAACAAACCGTTAAGCTTAATTGCGATTGGAAAACCACTTATTCAGAATGATTATAAAAAATGGTAATAAATAAAAGTCGTAAATAAAACATGTTTGCTCTCGTGAGCTTATGGGATTTCGAAAACGCGTCAATAAAAGTAAAATATTTTAATTAGAACAATCCAGGGATTGATTTTACTAAAAATTTATATTTAAAGCCTTATTTTGTTAGAAAATAATTCATACAAGTTCAATGAACGCATTAAAAACTTTTTTAGTCAAACTCGATCACTAATAAAAAGCAATTTTCAAGCAATTTTAATTTGTTTTTTTTTGTGAGTCCATAAAAGCGAAGAAGCAATGAAAATCTTTTTTTCCACTACCTCGTACTGACTCGATCCGTAACGATCACCTTGATACGCTTTGCAATTATTCATCATTAGTGATGGGGTTGTTGGTGTGACTTGATCGCAACTGTTCCATTCATTTGCCACTGTTGTCAAAAGTTGATGAAGTTTATTACTTGTTGAGGGTTGTAAAATAGATTCTTCAATGAAATAAGGATCGAAAGCACTTAAAATCTCTTTCGAATCAGCAACAATACTTTCATTAGGTGCTTTTGTGCTCGAATTATTTCCAACAACAGCAACAGCAGGAAAGAATTCAATGTTTGTCTTCTTCTCATCGTCTTTCACTTCGCATAATTTCGTCGCATGTTTTGGTTCCACTGGTTTCACCGCTGCTTTGTGTTGCTCTGATAATGTTGGTATTTTTGATGTACGCCTTTGTTCTGGTTTCACAACACCACAAACACTCATGCCATCGCTCATAGCCACATCGAAATATTTTCTGTCTGATAAATATTTCGTATAAATAAAGGGAGTATAACAGCCTACACTATCGTTTGACTGCTGCTGTTGCTGCTGCTGCAAATGCATTTGATTTGTGCTTGGAGTTTGTGTCGCGGCCATCGGGTTCATGAAATTGTAAAAAATGTTGCTGTTTTGATTACAGGAATTTTTTATGGTTGAAGCGGATGATGTCATTTGCAAAGGTTTACTTGCATTCGAGTTAATTGTGATCGAAGAGGTTCGAGAATTTTTTCCATTTGAGCAATAAATTTCGTTGGAATTTTGTTCAATATTCGCCTCCATGTGAACTTTGGGCGTCGGTATATCGATAGCATTAGTATTACTATTGATATTGCTATTGCTACTGCTTTTAAAAGCTGACGGTAATTGTCCATTTATTGGAATCTGAATGGAATTGTTCTTCGTAAATGGCGGATAATTATTAATCGAGGCTTTTCTGAACGGAGCTGGTGCAGGAACTTTCTTATTGTTGTTAACTGATGTGAATGAACTTTTCGAAGGGTTGCTATGTTTGCTTGTGTCTTCATCATCTGACTCAGAAACTTCGTCATCAGACACAATTGGCTTGTACTTCGAGAAGATATCATTGTTCTTCGACAAGTGCGTTGGTTGACTTAATGTTTTTGCATAAATGCATGAACTCGAAGAGCTTTTGTTAATGTGATGAAGCGATGGCGTATTTTGCCACAGCAAAGGGTCATGTACGCTGTAAAATCCTATCGTTGTACCGTTATAGCTCGTCATCATCGAAGTGTTGGAGGAACTTCTGTTAAGCGGGTGCTTAAAACAGAGCGGAATATTAGTTTTCGATCCGGATCTTTGGTGAAAGTCTTGTGGCGGTTTGTAAATGATCGGCGGATAAAAACTTATTGGAGCAGATGACGGATGCATCATCATCAATGGTGTTTGATTTGGTGGAGTAAAAAACATGTGGCCTTGTTGCGGACTTGAAGATAAATAGCTTGGAACGTTCGTGTTTGAAATGCTACGCTTGTAAGACGCTTTTGTCGCATTATCCAAAGATTTCGTGATTTTATGTAAGTTTTTAAAGTAGTTTGGATCGTCTTGATTCATGTAAATGTGACTATTGGAAGACGATTTGAGTAGCTGCTGTTCGTGATCTAAATCATTCATCGCCCTTGCACTTCTTTGTAGCTTTGGGCTGTCAGTCATTTGTTTCGTATAAAAGTTAATCGACTGATTTTTAGGGAAAGGTTGTGAATGTACATGATGGTGATGATGATGATGACGCTGATGATGTTGATGATGCAACTGTGGAGGTTGCTGTGATTGTTGAATAAATTGTGGTGGCTGTTCATGAATCTGCATTGGAGGAGAATGAACTGGTTGTGGTGGTTGAGATATTTGATGGTTTTGCTGTTGCTGCTGCTGCTGTTGCTGAACTTGCGTTATTTGTGGTTTTGTTTCATTTGCAATAATTTTAGTAAGATTTGAAAGCGCTGGTTTTGGCTCGTTTGGTTCAAATTTCTTCCTAAAAAGTGGACTTGTTGGTGGGCCTTGTTTTAACTTCTCAATCGATTGCTGTTTTTGGGTAAACTGCGGCATAATCTTTTGATAATTCCAACCAAATTTATTGTTAGATGAACTTTGTTGTTGCAAATTTTCATTCCAAAAATCTCCCAAATTTTTCGTTCTACTCCCCGGTGGTGTTTTATTAAAATCATGAACATTTTTTCTCGAATTGCTATTATTTGTGTTGTTGGCTGGCTTTGGTTGCGTGTTGGGCGGATTTTGTGATCCAAGTTTCTTGAAAATATTCATTAATGATGAAGGCTTCTTCATAAACCCCATCAAGTCACTTGTCTCTTTCACAGGTATCGTCGTGCTCGACGTGCTTCGACTAATTTTATTCTTTTGTTCATCAACACACGTCGTCGCTTCCTTTTCAATGCTTTGACCGATATTTCGCTTGCTGAATGTATGAATCGAGTTAGACTTTGACAGCGGATTAATTTGCTTTCTTTGGCTTTTTGGACTTTGCGGAATTGAACTTTTGTGAGAACTCTTCGAACTGTGCTCATTTGCAGCTGGTATGTAGAATGGTTTCGGCGTTGGATGTTCCCGTAATCTTACTGTCGAAGGATTGAAAGGTTTCTGATTTATATTGCTATAGTCGGGAAGGCTTTTAAGATAATTATTCATAAAGTCGATGTCGGCCGAAAATAAATCATTCTTGTTTGGCACTTTCGTGAGATCATTCTGATCATTTTCAACCTTTTCTCGATTCTTAAAACTGTCTTGAAGTTCCGGTGGTTCATTTTTTCTGTAGAGTTTCGGACTAAAGTTCACACACTCAATCGGTGTTGCATGTCGCTGATGATTTCTTTCGCCAACAGCAACAGTCTCATTGTAGCGACTTGATGTCTGAAAATATTTATTTGCCATTCAACGATAAGTGTTGTCATCGTAAAAATAAAGATTTATTAGTCCTATCGTCCGTCATAATTAGGGATCGTTCATGATAAAATAAATATTGATGCAACATCAGTGAGAAAATTTTAATTCCTTTTTTCTACTTGCAACTATTTGGCATCGTTTCAAAAATTGTTTATTTATACAATTTAATATGTTTGAGTGCTAATTATAGCTACGAAATCTTTAATTAACTGTGTGACACTTTCAAAGATTAAAGAGAATGATCAGAGAAGAGAAACGAGTGGTTTTTGTGTACTTATTTGCTTAGATATTTATTTGAGTTGAAAAGCACATTTGAAAGTATACCTAACAAATGATTTCCGATTGAAATCAATAAAGAAGAGTTGAAACATCAATCGATCATTGATAGCGAAGTGAAACAGATACAGAAGACATGACAGTTGAAAGAAAAAACATTTCCTTTCATTTATTTTTTTTATTTTGTGAAATCACATGAACCAACATTAATAATAAAAAGTGCACAAATGGATATGGAAGACGAAGAAGAAAAACAACAGCAAGACAAGACAACAATTCTCTGACCTTTGTCACGATGACTTTTGCCGTTGGAGCGCGATTACTATTTTTGGGCTTGTAAATGACGATTGTCGTAGTCGGTTTGTCAGTCTTTTTACACTCAACTGTCTTTACCGAAATATGAGGCAAAGCAATATCCGTGAGCTTTATTCCATGCATGTTTTCATCCTCGATGATTTTCATTTTCGGCAGATCAGCTGGCGATGTGTCGTTGCTATTTTCAAGGTTGTTGATGTTAGCAAAATTAGTTTTTCCGTTTGGTGGATCGACGATTTTTATCGTCTTTTTCGGGATGTTTTGCTCCGTTAATGGCTTCACATTATTATTATTGTTCTGTTGTTGCGGTGTCGATGTTTCAATTTGGCAACAAAGATTCGCTATTCCATTAGAACAGTTATTATTTATTTGACTTTTTATATTAGACATTTCTTCAGTTCTTCTCACTAATTAAACAACAAAACAATCTTTCTTTTGTTTACGTTTTAGGTCCACCGTGTCTGCCTTTAAACAATAAGCAACGAGATTTTATTTTATATTTATTTACGCATCTATTTACACAATTTGCACATATTTTGAATAATTTTTCTTTCTTTTTTAAATATTTTCTTCATCCATAACTGAGAGGGGGAGGGAGAGAAGAATAAAGCATGATCATTAGTTTAGAGAAAGACGAAAACTTCTTCTTACTTTTCATAAACACACTTAACGAGTAAAAAAGAAAAAATATACATGAAAGCATTGCTGTGTGTTGAAAATTCTATAATTAACTCATTTTTTATCGTTAATTTTGTTTTTCTTCTTCTCTTTAATTTTCGGGGTCAAATAATTTGAACAAGAGAGAAAAATCTCTTGTGCTGAATTTCGCAATCAATTTCTTAATACTTTAATTAAGTAACAAGTAGAAGAATTATTGCAAGTAACACGAGAGTTTATTAGCTCATGAAGTCATGAAGCGCGTAGTAAGGAAACAATTTCATGGGCATCAGCGAGCTTGCCACAGAGTGGAGTGAACATGTGTGCTTGTGTGCACGACGAACTTATTTCTTTTTTTTTTTGCATTTTTTTTCGACAGTCTTGATTGATATTTTAAGATCTTTTCTTTAAAAATATATCGCAGATTTTTGTACTGCTTAGCTAGAGGCCACAAGCATTTATATAATCTCATTGATTTGAAGCCGACTAACTGGTGGCTTATCAAACAATTCAACCTCAATCTCCATCTTTCTTTTCCACTTTACTCTTTCTCTCGTTCTCAGACGAATTAATAAAAGAAGAAGAAAGAAAAAATATTGCGCAAACTTCAATCACAATAGGGATTAAGTGCAAACGTTATTTCTTCACTTTTTTATTTTGTTTTCTTCTTTATAAATCTCGATGAACAGCACTGATTAGAATTTCGCTAATTCGCGCGCGTTCCTATGAAATGAAGACTTTAATCGGTTGCTGTAACTTAACGCTCGAAATTTTTCTCGTGATGAAAGCAGATTCTTAACTGTCTTAGACTATTCGCTAGAGTCTCCTTTACCGAAAAACAAAATATAAGTCAAAGAAAAATGAATTTTCTTCTTTAGCTCTCGGAAAATACTCTTTGCGAGTGTGATGAGAAGTTGTATGAGTGTGTTTGAAGTTTTTATTTTCTTATACACAGAATAAGAAGAAGTCCGCAAATGTCTTCGTGATGATCTTCGTCTTTAAGAAGAATAAAATAAATGAGAGCAAACCGATATGTATGAAAAATGAGATTGATCGGCGTTGTGACTTGTGGTTCTCTTTGTTTTTCATGATTCTCTTTAGTCGACTGATCGTGTAAATAGTAGAATGTTAGAAAGTAGCAATTTGGCGACGCTGCTGGAAATAAACGATTTTTTTTTCTGTTGTCGAGAATGTTTCTTTGCTTCCTGTTTCGGTCATAAAACGGTTATGCCAATGAATCATTTTCTTACTTATTAATTTATATAATTTCAATGCAAACACGCAAAGACATTTTTTTAAAATGTTTGCTTATTTTCTGTTATTCCCTCTGGTGATGATTAATTTAAAGGCTTTTAGAGAATCTGAACTTGTTTGGTGCTCATATTTCCAAATGGAACTTTTTTTATGTTAGTTAAAGTTAACGTTTTGTTTCTCATAAGAAATGTGCTTTAATTGCTTTGATTAATAGAAAAATAAATAGAAAGAAAGAAATGTTACTCACTTTTGCTCTAGCAGCCTCATTCTTCTCATGGTTAAACGGCTTTCGCTGTCGCCGTTGCTGTTTGATGTCGAGTTCTGGACTTTGTCGGTGATGTGAACGTTTTGATCGGTCCCGTCGTCGTCTCGATCCATCATGACTGTTAAGTAAATTCAACATAAATCTAACATTTCTTAACACAATTATTTTTGTCTTAATCATTTTTCTTAACACTATCTTGAGTAAATCAATTAAAAGTTCACTTGTCATTGTCATCCGAATGATAACACAGTTGAAGTGCAACTAAATTTTGAAACTTCACACAGCCAGGCAAAGAAAAAACAATACAAAAACCTTTGAGGTAATTTAATAATTTTCATGGATTTTTATAAAACGAGGAATCGATTTTTATTTCACTTCGGGTTCTATTTTCATTGCTTTCGTCTTTCATTTGGCACTATTTTGAATTGGCGCATAACTTCCTTGCCCGAAGGTATAAAAACTAAACATCTACATATTTTATTGTTTTTTTCGGTATTATTTCAGCCAGTCGAAATGCAGGTCAAACTTTTGGCTTTTCTTTTCATTAAAAGAAATTTACCACCGCTTTATTGTAAGTGAAGTGAAGTATATGAGGTTAATGAGAAGCCTAAGAGCGAACATAATGAAAAGAAAAGTGAGGAATTAGTGAACGAAATTTTCGTCTCTGAATAATCTCTTAGCTGTTCTTCACTTTCAACACAAACTAGTTCAAAAGCCTTACAATATGATGTGACTTATTAATAGACCATTAAAGTGAATTAAACGGAACTGAGCGATTACAAAATAAATTCCACTTTTTTTTATTTGAATTCAATGGAAGAGAGTAATGGAAACTTAAACGTGTTGAATTGTTTGCTCTATTTTTCTCTTATTCGTCGTTAGTTTTTTTTATTGCTACTTGCATTCTTTAATCGTATTTCTATTCGTGAAAGAGAGAAAAACGTGTCAATCGTAGAGGTAAATTAAATTAATAAAGAACAATTAAGATTTTTGGCACATGTTTACAACCAGTGATGTCGTGTGAGAGAAAACAAAAAATGAAAATCAAATAAATTATGAATTTTATTCATTCATTATGAAATTATACAAACATGTAGTGTTGATTGTCGTCATAATTATCACAGAAAGGTTGCATGATGTCATCCCAAAGTGGCTCGATAAGATTGATATGCGTTCGTATTGAACGTGAATACGATGGCATGAAACCATAATTTGATACACTCCCGAAGCAACAACAATGACAGGCTTCTGTCATGAAGGTTTTGACTTTCTCGAATATTTTATTCATTATCGAATCGACCATTATTTATTTATCATCTTTCTACTTCTTCACCATCTTTGTACTTTCTTATCATACCAAACAAGTTTTAAGTTTAACTTTTCCTTTTGATGCTTCTCAAGCGCGTCAATTAAATATTAAAACCGTCCAAATAATCATAAAAAGAAATTTGTTTCGATGCTGAAATTTCTCTTTTTTATTTTTTCTTCCTATGCCAGTTCAAATGATAATCAAAACCTTAAACAAAAAAAAACTACACAGGCACAGAGAGCAGCCTCAGATTGCTTTCTTTGTTATGAATGATGCACGACAACTGATGAAAGTAGAAGGGAAAAGTTTTCTTCTCAAAAGTTCTCGGTAACGAATAATTTACTCAATGCAATGCTCTTCTTTCTATTTTTTTATTTATTTTGATCGATAACATAACGTTAAATATGGAACAGTGAACAGATGCCCTTTGCATTGTAGGAAGTAATAGTCAAGTAATGATAACAATAACATATTTGTTAAAGAATTCATAAATTATATTAAAGAACACATACAAACAAATAACATAATGAATGGGATAGTTTTTGACATGACAGAACAACAATTTAAATTAATAATTGACACAGCGGTAGCAATGTTGCCAGTTTCGATTGTAATTTGTTCTGCTGCTGAAAATAATTATTAATACAAAGGATTTCTTCCACAGATTACTTATTAACACAATTGGATTATTTAAATTCAATTCAACTTCTGATTTAATGGCCTTGAACAAGATCTGCCGAGTTGAACGTTTTTTCAAGTTGTAATAACGACAAAGCAAAAAAAAAACAGTTTTGTTGTTTTCGTCATTTCAACGACGACGTGTGCTTGAATCATGTGTCATCCTACAATTTTCACTTTTATTTGACACTTTGTCGCTGAAAATGGAAATCGGTGAACGCCGCCGTTACCTCAAATTATTATAGCTCATCGCGACCGCAAAAATTGCATAAGTCCGAAAACAAACATTGAAAAATTTTCTGTCTAAAAAAATATGCAAATAAGTACGCGGTCGGTGTTGTTGAGTTGATATGTGTCGTCGATCGTATGTGAAATTCAAATAGCTTTAAATAGTTTTCACTTTTTATTAAACATTCTTTAATAGTTTGCATGGTTTTTGGCTGTTTTAAAATCGCTATATGGAGTGGTGCAGACAAATAGTCAATGACCTTGACATCATGAACGATTTACAAACTGAGCAGCACAAATGAAATCGAAGTCGAGTGCTTTAACTTTAAGACAAGGAAAAAAATTCTTCTAGAGGAAATATTTACAAAAAAAAAAAAATAACGCAGAAATAATCAAAGAAGCGGATTCACGCAATAATGACCTCAAGTTACAAGCTTCAGTAAGTTTTGCCATCTTTGTCGCCACAACAACAATAACAACATCAACAACCGACACACAAAACACTGCGATTTTGCAATTGTAAGGAAACTCCTTGTGACTATTCAAACAAAACAACAAACATTCGAAGAAATGAGTAATTGGCGTTTGACTCTCTTCCTGGCTTGTTTGTTAAATATTTATTTGTGTACTTCGACGTTAAAATCGCTTAACTATCGATATCGCATTTAGACTTTTCAGACGCAACGGTTGTTTCTTTCTTGCTTGCCTGCTTGCTGCTGTCCCGACACAAAAATATCTTCCGCAATTCATGTGTATATTGTTTCCAAACGTTTTTCTTATAAAATAAAATTAGAAGAAAAAAATTGGTAGAATGAGGAACACGAAGATTGCCAAATATGGTATCAAAATTGTGAACGTGATTTCATGTTAAAGTTGCGCACGATCGTCTTAATAGCGAGAACTAATGCTGCGAATCTGTTAGATTACTTAAAATATTTTTTTGTTCTTTAATTCAGTGATCATTGTGACCAATCACCAAGTGCTGATTCTTAATTCATGATTGGATAATTCGTAATATTGATTTCAATGCAGCACACAAATCTCTTTTGAAATCAGTAGACAAAGGGCAAGACATTTGAAACATTAGATCTCTTTTTTTTTGTGTACTCCTACATGATATTTACTTAATCAATCAATCAATCACTGCGGTTTCTTGACCAGAAAAAAAAACAACGGGACTGAATGAATATAATTACAATCCGTGTTCTTCTCACATTCATAGCGACAAGATTTCAAATTAGCAAATTGACGATGGAGAACTAAGGAAAAGATTGACTGACTTCTTATTGATGGATTTTAGTTAACGTTGTTTCTTATTTGTGGATTAGCTTTCAAATTTTTGGTGTAGGCACTCGAGGAAAAATCATCTGGTTTAATTCGAAAACGACCAAAACAGGAACATGTCTTGTCAAAAAAAAACTAATTTCATTTCTTTCCAAAGTAATTAAAAGATTTTAAGACATTTTCAACAACATTAAAGCATGGCGATTACAAGACACTGTTGGGAATTGTGTAACATGTTGGTTTAATTTAATTTACGGTCTACTTATGAGACATGAAGAAAAAGGTGGAGATTTGGTGAAAGTTCACGCATCAAAGCTTTCGATGTTAAGTAATTTGTGGAAAGCTTTTTTGTGACATTTGCTTATGACATTTTCCAATAGGAAAATTAAAGAACTTCCAACATTTTAGTCCAATTTCATTTGTGGAATGTCGAGTGCAAACATCTGCTTGTCTGTTTATTATTGAAGAACAGCAAAAAAGAAAAGTTAAGCTGAATAAACTTTAATTTGTATATTTCACAAATAATTTTCAATGTCGAGTTCAAATTAAAAGTTTATTTTACTTTTCCATGTGCGTGTTTATACAATGAAATGAAAGAAAACCATGACTAAATACGGACTGCACTCTAAATCGGAATCATTACATTAAAATGAAATAAAAAATATTTAAGTATATGCATGGAAGGAAACTAAAAAGAAATGTGAGATGAAACGAAATAAAAAATATTATCAAAAGGAGTGAGTGAGATCGAGACACTTAGTTTTGAATATATGGTATCACGGACAAGGTGATTGTCTTTTTCTTACATCGTCATGGACGAAGACGCAATAGGACGGAGGAAGCAGAGCATTTTTTATCTTTAATTTATTTTACAAAATGCGACGACAAGAAAGATGGAAGATGGAATGACTATGGATATGGCTGCTTAAGCAAGCACAAGCAAAGCAAAGCATGAAAGAGAAGAAAAGCTTCTCTTTAATTTACGATTTGCGACTTAAACCTTGTGGTTTCCTGTTTACCGTGCCCCGCATCTTTGCAATTTCACACGCGCGATTTTAGTCAAAAAATTGTTAATGCAAATGAAGCTTTGAATCATTTCAAATTGTGGTTTAAGTAATTTATATTTTATTCAAATTTATTTGAAGAGACAAAGCGGCATTATTTGTAGGATAGGAGAACCTTTCTTTCGTCTTTCCTTCTTTCACTTGAGAAAGAAATTGAATTAAAGAGTTTCGTTCTTTCTCTCGTTTCATTCTACTCGAAATCTAAGCATTTATGATTGCCGTATTCGCTGATGAATAATTTGCGAGGTCAATGAATGTATTACAGTTTACTACTTCTTCTTGTTCTTTCATCATCGTCGTCTGTTTTTCTTTCAACTCGATCGTTGATTCTTCAGCTAAATTTATGCAAATTAGAGTAAGGCTGTCATATGTTCTTCTTGTTTCGTTTGTTCTTGTTCTTAATTTTTAGCTTTTTTTTAAGAAGAACGTGAAAAGAAAGTCGAATCGATCATGTCACAATTAATCCCTAAAATGAATTCAAAAAATGTTAAACTTTCTGTCTTCATTTCCATTAATTACATTCGCAAATCTTTTGTCTCGTGATTCATAAATATTTAGTCGTTGTCGCGTAATTTCTCTTCATTTTAATGGCATTCGTCAATCGTCACATTTTTTACAGAGAGAGTAAAGAGTTTGTTAAATATTTGCATACGTGTAAAGCACACCAGAAGTTTAACAAATGAAATTCTTTGTAATTAAAATCTCATGTCGTTTATTAGGCATTGTTTATGGAGGAAATAGAATTCGCGAGGTTACGACTTACTGCTGAAGTTAAGAAAAGTACCGTGTCATTATTTAAATATCTAAAACCTCAACACGAATCAACAAGTATAAGTACGTACGAGAAAATCAGTTATTCGAATCCATCGTCTGAAAATTGACTGGGCTAATGAAATACTTGTAAGAAGAATAAGAAATCTGTTTAGTCATGGATCAGTTGAAAGCTTTGCGCTTCATTCGCCAATCGTATTGTATTGTTCAATTGAATATTTTGCCTTTAATTTGTAATTTATATTTCCGACACTTACATACACTCAAGATAATGTTAGAATTCTTAAGACATTTAATTTCAATTTTCTTTTTATATTGCAACTTACTCAGCTTGACCGATGCCGTTGTCGGTTTGGGGACGATTGCATTTCGGAAAAATGTTTGCACTTGTAACGTACACAACTCCTGACGCCGCGTCACCAGCATTTCTCTCAACACGTTTTGATGTTTGTGCTGTCATAAAGTCCACCACCTGTTGCTGACTTTCGTTTGATTTTATTGAACTGTTTGAACTTTTGCTAGTTTCAATCTCGTAGAAGCAGTTCTTGTCGGTGAGAATATATTTCGTCTTCGTTGATAGAGTCGTTGATTTATTTATAATTTTCTTCTTACACTTCTCTTCATCCGAATCAAATCTTTCGAATGATTTGAGTGTGAAGTCAACGTAGAGTGCATCGTTTGAAGGATTCCTTCTGAACTCATCTTGATAGGGAGAGTTCGATAACCGTTGATTATTTGCAAAATCATCGCTACTATTATTACTCGTCGTCGAATCAGACGCAACAGATGAACGATGATTGTTTTTACGATAATGATAGAACTCATTTTCGAACGGCAAACCATTCGGAAATTTAGCCGAGAATGCTTTTGTTGGCGATGATGATGATGGGAATGTTGACTTAAGTAGCTTTTTGGCAGTGGCAGGTGAGACAGTCTTTTTCTTCAAACTTCCATTCTCGATCGATTTCTGCGTCGATGAGTTTTCGTTTATTTCCTTTTTACTCTTATCGTTTCGCATGTTCATGGTTTTATTTGTCAACTTGTTCACGGTCGTCGTTTGATTCAAATACGATCGCTTTTGTGACAGCACCGAGGCGTTTGTCGCAATCTGATATTTAGGAACAATGGACTCAACCGAGTTACTGCCACTCGAACATGAACTTTTCACTTTGATGCTGTTATTCCACCCGTTATTTTCAGCAACTCTCGCCCGAGTTGATCGAATCAATTGCGGTGAATTCAAAGGTGAAAGATTATTGGCATTCAACTTTTTTATCTCTTTGACTTTTTGTGTTGCGGTTGTCGTCGTCGTCGTCGTCTTTTCTCCAATCATTTCATTCGCCATCGTTTTATGTTTAAAGGAATTCTGTCGATTTACATTCGTTGTTTGTCGCAAGTTGTAATCACCGGCACCTCTGATTGTAGCTGTTGTTGTTGGATGTCTTATCGACGTTGAACAATTTAAAACTTTTGCATTTGACATTTTTGTTTTCTTCCTTTTGATTTCTTTTTTACTTTTCACACGTAATTAATTTTTTTTAACTTCTTTCTGTTGCTGTTTCCGCGTTTTGTTTCGCAATTCACAATCTTCTTATCAGCACATGTTTAGTTCTATTTATTTATTTCTCAACAATAAATCGATTTGAGCAGAGTGAAGTTACTTTGAAATTAGCTCACACAATTTACCGTTTTATTGGACTGATAACACAACAAATGTTTTATTTCTTCGTATTTTCATTTTTTCCCTTCTTTGTCACATTTAGTCAGCGCCTGATAAGACTGCGATTTGAATTATGGAGAAAATATTATCAAAATACATTTTTAATCTCGTCTGTGACGACGACGATTTGACGGAGAATTCTTTTCGAGGAATAACGAGATTCGATTTAAAAAATAATTGCGCAAAGGATTAAGCAAAGAAAAAAATTGAAGTTTATTGCATTTTGCATTCTTTTCTGCATAAACAGCAACTAGCTTGAAGTGATTGAATTTAGTTGCTATTAACCTCGAGGAAATTGACGTCGAGTAATAAATTAAAATTATAAAACTGCACACAAAAAAAAATATTGCCAAGCGAACTAAAGCAATTCAGGTTTTTTTATTTCTTTATATCGCTTTTATTTTGTTGTATTTTTTTCCAGATCTCTTTTCGCCAACTTAAGTCTTGAGATTCTTAGTCAACGATTAGGAGAAAAATATATTGTGCAAGAAAAAAAGCCTACATAAAGATCTACCAAAATGGTCACATATATGCAAAATGAATAAAAATGATCAACAACATCAAACTGTAACGCGACTTTTGCAATAAACTTCATTGTTAATCGAAAGAAACTCTTCACGATATTTCTGTTTTCCCTTGTTATCAACATCACCACAGACTGTTGCATATTTATTTCGAAAATCATCTCCGTTTATGCAATATCTATCAATATATTTACATTTTCAACATCAGCACCGAAGAGAAGAAATTATTTAAAAAAAAAACACATGTAAAAACTGAAATAAGCAATTATTGTGAAAAGAAACTTTTCATTCGCCCGGAGGAAGTAGCCGTGATCGTAATATTAAAAGAGTTCGCGCGCTTTGCGTTTAAACCAGACGAACGAACTAACTAAACTGAATTGCGAATCAAGAGAAAAACAGAAAACGCTTAAGAAATAAGAAAAACTTATGTTGGAACAAGGCTCTGGCAGTGTGTAGATGTATACACAATCGTATAGACATTTCCATTAAGACTTCAGTGTGGAGAAAGAAAAGCAAACTATACAAAAGAAACTTGCATAAAAAAACAATTCAGTGAGTTGTAGTAAACGTGCCTCAATATAGACTCAAAGTGAACCCATTTCGATGACTTACGCAAAATGAAAAGAGAGTCAAGGAAATTGCATTAGAATTCTGTGCTTCCTCCATTCTGTGTATTGTCAATTCAATTGATTTCATTTGATTTTATTTTGAAGACAAGAGAAATGTGTAAACAGTCGCAAAGAGAAATTTAAATTAATTCGTGTAGACGAATGAATGTCTTTGTATATTTATTTGATTCTTTTATTAGTATAAGTTCGAGACATAACAGAGCTTACAGCAACTCTCATAAGTAATAAATCAAAAATTGAGTTTTATGAATTTGTGTTCGATGCGGTTTGTTGAGTTTCATCTTATTGGCAATCAAACTCGTCGCTTATTCATGCGTCTTATCAAAGCATCTTTGCATTATTTAAAGTCTTTCCTTCTCCTTGAATAAATGAATCAAAAATTAAGCTCTCCGCGAAAGTCTTTTCACACCAACTTGATCATGGAAATTGTAGAGATGGTTTCGTAATTAAAATTAAACAATTAGAGACGCACTCTTGCAAGACTATAAGTTCAGCTGACGGAAAATGTTCATGATGTTGAGCGATGGCATCATAACATTTGTAAAGCATTTTCTTCGCATCGGCAACTGTCATGAAAGGCAACTCTTCGTGCAATCCCCATGCAAACTCTAAAAGTTCTTCACTGAAAACATTGAGATTATGATTAAGTGGCCAATCATTGTAACATGCTTCACAGTCGCAAACAAAGCCGTAATCCTTCATCAATGCTTCTTGTCGTATAGTCTTAGCTTGATTGTTAAAATTTGGTCGATACGAATCGAATAATTGTTCGCCTTTTTCAATTGGCCTTGACACGATCACCACAACTTTGTCATCGACATTAAGTCGTTTAATGTTTGGAGCACAAGAATGATTGAGTAATGAACAGAAGAGATAAAGTCCATTTCCGTTGAGTTGTTGATAGAAACTTGGATTTTTTGGTTCTTCTTCGTTGAACTTTTGATTTAAAGACCAGCCGCCGATGCCGTGAACGTAATGCGTTCCAACATGTACCAGTTTCACAAGAATTTTTCGAATGAAACTTTCATTTGAGTTCCACAAACCTTTCAGTTTTTTTGTTTTCATGAAAATATTTTCATAATTTTCCAAATCAACTTTTTCATCAGACACGCACGAAGGCAAGCTTAAAGCTGCGAGAAACATTTTTCTTCGACCCTCAACACTCTTCCAACTCTTCGAATTTAAGTTGAAAATTGTCATCGGTTCCGTGTGTTGAGTTAAAAATTTTTCCATCTCGTGAATGTCACCATCGAACAATGAGAGACCTTCAAGTAACATTCTAACAACAATATGCATGATGCCTGATGTTAAAAGTTCATCGACAATCTCGCATTCATATTTATGATGTCGTTTATGTGATGATTTCATGCAATCTATTGAACAATACATTGTTCTGCAACAAGATGTGCATGGAATTAAACCTAAAAGATTTTCTTTCATGCAGCCTCCACATCGTTGAAAAACATTCGAGTCGTAGCATGTACTGTATCGCGAATCTGCTTTGATTACTTTAAACGTAGGCTCATCAATAGCAACGATGTCACCAACCTTTAAATGTCGCTTCGTTACGATATATCTTCCGTACTTACTGTCAACTTCCATTTCTAAACAATTTGCAATAAATGGCAGTTCATCATTACCCGGATAAGAAAGCTCAAAAGAACTTAAAAAATCTTCACATTGATTTGCATCGTCATTTTGCTTCAACAATTGCAAGCATTTGTTTTCGCGTTTTTTAAGAATTTCTAAATTCTTTTCCGGGTAGCAATTTTTCTTCGCAAGCTCAATGTTGCTCAGACATTTATCATAAAGCTTCATCTCGAAATAAACAGCCGATCTGTTTGCAAATGCGAGACCCATATTTTCACTTTCCGACTCAGCAGCACAGAGACTCTCATTGTACTTTAATAATGCATCGTAAAACTTTTGATGAACGTAAAGACGATTTGCTTCAGTGCGGAGTTGCTGAGACTTAACGTCTGATTTCATGTTTATAACAGCAAATGCGTGAAAATGACTATTGAAACGGTAATTGAGATTTTTTTCTTTCAATCCTAAAACAATAAGATATTTAGAAAATTAGGAGCGATTCTCACACGTCAACGACAATGCCAAGATAAATCACAAATCATTGAAACAAAGATTTCCTTCTGTCTCTATTTTTAGACGCTTGAAGTGTTGCGCAATCAAACATGTGTTTAAATGTCGTTTTTCGCAACATAATTAATTAAAATTTTATTCTAAACATAACTTTGATATCGAAAAAAACTTTTTTTTAGTTTTTCTGGTTCCATATTTCATTTCGATTCCCCGATTTTAAAGAAGCCAAAAATTTAACTCAAATTTTTTTTAATTCATTTTCACTGTTCCAGAAATTTTTTGTGTTCAAAAATTTATCAAACGAGAATCAAGTTTAGTTTGGAAAATTCTCTGTTTCAATCATGTTTTTTGAATGAACATCTTAATTACCAATCAATTTTTTTTTTATTACTTTTAAAGTGTCAACACTTGTAGTAATGAATGTTAATTCTTTCTCACATGAAACAAAACTGACGATACGAAAATCTATTTTAAGTAGGTAGAATTCGGGAAAACTAGTTGAAAGTAGAAATTTGGTTTTTCAAAAGAAGCTTTCAGAACTTTTATTTTCATTTTGAAAAATTCGGTTAATAACGTAGATTTTCAGTAGATTAGTAAATGAAGAAATAAACGACTCTTATGACGATAAAGTTTTAATCACAATTTCCCATAATTTACACAACGCACCAGACAAAAATTTATTTTAATTTGATGCCATGTTAACATTGTTAACATTTTTCAAAGAAACAATTCCAGTATGTTGTTATTATCTATCACACAATCATTTCAAAAGAAAAAATTAAATTTAATTATCTCGATGAAAAAATGCAATGCGAATAATTTTTCAAAGACAATTTCATACCAACATACATAGCTGAAAGATTTTTTAATTCAACAATATGATGCAATAAGTAATCATAAGAGTCGAGCAGTAAGACGCAAGTGGTAATCAAAGCATGCGGAAAATAAATTACAAAAGTTCATCTCATTTCACCGGAAATTTCGAAATAATGTTAAGTAGCTATGAATCTCCAAATTCAGCTTATTTTGATGCTTTATTTATTACAGCGTGATAAAAATTTAAGCTAAACAAATCGTTTTCCAGGCAAAAAGAAGAAACGCTGAAGCAATAAACATTAAATTTACTTTTAATCTTCGTTGTTATTTGTTTGATTAAATTTTCACAGCATCAACGCCATAAATCTGTTCATTTGTAGTGACAGATAAAACCACAAAATTGAATAAAGTTATTATTAAGCAAATTAAGCTATAAACCTGTAATTTCTTGAATGATTAACTTTTAAATATGAAATTAAAATAAGAATCTGATTAATTTTATTCCAAAGGAAATAAAAAAAAAGGTTTTTTATGGCTTCTGTTGAATCAACAAAGAAGCAATTTGAGTTGAGTTAAGTAGATATTTACACCTGAAGGGTTCTCAATTAGTTTAAAACTGAACTAATTAACGATATTTTAACTACTGAACATTCAAATGTTTATCGCAGCTATTTTTGACGCATTTTTTTGTGTAGAGATTTAACACAACAAGTTGAACACGCACATCGCGCATTGGAAGATATTTTAAGTATCTTTGCAACATTGTGTTAAAAATATTGTTCAGTTAGAGTGTGCAAAAATATTGTGGGAGAATTTTATTATTCAGTTGATCTTAATGAGAAAGAAAAAGTAGAAAAGAGACAAATTAAATTGATAATTGACGACAGCGATCTGGAAATTTACTTTTTGATCATCAAAACTTGATTGCGCAATAGTAGAAAGAGAAAACATTTAAGTGAGATAAAAATAAAACCTGCAGGAGAATGTTTGAACGTATCGGCAAGTGTAACGAAAGCTCGGATACACTCCGAGCAGAAGGAAACCAATTATACGCTCGGAAGATGTTTTACGATGCATTATTAAAGTACAATGAGAGCCTCTGTGCTGCTGAGTCGGAAAGCGAGAATATGGGACTCGCATTTGCAAACAGATCGGCTGTTTATTTCGAGATGAAGCTTTATGATAAATGCCTGAACAACATTGATTTAGCCAAGGAAAATCACTATCCGAATAAAAATCTAGAAATTCTTGAGAAGCGAAAAGCAAAATGCTTGGAAATGACGAAGCAGTTAAAAGAAGAATTTTCAACAGTCTTGAATTTCAAACTTTCTTATCCACCAAATAAGAAACTTCCATTTATTGTCGACTGCTTAGAGTTGAAAACGAACAAAGAATTTGGACGGCATATTGTGACAAATAAGACATTAAAAGTCGGCGATGTTTTAGTGATAGAAAAACCATTTGTCGAAATAATTCAAACAAGCTTTTTGTACACACGCTGCAGCAATTGCTTCAACGATAACATGATGGATTTAATTCCATGTATGACTTGCAATGGAGGTACATACTTGTCGATGTTTGCAAATAATCTTAAGAGGAATTGAAAAATATTTGTCTTTTTTTATATAATTTCAGCGATGTTTTGTACATCACAGTGTCGAGAAATTGCTTTTAAAAATTTTCATAAATATGAATGTCAATTAGTAAACTTAATTTCAAGTTCCTTGTTAACCCCAACAATGCGAATGGCACTTCGGACTCTCTTCGTTGCACTTTCAATCTTTGAAGGATCGATTGAAGACCTTGAGAAGTTTCTGCATGAAAACACCGATTGCCGCACAATTTTCGACTTAGAAGATTTTAATGACATGAAGCAAAGATTTTTGGCAGTAAACTCATTAATTTCAAGCAGTGACATTGAAGTTAATGCATCAATTTTTGAAGAAATCTTCCATGTTGTTCCACAACTGAAATCAATGTGGACGGTTCACGGTCAATTCATTGAAAGTTTTCTCAGGAAACAGACTCAGATTGGAATATTAAATTATCATGAAATTTTTTCTTGGCCATTAAAAAAAGGTGGATTTCTTGACAACGATATCACTGCCTTCAAGGGATCATTGGCATATCAGCGAGGTGTTGTTGGAACTGGCTTTGGAAGTTATTCATTCACTTCTTTGTTGAATCATAGTTGTGCACCTAACATTTGCAGAATACACAACAATAATGAAATTATTTTGATTGTTCAACGACCAATCGCAAAAGGTGAACAGTTATTTGATAATTACGGATATTGTTTCACAAACGTGTCTAAAGACTGCCGACAACAAGCTTTGTTAAAGCAATACAGATTCAAGTGTAATTGTCGTGCTTGCGTAGACAATTGGCCGCTTTTACCATCCTTGAGAGTTCTTGATAAAGCGTGTCTGAATAAAGCTAAGAAGGCATGTCGAGAAGTTAGTTCTGCTTGTTTAAGCAAAAAGAAAGCACACGAAAAATATAAAGATCTTTGCGAAGTAATTGAGAAGAATTCAAAAAATTATCCAACACTTGAAGTGTGCAGTTTGATGGAAAGTTCTTTTGCCTATCTTGAAATGACTTTAAAGCCGTTACTTCAATTTCCATGAGATGTTCAAGTTACAAATGAATTATATTAAAATAATATTGATAGAAATAAAGAAAAGTTTTATTTACTTTTTTAATTTGGATACTTAAAACAAAATATTGAAGCAGAATTCAAAATCATTAAATTTTTTTAAGAAATCAAATGAAAGCTCGCAAATGTGTTTTTGTAGACTTTTCATGATCATACGGAGCTTTAGACCTCAAAAGCTCGCGTGCGCCTCTGTTTTGATCATCAACTTTTGTAGACTTGAAAATTCGAAGAAACAAAACAAGAAATCAGCACGTTTTTCAATATTAGCATAAATTCTAGTCATGTCAGTCAAAGACGTTTATGATTATACAGATAAGCTTAAAAACCAATTGATTAAAGATAAGAAAGTTTTAGAAATATCGAAGGAATTCCTTAAAATAACTGAAAATGCTGAAAGAATGAAATTCGTAGAAAAACTTTTAATCGAATACCGGCTTATGGCTGAAGATATGAAAGTCAAGTCATGTAAATCAAACGCAACTTCTGAATTACATCGTAAGAAAGGCAACGAATTTTACACTGAAAAGAAGTTTCTCGATGCAATGGAGTCATACAACAAAAGTTTGTGTTTTGCTGAGTCAGGCAGTGACAATATCGGCATCGCTTATGCAAATCGATCGGCAGTTTACTTTGAAACACAGTTATATAGCAAATGTCTCGAGAATATTCAACTGGCAAAAGACAATAATTATCCAATGAAAAATATGGGAAAGTTGGATAAACGTAAAAATCTTTGTCTTGAACTGATCAAAACCGATCATGATGCAAAAAACGCCAATGACCCAGTACGTGGTAAATATTTTAAATTAAATCAGAAACTGAACAAAAAACTCCCATTTCTTGCTGAATGCTTGGAAGTGAAAAGTAATGACACATTTGGTCGATACATCGTAACAAAGAAAGCTCTCGCACCTGGTGACATTGTTTGTATTGAGGAACCGTTTTCAACGTTCCTCCTTCCCAATTGTAGTTACAAGTACTGCGCAAATTGCCTCAACGACAACTCATTGGATCTCATCGCATGTCAACAGTGCACATCAACATTGTTCTGTTCAGATGATTGTGCAAAAATTGGCTACGAAAAATTTCATAAATACGAATGTGGAATCATCGACGAATTGAATTTTTTGGGAACAAAAATCTTACGACTCGCCTTGAGAACATTTTTTGAAGCTTTTTACGTATGCAATCAGAACTTGAATGAATTAAAAGCTTTGATGAAAGAAAATGAAGGCTCAACAGCAACAATTTTCGACTTTGACGATCCTTTTGATAAAAAAAACATTTTACAAGCGATCGATGCATTAGCAATGAATAGTGGAAGAGATCAAAGCGATTTGTTCCAAAGAAGTGGAATTGTTGCAATAATGTGTAATTTATACTTGAAGTTCACGCCATTGAAGGATATTTTACCGACTGAAGCCGACGAAGATTTCTTCCGATGTTTCATCTTCAAACAAACTCAAATTGCTGCTTGCAACTATCATGGACTTTACAATGGTGTTGTTAAACTAATGGAAATTTGTGATGACCCAGGGTACGGATCAGGAAGTTTTCCTTTTTGCTCTCTCATCAATCACAGCTGCGCTCCAAATCTTGTTCGTTTAAATTTGGGACCGAAGAATTTTATTGTTATTAACCGGCCGATTCCAGCTGGCGGTCAACTTTTCGATAATTACGGCTTTCACCATTGCTTAGAAACCTTTGAACAACGGCAATTGGGACTCCTCAACCAATACAGATTTAAATGTTCGTGTGAAGCTTGTGAGGGAAAGTTTGCACTTTACAACGACCTTTCACATGTTGACCGAAATTTCTACGATATCTATGGCGGCGACATCGAAAAATTGATGCACTTTGATTTTGAAAGAGCTATTGAGAAATTTGAGAGTTACTGTTTGTACCTTAAAAAGTACGACAAGTATTATCCATGTTATGAAATCAGCTCCCTTCAAGAATGCCTCTTGCAAGCTCTCAAAATGTTCTCAAGTAGTAAATCTAAAATGCAATTATGCATCAGATAATTTCTCATTTTGGATCACAAATAAAAACACTTTCTTTGTTGATTAAATTTATATTTTTATTTTATTCATTTCCATTCTGGATACCCTGTCTGTTGAAAAATAAAACAAACCAACCATACAAGACACCAATCTAACTTTTGATAGCGAAAACGATAGAAAATTAAAAGATTAATTTATTTATAATTGTTGTGAAAAGGCAAATGAAAAACTTTGTAAAATTTCATTAAAATGATGCACTCGAAAGGAATGTGCTGGGCACTTTCAATGCAATAAAGTTTTGCTTGTTTATTGCGAGAAGTAAAAGCGGTAAAGAATTGTCGCCAAAAGTCCCAACAATATTGGGACGATCCAATTCTTCATTGAACTAAAAAGAAGAAAAAAGAAAGAAATTTAGCCTTGAACTTGTTTCGCAACTTAAGTGGTTGTGTGAATTATTGACTTACTTGTCATCTTTTTTCTCAGATGACCAATCTGGTTGTGGCTTTTCTGGAATAACTTTGCGTTCACTTTCAATCAATTCACCGATTTTGTATTTTTTCATGAGGTCGCGAGCATCAGTTGAATGTCCAACATCTTCGAATGGTTCTGTAGCCTCTTTACCAGCTTGTTCAAGTAAAACTTCTTCACCGCCAGGGTGCTTGTTGTAAAAAAAAAAGTAAGAGTTATGAAATTGATTTTAAAGACATATATGGCTTATCACTTTATGTCTCTCTTTTTATCAGTTATCAATTTGTACCAGAACGATAAGACACGTTTGGCTAAAGCTTGAAAGATCATTAGATTCTTTAAAAGGAGAAGTAAAAAAAAATTCAAGATTAATTCTGAAATGATACGTCACCACCAACCGATCACTTCTAACAAATATGGTCAAGAATTCTGAACATTTATTAGATTTGTTAGGCGCGACCTTTAAACTCGACAAAGTTTTCAATACTCTTTCCAGTGTTTGCGTTAATCGTATTCGTATTTGTCTGATAGATTTCAAAATATAATTAAAATGCAATCCTTGAGAATGAGTCGACATGAAATATGCAATACTAACTAACTGTTTTGCAGACATATGTATAAATAGTTGAAATTAATAGAAACAGAATTATACTAATTGTGTTTGGGAAAGAGACAAATGTACAAAACTGCGAAATAAAAGTAAAACTCACCTCATTCAAGAATTGTGTGACGTCATAGATCTGTAAACATACAAACATTAGATTTAAATAGAAAATTATAGTAAAAAATTGTTCGCTTCATCAAAATCAGATTCATATCATCTTATCAATTGCCAAAAAAATCGAGAACTTTCTTAATGGACGATAATTATGGTAACGATCAGCAACAACTTACGTTATTGTGAATTACAATCCAGCTTGACTTATTTGAGTTGTGAGTTGCAACTTCTTTCAAACTGTATGTTTTAGTTTCAGACATTATTTTATCAGTTTTATCTACAACTTGTTGCCTTGGTAAATTCAAGAAAAATACTGAGAAACTTTCTAAGTCTACTTAGAAACCAAAAGCAAATATGAGGGGGAGCGGTTCGAACCGATTGAAGACTTTCGTATCTCTTATGCAATAACCGTTTCAATTTGGAGACTTTTGTTTGTTTACAATTAGAGAAATTCACATTCTCACATGTTTAATATTTTTATTGTTAAAAAAATTATTTTAAGATGATTGACAAACCTAAAACTTGTATTGAGGACCTTTTCAAAAATCCAAGCAATGGACAATACTTGAAAGTCGTTGCTCGTGAGTTTTCCTTTTAAATTATTCCAATATTTTGGTTTTCATGCGATAATTATTCTTCCAGCAATGGTGCGATATTCTCGATTGGAATTTAGATCTCTTGTAAGAAGATATGATGCTGATTTAACTTTCTCACCGATGACTATTGCTAACTCTTTCTGCAGAAGTGAACGATGTCGACAGCACGAATTTACAACGAACATTGAAGACACGCCAATGATTGTACAGTTTGCAGCGAATTGCTCAACAGATTTTCTTCATGCAACTGAAATGATTGTTCGTTATGCAGATGGTGTTGATTTAAATTGTGGTTGCCCACAATCCTGGGCAATGCAAGATGGATATGGATCATATTTATTAAGGAAACCTGAAATTATTGAAGATATGATTAAAACCGTTCGTCGAAATATTCCAAGCTCGTTTTCCGTTTCAATTAAAATTCGATTATTGAACAAAGACTTGTCATCAACTATTGATTTTTGCCGAAAACTTGAAACATTAAATCCAACGTTTATAACAATTCATGGTCGAACGCCAAATGAGAAATCTTCAGCAGAATTTCCCGTCGATATCGATGCACTTGCTGAAATCAAAAAATCAATTAAACTTCCAATAATATTCAACGGTGATGTTTCTTCAATTACCGAAGCCGATAAATTTTACAACGCTACAAAATGTGATGGAATGATGAGCGCAAGAGCTGTTCTGGCAAATCCAGCTCTTTTCGCTGGTCATCAACAAACTCCTTTGTCTTGTGTACAAGATTGGATTAATATTCACAATCGACAAGGCGATAAAATGACTTTCCAAAATTTTCATCATCATTTGGTGTTTATGATGGAAAATCTTTTAACTAAACTCGAGAGAAATAAGTTTAATGAATTCACAAAGAAGCATCAATGTCTAGAATTTCTAGCAGAAAAATTTTCCATCACACCTCAGCCAATCGATTATCCTAACAACTTTTCTTGTACTTACGACGACACAAACTACAAGAATTTAGTAAATCAGAAAGATTTCTGGACCAGCAATTACTCAACTGAGTCATCGCACGGGAAATTCTTTCTCAATAAACTAAACAAAGTTCGACAAGATCCAGACGTTGATTATTTGGAATTTATGGACAATAAATTATTCAGTTAATCTTACTCCAATTATTTATTTAAATAAATTTTCATTTCCAACAATAACCAACAAACAAACAAATTAAAAATGTCTTTATAACTATTAAATTGAAGTGTTGAAAGAGTTTGATCAGTTTAATTTGAACATTACACGAATCAAACTGATCCAACATCTTTGCAACTTACTAACATGTCTTTTTTTCTCAAGCTAAACTAACTTTCTTCGGTGTTTCTGTTGTCACAGATTTATTGTTCTTAAACTTATCGTAAAGATTTCGATATTTCTCGATATCTTGTCGTGTTAAAGTTGGTCGTGTGTTAATTAAAGCAGCTTCAAGGTGACTTTTCTTGATAAGAACTTCATCGATTATCATTACTTTTCCTTCATTTCTCTTGAGTTCTTCTTCAATTGCATTCATGTTGGCTGTTGTGAGAATACTCTTGAGGTCAGCTCCACTAAAGTTCTCTAATTTCACAGCAAATGCTTTAAGGTCGATTGAAGAATCAATTTTCAATGATTTTGTCAACCATTCCAAGATTTCAAGACGATCACTCACATTTGGTAGTTGACATTCAACTAATCTGTCAATTCTCCCTGATCGAAGCAATGCTGGGTCGATTAAATCTGGTCGTGATGTTGCACAAATCACTGAAACGCCCTCAAGACTCTTCACACCATCAAGTTCAGTTAGAAGTTGATTTACAACACGATCAGTGACCCCAGTTGAATCATGACCACGTCTTGGTGCTAAACTATCAAATTCATCGAAGAACAGCACGCAAGGCTTCGCATTTTTCGCCTTCTCGAACAAGTTTCTGACATTTTCTTCACTTTGTCCGATGTATTTTGCCAGCAATTCCGGACCTTTAATCGATATCATTCGAAGGTTCCATCGTTTTGTTATTTGAGATACAATGAAACCTTTTCCAGTTCCAGGCGCACCGAAAAGAAGAATTCCAGCCTGATTTCTGAGCGGTGAATTTTGAAAGATTTTTGGGAATTTTGTTGGCCAAATTAAAACTTCTTCGAGTGTTTCAATGACGCTTTCCATTCCTGGAATTTTATCGTTGACATCATGATAAAGATCTTCATCAGCATCAGCGATTGCTTCTGTCCGAATTCCTTCGAGACAAAGTTGATTTGAAATCGAAAGTGATTTGTTAAGAACATCTTCAGTTAAAATTGGCGTCGATTTAAAATTTTCTTTGATTGCAAAATAAATCGCACGATCAGCAAATTGACAAATGTCACCGATTTGATATCCTTCAGTGATTCTTATGAATTTCTCCCAATCAACTTTCTTATCGATTTTCACATGCGACGTATTTTGAAGAAGTTTTAAGAGAAGTTCACGTCGGTCGTCCACGTCTAAGTTGGGAATTTTCACAACATTTCTAAACAAATAACAACCAAAGCTTTGGTAAAGAATTTTGTTGAGATTCGACAATTTCGAGACTGTCGCAAGTATCGACACAAAATTTCCATAATCATGAGTGAAATCTTCGATTAAATGTCGAATGTTATTCGTAAGCTTTTGTAAATATTCATTCTCTTGAGTTTGATGTTCTTCATGTGAATGTGAAGCTAATGAATCTAAATTGTAGACAACAAAAAGTGACGGCGCTGTTCGAAGACATGACATTAACATCATTTTCATGTCACGAATAATTGATTCGATTTTCCGTCCCTTATGTTGAGCGCAATTGAAAATTGTTACATTTATATTGCGAGTTTCTAAACCTTTTTGAATTTCATTACAAATTTTGTTCTTTCCTGATTTCGATGCACCAACAAGAATGAAATTGTTCTGTTCACTGTTCATCACTTTCATTTGATTTGAATTCGCATGAATTTTATTTAAAGTTTGTTCGATGATTTCCTGATGTTTCTTCAGCTTCAAATGATTTTCTTTCTCATCCTTCGTCTTTTTATTTCGTTTCTTACCTTCATCATTCATCATTGCTGCATATTCATTTGTCTCGCCCATTCTCACAACTTCAATGATATTCTCACGAAGAATGTCTGAATCAATGCAACAAGCACGAGTTGATGAAGGGAACAGTTTAATTGTCATCAGATAATCATCAAGTTTAAAGATTTGTCCTTGATTGAGGATTAATGGAAGAATTCTCGTGTTCAAATTCACATATTTCTTAAACTTCTCTTCAATATCTTTCGCTATTTGATGCCCAAGCCCACCTTCACCAATATCAGACAGTGGAACTAACTGAATATTCTCAATTAAATTACAACAAAGCTTCGTCTCAAATAGTTCAACTTTCTCTCCTGCTTTTTCAATCCCTAGAACTTTTGCTAAAACTGGATGAACTTCAATTGTTTTCTCATCAACTTTGTCATTGAACTTCACACGAACATGAAATTCTGTGTTGTCTTTCATCCGAATCATGTGAATTTGATTGACATTAATAACTGACGATTTTGAAGTATAAATTTCATTGATTTGTTGGAAGTTTAAAGCTTTTCGTTCACCAACTCCACTAATCTTAACTTTCATGAAAGATCTTTTCTGAATTTCTCGATTTATTGTTCGTTTTAAATCTTCCAATACTTGACGATGATTTTGTTTCGTTTCTATTTGATGATTTACTGATGATGGTGATGACGATGAAGCGATCTTCGGCACACTACTCATACTTGCACTTGTAACAAGTTGTTGTCGTTTTGGTGACAATTCTTTTGATGAAAGACTTTCAAGAAATTTATTTGACTTTTCTTGAACTTTTTTGATGTTGGTCGCACTGAGACTGTTGGAAATTGTCTTCGTTTCTTTCGGTTCCGGTTCTTCTTGAATTTTCCTGACATTACTCAAACTTGAACTGATTGCCAAAGGATTGATGCTTCTAGGTGGCATCGAATCTTCTGACAATCCATTTGTTGCTCTTTCATTGTCACGATTTCTCTTAATACTTCCACGCGGACTCAACAACGGCGGTTTCTTCGATGTCACATCTTGAATCGACTCCGACCATCCATTCGATTGTCTTCGGAAGCTTTTCCCATCGTCCGTCTTCGTCTTTTCAACACGCGAATCTAAAAAACTCTTATTACGACGTAATTGTGAGAAATCCATCGTCTCTGATCTCTCATATGCACTTGATCGCTTCATTTTCACATCTGAATCTGAATTTGAATTTTCTGTTGTTGCATTCGTTTTCGGTCGCATGAAATCCGGCGTCGTTTTCCTGTTTATTGATATTTCGGTGTCATTTTGTAGTCGTCCATAGTTAAAAGATGGACTTAAATTATCTATAAATAGAAAATTCGAGCTCAGCGTTTAATAATAGAAGCTTACGATTGAAAAGAATTTCGCGATGTAATGAAGAGAAAAGAAAAAGAAAGAAAAATTTACCAACGACAGCTTTGACAGATATTGACTTGTTTAACCAGATGACAATTGATTGGTAACGTCCAACGACGGATATTTGATCAAGAAGGTCACTTTGAATGCGATCAGTTGAACATTCAGCCATTTGGTAATCCTCAGCACTCAGTGTGATGTTGATTGATTTAAGTGGCGACGCATTTTGAATCACAGAACATGTAACGCTCGTTCCTTCACGTAATCCCAGACCTTCAGCTACTTGAGGATTAATTCCAATCTCTTCTGCCTCGAATGGAGTCGTTACTTGAATTGTACTTGCCCATGACACATAAACCTATTTTAAGATCGTGTAAATTTATCGGAGATGATAAATAACTTCTCAAGACAAATATTTCATGTCAACTCACTGTTTTATATTGTCCGGAACGACTATCGTGGAAATTAAGTAACAAACATCCTGTCTTACATGTTGCCACAAGTCTTCTGTATGATTCCGGAAGTATCTGAAGTATTTTAATTTATTTACTTGAAAATATTACGCACTTTAATCTTCATCGTTAACAAACCACAAAATTTGACTTTATCGGCTTAAACTTGATTGTGAAATTTCGAGCAAACATTTTCCTTAAGTACTCTTAGCACGTCTATGTATTGGCGAAGATAAAAAGAATGAAAAATGATTTTTTTTACGAACAAAATCGAGGCATTTGTTTTAATCTTTTATTTATTTAAGTAGTAATGAGTAAGACACTTTGTGCACTTTGATTTATCGGTTTCGATTGACGTTTAATTAATTATAAAGTTCTTATGAAAACTTTTTTATTTTCTCTTTAACTTTTCTTTATCATTCGATCTTTTCAAGCAGAATTAATTAAATGTAGCTGTTTAATGTAAGGAGAGAGAATATTTTGTGAAATAATATTGAACCGGTTTTAAAACCGATTCAAAGTCTACAAAAAAATAAAAAATATTTGACATAATCAAAATATTAGCATTAGTAAATTTGTTCCTTAATTTAGTATAATTTAACAATAACTTTCGCAATATTTTATTGTTCTGAACTAATGTGATATATAATGAGTAAGACGAGTGGGGAAAAAACTTGTATGGTGAGTGAAATTGTGAAGAAAAATATTAAAAATTTCGAGGAAATCATTCTTTTGTTTTGATAATAAATTTAAATTTTATGACTTTAGGTTTGTAGTGATAAAGCGCTAGGGCATAATTTCAATGCCATAACATGTGAGAGTTGTAAAGCATTCTTTCGACGAAATGCCATTTCAAATAAGAAGTTTTCCTGTCCATTTTCAAATGCGTGCGAAATCACAACAATCACTCGAAGATTTTGTCAGAAATGTCGACTCGAAAAATGCTTTAAAGTTGGCATGAAGAAGGAATTTATCATGTCGGACAAAGATAAAGAATTGAAGAGACTGAAAATTGAACAAAATCGCAACAAAAGAAAGTTGAAATTGAGCAGTGAGATGTCATCGAGTGGTGACGATCAAGAGCAAATTCAATCAAAGAAAACGATAAAAATTAAAGAAGAATGGTCTCCGATATCAGCTACGTCAAGTGTTTCGATGACAACAATGGATACACAATCTGAATCATCGACAAACATGGATTCAGATGAGTTTCAAACAAATCAAACGTTACAGAGCGTTGCATCAGATTCATCTGTCCATGAGATTATTTCTACCATCACAAAAGAACCAGAAAAAGCTAGTCAAGTTATTAAAAGTACCATGAAAACGCAAACCGAAGCATTACAAATTATGAGTAAGATTATTCAGGATCCCAACCAAGCGCTTGTTCTTGTAAGTCATTTGATAAAGAATCCTGCGGATGGCATGTTAATTATCAACAAAATGATGTCGTCACCCATCGACGCACTTTCAGTTTTCACGCAATTTATGGCGTCACCGACCGATGCCCTTCAATTGATATTTAAGATTATGTCATCACCTAAAGACGTCCTTCAATTCATGACCGAGTTAACAAAATCACCTCAAGATGCTCTTGAAATAATGAAACGATTTATGTCAAGAGCTGGCGTTGCTGACACACTCGCTGGAATTAATCAAATGATGATTAAAAGCACAAATTCGAGTGAAGTAAATTCTGATTCTGAATCAGCTTCAAATATGATAAAAGCCATGCTGGAAGTGAATTCTGTTGATAGTCCAAACTCATCAATTGCATCACCATCATCATTCCAAAGTGTTAGAACACCAAATTCTATTGCTTCTAATGAACATGACACAAATAACAACGATTATCATCACAACACCGAGAAGCTTTTAAATGAGATTTGTCATGACATTTACAAACATAAATCGACAACATCTTCATCAGAAAGAAATCCTTTCGATTTAATTTTAAATGAAGCAATCATGCTTGAATACGAAACGCCACAAATGATAACTCAAATGAAATGTGCGACGACACGTGAATTAAACGATGTTGAAATGATGAAAATTCAAGAGTTATTAGATTCAAACAAAGCGTTGTATGCTCCAGTTGACGAAGATTTATCGAGTCTGGTACTCGCTGATTGTCAAATAAAAACAGAAGACGGTGTTGATCCAATCTTATTAAAAGTCATTAATTTAACAGCAATTGCCATTCGACGACTCATCAAGATGTCAAAGAAGATTTCTGGTTTCAAAAAGATGTGTCAAGAAGATCAGATTGCGCTTTTAAAAGTAAGTTTTCATTTGATTGTTACGAATCGAAGGATTATCTAAATTATCCAAAGATAAGTCTGGTATCGCCTTACTTATGATAAGAAAAAATTTATTTCACTATTTTTATTTTTATCTGTGTGTTGTGTGGAATGTGGGCGTGAATATTGTAAATTAAATTTCAAGATGATTTTACTCAATTGGCCTCGAAACTTAAACTTATGATTTCGTCTTTGTTGTCTATCTATAAGGGTGGATGTACAGAAATGATGATTCTCCGTAGTGTCATGCAATACGATTCGGATCATGCATCGTGGAAGATTCCGCATACAATGAACACAGCAAAGATTAAAGCTGACATCTTGAAGCTCTGTCCGAAGGGAAATGTTTATGAAGTGCATGAGAATTTTATCAAAACATTTGACTTGAAGCTACGAACTGATGAAAATGTCATTTTAATACTTTGTGCAATAACTTTATTCTGCCCCAATAGACAAAGTCTTGTTCATCATGATGTTATAAAACTTGAACAAGTGAGTCACAGAAACTAAACGATAAGATTAGTTTTAATCAAGATTTCTTCATAGAATTCATATTATTTTCTACTACGACGTTATCTTGAAAGCATTTATGATGGATGCGAGGCCAGACAAATCTTCTTACAATTGTTGAAAAAAATTCAAGAAGTCAGGAAACTGAACGAAGGTAACTTTTTATCATAAAATATTGCTGTTGTCAATGATTGAATCCCCTTTTCTTACCCAGATGTCATTTCCGTTTATCTTGATGTTAATCCAAGTCAAGTGGAGCCATTACTTCGAGAAATTTTCGATTTGAAAGTTTAATGATTAAAAATATTAAACTGAAGCAATCATCAAAGCATTTTAAAAGTTAAAGAAATTTTGTTATTGATGTTAACTATTAAATATTTAGTAAAGTACAAAAAAAACTGATAATCTATGTAGAGTTGAGTTGCAATAAAATATATTTTGATATTTAATCAGGCAAAATATGAAGCGATGTTGCCAGCAAAACGAGAGAGAAACAAATCATTAAAACTGATAAACTCCTGATTAATGTAGGTCAATGTTCTGTTTTTATATTTCATACTGTCGAGATTGAATCCGTCGACTTTGTTTTCCTCTTGAATCTGTAGTGAAGCGTAATTGTTTTCGTCACGTTGTTGAACAGCTGTGAAGAAACTCATAAGATAATTGTTAATGCGCAATATCATCGTATAAATGCAAATTTTAATTTCCTTTTTTTAACGAGATGATTTTATTCCTTCCTTATTATTTTAATTAGTTTCATCATATCAATCAGTGTTCTAAAATTAATAAAAATCTTGGAGAAATCAAGTTGCTTACAGGTTTTTGTGTGTCTTTATTCAACACGATCTTGAGTTGTGACAATCAAATTCCTACAACTAAACGACTTTACTCATTTCTTTTTTACTTTTCAACTATATCACAATTTTAATTTAATTTTATTGACTCGTTTTTGAAAGCTTCTTTGAATTTCTTTTCTAAATTGAATAATTGATCGAATTTTTCCTTCAATTTGCAAATTAAATTTGGGTTAATAGCTGTTGAAATAAAATTGAAATACTTTTGTTGTTGTCAGTGAAAAATTTTAATATTTCATTTGCTTAGATCAGCAATAATTTGTATTTAAATATGTGAAAATGAGTTAAGTTGTGAGAAGTCAAGACAAAAAAGCTTTGAGTTATGTGTGGGTGTATGTAAGTTTAAGTAGGTAGATCTCAGTGATTGATAGAGGAAGAGAGTAGATAAGATTTAGTCACATTATACACGAAATTTTCTGAATGAAATAAAAGAATTTGTGATGTCAGCAATAAGGCGATTATCATTAATTAACCCACTGACATTCATTTAATGAGATTTTATAAATATTCTTAGAAATATCGTTGAGCTTATTTCGGATATGATGAAAAGTTCTGCAAATTTTGCCGCCAAACAAGTTTGATTTAAATATGATTAAGTATTGAAGTGTTGAAGGAAGAGATTAAAATATTCAATTAAAAATCGTTTTTCATTTCCATCTTCTGTTGAATAATTTTAGGCCAAATTGACTTGTCGTTAACACACGATTAAAAATCTTTTTCTATGACTTTTTCCATCATCAAACATTTCTAAGCTTTTAAAACTTTATCAATTGGTACTTAATTAAATACAAGTTCGATTCACAAAACCAATTCTTCTACTTTTCCCTACAAGAAAATTAAGGAAATAAAAGTTTCTTTCCCAATGAGCAGTTCATATAATTAATTTTCTTCTTATCGCTTAGATAACAAATGATGTTCTGATTAAATCTTCTTAGGTAATCGCTATTCGACTAAGTTGTACACTACACGATGTTAATTTTATTTCTACTGAAAATCGTTCCGATTTAGGTATTTATGGAACGGAGCAATGAACAAAGTCTACAGTTTCTCTATTATTTCTATATTTATTTGTAATTACTTTAAGAACACTCTCGTCTTTCTTTCCAATAGCTACTTCCTGTAATTCATCAAAAAAAAAACAAAATTCTTTCCGGTTACCAACTTCCCATCGATTATGTTCTTCCGAGTAAATCTACATTAACATTTTTATTATTATATTATGCTTTTTTTCGTATTTTTTATGCTTTTTGTTTTTAATTCAAATAAATCACAACACGCGTAAATCGATCAATTTGTTTTTGCTTTTTTTCTATTTAGAATTAGAATTCATCAGAGATAATTCAACACTAACAACTACATACTTTCGAATACATTAGACTTAATGACAATGAAAGGGTCGACTGTTTAATTTTGGTATTGAAAGTGAAAGAAATCGATTTAAATAAATGTTTAATAAATACACGTCACAATCATTACAAACTACAGAAAAAACTCATTAAGGAGCGTTGAACAATTCATGAAATGATTTTTTTTTCCTTGAGGGAAAATATGAAAATTTTCTTTATCATTTGAATAATCCATGAGTTAATGAAAATTATTCGAAGTATTTCCATACAGCAACTGTTTGACAGTTTATTTCGTATATTTTTTTTTGGCCGTAATGCTTTCTCAATACTCAAACTTTTGTACCAATATCAATGAACGAATCAGAAAATATCCGAAAGCAATTTACTGATTATAATAATAAAGAAAAAAAAAACAATAAATTCACATTGAATTTTGCTGAGCATCTCTGACAGAGAATAATAAAAAAAAAATGACTTGAAAATTTTCTCGCTTCGTTCATGCTAATGGTCTTAACTTATTACAATAATTTAATGGCAATCGAGAGGCAAAGTGACAGATAACAAAGTTCATTTTCATTATTTTGTCTGTTTTTACGAGAAATATTATTACGGAAGGTGAATGAATAAATTTGATTAAGTGAAAGTCATGAAAAATTGAAAGAATTTTAATCGAGATTAAAACTGGAATTAATCTTAAAGGACTTTTAATCTGAATTTTTCTATCCTGAAGTCTTAAAAGGAATTCTAATCCTTAAAAATTAAGATATTTTTCGCTGATGATTATTTTCTACATAAAACCATGAAACATTCTTATTCTTAATTAAATAATTAATCAATAATTGACTATTGATTTCCTCGCTTTTTCACTTTTAATAAGTTCAGGAAAATTAATCTTTTCCAAGACTAGAATTTTTCTCATTATTTTCTTCTTTTTTTCTAATTTAATTTTCTCGTCTAAAAGCAAATTTAAATTTTTTTTATAGAATAAGATTGAAAGGGAAAAACTCTATTTTGCTTGTGTTTAATTCGCCTTCATTTTACGTGTTTTCTTTTCATCTTAAATATGATGCTATATTGTCGTTAATCTCTCGATTGTGGCAAGAGAAATCTTTCCAAATCATATTAAGTTATACTCACAACAACTTTCCAAAATATTCTAAATTGTTCATACTTATTTCTTCGTTAATTAGTCTTTTCATGCTCATTGACATTTCGATCGTTATTTAAAGCTTCATCCTTTTCATTGGCAGTCACTTCCACCGGCTTCTTTTCGAGCGGGAAACATATTTTCACAGCCTTCACAATCAGAGGCTTCCAAACAATGCTCATCGGCAAAATGACAATGTGACCAATAAAGTAAAACTTCTTGTAAATATTCCACCACTTGTAGAATCCCAAATAAGCGAACGGTATTAGACAATAACCAGCAATGATGAAAGTATAAAGTTTACAAACGATAAAGATCGCAGCTTTAATAGGAATTGTATCAGCAACTCTTTGGAACTTTGGATTTTTCTTGAATACAGGTGTGATCTGTTAAAAAGAAGAAAAACATTTTGTTGTTAATTTTAACTCAAGAAGAATCTACGACTTGAATGTTTTCAACCTCTTTTTCAAAATGAATGAGTAGGAACTCCATGAAGAATGTCATGTAATATCCCGAATGAAATCCATGCCAAACAGCAAGAAATAGAAGCGCTGAAATGTGACTTATGTTTCTATTGTTGAGAAATTTGAGTCGTTTATAGATGTATTGGAAAACCCACAAGTTCGTCTGAACATTGAACGAGGCCACATAATCACCGAAGCTGTAAGTGTCTTCGAATACACGAAGTTTTATGTTGGCACAACCGCTCCAATCTTCAATGCCTGTTTTCTCATCACGTGATACAAATGTAAGGCCTTTTTGTTAATTGATAAGAAAAATAATCAAAAGTTGAAATGTTAACAAAACAAAAATATTCCCACCACAACAGATAGCGGCTCCTTCGCTCAATATCCAGCACGAAATATATTTGTAGAGCGTACAACGCCCCCAAATGCTCACCAACAATAATTTATAGAAGAAATTTGTATTCTCAAATTCCGGTGTCATAAAATATCCGTCAGGGACAACGAACGTCAGAAATTGATAAAATCCTAAATAAAAAGCGCCTGTGAGGAATCTCTTAAATCCATGTTCCATATTTTGTTTGCCATCAAATTTATCGTCAAGAAAGTTACTGTAACGTTTGAATGAAAATTGTGGTCCAATAATGACAGTTGGCGGAAAATATGCGAATGCAAACACTTCCAATAAGTTTGGAATTTTAACGGGACGATTGTCATCAAGTCCGAGCACTTCGGGATTTTTAACACTATCCGATACATCGAATGTTAGTCCAATAAGATGTAACACCATCACACAATGACACATCGTCCAACAAATGTCGTAATTTTCCGTTGATGTTTTGTAATAGCCTGTAGAAGTGACGTGTAATGGATTATAAATAATTTAATTACGTTTACATGAATAATAATTACCCATCAATAAATAAATCATATGAAAAAGAAATGATGCCGGCACCAGATACTTCGTGTTATAAAGTAAATTGATGATTAGGTAAGTGTAAGTAACTGCAATTAGACTGTGGTAGACTTCAAATCCGTAATTGAATATACATATCGTGATTCCACAAATTGTAAATAGTAAATTGGTGTGATTCCTCGTAAAGCTGCTGTTTTTGTGAAGAAAATTGCGGTAACAAATAACGATAGGGTAAGCTGTAAGAAAGAAAAAATGTGTGCAAAAAATCAATAGTGGAAAAAATCAATGAAAATTTCTTTTAGAGAAAATATTTGTAGGATTTATGAATGTAACAACTATGTTTTATTTGATAACTTACAGATTAAGACTGAGAAGAGAAGACGTAGTGCTGGTTCAGGCACAGTCAATAAACGAGAAAGCCACGAAATTAACATTTTTCTTCCCTAAAATATTTGGCTTTTTGCGTAAGAGAAGAAAATATTTTTCTCTCCTCAGCCCAACGATTTAATTAGTTATTTGTCACTTTTATATTAATCAGCAGGATTCCTTTTTTAATATTAAAGCTACAACACCGACACTAGATGCATTCCCTTCAAAATTCCAACTTCGAGTGAAAATTAATATTTTTCCTCGTTTTTTCGTGCTCAAATTTTTACTCACGCTTTGTAGACTTTTTGGATGTTGTTATATAATTAGCGGAGTTGGTCTCATTAAAACTATTTATTGCCAGTTCTTTATTCATCTCATCAGATTGAAAAGATTTAATCAAAGAGACATTTTAAATTCAAAGAAATATTTTCGTTCTGAAACTTTTAACTCAAAAGTATCTAATTACCTATTTGTGTATATTTTGAAAATTTTCAATAAACAGACGGGCAAATTTAAAGTTTTAATATTTTTGGAGAGTTTAAAAACGTGTCTTAAAAATTTAAAGCAAAGAAAATTTAAAAATGAGTTCAAACAAAAAGAAACACACGATTGAGAGTGAAAATATGCAAGATTCTGATGAAGATTTCAGTGGAGATGAAGATTCTAATGAGGATGAGCAAGTATCAGCTGGAAATGAGGTGATTTCGTTTTGTTTTGAAATTTATTTGACCGGAAAACAATAACAAAAATGATTTCAGGAAATTCAAGTTGAATTTGAGGGACGCAATCCGATAGATAGTGACAGTGATGGAATCAAATTGTTGCTTCGTCAGCTCTTCCTTAAAGCTCACATCAATTTAACTGACTTTACAAATATAATCATTTCACAAAATTATATCGGATCAGTAATAAAGCAAAGCTGGGATGAAGAGATGGATGATGATGATGATGACGATAATGACGACGACTCAAATGTTGTCTTCGGTGTTACAACAGTCTTGAATATGTCAAGTCGCAAAGATTCTGAAAGTATTCAACAATTGAAATCACTTATTCTCGAACGTGCTGAAAAATATTCAACAGATGCAACATTGAAACTTCTTCGCGACATTCTCACAAATGATGCTCGTACGACAGGCTTCCTTATCAACGAAAGATACATTAACATACCTCCACAAATCTCTGTTCCAATGTTGGAAAATTTGTGTAAAGAAATTAAACGAGCTAATGAAAAAAATATGCCTTACAATTTTGGTAATTTTGTGATGATCTTGAAATTCCATCGCAAAGAAGCAAAGAAAGGAAAACCAGCTGAAGACATTTATTCAAACTCAGAAGAAGAGCTTTTCGTGCAAGAGTCACTTGCAAGCTTTGAATATTCGGTGCAATCAGAAGCCGACACTGGACTGTCCGGAAAATGGCGTGAAGATGATGAAGAATTAACACCTTTCAGGAAAGTGATTGTCATTGACGGTCAAAAATTACCATCAATTGTTGAGTCAATCAATGGATTTATTCACGGTTCTTAAACTTGAAGATTCATTTAAATTTGTTTTTTTTTGTATGAGAATGAAATGAGAAAATATATTTGAATATATTACAACAAGAAATAGGTATATGAAGTTTATTCATTCTCTTAAATGTAAACACAGACAATAACGGAGAAAATTTTTAAAATTAAAAAAGGGTCTACAAGAACACTTATGTGATATCGCAAATTCAGATTTTGCACACCCCTACACCGCTTGTAAACTTTTTTGATAAGAAAGTAGAAATATTTCTATTAGATTATCATTTAGTTCTTACTCTGATCGCTTCCAGTTCAGACTCAAATCATGGATTTTAAGTAAGTTAAAGTTTTTCTAGATTCTGAAAGTTACATTGAACTGTAGATAAAGTTGAGAATTTTAATTTTTGCTGACTCAGAGATAAGTTTTTTTAATAACAAACAAACAAGTCCTAAATTTCATTTGGAATATTTTCAACTTTCATCCCACTTGAGATTTCTCGTGATAATACGTTATACAATGTTCATTTCATGGTACAAATATTGATTAGACATTATCAATTTTAGGTACTTGCCGTGCCCGATAAAGAATGTTCAAATAACAGAGTCCAATGCTTTCGACTCCCTGGTTGTTATTGAAGATAATGGAACGCCGAAAGCTGTTGCTGATTATGTTGTTGAATCAAAAAAGTTTGATAAAGCTTTTTCAAATGACGTGTCATGCTTCAAAGTAAATAATCAAACAATAATTTTCTGTCCTTTGGCAATCAACGACTACTCTGATGTTCGGGAATATTTTAATGCAGCTAAAAAAGGAATCGAAAGAGCTGTGAAAGCTGGTTATGCAAAACCTACTCTTTTATTGCCGTCGTCGCCAAGATTCAAAAATGGACAACTATCAGCAATTCTCGGAGCTTTGGCAGGTCTTTACGTTCCAATTCAATATCGCGAAGCTTCGCCTGCTAATGTTTCTCGTATTCAACATTTATTTGTTACATCAGCTGATAAAACAGATATTGGAGAAGTCCTCAAACAAGCAATTTTCCTTGGATCAGCACTTCAAATATCTCGTGACATTGGTGGCGGCGATCCAGAACGAATGGCACCTCCAAGAGTGGCAGAATATGTAGAAGAAGCTTTCAAAGGTGGTCGCATAAAAATGGAAGTTATCTCAGATCAAGACAGAATTGAAAAAGACTTTCCTTTATTTGGTGCTGTTAATCGTGCTGCTCGAGCAGTTCCTCGACATCATGGTCGCATAATTTTCTTGGAATATGTTCCACCAAAACCATCAAGAAAAACTCTGATGTTAGTTGGAAAAGGTGTCACTTACGATACTGGTGGAGCTGACATCAAAGCTGGAGGAATTATGGCTGGAATGTCACGTGACAAATGTGGTGCAGCTGCATTAGCTGGATTCATGAAATTTGTCGAGATGGCATCGCCAGAAGATGTTCATGTCGTGATTGCACTTTGTATGGTCAGAAATTCAGTTGGAGAAGAATGCTATGTTGCTGATGAAATCCTCACATCCAGAGCTGGTGTTCGGGTTCGTGTTGGTAACACAGACGCTGAAGGTCGTATGGCAATGGCTGATAGTTTAGCATTGATGAAGGAACGAGTTGTGAAAGAGAATCTTAAAGATCCTCATTTGTATACAGTTGCTACGTTGACTGGTCATGCATGTCTTGCTGTTGGTGACTACACAGCAGTTATGGACAACAAAGTCGCTGAAAACAATGGTCATGGACTGAACTTTTGCAAAGCTGGGGATATTCTTGGCGATCCAGCTGAAATTTCGCCATTACGGCCTGAAGACTTCACTTTCCATCGATCAAAAGCTTATGGCGAAGATTTGCTTCAATGCAATAATTTGCCATCATCTCGTACTCCTCGTGGTCATCAAACTCCAGCAGCTTTCTTGATCATGGCATCAGGATTAGATCACCACGATGCATCTTCAACTAAGCCAATCAAATACACTCATTTGGATATTGCAGGATCTGCTGGTGATATTCCACATCCTCCAACTGGTGCTCCAATTCTTGCTCTTGCCCAATTGCATTTAATGTAAAAGAAAGTTTTGGGTAGAAAGAAAGAAACTTAAGAGGCTGTTGTTTAATCAATTCTGCTAACCACAATTCTTTGTACTTAATTTTGTGAAATAAAACTCATTGAAGTTGCATCGTCAGCCAAAAATAAAATAAATTGAACTTTTTTTCTCCCTGTTTTAATTCATCAAAAAAAAAACAACTTCTCCAGGTTGAGAGAGCGCCTGAAGAAAAGAAAAATAAAAGAAATGAATGAATGTTCGCTTGAATGTCAAGTTCCCATCGAATTAAAAACAAGCGAATGAAAAAAAAGAGAAAAACCTTTCTCCAGTGTGCTTGCAAACCGCTAGCATCTCTATGCGGAAATCATCGCAACATAAAGGTTCATAAGAAGTAACGAAAATGTTGTTAATCGATGAAAGAAGAAATTCAAGTTGAAAAAAATGGGCTTTTGATGAAATAAATAAATTCTTTAAGAAAACGAAAAGATTTTATGTTGGCGAAAGACTGTTAGATGAATAATGATTAAGACTTTTAATAAAACAGCGTCAAAGATGTGGTGAGAGTCAACGGTAGATGGTTTCGCATCAATTTGTTAAAACGTTTAATTTAAGAACAATTTGAGATAAGCTTGCAATGAAAAAAATATTCTAATGATCGATCATTTTTCATTTGTTGTAAAGCTTACGAGACTCATTCAAAAAGATATTAATCATCTGTAAAAAAGAGAATATGAAGAATGATTTTCAGATGTTAAGTATTGTTAATAAAAAGCGATCAAATAAAAAGAATTTCTTGCATGAAATGTAGGCCACAAGTTAAGCTAATGCAAAACATATTAAGCGAACCGTTATCCATTCTTGTTTCATTCATTCATTCTTTCTTTTTTTTTTGATATTTAACTTTAGTGTTGAGATCAATCGACGAATATGAAAAGATCTTTAGAAACTTCTTCTTAACTTTTAAAAAAAAGTTTAACCACGGACGGCTTTAGAAACATCTGATTTGGAGATATTCTTGATCGATTCAATGCGTATTCGATTGCGTTAGACTTAACGTTAACGGGAATGTCTTGTTTGAACTCAAATACTGGATTATTTCTTTTCTGTCTTTCTCTTTTCTTAATTACATAATATGATCAGTCGATAAATCCGTTAGAAACTGCGTTAGAAACGCGTCAATTTGCGCACTCGATAAATATCAACTTAGATAGAAATAGAAAATGTAAAAAGCATTCCCAAGAAAGACTTGCATTCAATATTAATTTGAATCCATAGAAGTTGCGTTTACCTTTCAAGAATGAAAGAAAATTACAAGTTAACTGCTTACAATGTTGCAACTACTTTGTATCTTCGATGAAGTTGCTTTCTTGATTTATTAGGAATTTAACTTAAAGCAAGGAAATCGCACTTTATTCTCAAGAAATAAATATCATAGAACTACTTTGTTGTCACTTAATTATCAAATACTACAACGTTATTGATATTCACACGAGAAATTCTTCGCTGTTAATTTTGCCTTCGTGGTCGAGCCTATCATGGGTTTAGAAAGAAAAAAAAATATAATAAAATAGAAGAAAAGCTGGAGATATTTTTCTACTGCTCATGCCAAAGAGTTTAATGAACTTGGTGACCTAAAAACTATCGATTTGCGTGAAGAATCAAATGAAGAAATTCTTCTTTTCGAAAGGAATCTAACAAGTTTAATGAGTTGCTTTTGGATTATTCTGGTTGCAACTGGAAATCTCATGAATTACTAAATATAAAATTGCAGTTTTTTCAGGAGAAAACAGGAAAGTTTTCTAACTTTCTAAAGCATCTCACGATCATTACACAATCGTCAAAAAATATAAAACTCATCTACAAAACCAACCATAAAATTTTCACTGCATTCTTCTGATGAAACTTAAGAGAAATTTTCATGATGATTCATGAGAAACGAAAAGAAAGTTTGTTTTCATGTGAAATTGTTTAGGAAAACATCGTGACAAGTTTAACGTCTCATCATCTTTACAAATTGCGGATCTCCGATCGACGTTAGATAGATGACAACATTTAACGGTGAATTAGAATTAATTAAGCATTTATAATTCTGTTGTAAGAAGAAATCAACAATTATTATTATTATTATTGTTTATCTAACGCAAGATTCAATGGAAATTAAAAAAAGTATGAAGAACAAGGAATATTTTTAATACGATCATGATAAGAACGTAATATGCAATTTTCTACAATTTTATGATGACTACCATGATCTTTTAATCATAATAATCGATCAACATCAACGACTATCACATCATAATTTCTTCTTAATATGCGAAGTAAGCAAGTCGAGGAAAATACTCGAGATGTACTCACAAAATATTCACACACAATAAACAAAATATTCAATTATATTGTCGTTGGTTGACAACAAGTGTCGCTTTCAGCATTTTTATTTGGAAAATATTACTGCCAGTAAAGGGAAGAATGAGAAAGATCTCAAAAAAAAAAAGAAAAAAGAAACAATAAATAAAAAATACGGAAGAAGCATGAAGTCGAATAAAACCAATAATGTATCATTAACATGGAATGAAACTGCAAAAGAAATACAGAAAGATGATGATGATTAAGACGCAAATGATAAAAGTTCAGCTTTGCATTAATTCTTATCTCATTTCGTTGTTGTTAATGTTGATGAAAAATGAATGCAACAGCGACAACCAACATAAGAAGCGATCAACGAAATAAAAGAAGCGAACGAAATCTTAAATAAATTAAGATTCAATGAAAGAAAGATCTCAAGAAGTTTACTGCACTTGTGACTTGCCTCCTCTTCGCGCGCACTCGATCGCTTCACTCCTCACGATTCTCTCTATCTCTCTTCCTCCCTCTCCCTCTTTCATTCTCATCGAGATGTAGGTCAGTTAGTATAGTTCATTGATCTTTTGGCCTTAGTTAAGATTTCGCAATACATCAAAAATCTGAGCTCTCTTGAAGTTCTACGCGATAGCTTCGATGTGTTTGTGGTTTGGTTTATTTCTCATTCTTTTCTTCTCTTTCCACGTCGTTTCATTCTGAAGTTTGTAGTTTCATTTTTCTTATTCTTTTCATTTCTTCTCCGTCAGTGTGCTGATCCATGGGAGAATTTTTTCTTTTAATTCCTGATGTCAGTGTTAAATGGTGTGGTGAAAGAATTAAATGCGCCCTCATGAATATGAAGTAGATATTGATGACAAAGCGAATTTCAATTCAATTGATCGTCGATAGCTTTCTTTTAATGATGGAATGTCATGGAACTGCATAAATGAAGTTGAAATATTTATTTCACTTCCTGAGCTACATAGAAATATCTACAACTTGTAAATGAATGAAAAAAAAATTCTTTCGAACACTGCATTGAAGGTTGCAAGCATAAATAAACGTGTGACCTTCCAATTCACTTCATTTCTCCTTTACACTCTCGTGCTTACTTACGAACGCGCGCTTTACTTTCTTGCATAATTCCTTGAAGGTTATTTTGCCGGCCATCCATGAATCAAATCGTACACAGGAAAAATATGTGTGCTGACTGTGGAGCAAGAAACGACGTCACACGTTGAGCGACAGAAAGAAATTCTTCTTACTCTTTTCAAAATGATAATGACTACCTAACGTTGATGCCAGTGACTATATTATGTAAGCGGTGATATAAAAAAAAAGCTCCATGAAAATTACATCATGTATAGCGAAGAATGTTTATGTATTTATTTTCTTAAAAATTTTATTTACTTTTTATTTCGAAAAAAAAAAGTTTTACGCCGAAATTATTTCCCTTCTTTTTTTAGTTGCTTTAAAGAAATTGTTCACAACAGCAAAACAAGCGAAACGCATATTTTTGTGGTCAAAATTCTCATTTTATGAGCGCGTTTCCAACGCGTGATGAGTTTTCATTTGAATGCTAAATGTTTTAAAAATATTAATCATTTTTATGCTTCGATTCTGAATGATGAAGAAGGTTGATGATTGTCTATAAAAGAAAATTTCATTTCATTATAATCAATAGAAATTGCGCAGCAAATTTCAACATCTGAACATTTTTCTCTTCGTCATTTATTCCTGTGAGAAAAAAAAATCAACTTCCTCGTTGTTTCTCAAAGCATTGCAAACTCCATCTTATATCTGCTATGAAAGAAAATTACTGAGCACAAAACAAAATCATAAATCTGCAAATCAAAGCGAATTGATTGAAAAATTGATGTGATGGGAATGAAGTTACGTATATGATTGTTGATAGAAGAATATTTATCATCAGAGACGAAATCAAATAATTGATCTTATTAGTTCATGAAGAATTTTCATAAAACATAAACGATTAACAGCCACTATACCGCCCCTGGAGGGCTTAACATAATTTTCAACATGATGAGAATTTTTCACTTCGTGTAACTTTTTAATCATCTGTTTGAACTTTATGTATCATTTTATGTTTTCTTCTTTAACTTCTTGCGATATGAGTGAAAGAAAAGAAGAACGCAAATATAATAAAATAACAAACATATTAAAAATATCTCAAACACAGCCACACATCCACACAATTAAATTTGACCGGCAAATGTTTTTTTTTCTCTTTTCATTTTTATTTATTTATATTTTTTTTTTTTTTTGAAACTCGCTTGGTGATTCCGCGAGTTGTACAATGTGCTGCGGAGAAAGAAAGAAAATAAAAAGAAAAGACGTAGAAAGGTATGAACATTAAACACAAATACTTTCAAATGTACCCAATTCAATGTGCTTTTATATAACAAGTAAAAGGGGAAAAAAAAGAAAGCAGTCTGAAACTTTTTAAATGTATAAAATTGGGTCAGAAATTTCAGAATTTGCCATTGAAGTTCGTTGAACTTTCGGGATATCGTTCGCGATATTTTACTTTTTTGGTAAAAATCTTTCTCTTTCATCAGCAATTTTAATGATCAAGCAAAACTGGCCAGAAATCTAATTTCGGGGATCTTTCAATCGTTGGGTCTTGGTTCTTTCACCAGAATCTTGTACAAAAGTCTTAAAGTAATGCTTTGTTCTTTTTTTTTTATTGCAAAACATCTTCTTTTTGTCCACAACGAGAAGAAGAATATTTTCTTAATAGCTTGTATATAACGTGCAACATTGTATCGCCTGCATTAATGTGCATTTCATCGCTTAAGCACTAACTCGTTATCTACTTGATTTCAAGAGAATAAGCGAGAATGTAATTTCTTCATTTCAAGTATTTTATTCAGAAGACAGGAAATTTATGTTAAGATATTCTCACTTATCTTCTAATTCCAGAAACACTCGTGGGAGTTTGCAATTCATTAATAATTCATGTTTGAAAGCAGTTTTAAACATCAACATCATAAAGACATAATGCGAATGTTGACACAATGAATTTTAATTTTTTTCCTTTTTTTAAAAAAAGAATGAGACGAAAAAAGGCCACCTTCTGGTCAGCAAATAACAAGACATTAATCCCTCTCGGAAAGAAAAGCCTTTCGCTTGTAAAAGAAGCGAACAATGAAGGAAGAAGAGGGTTTAAACGACGATGTTTTCGAAAGGTGTTTGCTTCTGTCATTTACATTTTAAACTCATCCGAGCCCAATTCATCATTCACGTAAGCCGGTTGGTTATGGTTTGCATTACTGCAGAATCCAAAGTTTTTATGATGAAGGAACATGACAATTTCCTTGTACACTTTTCAATCAAAATTTATATTCTAATGGACTAAATTGAGGTGAAGTTCATCACCTTTTATTCAGACGATTTGTTCAATTGAATTGAGATGACCAAAGGTAGCCCAACACCTTGCAATTATGATCGATTTGAATTGACAAAATTGTACATTACCATCTGCTAAATGATAGCTTACGTGGCATTAATAAACAGATTGCGTTTTGCTTTCATTTGTTTTCTTAAAATATCGTTAACATGAAGTTTAAAAGTTTCAAATTTCTCATAAAATTTCACTAAATTAATTCTGCATTGTGTTCCAACTTTCAATACCTAAAAGGGAGACTTCTTCTTCAAACATAAACCATCTTAAGATGATTAGCCATTTATCGGTTCGTTCAGAAGAAAGTGAAAGAAGAATAAAGTTATAAATCACAAGTTCAAACACAAATAGCCAAGAAAACGTCTTGAGAAGCGGCAAATCAATGGTAAAAGATTTTCAGACCTCGTAGATCAAAATATTGACATTGGATGAGGCGCAGCATAAAAAATATGTTTCCAAGTTCCAATAAGGTAACGGTACAGGATACAAAACGCCACATGAGACAATAAATAAACATCCTTAAACAACGGTAAGGATGCCGTTCTCTTCCCCGAAACAAAATAAAAGCAAAACTGCAATAAATGTTCACGCACGTTAAAATTATTCGGTTCTAATGAACACATTAATCATTTGTTTGCACTCTTGTGTCTGATTTTTAAAAAGTTTCTCGAAGTTAAGCTGTGTGGTGGTCAAAGGAAGCGACGCATTCATCAAATTCAAAAAAAAAATTAATTCCATTAACTACAGAATCCGAAGATCCCTCTATAAGCACTCTTCAGGTAAGTCTAACTAACACAACTCACTTGATCATTTTTTTTGTTCTTTCTTCCTTTTTCTCATCACCAGGTTTTGCTTTTATGAAATTTGAATCGATTCAATCTGTTTATCTAGGAGATGAATAAAAAATATTACCCAGAAGCGTGCCCATTATTATTATTATTATTTCAATATTACTTAGATGATCTCGAAATAACAAGAGAAATTCAATGAAAAGAAAAAGTAAAAAAAATCATAATCATTAGAAAGGAAAGAAATAGAAGAAAATAATCGGCACGCGGAAGTTGAGGTAGGGTAGGTCAAAAAGGTTGCGATCGTCGCTTCTTTCTTGGCTTCTTTAATTCATCGATTCGTCAAGATCCAGTCTTTTAATGAACATGCTGCGAGTCCTAAGCTGTCGATTCAGCCTGAGGTTTGCGGTTTTTTTCTTCTCTCCTCGATTTCCACTCTCACTCGAACCACCCGGCATCAGTCGATCATTTTTTCTTTCATTTCTTCCTTTCATTATTTTCATCTTTGATCATTAAAAAAATTGAGGCACCCAAGTTTCACTTTTAACATCCACCAGGAAGAATGGAATGAATAAAAAAACACTCAAGCGGTGATTTGCGGAAATAGCGTAACAAAAAAACGCTATGCGTGCCTATGCCATGTGTCCTCGTTTGTGGGGTGAAATTGAATTGAAAAGATCGACAAATTATAAACAGCATACTCGAGACTTCTTTTTTTATAATGAAAATGAGATGACGCTCCATAAAAAAGATGTTTTACTTTTGTTGTGATCGCAATCGACGGATTTTTGATGCTTTGTTATGTTCACAAGGAAGCGAAAATATTTAACAAGAAAACTTTTCGATTTCCAAATGGTGCGAAATCCATTTCGTCGATGTTATGCAGTAAAAGTGATGTTTATTAGGAAGTATGCGGTTCAAAAGTGATATCGGAATGTTTCTTTTCAACTTTTATTTTAGATACTGTTAGAATCGAAACATTTCTCTTAAGCAAAGATCGGTGCATGTTGCAGAATATGCCAGATGGTGGCACGAGCATTATGTCAATCGATAGATTTTATTTATTTTCTTTTCACCTCTTCTTCTTTTTTATTTCATTTCTCTCCACCTTTGAGGAATGTCTTTTGACAAAGTACAAGCGCGATTTTGATCTTGTCGTAATGTTCAAGACAACAAGACACGTTTCACGAAGAAAAAAAAAGGCAGCAACAATAATTAAAATTCTATTTATAAAACATTAATTATTTGACAAACTCTTTGTGTGATGTGTACGTTAAAGTGCATCGAACGATGCATGAAGTTATGACAACATGTAGGCTTTCAAGCATACACTAAAGACGAAACGCTCGTGTCATGTGTATGGTTTGGTTTGTTTTTTCTCTGCCTTGTTGACTTGTTTCCATGCACATCAACAATGTTAAAGAGGTGATGGCATTGTCAGCACGAGGGAATATTCTGATTATTTGGCAGAAAAGTTTTGTCGCGTGTGAAAATTTATTTTTAGATTCAACAACGTTACACTCAGCTCAAAGTCTTTTTTCTTTGCGGTCGCAATTTTTGAAAAAATTCCCATAAAACATGAAACTCCAACAATACCCAATACCAGAAATGATTCAAAATGAAAGCTTAAAGTTATTCATTGAGTTGCTTTTTGCGCTTCAGTGTGTCTGTTTGCTTCCACTCTAAGAAACGAAACAAAAAAAGCAAACCTCAACGTAGATAAGATTTCGGGCCAATCAATTCGGGTAATCAAGTTCGTCGAACTTTGCGCGCGTATTTCTATGCATTTTTATCGTTTTCGTCGCCTTTTTTCGGTGTTCGGCTGAATAAGTTCGAGTAATAAAAAGCATACACTCTCAATCTTACTCGAGTTATGTCTGCCACTCTGTCAGCGAAGTTTTATTTGTTTTTTTTTTCTCTTGTCAAAAATCGTCTTTCACTTTGGACTGAAATGACTTGAGTTACAAAATTGTTTCTCTCGACTTCAGTGTTTAAAATTAACATTTATATATTTATTAAGCGGGGTGTTGACCAGACATAATCCAGGAAGAACTTCTGATATTCATTAAAATGAATATTACTACAAAACTTTAACGATTGATTTTTTTGTGGATATCAGAAAATTATTCTGTCGACTCTTTTTGATCTGCCATCAATGGCTCGTGGAAAACATAAAAAGAATTTGATTTTTGTTATTTTAAAAGGTTTTGGAAGAAAGAAGAAAATTATCATTCATTGAAATGTTTGTAGGATTATTGAGTTAACACCAAACGTAATTAATGATTGTTAAAATCATACTTAATTAGTTAATTAAATTCTATCCTTTAGTCATTCACGTGCTCATTTTTAAGTCATCAATCATCGCTTTTTTCTTCCATCACTTCTCGAACAATGATAAATTTTATTGTAAAACAAAATAAGTTTGTAAATTGATTAGATTAATTATATGAAATGACAATTTTTCTCCATTTCTCTTCTTACGAGACTAATGTAGTATGAAGATATGCTTAGAGACACATCGCGAAAGCATCTATTTTGCATCTTTGATGGTGTTCGTTCTTGTACATAATTCTTTCTTTTTACTCAGTTCATTCACCGCCCTAGTAAACTCGAATCTTATGTATGCTCAATATATTTAATACTTTGGAGTGTTTCCCTGTTCCCCACTTTGAGTAGTTTTTCTCACAAGAGCTTCAGGCAATTCAAAGACGAAAAATTATCTCAAAAAATAATAAAAATCACATGCGTACGCAATTTTTTTTTCACTCTCTTAAAGCTTTTTCTTCTCTTCTAAAGCTTGAATTGTACAACACTAATTGATATATTCGAATGTATTTCCAGGTAAGTAGTGTATAAAAATGTTTAATTCAACATTCTCAACCACAACTAAATGTGCATTTCCTATCTTTTTTCTCAATTATTTCTCGTTGCTTTTCTCTTCGCTTCATGTAATGATCGTGGTTCTCAGCACGCACTTAAGTGCTGCACAATAAATTGCGGAAAAGGTTTCTGATAGAGTTTGCTTCAAACTTTTTTTTTTTACTTAAAGAGAAAAGAAATTTTTTTCGTGGAACTTCGAGAATAATTACGTGAAATTTCACTGAATTTTTGATATTTCATACAATCGTTTTCGATTTCATAATTGTCATATTTATTTATTGCATTTTAATAGCTCCAAAGAACCGGAAACATGGGCACATTAAAGACATTTCTTAGCCATTACATTGTCACCTTTTTCCAAGTTACATATTTGTGCAAACAAGAAATTCAAATTCCAAAGCAAGTATTTACATTTACTTTACTTACTTTAGTCGGAAAATTATTCTGTCAGACTAACTAAACAAGTCATTAAGTTTCAGGATTTTAGATCGTGTCACGTCACGTGACGAATTTACATTTAATCAAATTAAATAAGTAACAATAACAAATTTCATGATCGTGAAATGTTTAAAAGTTGTCGAGTGAAAGTTGACAAAATCAAGTTAGTGGAAAGTTAATTAGTTAAAATAAAAACATCACGATCACCATCCAGGAAGCTACTAAATATATTTAAGGAACGATTCAAGAGATTCCATAGGAAATAGTTTTTGATAAAGATCATTACTAATATTTGTCATGCTTAAGTAAAAAGATCAAGCAAGTTGCAAACAAGCAATGTTTATTCATCTTAAAATAAAAGATAGCACAATGACTGACTTCAATGAGTCATTTTGACCTACAAGAAGAATTTAACGTTAAGGTGCGAATAAAAAGCTGATGAGTCTCTCGAATAACCTACATTACACTCTTCATCGTTGTGGCGTGGATAATTTATTTCGCATTTGACACAAAACTTAATGTGCAAGAATATTTCTCGAAATAAAGATTTTTTTAATGATTGATCGTACACAACTCACATGTTAATTTGTTCCAAAGAAAACTGACAAATATAACTGTTCAACGTTCGCTCGTCCTACTTAACAATCAAAGAATAATCTTATTCTGCTTTCTAAAAGGAGAAAGAAGTGGAATGTAATGTGTCCTACTTATAGCAACCGCCAAGAACCTGCTCGATTCGAACTAAAAATTATTTTTCGTTGTTCTCGGTTAAGTTCATGACTTTCAAGCTTAACATTGTTCTTGCGAGTTACATGTCTTGTTAATAATATGAAAGCTTAGGTGTTTATCGAGTATATTTAAGCGTGAATTAAACATGACCTAAAAAAAGATTTTAAAGCCATTAATGTTAAAAGAGAGAAAGAGTTAACATGGGAATAACGTTAGATTGAGAAAGAAAAAAAGGCGGAGAACGGTTTCGATTAATTGAAGATTGTGTTGTTTTTGTTTCATTGCAATTGGGTCGAGCTGATACTTAAATGCGATAAATAAATAAGAAGAAATGAAATGTAAATCGAATATTCATCGGAATGGCTGCTTCACGTTTATGGGATACGTTTTACACGACAATTCACATCCGCATACTTTTTTTTTACTTATTCACGTTGCGATGCTATAGTGAGAGAAAATGTGACACGTCATTTGGGGCAGTGATATTTGTTCCTTCATCGTGATGTAAGATTTCATTTTGCTTGCTGACACGAGACTGGAGAGTGACGAGAGTAGTTGAATAGTCGAAAAGCCCCGTAGTGTCGTTTTTTTAAATTATTTACTTCTAGATTTATTCAAATTGTAATAACAGATGTGTCATCTTATATCTACTCTCATTACAAATCACAAAGAAAATTTATCGACTTGAGTTCATTGTCACTTGGCGCTAAACGCTTTTGACCGTTTAATGAGATTTACGCTTTCAAAGTGATTTAAACTTATTTTCATCTGAATTTCATTAAACTTCCTCGTGACAAGATATGATATCATGCAAATCCAAGTGAAATCTTTGTTGTTCACTTTCAGTTGAATAGTTAAAAATATCTATATAAGAGTTTCCAGTGAAAACTGTCCGTTCACTGAAAGTGTAGATATGATCAAAAATCGCATTTCTCCAAACTGATTTGCATTTCATTTTTAAATAAGCAGGCGACAGTCAATTTTTGATATTTCTTTTTGAAATAATTGGAAATTTCAATAGAAAGTACGCTCGAAACTTTAAACCAAAATATAAACTGGAATACTTAATCTATTTTATGCAATCTTACATCACATATCTCCGACTTTAAAATTGGACAAAAAGAAGAAAAGAAAAAAACTAAATAAATTGTTTGCACTTTTTTCTTGTTTGCATAACACAAAAATTTAAGTCTGCATTCGTTTGAAAATCATGTTACATCAACAAAGCTTGAGAGCGCATTGTACGCATATGCGCAGTCATTTCCGGATTTGCTCTGACCATTTTCATCAAATATAAACATTCGATGATCTCCGATGATCATTCATTGTTTCTTGTGAAAATAAAAGAATCAAATACCTGATAGAAGACGAACCTTCCGCTGCCATTGCTGTCAAAAACGTAGCTGAAAATACAAAACGCATTCCAAACAGGTGAATTTATAAACTTCAAATTAAGCATTATTCTACCTGAAGTCACTCAAGTTAAAAGCGAAGCGAAAGAGTTAAGACAATTCCACAATATTTTTATGTTATGTTTTGGAGAAAATTTCAAACATTTAATAATAAATGAATAAATAGTAGCAATCGTCAAAAGCGAAGAAAAAGGTAGCATAAAATTATGTAAAATATCTGCAGGTAGAAAAATCATATCATATTTGCCACGAATACAAATCAAGTTTTTCGACTGGCAGCAGACATTAATTATGAAGCTTCTAGTTAATTCTAAATTGCCATTTCGACAACATTCAAATTATAAAAAGCGAAATTACAGAAATTCTTTTAAATTTATGTAAATCTGAAGTCAATTCAGTCGGCTTAAATTAAACGATTTTGCTTCGATTTCATTGTATCCATTGTTTGTATCTACCGAATCCTTTCATCATCAGAGATCAGACTACTTCTTAATTGGTTTCTAAGAAGTTAGGAAAACTTTTATTTCTGATCTTGAACAAATCCATCGTTGCGTCAAAAATTGATCGGTTATTATTTAAAATCATGCGATTTTTATAAAATTCAATCTCAAGAAATCAAAATAGTTCTGATGACTTAGAATTAGATTTAGAATTTAACTTTTTATCTCGATTTTTATTTATTATTTTCTTTTCTGTTTTTGGGGTGGAGATGAAGTTCTTTAGAAAATATTTCTGAAGTTGATTTTTGGTGAACACCAATCAGAATCAAAAGAAGGTTTTAGATTATTGGTCCTTTTGCTTTGATACGAAGCTTATAGGAAGCCTTTTTTTATTCATTTTTATGCTGCCTCCTTCTGTTTCTTTTACGCTTCAGTTTCTTATTTTATTTTATGTTGAGAGATTTAGTAAATGTATAGTAAATGTATATGAAAGAGAGTGAGAATGACGATGAAATAGTTGAATGGAGAAATTGCGTGGTTTGAAGCATGTTTTTCTGACTTAAAACTTATTGACATCTAAAATGATTGAAACTTATTCATTCAATATCTGACAACATTCATGACAAATTCTTGAAAAGATTTGTTTAACAATCAACATAAGCTGAACTTATTCTTCAACTGACGATTCATATGCGGCATTTAGAAAACTGCTTTACACACATTCCTATTCAATTCATTCTCAATGTGCTGCATGTGCTGAACTGTGTGAAGTGCTGAGAGTGAGAGAGCATACTTATATGAAACGAAGGCATACAAACACAAAAGAAACTCAAAAAAAAAGTTTTTTTCCTTGTGATTCGTTTCACCACGACAGACAGTCTCTATCGATTTAAGCTTCTGTACAAAGTGGAAATTAAATCACAAGTAAACTAACTTTCAACGAGAAAACATCGTTTCGTTGTTGAATTTTCTGAATCGAAATATTTTTTTTCTTTAAATTTTTGATAAATTTTCATTTTGAAGATCATCAAAAAAATTTCAACTTTCAAAAGACATTCAACAACCGAACAAGTCGCAAGCTTAAAAAAGTGAACAGTGCGGTTAATCATCAGCATAGTGTCAGTGGACTCATAGAAAATAAATAAAACTTAAATTGTTTTACAACAAAAATTAGCAAATATAAAAGTTGACAAAATGGAAAATATTCTTGATCCAACTGGAAACTATTAACCTTTGACAGTTTTATAAAAATTCTTTTCGATTTAAAATAAATTATTTTGCTGTCAACATCGTGTGACAAACATAAAGTGATAGGAAATGGAGCAGAAATTAGACCCAACGGGCTCGTATTAAGCCGATCTTGAAAAAATATTTTTCTCCAATTTTAAATTGCTTTTCTCACTTTCTACTGCATCCAATTCAAAAATCCACGCATCACGATGGATCACAAACTTGACCCAACCGGTCATTACTAAAAGCAGCACCTCTGAAGAAAGATTCATCTGAAGTTTTTCTATTTATTTGCTCATCATGTATTTAAAACGATAAGTTATTGAACTGATTTTTCTCTGTGAATAACTTCCCACATCAAGAACGAGAGAGCTACAAGCAGCACGTAAAAAATAGAAAAAAAATAGGAGAAGAAAAATGCTGGATCCCCGGGAATTATTACCTATTAGTCTGATGATGTTGCTATTGTAGGCGAGAGTTATAAAAAAAACTAATCATATTGCATTTATGAATCCATTCAAGAAACATTTTCTGCCTCAACGAATCTTTATTTGATAAAAAAAAATCATCGAACTTGTTGCACTGCCAAAACTCATTTAAATTATAAAAAAGTAACATACAACGAACTGAGACTATAAAGTATTCAATTTCCTGTTTAACTTACACTATCAACAAGCAGAACAAAATTATCGTAATGTCAAGTTTATTGAAACTCGATCCCACCGGGAATTATTGAGAGACAACACAGAACTGCCCCGTCCAAAAAAAAAATCAAAACAAAAAAAAAGAGTTTGATTAATAAATACAAAAGAGGCACACAAGGCGAAAAAGAAGTGAAGAAAGATAAATTAGTTTGACCAAGAGACGTGCAAGAACGAAAGGAAAAATGTGCCATCTTGATCCAACTGAGTACTATTGAGATTGTAGCACATCTTTGTGATCGATCAGTGATGAGCGTAGTAAAGGATTCAGCAAAGTGGTGCGAACTGCGTGGACGAGAAGAGACATCAAGTTGCCGCCGAAGAAGACAGTCAACACTTTCCTCATCCTTCAACAATTCATAATTGATCACACCAAAATCTATTCTTACTTTCAAAAACTTGAAATCATTTTCGGCCCAACCCGGTATTAAGATAGTGAAGATAACTTGAGAATGATTACAACAAAGACAAACAACTCTATTTCCTTAAGCTTTCATAATTCCATTAATCGTATTTTTACCACTTAAGATGTAATTAATCATCTCTTGATTCTCTTTTTATTCTTAATTTCTTATTAATAAATCTCGTATTAAGATTTAAATTTCATCTTAGTTTCCTCCTTACCTACTTTTATCTTGTATTTATTTCAATTTACATAGACAAGTTAAACCTTAATAATTAATAATCATAAAAGAGATCAAAGGAAGGAAAGGAAAAAAAAATATTTACACAAGGAAGCGATATTGAACAAGCAAAAAATGGTTCAAGGAGTTGGTCGACAATGTGGCTCAAACTTTTAATTTAATTCGTTGTTCATTTCCAACACAATTGTGCTTATTCGCTTAAGTATACACATTCGTTTATGCTGAAAGCTTTTAATCAACTTTCTAATAACAAAAAAAAAACTTTCTTTTCCTTTTGAACAAAAAAATTGTTTTCTTCTTTCTTGACAACAGAAAAAAATTAAAAAATTATACAAAAAAATTGTTATTGTTATTTGATAAAAAAAGATGAAGACAGAAAATCACAAAAAAAGAAAAATAAAAACTACGCCATTTATGGATGAAAATTAATGATGATCTAAGTTTATTTTTACATTTTTACATTTTTCTTTTGAAAAGCACTCAACTCAAGAGTTACCAGAGAAATGCAAGTGCTTGATGTGTAGTCAAAGCTGGAAATGATTTGAAGGTAGGCAAAGCTTGAGAACCTTGTCTGTTTGTATTGCCTTGGACTTGACTTGAAGAAAAAGTTAACTAATTTTCAGTGGCACAGAATCATGCCAATTTCAATTTACATTCACTAGTATTACTCTGCTTTTGCTTCTCTCCGTTTTCTTTTTCTTTCATATTATTTATTTTTTAAAGTTTCATTTAGGATCGTCTTCTCTTTACAACCATGTGTATCTCTATTAGGCATTTTTATTCTTTTTGCGTCGTCACTTTTTTGCCTCGATGGTCGAAATGGCACGTCATTCCTATCTAGAGTGATTCGTGTTTGCTGAACTCATCGAAGAAGACGTCTAGTAGCATATTTTAAACATGTTGTTTATCATAATTATCGTCGTTATTTTCCTGTTTGTTAATACTTTTAATTGATTGAGATATTTAACCTGAAAGACATTTCACACTCACACATTGTGCAATAGAAATTGAATTTAAGATCAAAGTATGATATCAAATTTAAAATGAAATTTATTCATGTTTCAAGAGGCTCATTGAAATCTTTCTACGCAGCATAAAAACACAACATAATATACATGAAAATCACACGAGCGTAAACAGATTCTCTGTCAAAGATATAAATCCAACGATTAGCATCTAATTAATAAAAAGCAAAGATTAAAGTGACGTAAAAAGAGAAGATAAAAAAAGCATGTTGAAAATGATCGTAAGAATTAAGGAAGAGATCAACTGAGTTCTATTTACTCATCTCAACTTCATTAATACTGCTGTGGTTATTCATTTTTGATTGTGGATATTTTATTTTACATAAAAACTCTTTTTTTAATGTGCATGTTACTTGAACATTTCTATGAATATACACAAATAAATCTTAAGAGAAAACATACCACCAGCTGTAGCAAAGTGTTGTGTTGTTATTGGTGTGTATGAGCTTAAGAGAAAAACTTAAGAAAATACTCTGCGAGTTCAATGACCTTTATGTTTTGAATACAAGGCGAATATGTATTTTCTTAAACAAATACAACAAATCGCCGTCATATGTTTCTTATATATATTTATATATATTTCAGCTTTTTTTTACGCTCATGTCACTTTTATAATGTTTGCGTTTCAATACTTGTAAGACTCCCCAGTCGCGCAGTTCTCTTTCGGAAAATTTACTTTGAGAATATCACTTTTTCCCTTTATATCGCTTTTTATTATATATTTTCTTTTCTTTCACGAAGTAAAAGTCAAATTGAGCTTAAATGACATCTCACTTCTCAACACGATAACATTGGAAATGAGAATAAATAAAACCGAGATATTCTAGCGAAAATTTATATGAGATCTTTGAGTGAGAGAATTGAATGAAGTGAAAGATGATAATGTAAAGTGATTTCAAACGTTCACTTCTTGTACGAAACTTAATGGGATTATTTACGATTACGAGTGAAGTTTTTATTTGTTTCTCTTTTACATAAATTTAAATTTTAAGGTTTTTTCTTTCTTTGTTGTTAAGTTATGAAGTTTAAATTTATAAATTGATCAGCAAGTGATTTTACAATTGAAATAAGAGGGCATTTTTATCATAATTGGGAGGATAACTTAACAACTTAACAAGCCATAAAGGGTCACGTAAAATATTTAAACTCTAAGTCATTCGTCAAGGTGACATAACACCCCAAAACATTTAAAGATCATCGAACCTCAAAAACATTGCAAAACATGTAACGAGATTTATTGTCAGAAATATTGAAAGAAAACCTTTTCAATGAACTAAGGCGAGTAATGTATGATTTGATTGCAAACTTCTGAGCTCTGATGCATGTGCGCCAATTAAACGCAATTATAAAAATCGTTTGTGAATATTTTGTATGTTACGTCAAGGTTCTCGATAGGATTGAAAACTTCCATTCATTTTATCTCAATTCGCATGTTACTAACTCAATTAAGATGTTATAATAAATAAATAAAGAGATTCTGTCATAAAGTGTGTCGTTAAACTTTGTTGTAGATATCCATCCTGATGCAATCGCTGATTAATGTTTTGGTTACCTTTGTTTGAATAGTTTCGTTTATAATTCCACAAGAATTGATATTATTTATTACATATTTAGATATATGACGACTTTATCAATAACATGCTCGTGCACCTTTGGTCTTTCATATATTTTTAAAACTAAGTTAGTTTATCTATCATTTTGAAACATTTTCAAAACTGATTTCCTTGTGATAATATTGCCTGTTGAACATTCAAAGCGACAAAAGAGTTCAACGACATTATTTTTGTTGATTTTTCGTGTTTCATGCGCTTATACCTTAACTTCTATTTCATTTTCTCCAAAAATAGTCACGTATCGATTTGTGTGAAAAAAAAATATCGAAAGTTGTGGTGTTGCGAAATAGAAGCGCTTGAAATTTAAAGAATTAAACTGCATGTAATGCTGGTAATCATTTTAAGTCAAATGCGTTTTCCCACTAGTATTCAATTTATGTAATGTTGTTACAGGTGTAATTTCCGATAGCTTACATTTCCGCGTTTCAGAGTATTACTTCATATCTAATTAGATTATCTATAACACAACTATTTAAATTATTTATCTATTAATTCAATGACGTCACAAATTATTTACGAAATTATCAAATGATTCAAAGAATATTTTGGTAACTTTTATTTTATTTAATAAATTTATCATGAATTGTAAATAAACTAAACAATTTTGAGCCTTTCAATATGCAAAGTGATGAAGCAAAATTAATAAGTGTAAACTTGCCAAATAACCTTTGTTAACAAATTGACATTTAAATTTTAACACACATTCAGGGGATATTTACATGGTGGTAAGTTTAATGTTATAGATATTCATTAATTTGTTAAATAAAATCAAATTAAGCAGATTATGAAAATAATTTTCGAAGTGCTTTTAAACTTAAGAACAAACAATTCAAATCAAAAGATATTCGAAGTATTATATAAAAACAATCAATAAGTTTAAAATGTAAATTAATTGCACAACTTCTCAAGTGCAAGGACACTTTTTTATTCTACTCAATAAAAATAAATGTATGCGTGTGTTTATGACTTAACATTTTTCAGTTCCGTCTACTCGTAATCAAACATTAATTTCATTCATGCCGATCAATCATGACTAAGCGATTCGAATACTTAAAACAAAAAGTCAGATTGAATTTAACTGCAGTTTTCAAAGGAAGCGGAAATGAATTCAAACAGTCAACCGACCTTTTCGTGTCACCAAATTTGGACTTGAATCCAATTTGATCGAAGCAGGGAGGCTGACAACATTTATTACAGTTCGCATCTATCTAATAAATGTGTACATACCTTCAGATGCATTTGTTTTGTAATACAAATATACATTTTAGAATTGTTTAAAATAAAATAGAATTAAGTTTTTTGTTATATAGGAAGATAAAGTTTAATTGCAGTGAAGGTAAGCTACACTGTATTTGCGAATAGACTAGACATCTATTTTTGCGACAAATTTTATGGAATTATGAACTTGCTAAGCTATCTAATCTAATTTTTTTTGTTGATAAATTTATATGTCGAAAGACAATTTTAAATGCGTCTCCTTTCGAGGTGAATAACTTTCATTTCAAGTTCAAACTTTCATTCAGAATAAAATGAATGAATTTGAATGTTGAGATCAACTGAACAGAACTTCAAGTGCTTTAATAAACGGTGATATAAGGAACAGCATTTTTTCTTCTGACATTTATACACCAAAATAAATTTGTCTATTTTGAATGTAAAATCAACTTCTCTTACATCTTATGCCAAACAATTCAAATAGTATTCAATAGAGAAAACTAATTGTGAATTCAACTGTTGCCTGACTCTCGCGACTTTAGTTACGAAATCCATCAAATTTCTGAATTTCAAATAAACTTAAGGTGAATATTTACAAGTAAGTATCAATTTTAAAAGTTTAATCGATGAAAAGATTCATTACAGCATTGTTCATAGTTTAAATATTTGTCTCATCATCTTAAACTTTTTTGCAAGTCTTTTGTGTCAAGATAAGGTATGAATTACAATCTTGTATCCGCCATTAAGCTACTTGATTTAAATAAAAATAAATGTGATTTTAAAAGTGATCGTGTGACTGAATTTTATTTAGGCTTTTCTCAATTCATTGATGCATTCATTATAACTGAGCGGAAAGGAATATATTTGATACCCCAGGTTGAAAACGGGTTCATCGTTCGTTCATCACAATGACGTGTGGTATTTGAATATAAATTTTATTCAATAGGATACACTTGATGCTGAGATGGAAATTCCTTCAAAATATTTTCATTTGATATTTTGGAATTTGAAAAGTAAGAAAAAAAGATCAAAAATTATTTCAAAGGTTGGCAAATAGAGCAATAAAATAATAAAGAAAAGCGAAAAAGGACACAATAGAAAGAAGAAAGTGGCGACGAAAAGAAATTCGGTAAATTTCTAAGAAAGTAGATCAGAACTTATTTATGATTATTACACTTTTTACTCATCTTTGCTTCAATAAAAAGCTAAGTTATTGACATTACTATGAGTTGTAAAAAATGTTTTGTCAATTTTTGATGACCAGTCAATTTGTTTGCTAAGTTATTAGTCTAGAACCGACGCACCTTAAGGATGATCAATAAAAGTTGTTTCTTCAAGATGACAGTTTTATAATTCAAATACAAAAAAAAAAGATTAAACTTAGCACATGACAAAAATCGATTCACGTGGCACACCAAACAAATGCTTAACATCCTTCTGAGGATTTTTTTTTTCGTTTCGCTTTCGTTAATGTTGAGAAAAAAAACTCATATCCATTCAATTTAGAAGCATTATGAAACATAACGGATACACGAAGGATCACAAAAGACGCACAAAATTATCGATTTACATGGGTTTGAGTTTTTTCTTCTTCACTTCGAACTAATTTTACGATCCTTGATGTTGCCCTTGAAGAATGAACAGAATGATTTAATGATTTCCTGGTTCAAAGCAAAGCTTATTGGTTTCTAATAAGATTAAAAGAAATGAAAGTTGAATGGCTTTCGATTTTTAAAACAATCATGAACTATTTTTATTGGTTTTGTTTTAATTTTAAAAATTAAAATTATCATCAACTCACAATGTTGTTTGTTTGCTTTTTAAATGTTTGTTCTTTGTTATTTTGCAGACTTTTCATTGCACCCAACGAACCATCAACTACTTATAGAACCAGCTAGATCAGCAGTAAAATTAATAAAATATTTGATTAACGTGTCGTGTGCTTGTCTCATGTTGCTGTTTTCACATTAAAGAATGAAAATAAAAGCTGAAACATCATGAAGAAATTATCAAGAACTTTAAAGTATTCAATTTCACTAGAAAATTCTATTGAACTGAATTTGATTGAAAGTCTATAAGCTGACATAACTTTTATTGCTATTTTGGATTTTTTTTTGATTATCAAATAAAATTTTGCTTCGAGTGATGTTAAAAGTTGGATTGGAATGCACATCACATCATTAATGCAGCCGAAAGGATTTCTGATTTTCTTATAATCAAAAAGCGCTTTGAATCATAAAGTAGTTTAAAGTTTCCAACAAATGCGAATGCATTGTGTAACAGAACGCAACGCTTTAGTGATCGAAAGATTCTTTTCTTCGTCGTCAGCAAATTTATCGGTGAAACAATAAAACTTCTGGTATAATGAAGTATTTTTTGCCGAATCAAAAATCTATCAATCTTTTATATGGTATGTTTTGAGAGAAGTTTTGTCATTCCCAAAATTAGGCATAAGCCAGACTATTGTCTCTCTCTCATGCCGTCATTAAAATTTTTTTTTTTCTTTGATTTTCCGATATTTGAAAATAGCAATATGCACCCAGACTTTTTTTTCTCTCTCATGTCGCTGATATTGTTCTGAAAGGAATTTAGAATTCAGAACTTTTTTTGTTGATGCATGTTGGTTCAAGCTCACACATTATATTTGACGGCTAGTTTTTGTGCATTTCTTTGTCTCCCAAAGAATAACTCACAAAAAAACAAATCCATTTTGGTCTCATAACTCTCGTTCGATGGGCAATGGATGGACGAAGTTGTTTTGTGAGAAAGGCATCAGGTATGACATTCAATGAGGTTTTAGAGATTTTTGAACGAGAATTCTTTATTTTGTTATTCTTGTTACGTTTTCTTCTCATGTACAATAAAAAAAAACTTAAACCCTTTTCTTTCGAAGAACATAAAATAGTTCAAAAGGAGAACAAAAAATCAGGATAATTACATAGGAATTTCTGTTTGCGTAAGATTGTATATCATATTTCGCTTTTATTACTTAATGACAGTTGTAAAGTTCGTGAAAGAAGTAAAGAGATCTATTTTAACCCTTCCGGCACACATACTTTAGTCATAAATAAAGTGATTATTTACTCTTTCACCCTTTCTTTCACTTTCCTTGGGTTTCTCTTTTCATTTTAAGAAAGTGTTTTCGTTCTTGAAGAAAGCTGAAAAGGCATCTATCAATAAGTTTATTTTTCTACAGACATCTGTGATAAAATGTTGCCAACTTATCCCGATCAAATCGTGATGATTACAGATTGAACGCGTGTCAAAGGAAGTCGAGTTCGATGTTATGTTCGGCAATAAACAATAAACAAAAAAGAAATTTGAGCTATGAAGTCGAGCAGCAAAATAAAAGTTTTTGATTGGTGATTTTAGGAATTTTCTCAGCTGCAAGAAATTGGAACGAATAAAAAATGAACACATCATAAATATTTGAAACAATCTTGATTTAAAAAGCGTTTCAAAATACCTCCAGAAATCAAATTATGCATTATTGAATTAAATATATGCTACAATAAATGCTTTGCATCACGCTAATATTCCCAATATTTAATTTCATCTCATTCTCTTGCAGTTATAATATTTCAAAATTTTATAAAATTCCTATGTTTTGCAAAAATTGCAGTGATATTTTCAATGAATTTCTTCCAAGAACAATCAAGGCTTGAGGCGATTGCAATCAAGTTTCTTTTGTCTATGATTAAATGCATGAATAATCTCCAAAAGAAATGTTGTGAAAATTAAAATGATTCTTGTTTTATCCAGAATTAATCATTTGATTTTATATTGCATCCAACTTAAATCCTTCTCTGATAAAGTTTGTTCATTCACCTCATTTATTTAATAATAATATATTGCAATGAGAAATTTGCCGAGTTTATCGCAGATAAAATGTAGCTTCCTTCCTTCTTTCCTTCTGTATAAAATTTACTTTTCAGAATTGATACAACAAAACGCTTATTTACTTGCCTATAAATCAGAATAAGCAACACTCAACCATGGTTGTTGTGTGCACTCTCAAAAAAAAAATTTAAGATTTTTAAGTAATTTACTTTTAATTGATGTGATTTATGACAAGATAATTTGTTATAAAAATGCAGGGGAGGAAAATTTTATCAGTAATATTGTATAATCTAAGGTTGTTTGCAATCTTATCGTCGTTGTTTAATAAATTGTTGAAAGCTCTTCTCACCCTAATCTAAATAAATTCTGTTTACAAAATTGATTGCCTAAATTTATTAAATTTATATGTACGCTTACACTTGATGCCTATGATCCTAAAATTTTACACAAATATCATTTCGAGATTGTGATGGTTTTGTACAATCAGGAAAGTAGAAAGAATAGGAATAAATAGTCGGAGTTTATTCGCTCTCGCTTTTTCTATATACCTGAACAGATATTCATGTTCAAGGATGCAATAATATTATTGTTTCATTCATAAGTTTATGTGCTGTGTCGCTTTTAACACTGATATATATATTTCTTTTCATGGTCAAGACTGAATGATTACCTCATCAGTTCATATGCAGTTCATATGTATACATATAAGGAAATTTTCGCGCTTATACTTGAAAGTATATTGGCCAGATGATCGATGATAATTCCTGCGAAATTAATTATTCTTCATTTTCCCATTAACTAATTGAAACATTAAAATCATTCATTGATTGCTTCAAGAAATTTTAAACAATATTTGGTCATTTGTATCTATTTATCAAATATTTTTAAAGATAAAACGAACAAGTTAAAGTGTTTATTTTGAAACAAAAGCAAGAAGTATCAAATAATAAATTATTTATTTTACTTTATTACATGAATCTATGTATTGTTATATGAATCCCAACAAATCATAGATCATAAGAAATAAAATTTGAATTGTTTAGCATCTTGAAACATTTTGAATGTGATATATTTAATTTGTGAATCTAAAAATACTATTTCTAATTGAATGAAAGATTTTGGATTTGGTTTTCGGTAAAATCATAGAACAAGTCAGAGGTAAATTAAATATTTTGAAATGGCAACTTCCTATTAATTACCTTTTAATTTCTCATTCAATACTGTTGTGAAATATTAAAATTGACTTATTTACATTCCCTTGAAAGTTTATGAGAAATGTTTGCATTCGTTACTTGCTTTCTCGCATAGAATACTTGCATGCCAACTCTTCATTCAACAACTTGAATGCAAAACTTGAGTAATGGTTTAAGCACGAAACAAATGTTTGACGAATTTAAAAAAAATATCGTCATATAATGTACATTTGTTATGAAGTTATGATGCTTTCTTATAATATTTAATATAAATATACTTTCATCAGCATCATGTTGTTAACATATATATTTGTTTTTTTTTTCAGATAGAAAATAGACGTGCTGTGATGTCATTGCAGAAAATAAAGAAACAATTAAATTTTTTCATCTCAAAAAAATCATTCTAGATATTTATTCTTTCGAAAATATTTTAACTCATATGATAATCATATTTTGTGATGAATTGGTGTGTTGACTTAATTAAATAATTAAGTGTGGTGTTTTTCAAAGTGCTTTTCTTTGTAGTGGCCTAAGCCCTTTCCGTTTCCATGCTCTTCATGTCCCTGTCCATTGCTATGAGTACCTATGAAAAGAAATTAAACAATTTTTTGATAAAATTTTTCATGAAAACTTGAAAACTGTGAATATTTTTAATCAAAATTTACCTCCTTCATGATCGTGTTCGCCTGTGTGGTGTTTTTCAAAGTGTTTTTCATTGTAGTGGCCTACACCCTTTCCGTTTCCATGCTCTTCATGTCCCTGTCCATGGCTTGGTGCTCCTGGAGAAAAAAAAATTAAAATTATTAGAAGTGAACATTAATACTTATTTAAAATAATTTTAATAAAAATAAGGACAAAAAATGAAATACCTGACACTACAATTGCAGCAACTGCCAATAAAACGATGAAAAAAATTGTGGAGAATTTCATTTTA